TTGATCTGGACACTATACAGTGGACGCTCGGGTTGTGAACGTGATCCATGCGGGAGGCACGTTCGCAACCCGCAGCGTTCACAACCCGCAGCGCCGCATCTGCGCATGCGTGGGTAGCGATTCGGCGCTTCTGTGCATGCGCAAAGCGCGATTTAGTGCTTCTGAGCATGCGCACCCGTTGAAACCCGGCAGTAACCTGTTCCGGTACTTCCCGGCTCCGGCGTGTCCGTAACCTGAAAAAACATAACCTGAAGTGTCTGTAACCCGAGGTATGACTGTACTTCTGTTGATGCAGGTTTTTTTGCTGCTGTGTCACACTGTTGATTCATGTTGTTGTCTGCTAGGACCCCCTAGAACAGCCTTTCTCAACCTGTGGGTCCCCAGATGTTGTTGAACTACAACTCCCATCACCCCTAGCTAGCAAGGCCAGGGATTATGGGAGCTGTAGTCCAACAACATCTGGGGACCCACAGTTGAGAACCGCTACCCTAGAACCTTTTCACACATACTGTTGGCAATCCAGGCGTCCCCCATCCTGTATTTGTGAAGCTGGTTTTTCCTGCCTAAGTGTAGAGCCTATTGAAATTCATTTTGTTGGTTTGGGCCCAGTTCTCCAGTCTCTTAAGATCTCACCAACTTGGGGAACAACCAGCAATGCTCCTTCAGATGGTCTCAGTGACTGAGCTGGGATATAAGATTTCAGGCAATCCCTGAGATACCCTTGACCTAAGTTGTTGTTCAGGGCTCTGCAAATTAATACAAGAACCCTGAATCTGGCTCAGTAGTAGATGGTCAGCCAATGCAGCTGTTGGAACAATGGTGTTACATGATCTCTGCCAGAAGCTGTCAGCTGTCTGGCCACCACATTCTGCACCAGCTGGAGCTTCCAAGGCAAATCCAAGAGCAGCCCCACATAGAAAAACATACAGCAACCCAGACTTGGCCAGTGCATGGACTACAGTGACCAGGGTATCCCAGACCAGGAGTAGTCATAGTTGCAACCTATATGAAGATGGTAATAATAATAATAATAATAATAATAATAATAATAATAATAATAATAATTTTTTATTTATACCCCACCCTTCCCGGTTCAAAAACTGTGCTCAGGGTGGCTAACAACAAATTTAAAACACTTAATTGTAAAAGCAGCATAAAATACAGTATAAAAACATGCATAACAATAAAATTCAAAATTCAGAAATCAATTTAGAGGAAATAGCATTAGAATAATCCCCAGGGCTAGCTGGCTGAATTGGTCCTACTTGGGCCAGCGAGGAGGCCAGGGGAGAATTAGCTGTGGGGTCTCAGAGCGGGTGATCTTCATAAAAGGGTAGGGGGAGAGAAGAGAAGGGAAATAAAAGATCAGGCTGAATTCAAATTAAAGGCCAGGCGGAATAGCTCTGTCTTACAGGCCCGACGGAAGGAGGTTAAATCCTGAAGGGCCCTAGTCTCATGGGACAGAGCATTCCACCAGGTCGGAGCCATCACTGAAAAGGCCCTGGCCCTGGTGGAAGATCACTTCCTTAGGGCCCAAGACCGCTAAACTTTGGTTATTCATGGACCTTAAAGTCCTCTGCGGGGCATACCAGGAGAGGCGGTCCTGTAAATATGAGGGCCCTAAGCCACAAAGAGCTTTAAAGGTCAAGACCAGCACCTTGAACCTGACCCTATACTCCACCGGGAGCCAGTGCAACTGGTAAAGTACTCCTAGCCACAGAAGACACTTCGGCGTCTAGTGACCAGTGGCGTAGCGTGGGGGGTGCAGGGGGGCCCGGCCGCACTGGGCGCAACATCTGGGGGGGCGCACTCGCACTCGCAGCTCTCTGCCCCTACCTGGCTCACTCACTCTCTCTCACTGCGGTGCTGGCTGTGTGAATCCGATCCGAGCCGCTGGGTCGCCGCCCACTGTGGAGGGGGTGGGTGCCAGGCGTGCGGTGCGGAGAGAGAGCGAGGGACTATCTGGGGGAGGGACAGTGCAGCGGCCGTCCAGCGCAGCGCTGAGCGCGGGAGAGAACCACACCAGACCAGACCAGGCAGCAGCAAGAAGAAGCTGGCAGCGGCGGCAGGTTAGGGGTTAGGGGGCGCAAATTACTTGCCTTGCCCTGGGTTAGGGGGCGCAAATTACTTGCCTTGCCCCGGGTTAGGGGGCGCAAATTACTTGCCTTGCCCCGGGTGCTGACAATCCACGCTACGCCACTGCTAGTGACAGAGACATACTTGGGCCTGGAGCATCAGCCCAGCCACATGATGGTTAAGAAGTGCAAGGGTTATGCAGTTGGGTCATCATGAGAGCACTGTGTGTGTGGATTTCTGCAGCATCCCCTTTCACACACAGCTCTCTCTCAGCCTCAGTTCAGCAACTGGAAATAACACTAAGATGATTTCCTGTTTCCCAACATCATGGCCAGATTTACACAACCACTTTGCAGACTTCTTTTCTTCTTCTTGAAAAAGCTGTGAAAACATCTCCCCCCAATTCCAACAGTAAGCATGTTTCTTTAGAGGTTAAGTAGGTCCATCCACATTCTACATTTAAAAGACTACCATATCACCATAGGCAGTCATGGCTCGCTCCCCCCCACCCCAATCCTGGGAAGTGCAGCTTGTTAAGGGTACTGAAAGTTGTTAGAAAACTCCCTATTAATTACAATTCATAGAGTTCACTGGGAAGAGAGACTGATTCTTAAACCACTCGGGGGGAAATGTAGCTCTGCAGCAGATACCAACTTTGATGGAGAACGCGGCAGTCAACAACTTCTAGTCGTGATGGCTGGTTACTGCTTCCAGTCCTGGTGGTGATATGCTTCTTAATTAGGCCATGTCCACATTCCTGTTTACTTTGTGTTTCTGAGGGCTGAGAAACATCAATGTTCACCTGATGTTATCCAAAAGGCGTATGTATCTTGTATTTTGTTAGAAAATACAACTGCTTGATGTGTTGTTTCTCAAACCCATTGGAGTCCCTAAGCCGTTCTGAAGTCATCTCTAGTCAAGGTGTGAACAGCTTTGCATAGGGCACATATATCCTCACCCCATCAACCTCTCCTGGAGGGTACAGAAATGAAGCTGATACTAAGGAAGCTGTGCTGATGTGAACAGTTGTTGTGCGTGTGGGTGGGGAAGAGCTGTGAAACACAGTGGGGAAAAACTAACTCAACCGAGCTCTAAGTGTGGTATAGAGGTTAGAGGGGTCAATTAGGGGTGGGGACCTGGATCCAGTGAGCACACCAGGTCCTTACTTCCTCCATGGGGCATGTTTTTTGACAAGAGAGCCCTGCCCACTTGTCACTCACATGATGTCGCAGTGATGCCAGGTGACCCATGATGCAGTTTGGAAGCAAAGAAACAGCATTTTGCAAGTGTTGATGATCAGTTGGGCAGATGCCATACATCCTCATTTGGCATGCGAGATTGTTCTGGCTAAGCTACATGCACCTGCCCCTACACCTGATATCCAGTGTGACATCAGATGTGGGGCAGGTAAAGACGTGGTTGGGCAGAAAGTGGGCTTTGCGGGCCACTGCAAAACCTGCATGTGGGTTGAAATCAACACTCAGCAATGATGCCCACTGGTTGATTGTAGGGTCTGATGGGAAGAGTAAAATGGAGGAAAGACACATGTACACCACATTGAACTTTTTGGAGGAAAGGTGGGGTGTAAATGTAATTAAAATGATGGTGACAACAACAACAACAACAACAACCAGTTGCTAAGGAACAACACTGGGAGAGGTTTTATTACCCTCATTTCTTGCTCATGGACTTCCCAGAGACACCTGGTTGGCCACTGTGGCAAAACAGGGGAAAAAGATGCTTTGACTCTCAGGCTGTGCACCCAATTACTGTTTACTCCAATTCCAATGTGCTCTGGCATTTGAAGCTACACATGTGTTTAGCCACAATCCACCTGTGTCCTTCAGTTTCTTGAGATGCCTTTTCTCTCAGCCATTCCACCCAGTTTGAACATGTAAGCCATGGCTAAGCTGAGGTGTGTACATTTCAGACATCCATTGCACACCCAGATTACAGCGTGCGCGCATAGGGTGGCTTCATTGAAAAGGAGCTTGCAGGAATTGCAGGCATGGGAAAACAAATCAGGCCATTTGCATCAGGTTAAGAAATTCATTTCCCCTCCCTGCAGTCTACAGCAAGATTAAATTGTGACCTGAAAAGTCTCAGCCTAGCCTTGATCTGATGGAGCAGGCCTCCCGGCTCTCTTCTGCTTTTCTCTCCCACTTCAGTACTGATAATGTTCATAGGTGCACAAGCTAGAGGCTGAAAGGCACTCCCCCCCATCTCCTTTAGCAGCAGTGTAGCAGAAATTCAACAGGTGAAACTTCTCCATCTCATGCCTATGCTGGGATAGCCACATCTGTTGAATTTCTGCCTGCAGCAATTAAAGGCACAGGTCAGGACCTCCGTCAGAAAGAAAGGGCGGCCGCTGGTTAAGTTACAACCCTACTGCTGATCAAGCGAGGAGTTGCAGATGGCGGCGTCTTAAGGAATGTAACTCTGCCCTGCAGCGGGCGTGCACTAGGACCCAGCGTTGCCGCCAACAGCGAGTGCAGACACACCTGTTTTCCAAGATAAGACCAAACAGACAGGGCGAGCGAGTGCGCAGGGGGCGAGACGGAGAAGGGCAGAAACCTCACGTCTGGCTCCCAATCGGGCTGCGCAAAGGGGCTCTTTCTGGCCAGCCTTTCCCTCTGCTTGCTCTGCCAATTCGTGCGCTTCGCGGAGCGCACAGATCGGTCGCTAGCAAGACAGCTGGAAGGAAACGATCGCCGACGCCTCCAGCCCGACGTCCTTCGTCGTGGCATCTGGGCTGCTTCTCGCCCCCGCCCTACGCTGCTGACTTCTTGTCGTTTTCTCTTTTCCCCTTCAGCGGAGCTGAGCTGGCCCGAAGACCCCCGACGGCGACAGCGCGCTCTGGCGGAGTGAGAGTGACTGCGGACGCCGCCGTCTTCTTCTCAGCGGAGAAGGGAGACACGCCTCCCTCAGTTAAAAAGCGAGGGACTTCGGGTTTCTCTGCGCTTTAGAGCCGGAGGGTGCTGGAACTCCCACGTGGCTTTTGGAGCGGAGGAAATAAACAGCGGCTGTTTCTGGGAAGACCCTCTTCGCCTTGGATCGGTCGCGAGGGACTCAGGACTTCTTTGGAGGCTGGAAACACGAAGTCCCTCTGCAGGATCGATGCCGGAGAAGCCACCGGGATCAAGCCTGGGTTTCTTCGTGTGAATGTTCTTGACCTCATCGAAGCCTCCTTTCTCCTTCTGAGTCATCTGACTCGCTGATTTCTGGATCTGTCTAGGGTCGCCTTTGCGCTTGGCTTCCCGGCATTGTCTCTGGGAAAGAGCCATACTAAGTTTTCTGGCGTTTTGGAAGAACAGCCTCTGAAGCCGCGCCCCGGTTGCCGTAGAAACTCGGTTGCCGGGGTCTCAGTTTTACGCTTCTCTTCCCTTCCGCAAATGGGTGCGGGTGTAAAGGGGAAAGAACGCTGCTGGAGCTGGACCCCTTAATCGCCCGCTCTTCACTCCATATTGTAGGCTGGAGTCTGAAAAAAGAGAAACCTTGCAGAGTGGTGCATGTGCTGGTTTGTTTGCAGAGACAGACTACCTGCTGGTGGAAAGAGACTGTTGTCTGTAAAAAGGAACTTGGGTCAAAATTACTGGTCGCCTCCTCTTTAGGGTCCCAAAGCCTCCATTGGAGGAGATCAGCTCTGGACTGGAGGGTCAGTGGGCCCCAGGATGGACACTGTGTGTAACATTTCCAGTGGGGAATGGTCAGACCAGGTCCTTCCCAGGGTGGCAGGGTACCAACCCCGCCACGTAGTGCGCAGAGTCGCATCCCAGACTGTGACCAAGGTGAACCCGCCCATAGGGATCGCCTTTATCACCCTCCTCTACTGTGCAGAGATTTCTTCTGCCTGCGTCGTGAGCTATGCCTACAGCTGCTCCAATGATGTCTTCTGGCTCTCCCTGACTCTCCTCTTGATGCTGATACCTGCCGTCATGGACCAACTTACCCTCATCTTTGTGAACCGGGACCTGACTAGTGACCAGCCCTTTATCCTTTTCATGCATCTTGTGTTGCTGGGTCCTCTCATCAGGTGAGCCGTGCTAGCAACTTTGTTTGGAGAAGGTGCCATATAGCTCAGTGGTGGAGCATCTGCCTCACAAACAGGGGGGTCCCAGGTTCGATCCCCAGCATCTCCAGGTAGCATTGGGAATTCCTCCTGCCTGAACTCCCGGAAAAACTCCTGCTGTAGATAGTACAAAGCTAGATGAAGCAGTGGCTAGGGAAGGACTGTAGTAGCTCAGCGGTAGAGCATCTGATTTGCATGCAGAAGGTTCCAGGTTCAGTCCCTGGCATCTCCAGGGAGGGCCGGGGAAAAACTTTCTGCTTGAAATCCTGGAGAGACACTGCCTGTCAGTGCAGACATTACTGAGCTAGAAGGGTCCATATAAGGCAGCTTCCTAATTCCCTCCCCCTGCCCACCCCCCCCCAACTTTACTCAGCAGGGAGCTTTACCCAGCAGGGAGCTGGAGGGTTCTTTGTGTAGAACTGCAGTCATAAGCTCTGAGCTTAGAAAGAAGAAAGGAGATGCAGGTGGCGCTGTGGTCTAAACCACAGAGCCTAGGACTTGCTGATCAGAAGGTCGGCGGTTCGAATCCCCATGACGGGGTGAGCTCCCGTTGCTCGGTCCCTGCTCCTGCCAACCTAGCAGTTCAAAAGAACGTCAAAGTGCAAGTAGATAAATAGGTACCGCTCCAGCGGGAAGGTAAACGGTGTTTCCGTGCACTGCTCTGGTTCGCCAGAAGCGGCTTAGTCATGCTGGCCACATGACCTGGAAGCTGTACGCCGGCTCCCTCGGCCAATAAAGTGAGATGAGCACCGCAACCCCAGAGTCGGCCACGACTGGACCTAATGGTCAGGGGTCCCTTTACCTTTACCTTAGAAAGAAGAAAGCAAAAGGCTGTTGCAAGTTACTGTGTGTGTGTGTCCTGAAAACAAGCAATGCCATATTTAATTGAATGTAATGCACACCTTTTTTGGCCAAATTATGGTGTGCATTTGGGTGCACAATAGATTTGATGGCGTCAGCAAATACTTTTTTGGTTTCAAGTTTTTGAAAATTGAGTTGTGCGTTAGATTCAATGGTGCATTCGTTTTGCATAAGTACGGTAACATCTTCCATAAATGATACAGCACCCTATTATGCTTCTTAAGGTTGCTGCTCCTGCTCATTCTGCTGAGTGGGGCCCTGGACCTTTGCCACTCAGTAGTGGGGCAGGAGAGCTGGAAGAAAATTCACATCTGGCAGCCAATGTGCCCCTTTGTTTTCAAATAGTACATGGGTAGACGAGTCTAAAAAGCCTGGAACACAAAACTTTACAGCCCTCTAGTGACTATGTTGGCTTATTTACCAGAAGTAATATACTGTATTTAGTGTTAACTATGGGAACGTATACTTGATTCTGACTAAACTAAGCGTCCCAGAGCAAAATATACATCAGGAAGCTGTGTTTGGTCAGAATCAAGTATATACTTCCAGAGTTAATGCTAAATACATTGCTTCTGGTAAATGAGCCACCATATCTGCTAGAGGGCCATGAAAAATTTTGCCCTGGACTTTTGAGACTCTTTTACCCATGTACTATCAGAAACCAAAGAAGCAAATTGGTAGCCAGGTGTGAAATATATTGGCATTATTTCATCTCTCCTATCCCACCACACAATTCTAGCATCAGAGGCAGTTTTAGGGTAGTGCAACCTGTTCGGCCACATTGGCCATTGTGCTGCACGGGCCATCACAACAATGCCGTAGAACGGAACGCGGAGGATACCCCAATTTTAGCATCACACAGGGTGGTGCTGAAATTTGAGAGCCCAAAGTCTGCCACTGCTAGCCTGATGGTAGCTCTGGCCAAGTGCCATTCAGAATACTGAAAACTCATCTGTCCATTTGGAAGTGCCATTCAGCACTCCTAGCATCATTGCATAGGAATGGGGAACTTCAGGTCGGGGGGGGGGGGCAAATACGGCCCTCTAGACATATCTAACTGGCCCTCGAGACTCTCACTAGGCCATGCCCCTTCTCCAGGCCACATCCCCATTCACGGTGCTGTGCTTTTGCTTGGCTGGAATGTGCCCTTGTTAACAATGCCTTTTACTTTCCTGGAGGGTGACACAAGTGGTGTGTGTGGTGTTTGTGTGTAGGAACCTTTGAATTTTTTTGCAGCTATAATGTAGACCACTATAGAAATGTAAGAACCACACCTGTCACACCTGTTGTTCTATCCTCTGACCCTGCCCACCACTAGCAAGCAGCCTACCAGAAGACTGTCTGCAAGGGAATACAGCTCTTGCTCTGACAAAGGTTCCCCACCCATGAGTGAACAGGGACCCCCGCCCCCACTTCCAATCCTGTCTTTGCAAGGGCTGAAACACCAATTTCGCTATGAAACTGGAAAGCTGCAGGATTCATTGACTTGCAGAAGATGCTGCACTTTGGGGCTGTGATTTTTGAAGCATAAAGCATGCACAGCCCTTGGTTGTCCCACACTTGGTGCAATTGACACATGGTGCACATGGGGCCAGATTGCCCAACGCAAACAAGCAAAACCTAGCCTGCATGCGATGGGGGCAGTGGGATGAATGGGGCAGCAGTGCTGGAAGGAGGCAATTTAATCCCCGCACTCCACATGCCATTTTCACAAGCAGAATTTATTCTCCAAAGATATTTTTAGTCCCACTGTGGGGAGAAAAGTTCTTGTTCCCACGGTGCTGCTGTCCTGATCCAATTAGACCTCCCTCCATGAATGTCTCCCAAGTTAAGAAACAAAACAGCAGGAGATCCAATCACATAGGAAGCTGCCTTATACAAAGTCAGACTATTGGACCATCTGCCTTGGTATTGTGTACACTGGCTGGCAGTGGCTGTTAGGGTTTCAGATGAGGAGCTTTTCCTAGCCCTACCTGGAGATGCTGGGAATTGAACCTGGAACCATCCGCATGCAAAGCAGGTGCTCTGTCCCTGAGCTATGATGGTCCCCATTGAACTACCACCCTCGCAAATGTATCATCATGTCTACTTTGACCCTCCATCATTTATACTACTGTAGGACTTCAGACACAGGTGTAGTGGAGGGGCCAGAGACTGAGATGCAAGTTGGACTGATGGGTTAATGGAGTGGCAGTGCAGGAGCAGGTAAAAGGTGAGCAGCCTGCTACTCGAATCACCTCCAAGGGGTCTTGTCCAAATGTTTTCAGGTGGGACCCCAGAAGTGAAGGGAGAAGAACTCCAGAGTTTTGAAAAGCTGCTTCACACTAGTTTCTTAAGGGAGCTGGGAGTTGTTAAGAGACCCCTACTCCCCTCACAGAGCAACAATTCATGGAGAAGAGGGATTGACTGTTAAACTGGGAATTGAAGTTCTTTGAGGGGAATAGTGTTAAGTTGTGGGCGAACATATCAGACGACACAGCAATTCCTCAAACAGCTCTTGTTTATTCAAAGGCCAGAACAGAACTGAACTGAAGAGCTCAGTCAGCCTGCTTATATAGAGCTCCAGAACAATGTAACTGTAGCAACTTTCTAAAACTATCCAATCACTGAACGTCACTTTCGATCCTTCATTTGCACACAAACTATCCAATCACTGAACATCACTTTCGATCCTTCATTTGCATAACTATCTACAGTATCCCCCTGTTGGCCCAGGGTGAGAACTTCAGTACATAACAAATAGGGGTCTCCTAACAACTCTTAGCACCCCTAACAAACTACAGTACCCAGGATTCTTTGCAGAAAGCCTGACTGTTTAAAGCAGGGTTCGCCAAACTTGCGTCTCCAGCTGCTTCTGGACTACAGTTCCCACCATCCCTGATCACTGTTCCTGCTAGCTAGGGATGATGGGAGTTGTAGTCCAGCAACAGGGGAGAGCCAATTTTGGGAAACCCTGGTTTAAAGTATGATACTTTCTTTTTGCCTTGCGAGCACATCCCAGCTGCCTTCAGAGAATCATATGCACTCTGTAACGATGGGAACTTGCTGTTTTCAATCTGCTTGCTTTCCAAGGTGAAAGGTCGTTGGCTGCCTCCTTTAGGCAGCATAGCAAGGAAGCTGGTTTGATCCCATGAGTCAAACAGGGGGGTGGGTGTCAGCAAAGGCTGTAATTCTTAACCCTGCCTCTGCTTGTCCAGATGTTTCATTCTCCACTCCCCACCCCAGTCTCTGCTCTGCTCTTCTTCCACCTCTTTGAGTGCAGGAAGGGAAGTGGGTGGGGAGCTCTTTTTGGAATGCTCTTCACATTGGAACCCCACCCCCCACAAACTTTGGAGGCTGCTGTGAATGTGGTAGTTGTGGAACACAGTGCAGAAGAGAAATAACATGCATAAATTTTACATTCATTGTTATAGACAGATGTGGTTTTCCTTGCTCAAGACGCAAGGCTTTATGTTATTAATTAAAAACATTTATATCTGCTTTTGTCACGCTGATGCTCTCCTGATATTTTGGGCTGCAACTGCAATCATGCTGCTGCCAGCATGGGTTGGAGGCTGATGGGAGTTGTAGTCCAAAACATTTGGAGGGCACCAGGTTGGGGAAGGCTGCTTTGTAGCCTGCCATCTACCAGCTTTATAATCCCCAAGGCAGCTTAACAAAATACTTTTGTTTTGTTACTTGCCGCACTCCAAGGCACTCAAGGCAGCGTATATAATTCTCCCGAACTCCATTTTATCCTCTCAACAACCCTGTGAGGTTGATAAGACAGAGAGATAGTGACTGGCCCAACTTCACCCAGTGAATTTCACGGCTGAGTGGGTGATTTGAACCCTGGTCCTAGTCTGCACACTCCTAATCACTACAATGAATTGGCTGCAATTAAATGATGCAGACTATCAGATCATCATCTGTTATTATTAGCCAACCAAAGCAGCAAAAGCATGACACTCCTTACAAATTAAAATGGCCAGGACACTCCGAAAGCTCCTTGGAAGAGAACTGCCTTGGGTGGTGACCTGAAAGCCAGCAGGGAAGGAGTGAGGCAAATGTGTCCCTGCAAAGGAAGTCCCACAGTTGCAGTGGACCTGACGAGGAGTCCCATGTACCCATCTACTGTAGTTGGGTGGTGAGAGCCCATGGAGCAGAGCCTCCACACAAAAAACCCACACCTTATCAAACAATCCTATGCATGTCTGTTCTGAAGAAAGCCCCACTGAGTTCAATGGGACTTGCTCCCAGGTAAAAGTGTGTAATATTGCAGCCTTAAGAGAAAGGTGTGGATCTGTAGGTATGCTGGCCCCAGATCATTGGGGATTTTAGAATTCAAACTTTGAATTGGGCTGGAGAACTAACTTGAAGCCAGTGATGTTGTTTATGGTTTAGTGGAACATGCACAGGTTGGAACAAGACCAGGCAAGCCCCAGTGTTGTGTGTTTCCTTTCTTCCACGTGGCCAGGTGTACTTTAGCAGTGTTTACTTGCTGTTTCCCTTAAAGTTAGCATGTTCCTGTGTCTGACTCCAGGATTGTGGTTTGCTGCAACTAATGGTTCATTTAAGCAAGCCAGCTTCTTCATGCCAAATGCTTCTTCTTTCTCCAGCTTAAGCCTGAAGTACAAAATCATTAGGGTTCTCCCTCTCTGTCCTGCCAGCCCTGTTGGCCAGCATTCCTCTGACTGGCCAAGCCGGGAAGGTCCTCTACTCTGCCTGCTTTTACCCTGTGCTTTATTTAGCCCTCATTTATTTGCCCTGTGCTCTACCCTTCAATTTCAGTCTTCCCCCTCCCTCTCTCACTGGTGAGGGAATGGAGTGAAGCTGCCGTCAGTACTATTCTTAGCATATGGAACTCGTCAAAGAGCCATTCTTTAAGTTTTCTGTTTGCGGACTTCGCCTCCCTTTCATTCCAGGTTGAACGAAGCTTTGAAAGCATAATGCACAAGGCAGTTTATGGGGCCTTGGGAGGAGTGGGCAAAGACAGAGGGATGCAAATTTAGCATGTTTTGGGGCTGGATCATTCATGTGAGATGACGAGAGGCTCCCGGATTCCCCAAAATAACAAAAAGTCTTGTGGCACCTTAAAGACTTTAACACTTATTTTGTGACATAAAAGGCAAATGTAGCCAAGGTTGGTCCATAAGGGAAAAAAATAAAATCCAAAAGCTGGGTCATAACTTTTATTAGAACCAACCAAAATGCCACAAAAATGTGGCAACTTTTTGAATTCTCCCATCAGGTGAGGTATTATACAAAGCAGGGAGGGTGGCAGTGGGAGGTGGGAATGAAGGAAAACCAAAACAGTGCAGAAATTAGGCTGGATGTGGTAACCATGAAGCCAAATTATAGACTTGGTTCCAAGATGGTGATTGCAGGCTGACGTGAGTCCCTCCCAGGTGTTACAGGTATGAAGTCACACACCTATGGTTCTGAGGTGAAGAAGCCATGGCTGCTCCTCCCCAAATTAATACCTGGTTTGTCATTTCCGGCTTCTAACTTGAAGGATTGCCACATTTTCCTGCCACATTTTGGGACCAATTTGGTTGGTCCCAAAAAAGGTTTTCCCCAAATTTAGGCTGCGTTCAGACATGGGGGGTTATTGTATCCATTTCTAATGCTCCCATTTATACCTCATTACCTGTCATTTTGATTAACAAGCTGCCGTGGTGCACTAAATCTTAGATTGTGGGGAAGAGTTGCATGCTCGTCCCATGAGCAGCTGTGGCATGATCATGAGAAACATAGGGAAGTTAACAGGGCTGTGACATAGACTTCCATGAACAAGAGTTCACTTCATCAGATGTGTGAAGTGGATACACAGACAGACACACATAAAGGAATAAAATGGTAAACAGAGAAGTCAGAAAGTCGGTGAAAGGCAAGGGGTACAGTCTCAAATGTTTCTATGCAAAGCTGAGATGTATACAAAATAAACATATTGACGAATATCTTCCAGCTAAGGACACACCTCATGTATCTGATGTAGGCTCTAGCCTACAAAAACACTGACAGACACATATCAAAATCCGATGCATGCTTGCATCTGAGTAATAATTCTCAGGATCTATTCACTTGGAATGGCCTATGAGGTTATGTTCTGCAATTGCTGAACACAGGTTCTGTCAGTACTTTCCTGGTCTCATCCCAAGTCCCTGTAACCTTTGAGTTATGCAGAAGTTTCCAGGTTCTGTCCCCTGAATCTCCAGCTAGAAGCCGGGAAAGACTTGAGTTTCCTGTTTGAAACCCAGAAAAGCTGCTGCCAGTTGGCATAAACACTGCTGAGGTAGACAGATCAAAGGTTTAACTCTGTATATAAGGCTGCTTCCTACATCTGAGAATCCTGTGTATGGTAGCACAGGGATGGGGAAAGCTTTACCAGTTGATATTCTGGCCGCTGTGTAGCCATGAAAAGCACAGGATCTATGTCGGGGGCTGTGTGGACACTATACATTTAAAGCACATGGCTTTTCCCTCAAAGAATCCTGGGAAATGTAGTTTGCTAAGGGTGTTGGGAATTGTAGTTCTGTGGGGTGACTACAGTTCCCAGGATTCTTTTGGGGAAGCAATGTGCTATAAATGTACTTTATGGTGTATATGCAGCCTTGGTCAGAGGTACCGCACCTGCTTTGCATACAAACCGTTCCAGGTTGAATAGGATCAAAACAGACCCTGTTTTGAATCCCTAGAGAGCCTCTTCCTGTCCACACAGCTAATACTGGGCTAGATGGCCAAAGGCTAGATGGCTTATTCTGATTCAGAATAAGGCAGCTTCCCATGTTCATATGAGTCTGAGTTGGAGAAAGAGGGGGCCTTTGCCTAAAGGAATGACCTCATGGCTCCCTTAAGACGCACACCACCACCGTCCCCGTAGCTACCTGAAAGGCCTAGCCTCTCTTTCTCTTCTTTTAATTGGCACTGCTGGACCACAGTGCATTAAAAGTTGTTTGCTTTTATTAAAAAAAATTAAAAAGAAAAAGAAAAAAAGAGGTGGTCTGCTTTAAAAAAAATAAGCGGTCAAAAAGCCAAAAAACAAAACACTGTCAGGTTGGTGGAGCTGAAAGCATGTCGCTCTAGTCGTGGTGAGTCATTCTGGAGGAGAAGCACTGCTTTGTCCCCATCAAAATGTCTTGCTGGATCATTCGAAGAGGGTGTGTGCTCTCAGTCTCATATTTTGCCTTGGGAGACAGTTGTGGGTGTGCTGCTTTTAAAACTGTGGGAAAGTCCTGAGCGGCGGACGCGTTCGGAAGCTGGATGTTTATCACCTGCTCATAGCTAACGTTTGATCTCGGCAGTTTCTTGTTATAGCTACTACTACTACTGCAGCAACAGATAATGAACCGGAAGGAAATAGGCAACCCCAGTGGAGGGCAGAAAGGAGACAAAGCTCTATTTGCAGACCTTTGGGTGATTTGCTATAGATCTGACTCCAAATCATACAGCAGCAGCAGCAGTGGCAACAACAACAACAACAACAACAACAAAAAAAATCATTTTTTAACTATTCTAAATCAGGCTGAAAAATAGTGAACCTTTGTGTGTAAAAAGACATTGAGTTCAGATTTGGTACGATAACCTATTTCTTGGGCTAAAACGTATCCATAGGTGGTATTATTAGTATGAAATATTATTTTATTATATTTACATTTCACATTTCCTCCTGGGAGCTCTGAGCAGTGTAGATGGTTCATTCCCTCTCCCTGCAAGGTAGGTTAGACCGAGAAATGGCGACCGTCCAAGGTCATCCATTGAGCTTTAATGCCTGAGTGGGAATTTAAAACCTGTGCTTCCGGGCACTAGTTCAACACTCTAGCCACTACACCCTGTTGCTCTTCTCCCTTTCCCTCCACATCACTATTTTACACCTGGCTTTGGTTGAGAATGATGGTGTTGGACTATATCAGAGTTCTTCAGCTTTGGGTCTCCAGGTGTTTTGGGACTACATCATCCCCAACCACTTTAGCCAATGGTTTGGGATGATGGTGGGAATTGTCCAACTACACCTGGAGACTCAAGGCTGAAGACGGCTGGACTAAGGGTATTCCAATATCCTTTGCAACCCTAACGTCCTATGGCTGAAACCCTGGCTCAAAATACCATCAGACTTTTACCCTCCCCCCACTCCCAAAACAACACATGAATATCCATGAGTATGTCTGTTTGCTTCTCCCTTGTGAAGACCTTAAGAGAAGGGCTGGTGGCTTCTATACTGATCCTGACTCTTTCTCTCATGCAGGTGCTTAGAGGCCATAGTGATGTTCTGCAGGTTGGGGAAGGAGGAAGAGCCCTACGTCACCATCACTCGCAAGAAGCAGATCTACAAGGACGCTGAGATTGAGCTGGAGCAGGAAGTGGGTCACCTGGTGCGCAGGCTGGTCACCCACCGCAACGCTTTCAAGCGCATGGCTGTCATCCAGGCCTTCCTAGGTTCTACCCCGCAGCTCACGTTGCAGCTCTATGTCAGCGTTGTGGAGCAGGAGGTCCCCACCAGCAGAGGTAAAAGGCGGAGCAGAGCATTGCAGGTCTTTACTGTGCAGAATGGGAGGGGACTTAAAGGGCATGGGTTTTCAGCTAGGAGCCAGTTTGCTTGTCTGGTGCAAACTATAAAGGGTTTGGGAGGAGGGTTGTGGGGACGCGGGTGGTGCTGTGGTCTAAACCACAGAGCCTAGGGTTTGCCGATCAGAAGGTCGGCTGTTCGAATCCCTGTGACGGAGTGAGCTCCTGTTGCTCGGTCCCAGCTCCTGCCAACCTAGCATTTCAAAAGCACGTCAAAGTGCAAGTAAATAAATAGGTACCTCTCTGGTGGGAAGGTAAACGGTGTTTCCGTGCACTGCTCTGGTTCGCCAGAAGCGGCTTAGTCATGCTGGCCACATGACCCGGAAGCTGTACTCCGGCTCCCTCGGCCAATAAAGCGAGATGAGTGCCGCAACCCCAGAGTCATCCGCAACTGGACCTAATGGCCATGGGTCCCTTTACTTTTATACCATTTTAATAGCCCTGGAGAGTCCTGGCAGCCACAGTTTGTTTACATTGCCGACCTCACAGAATGGCAGTTCCCAGAACCCTTAACAAACTATGATTCTGATGATTATCCAGGATTGCTGGACAGTGACATGATAGTGCTTCAAATGTATGGTGTAACCTTTCTCTCTCTCACTGCTTTCTCCTGACTCAAACAGGGTCTAGACTTGCAACAGAATAAGGCATTGCAAATGCTAGGATGGTAAGGGTGGGCAGTTGCACTTCAGAATGCCTGGGATGCATATTCCTCATTCAAACAAACAAAACAAAAACACAGTGCCAATAGAAAATTAAGGCATATGGCACAGAAGGCTAGAAGGCTTCTATCCCAGCTTTGTACCTGCAGTGCTAGGTTTCTGTTTGCAGGGAGGTTGTTGTTGTTTTAAATTTTTTTTTAACAAGATTTGTATAACACTTAATCTAAAAACGAATCACTACGCAGTTTACAAAAACGTATAAAATCTTCATTAAATAATATTCATTTAGAGTAGCAATAAAAGTAGATGTAATAAAATTGCTAAAATATAAATACAATCAGATTTTTAAATTTAAAAACCCCATATATGATAAAATTACATGTCCAGGTAGATTTGTTTAAACCAAAAAGTTTTAAGCAGGTGGCAAAGACATGTAAGGGAACGTTAAAAAATGCAGCCATGTTGCCCAACTTTCTACAGGCTCTGTTCTTCCACCTTTAATAACCGTGCACGCTGCAGAAAGTAAGCAGGTAGGTGAAGTTTATTTTAGAAGGGAGTTAAAGCATAGCTGTCAACCGTCCCTTATTTGGCGGGAAACTCCCTTATCCCAGTGCCGTTTCCCGCTGCTGTCCCTTATTGATGGTGCCCCTTGAATTTCCCAGGTTTCAAAGGAAGCAGCTCCTTTCCCTCCCTCCCTCCCTGCTGGCCAGGGAGGAGGAGGCTCCAACTGGGTTGCTTGGCTGCGTTGCTCACCCAATAAGGAGTCTAAGAACGACTGGGGGTGGAGCTTGCATGCCTTGTGCCGATCAAATCGGCCGCGTTGCCTGGGGACTCACCTTTGCTCAGCGCTTCCCAGCGGAGAGGTGACGGTGGTTTTCCTTGCTGCATCCCCTTTGCCGGGTTGCTGTGCTGTGGGAACCACTGCTTGAGGCTTCGTTTGGCTGCTGGCTGGGCTTTCTGCCTTTGGCTCGGAGGGGCTCAGAAGTTGAACATACCCGTGCCCTAAAAATTCATTGTTTTGGCTGCTGATCCCTTATTTCCAAGGCTGCTGGTCCCTTATTTTCAAATCTGTAAGTTGACAGCTATGAGTTAAAGTAACAGAAAAAAGAAAAACTAACATGAAAAGGCTTCAGATCCTTAAGTTAGCATCTGGCTGCTGCTAAAGGCATGGAAACACGATTGGTAAGTGAAGCTGACAACTCTCACTGGAGTTATTCGTATACTCTGGGCTTCCATCACAGTGATAACCTGCCTTTTGGCTGGTGCCTGCTGGGCTTGCCACATCCCTGGTGAAGTTCATCTATGGTTTCCTTATGGTTACAGAAACAGGCTTTCAAGGTGAACTGGAGCATTACAAAATGAAAGCTTTGTCAATGGGCCTGAAGCAGACCTTAAGAACCCCACCCCAGACAGAACAAAAGGACATTAAATCAATGATATTAACAATTGATATGGTCTGCCCAGCAGAGGTTTATAAGGAACCCCTTACTGGTTGAGGCCAAAGTCCTATCTAATCCAGCATCCTCTTTCCCACAGCTGCCAAACAGAAGCATCTGGGAAGGCAAAAAGCAGGACACGGGGTGGGAGGGAGGAAGAGCCCTCTCCCACTGTTGCTCCACAGCAGCTGCAATTCAGAGTCATGTTGCCTCTCATACTGGAGGTAATAGGCAGCCATTGTAACTAGTAGCCACTGATGGCCTTTTGCACCACAATATTGTCTAACCCTCTTTTAAAGCCATGCAAGTTGATGGCCATCGCTAGTACCTCTTGTGAAAACAACGGCTGGATGCACACCATAAATTTAAAGCATGCTCTCCCACAAAAGCAACCTGGCAGCTGTAGTTTCCCCCCCTCACAGCGCTACAATTCCCAGCACCCTTAACTAACTACAGTTCCCAGGATCCTTTATTTGGGCAGGGGTTGCTTTTAATGTACGGCGTGTAAAAGTTCTATTTATTGTATGAAGAAGTACTTCCTTTTGTCTGCTCTGAACCTGTCACTGTTCCAGCGTCATTTCATGATCCTGGATTCTAGTATTATGAGAGAGAGAGAAAAAGGTCTCTCCTCACCTCTTTTCTCCACACTATGCATGGTTTTCTACATATCTATCATGTTGCCCCCTTTTTTCCAAAATTTACAATGCCCAAAACATTACAATCTTTACTTACAGGGAAGTTGCTCCAGCCATTTTATTATTTTTCAACCTCTCTCTCTCTCTCCCCCTTTCTCTGTATTTATAGCCTGCCTTTCCTATAGTGAGCTCAGGGTTGCATGCCTGGTTCTCCCTATCAGGTTTATCTTTCCAACAGCCCTATGCAGTGGGTTAGGCTAAGAGACTGTGACTGGCCCAAACTCACCAGTGAGTGAGGATTTGAACAGTGGTCTCCTGGGTCCTTGCCCAGCTGCTACACCGCACCTGGAAAAGCACATAGAGCTGGAGGAGGAATGTGAGAAGTGATGCTCTTTCCTCTTTTAGCTCTATGTGCTTTTGGAAGCTCAGTTTGATTCTACTGGGTCTGCGTGCCCAAAGTATTCACACAAGAATGCAAATGTACAGTATGTACCCATGGGACTAAAAAGGTCAGCAACCACCGATCTAACTGATTCCACTGGCTTCTACTGTGCAACCCCAAATAACAACAATAATGGCAGTCCTATAGGACTTTTTTTTGCATCGCCCAAGCCTGATTTTGCTGAATCAGGATGTAGTACTAGCCTACCTTGGAAGCAAAATGAAAATTTTAAAATGGGGCCTCGACTTTGAACTTTTTTTTTTTTAAAAAAAATAGTTTTTATTGGGTGGGTTTTGTGTTACAAAGCAAACAGATAAACGGGATGGTACAGCTGTTGTTTCCACTTCAACTTGCTTTTTTAAAAACAATACAGGGCTGGATATAGGTCCCCATTGAAATATTGCTGTGGATGTTGCAGCATCAAGGCTACTCCGATTTCATCATAAGCGAGGTTTATTGCTTATTTTCAGACTGCAGCTCATAGAGTTATATAATAGTTCTGGAAAAACTTGTTGATTCTGCCTCAGAATATTGTTCCAAAACTAGAAAAATCAAACCAGAACGATAAACTCATCCTATATTTTCCCCACTCTCAAATTTTATCATCCATTTCATTATTTATAGCAATATGCTGCACGTCATTCTGAATGAGCATCGTTCTTTACAGGGGGGGAGGGGAAACCCACAAGTCCCTATCCTGAGGCTCATACAATCTAAGAGCCAAGATATACTTAATCATGACTTTGTTTGTTTGTTAAAATTTAAAAGCAGCTACAAGAGTATTTTTTTAAAATGCAAATGTATTAAAGAAAGAAAGAAAGAACAGAGAGAAAAAGTAGGATGAGAGAAAGAAAAAATAAACCCAGAGAACCTCTACTGCCCTTCCAGCTCACGTTAACAATATAATACCCCATCCATACATCCATCAGAGGGCAGCACATTATTCTTCCTGACCTGTTAATATTTGCATTTTATGTGGTCTTTCGCATGACATAAAAGCCACTCTGGAAATGCAGTTGAATCCCGCAGAAGTTTAGCACTATTTATGTATTACTTGTTTCCAGAAAACAACAACAACAACTTTTTGCCACCCTGTTAAATATTTATATATGTATGTTCAAATGTAGCAAGAGTGTTAAGGTCACCAGACTATTGCATAATATATGGCACTGTTTGTCCTTCCAGGCTTAGAGTAGAAGTCTCTTGGTGACCGTAAAGTATTGCAAACTTCTTTTCTCTTGCAATTAATCTCCATGCTACAGGACTATAATTGTAAAGTGCATGAAAACCTGCAAATATCAAGGATTTTGCCAAACAAATTTCATATGGACACTATATGGCAATTTTGACAGGAGCACCCCTAATCTAATTCATGCCTCCAAACTCCTAAACGTCCTGCATTGGGGGAAGATAATACATGTACAGCATCAGGGTCACCTGAGACTCCATTCCTGGATAAACCAAACCAGCTACGCATTCTTAGGCTCACTTACAGTAGGGTCATCTTCCGCAACCTGGTGCTCTCCAGATGTTTTTGAACTCCCATCAGCCCCAGCCAGCAGCTGATGGGAATTGTAGTCCCAAATGTCTGGAGGGCACCGGGTTGCAGGGTGGGGTGCAGAAGGATATTGGGCAGGGTTGGGGAAGGCAGGTAAGGAGATGGTGCCAAAAGATTCATGGAAAAGGTGGGCTTTGAAGAGGGAACTGGAGGAAGTAGGAGAGATGGCATCCTAGGAGTGTTCTGAGAGGCAGTTCCAGGCATAAGGGGCAACTCATTTGTGCGAGTCTGATATCCAAGCCGATGGAGCTAGAGGAGTGAAGGTCCTAGGCAGAGTTGTAATGTGATACAAGAGTGAACAGGGAGAGTGCAAGATTGTGAAGGGCTTGGAAGGTAAGGGATAAGGGGTCAGGATTTGGACAGGATGTCCCCATAGGGATTTAAGGATGTGCATCCTTTGGCTAGAATGATGAGAGATTTTGCAGTGATGCAGCTTGGTAATTTTAGACTCTGAGCTCAATGGTCAAGAGAGGGGAGCCTCTCTTTGAACTAGGGGTGAGGAATCTTTTGCAGCCTGGAAGTCATATTGCCACTGGTGCGTGGTGCCAGTAGTAAAAGTAGGTGGAGTCATCAATCCAATGCTTAACCTTTGTAGAGTTACAATGCAGCCACATAACAGCCAGCACCTTCTGCACACTCGCCCATACTTCACTGTCAGTGGCGTAGGAAGGCAGGGTACGGACCGCCCCGGGTGTCATCACTGAGGGGGGTGACGGCAGGGCCTGGCCTGCAGTGCACCCGAGCCACACGTCTCTCCTGCAGGCTCTGCGCTGCCCCAAATGGCATGTGGGGCTTGCAGACTCCATGGAGGTTCTGCGCAGCGTGCTCTGCCCTGGCTTGTCCTGCCCACGGGTGCGCCGAGCAGCTAGCTACACCGCTGTTCACTGTCCTCCATCCAGTCAAGTGAGAGGGCATGGTCACAGTTAAAGATCATGAAGCAGAGCTGGTGAGGAGGTGTGGCCTGGGGAGAGTTCTAAGAGCCAGTTAGAGATGCTTGGAGGGCCATATTCAGCCCCACACTGAGGTTCCCCCACTCCTGCTTAGGATGGTAATGTGTATCGCTCCACCTACTCCAAAGGATGGAGTTGTGCTTGGAGGCCTTCCAGCTCATTCTGCTTATTGGGGCCCTGGACCTCTGCCCTCGGAGACCTGCCCTGTGCACAGACTGGATATTGGCAGCAGACATTTGGACAAAGATGAAGAGGGCTGAGATGTGACAACTGCAGACTGAAGGGAGGAGAAGGCATCAAGGCAGGAGATGAGACTTACCCATGTTTGGCATTTTCAGGATGGGAGATGAGAGTTAGCCATATTTTCTTGGCCTGCTCCCAGGCGGTTGCTTCTTTCAGGAGGGATTCCAATTGCATACCAGCAAGTTCAGGTTGTGCTACTATAATTGATTGGGAGGTCTTGCACAGCAAACCCTCTTCCCAAAAAGGTGGGGCTTCCCCCCCTTTTTTTTGCAATAAGGGAAGAGATGGAAAAATGCACTGACACAACGTCAGCTAAGCTTCCCTGCAAACAAATCAGAATGACTACCTGTTAAATAGCTAGGGTTGCAGAATTTCCCTGCCAACAAATCAGGACGAACAATTAATAAACTAGAAGGGTTGGATGCAATGTAGCGCTAGGTTAAAGCCACTAGCAACCTACTGTACTTGTTCCGAAGGTGAGATGTTTCGTGCCAGTATAAGGGTGCTTCAGAGAATACACAATCGGGTTGCTAGTAACCTCTTTGCAGAATAGATTGTGCGATCTTTTGCAATGCACAGTGAGTTTCCTCTGGTGCAGCTGTTGCATTGGAACCCTCTGTTGCGTGGCAAGGTCCCAAACCCTCCCAGGAAGTTGGAATAAAGACACATGAAACAGTATTTAGAGTTAATGGGCGGAAAAGACCACAACTTACAGAATGTGAGTGGTATTGGCTTAGGCATTGGAAACCACACGACTATATCTGACTCCTGCCCGTCTGCAGGAAGTCTTGGAAGGGTTAACCACCAGTAGGGGGAGCCCTGCTGATGCACATCAACTAGGAACTCCCCCAGGATCACTGTTAGGGGTTGTGCTATGGCCATAGCCCCCTCTCTGGGGCTTCGGACAGAGACCACGCCCCTCAGATTCCTATAACGGATTACCCTTGAATTAGGAGGGGTAGGTGATGGCCACTACCACCATTCACCTTCAACCAAACACTCCAATGCCTAACCATCAAACCTTACAAAGTTGTGACGATTTGCTACGAGGTAGGCAAAAAACCAATTGGCTGGTGCCAGTTTGCCAAGTGGAAAAAATTCCTACCAGGCCCCTTTGACAGGTGACCAACCGAGGTCCATAGCAAGGTCAAGAGATAAAGAGCCTAACCTTAGGGAGGGAGGGCAAGAGAACTGAGCAAGCAGGAAGAAAAGGGATGAGTCTTTGGCCACGGCCAGTTTAAATAACCTGCACCACGCCCCTGGACCATCTGGAATGGTCGGCCAAGGAATGACGCTGTCGAGGACTCCCCAGTGGCGCAGGAACTGTACCGCCCCATGTGCGTGGGGCAGGCTTGCTCCCAGTCTGCAACGTCAGCTCCCCAGGAACGGGAAATGGCTTTGTCTAACATTAAAATTTGCCTTACACTAGCAGACATAGAACATTGGATGGAGCTTGTAGTCTGGAAGCTCCCTAAGTTTATATTCCCTTGCCCCTGCAGTCAAGGTAGTGAGGTTGGGATTGCCTCACTTTGTCCCCAAAGCTATCCGTAAGTAAGCTTTACCACTGAGAAGTGATTTGAACTTAGGTCTTCTCAGTCAAATCCTCTATCAACCACGTCTCCCACAGCCTAGCACATAGATCTTGCTTTGTGTACTTGAGAAGGAGAAACTGACTGGCTTAGTTGGTTGGAACAACTTGGGGAGGTCTGACTGAACCTGGCTCAAACAGGAATGCCCAGCAAACTATAATTGCTAATAGTTTGGTGTCATATTCCACTGCCAAGTGTAAATGGCCATTTAGCTTTCCCCCAAGGTTATCAGAACCCCCAAGAGCCCTTCTTTTTAGGCATGGTAGAAGCAGAAGTGTAGACAAGCCCAAAGTTTCAGCTAATAGACAGGCGTGCTTGTGGCTTCATGTTATTCCTGTTTAAGCACTTCAGAAAAGAAGGGATTGTGTACAGGAAGCCTCTGAAGCACACGGTACACCATTAGCCAGCTCTCTCCACTGCTTGTATCTTAAATTATTGTAGCTAAAAATCAAGCTGTGTGTAAGATCCCCTGCACAAAAGCCTCTTGAAATGGCCTGCATGTTCTCTTCCTGCAGACAGCTGATAAAGCTCTTTCTGGATTGTACCACTTTCATCTTCAGGTGGGAGGGCAGATGGTTGATAGTATTCCTATGAAAATAGTTCACTGCACATAGAAAGCTAGCATATGAGGGACAGAGTTAGGCTGGAATTCTTGCCCCCGGACACTCAGGTTATTAAAGTATTTTGCCTATATGTATGTCTTTTTTAAGGGGAATTAAACTGTGTGGTTATGCATGTAAAATTCAGCTGAGATATGCACATTCCCCAAGACCTGTTGAGTATTATGTAGATAGATTGCGCAATGTGCACAATTCCCTCTTTACAGAAGGGTTATGTATACATTTTCCATGAAGCATGGTGAATGTACACAATGCCTGCTTGTTATGCCCATTAACTGCTCAACTTACATTACACACACACATAAATATATGTATTGGCAAAGCATTCTGTCCTCTGACCTGCCATGGAACAATCGTGAGATAGCTATCGCTAAATCTGAAGACCCACATGTGGGTCTGTCAGCTGCTCAGACAGCTAAGATATAAATGCAACAAACGCACCTGCCCTTTCTGTGAACTATGTGTTGGTTGTGAAATGCAAAACAGCTTTTCACGTGAATTGTCATTATAGAAAGGGTTTTTCTGCAAAGGATATGCATGCAGTCAGTAATGGTGATCCATCTGGTTAGCTGTTGCATATGTTGCAGCTGCCACGGATGACTGAAAAGTTTCTGCCAAATCACTAGTTGAACCCTTCCCTGATGTGTGATGCTTTATGTTAGGGATGGAGAACCTGTGGCTCTCCAGATGCTCCACCATCTCCCGCCAGCATAGTCAACGGTCAAGAATGGGAACTGCCATCAAGTCACATCTGGAGAGCCACAGGTTCTCCATCCTTGCTTTATGCATTAAATTGTAACCCAAACTACATATCAATCACTCTACAAATCTGTGTGTTTCTTTCAATGAGGGTGTGCCAGAAGTGAGCTAAAGGCTATCACAGACTTCTGGCTGATGATGAAAATGCACCTTGAAACATAGGCCTAGATCAGCTGCAAGTGGCGTAGCTGGTAAATTCCACAGAAATAGTCAAGAATGAGTCAAGAGTGTCTGCTCTCTTTGCAACCAAGAGTGTGACTCTTTGGGTGTGACTCAGTTCTGGCACCTGTTTAATATAGGATTCTGCCCAACTCCCAGGGGTGTGGTTGCAGTAATGAATACCTGTCAAGAGGTAGCAGGTGTTCCCATTGCTTAGATTCAAGCAGTGCTGCTCTGTGCTTTTGGTGCTGGAGATCAGCCTTGGAGCATACAAACAAGAATGCTTCCACAACACTGGCCTGGGTCACACTGCATGTTGAGCCATACCATAGCTTGATGCGATTGTGTGAATCTGCAAGCTCCTGGAGAGTTCATAGGCTCTTTGCTTCTTCCTGGCCTTTCTCTCTGTCGTGCTGCACTGAGCTAAGCCCAGGTTTAGCATAGCATGCCTTCTGAACTGGGTCTCATGGTTAATCTCTCTCCTCATTAACCAAGGTTTGTTATTGGCCTTAGCTTATGGTGAGTGAGGAGAGAGTTTAGCACACTAAAAAAAGACACACTGAATCATGGCTTAGCATAGCACAGTGTGAGTGCGAAAAGGATGAGGGAGCAGCAAAGCAGCAGTGAGCTCCTCACTGGGAGCCTGCCCATATGCAAAGTCCTGGTAAGCGTAATTCAGAGCTTTCCAAACTGTGTGCTGAGACACGTTAGTGTGTCGATTGCAGTGTGTAGGTATGTTGCGTGAATGCTCCCCGTGCTCCTCCTGGGGGTGGAAAAGGGTTAGTTCAACCTCCGGTTTGCTAGTAAAACTGAATTACTGTGTCACGAAATGATGCATGTCTAAAAAAATGTGCCACCAACATGAAAAGTTTGGAAAGCTCTGGCCTAATTACTATGTGATGTGAACCATGCAGTTAAATCAGACGGAATAAACAGCTTCAGGTCCCTGCTCAGCTATGAAGTGCACTGGGTGAGCGTCAGTGCCTCTGCCCATGTGTAAAATACCTTTCCCTTACCACTGTTTATGTTTAACTGAACAACCTGAACTTGTCAATACATGTGATGGAATCCCATATGAAAATAGTGACAATCTGGAAGTGCCCAGTGTGGGTCAAGGTGATGGAATAATAATGGGTTTACCAGCTCTTAGCTTCTTTAGGTATTGAATGATGAACAGTAATTCAGCAGCCACTTCTGTGGAGTTAATGCTGCTTGCATAGTTTCCATGTGGGGTGACAGCACATCAGAGAAATGGAAGATGCTTCTCCAAAGACAGTCCTACCCACCCCCACATCACTGCTGCTGGTCTTCCTGTAAATAAGTTCCCAGTGTTACAGAAGTCTTGTCATTCTGCAGGTATCTTGTGCCCTTCCCTGGGGTTTCTGGCTCACAATTCATGTTTGCTTATTGCTGATTTGCATAATCTATTTTGAAAGCCAAATGGTATTTCCTGGGAGCAGTATTTGGAACTGGGTGTGACCAAAGCCCTGAGCAGAGCCTCTTCCCATTTGAATGAGACTGCCTAGCCAGTTCTGAATGAGGAAATTCAGAACACTTTTCTCCCTATCTAGAGTCCCCTTTGAAAAGAAAAGAATAAAAAGGAAAGTGGCCATGCTAGTAGGTGAGCTGATATCAAAATTTACAAATGTTTTTCATCTGTATGTGCAGGAAGACCTGTTGCGTTTCCAGCAGGAAACAGCTGGATACTTTTTTTAAAAAACCAAACAAAAGCTTGTGCTACACAAAAGATACAGATCAGCCATTGCTTTAGCCATACCTTTACATGAACCTCTGGCTTTGTTTGTATGATTGTTGTATAAATATTTAGCACAGCAACAGCCACCAGTGACCTTGGAATGGTAAGGCAAATTAAATGAAGGGTAGTTTGCTGGACCAACAGTTCGTGATTGGCTGCTGGCCTGATTTGGTCCAAAGGGCTGCCATTGTACATGACTGGTCTGTACAATGTGGCTGCTTGCACATTTTCCAGCTATGTTCAGCAGATGATGAGAGAGACATACTTGCCATTGCAGAACAAGCCAAAACCTCTGCATCAGGACATTCTTTCCCCATTTCAACAGAGCTACTACTTAGGCTATTTCAGGCCTGAATATCTAGCGCACTTACCTCTTTGGCAGCAGCTGACCGAACACCTGCCCTGAGCAATCTCTGTCTAACCATCTCATCTCTGCCATCTCCCAGTGTGTGTCTCTTGCCCCAGCTGACACTCTGTAAACTTTCTGAGCAGCTCCAGTTTCAACACATTGCAGAGAAGAATGAGCAACCAGTTAGCACCAAGTTAATAATAAATATAAATAAAATTTTATTTATACCCCGCCCTTCCCGGTTCAGAAAACCGGGCTCAGGGTGGCTAACAACAAATTTAAAACACTTAATTGATGCAACAAAAACTAACATAAAATACAGTATAAAACGTGAATACCAATAAATTCAGAATTCAAATATCAGTTTAGGAAAATCCATCCAATAAACAGTAGATGATCACCAGGGCTAGCTGGCTAAATTAGTCCTATTTGGGCCAGTGAATAAACCAGGGGATAATTAGCTGTCGGATCCCAGAGTGGGTAATCTTCATAAAAAGGGGAGGGGGAAAGAAGGAAGGGGAATAAAAGGTCAGGCTAAGTTCAAATTGAAAGCCAGGTGCAATAGCTCTGTCTTACAGGCCCTGCAGAAGGAAGTTAAATCCTACAGGGCCCTGGTCTCATGGGACAGAGCATTCCACCAGGTCAGCGCCATCACTGAGAAGGCCCTGGCCCTGGTGGAGGATAATCTGACTTCCTTAGGGCCTGGGACCTCTAAACTATGATTATTCATGGACCTTAAGGTCCTCTGTGGGGCATACCAGGAGAGGTGGTCCCGTAAATACGAGGGCCCTAAGCGACAAAGTTACTACTAACGTTGCTCCTAACTGAGCTCCAATGGGCTAGTAACTTTTGTGGGCTTAATTGCAAGGCAGAAGTACACCAAGATGTGACAATAATTGTGCAGTGAACACTCATTGGGCTGATTCTGTGTGCTCACTCTTTGGCCTTCCTTCCTACCTCTTTTAGCAGTCCTGATGTGCATCTGCTTGGTGTCGGTCACCTATGGAGCTTTGGTCTGCAACGTCCTGGCCATCCAGATCAAGTATGACGACTACAAGATCCGCCTGCACCCGCTGGCCTTCATCTGCATCATCCTGTGGCGTAGCCTGGAGATCTCCACCCGCATCACCATCTTGGTCCTCTTTGGGAGTGTCTTCAAGTACTATGCCATGGGCATTGGTGGGGCCAACTTCCTGCTCTTCTTCTTCTTGCCCTGGGTGCAGTTTTGGTGGAGTGGTGCCCAGCTGCCTGACAATGTGGAGAAGAACTTCAGCCGGGTGGGCACCCTCTCGGTCCTGTTCTCCATCACTTTGCTTTACGCTGGCATCAATATCTTCTGCTGGTCAGCTGTGCAGCTCAGGCTGGGTGACCGGGAATTGATTGCCAAGTCACAAAACTGGGGATGCTTGGCTCTCTTCTATGTGTTCCGAGGGCTGGAGAACAGTGTGCTGCTTGTCGTCTGGTACTTCTTTATGACGGACGTTTACGCGTACTTCTGTGCCCCCTTTCTGGTGCTGCAGCTGATTGTAGCCTACTGCTTGGCTATCGCCTTCATGCTCTTCTTCATGCAGTATCTCCACCCCTGCCGCAGCCTCTTTACGCACAACGTCTCTGACTTCTTGCAGTGCGTCTGCTGTAAGCGGGACGAAGCACCTGAACCCCTGGACCTTGAGCCTCCCTGGGAGCCTGGCGTGAAGCATAGCATTGTCTGATGGGACATAAGTCAAACTCAAATCATAAAGCATTCTGCTGAAGGTGGAACGGAAACTATATCCTAACATCCCAACAGGGGCATACCCCACACCTGGCCTCAGCAGGTATAATTTATCAACAAGGGAGCAATGCAGGGAGTCATAGTGGCAGGACTGGTCCTTCCAGAGCATCATCTGAACTGACAGATCAAATTGGGATGGGCAATAAGGGGAGCAATTTCAATTTCCTTATCTGCCTGCAGAGCCTGGAGTAGTCTGCATTGCACACCAATGCAGCAGGGTGTATTACGTTCAGAAGGACTGTGTTGTCATTTCTAGATGATAACCATTGACTGATGTTATGTCAGATGTTTGAAGAAGAAGAAAAAGCCTAGTTGAAGGATACTCAGTTGGGTTGAACTCATGGTTAGCTTAAGTAAGGGGAGATCCTTTGGAAGGGTGGTTAATGGGTCTTGCTGCGGCAGCCATCTGTTTACACCACTGCATCCACATGGGCACCATGGTCTATCTTAGGATGGATAGAATTGTGGCTCCGCATTTTCAAGGATAGTCCTGACAGTTGTGACAGCTGAGGCTCTAAGACTTGGTTATCCTTCAGCACCGTTGGTGCTCCTCCCCCGTTTATTTCCCCTCTCCCTGTGTTTATTTATATGTTGAGCTTAGAATAAATATTTTAAAGTGTTTTTTTTTCATTTTAAAGGAATTTAGCCTCTTTTTATGCTCTGGTTTCTTCTATGCCATTCAGAGCAGCATGACCACATGATTGGTCAGCAAGTCCTGGGTAAGGAGTAGAGCCCAGGGGAGAAGGTGGCGATGTGCCTTCAAACCCATAGGAGTGCTGTAACCAAATGCATATTTGTACCTTTCACAGGACAAGTCAATCTAAGGGGCAGCCCTTTAGCAGCACACTTCTGTGTGGAAGGTGGCCACCTTAGTGTGGTGGAGTCTGGGGCTGAGATCAGCCCCTATTGATGCTGTGCCTTCTGAACTGGGTCAAGCTTTTTACCCCCATGTGCAAATTATGCTGAAGAAATTTTAAGCCACAGGTCTGGGCCGAGGGGGAGCTGTCCAAGTTTGTTACTACATGCAAATAGAAGTTGGGCTTGCTCGCTCACAGTCTGGGCAAGGCTCACCCTCAACAGTCCCCATTGTGCAATACCCTGTGGGAAAGGAGGCTCCTAACAGATGTGAGACATGCAAGTGTGAGAGCCCTTTGGCACATTCAGCTAATTGTATCGGGGGATCAAGGCACACTGTTTTAAAGAATCCAGTCCCTACAGTGTTTATTTAGAAGGAGCTTCAGTTTTGTATAGCTAATAGATAGGGTTGTGACTCTAGTTGTTGCTGAACTGCAACTGCTATGGTCCATGATAATTGGCCACACAGGCTGGGAATGATGGAAATTGAAGTTTTAATGATGTCTGGTAGGCCACAAGTTTCCCTATCAAAGATAGTTCCATAAACACAATTTAGGTTCCTTCAGAACCTCTGGATTTCTGTTGTTTAGTATCTTGACTGCAGCTGTTTCCCAGTTAGCTATGTTTTGGTGACATTAAACATTTATTTTCTTTTTTTAAAAAACTTCTTTTCTTGCTCAAGACCTGGTGGGCCTTCAAGTTACCTTGTTCAAATATATGTTATTTAAATTCTCTTAATGACCTGTGAATTTCCTTTTCCACAAATAAAGTACCTTTATTTATTAGTTATATGTGTTAAGGCAGGGATTTCCAATGTAGTGCCCATGGACACTGGTGTGCTTGCAAATGCTTTCTGTGGTGCTTGTGAAAGGTCTCAGTAAATAACCCTTCAAAAAATTCACAACACACAAGAGACCATTTGCTCTTCCTGCTTGGTTCCTGCTTGCACTGACTCAGCCTTTCCTACCTTGAACACGACTCCTTCATTGGATGCAAGGACTGGACACCCACCTTCCCTTCCATTCTGAACAGAGTAGAGGAGCAAAATGCTTCTCTGTGCACTGGGCAATGGATGTGCACTTTCAGAAGTGGCAGCCACTTTGCGTTTATGCCATTCCACCACCACCCCACTCCCTGTAGCTATTTTGTGACTACTTATCAAAATTCCAAATGTGTGTCCACTGGTCCCAAAAGGTTGCTGACCCTTAAGGATTGCAGTAGAGAATAAAAAATTGGTTGCAGATAGGATCTGGACACCTCATCCATCATGACTTTGAACTGAAGCCTCTCTCTTTCTCATACAACACATGGTACAAAGTAAGAACATATCTCAAGGAAGCCAATTCAATAACTGATAAAGAGTTCCACAGAAACATATCTCTACACCCATGGGTAGAATTTCACAGTCTCCTATCTAGCATGTACCAACATCAGCAATGGAAGACCTAGCCAGAGATAAGAGTTGAGTGCAAACCAGCCCTTAGGAAAATCTTGATCTCAGTTTGCACCTCACAACTTTCTGGTTCTTGATGATTGCTTTGCACCAGACTGACAGACCAACAGGGCTGTGAATTCAGAAAACTCTAGGCTCAGGTGTCACATGTGATATACTCTGCTTTTATGCATGTTTCCTAAAAACAACAACGCATATCTCCCCACAGATTTTCTGTTTACCAAGGATTATTTAAATGCAGCACTGGAGATCTTAGCCCACAGGTTTCCAAACTTCCCACTGTCCGCCAGTCACTTGAAAACTACTGTTGGTTTTTGCAAACCACTTAATGATTTTTATGCCTCTTCTAGCAATTATAGGGTTGCCATATTTCATATAGTGAAAATCTGACAGAAAAGTAGTTGTCAAGCTTTTTTTTTTTTTTTTTTAAGTTTTGCCCAAAGTTGTTGAGCTATTTATGAAAAAAAATCTGCAAAAAACGACACTGCCAACAAGGGTTGCCATACGTCCAGATTTTCCCAGACATTCCATCAATTTCCACTCGAACACTGTCTGTGGCTGCAGTATTCCATGCATGTCTCGTACTTTCCGGACTTCTGGCAACCCTAAGCAATTACAATGTGGTGTGATTTTTTATTTTATGTTTTATTGATTCTTTTATTGCTTATATTGCATTTTATTGTATTACACAGTTTGCATTCTTCAGAATTCAAGTTGTAAATCATTAAAATGCAATATAAACAATAAAAGAAGCAACAAAGATACAATTAAAACTAAGTAATGGATCGTTAATGTGGGCATGTTGCTGACTACCTGAAGAAGGCTTATGCGTCCTTAGACCACAGCTTGGGAACCCCTAATCTAGAGGTTTTAGGGTGGCACTGTGGTCTAAACCACAGAGCCTAGGGCTTGCCAATCGGAAGGTCGGCAGTTCGAATCCCCTTGATGGGGTGAGCTCCCGTTGTTCAGTCCCAGCTCCTGCCCACCTAGCAGTTTGAAAGCATACCAGTGCAAGTAGATAAATAGGTACCGCTCCAGCGGGAAGGTAAATGACGTTTCTGTGCCAATCATCCCTGCCCATCCGGAGACCCACAGGTTCCCACCCCTGGTCTACAATGATTGGCAGTGGCTCTCCAGGGTTTCAGGCAGAAAACTTTACCAACCATCCCTAGAGATCCCAAGGATTGAACCGATGGCATTCTGCATGCAGAACATGGGCCTAGCGGCCCTAGCCCTTTCCCCCAGATAGCAGAGTTGTAAAATACAGCTTTTTCAGACTGGAAGAGGAAGATAACATGTTGGAGATGTACACGTACATAGAAAGTCAAGGAAAAGGCTAGAGTAGACTACAGTGGTACCTCGGGTTACAGACGCTTCAAGTTACAGACTCTGCTAACCCAGAAATAGTACCTCAGGTTAAGAACTTTACCTCAGAATGAGAAGAAGAAATTGAGCAGCGGCAGCGGGAGGCCCCATTAGCTAAAGTGGTACCTCAGGTTAAGAATAGTTTCAGGTTAAGAACGGACCTCCAGAACGAATTAAATTCTTAACCTGAGGTACCACTGTATTGATCTATTGATCTGCTGCTGCTGCTCTGGTGAGTGCTGGGAGGACCGCTCCCTCTCCTGCCAACTCCATCCGGCCTAGGGGGTGGGGCCTGCACTCACCACTACAGTTTAGAGGCCTGCAGCAAGTGACAAAAATGGTTTTAAATGTTTTAAGTGCTTTTAATTTGCTGCACCTTAAATGGTGGTTGTTGTTTTTTATAATATTATATTATTTTATTTCTGCTTGGGGTGGGATAAGTATTTAGTCAGGGTGGGGAGTAGTTTAATTTTAGCACTATTATTTCTTGCTTTGTTTTTGTTGTTATTATTATTATTATTCTGTTAAGTTATTATATAGTTTGTATTTTGCTTTTTAAGGGGAAGGATCAGGGCTGCCTGGGACAGGGCCTCAGCCAATAGAATGTCTGGGGCAGGTTCCACGGGGGGGGCGGGGGGGAATGTATTGGGACACCTGATCTCAGTGATCACGGGCAGGAGGAGGAGTTATGCTAAGACCAGACCATGTCATTACCGAGGAGGCAGGTTTAGTCGTTGTTTGAGGACTATCCCTGCCTCCAGGTCTGGTCCTGACCGGAAGGATACTGGAATCAGCAAGGGAAACCCACATGACCTGAAAGTGTTGCTGTGCAATGCCAGGTCAATGATGAATAAAACCACTGCCATCCATGACCTGATTGTGGATGGAGGATTTGACCTGGCATGTGTGACAGAGACCTGGTTGGATGAAGCAGATTGGCCTGTCCTTGCCGCTGCTTTCCCACCAGGTTTCTCTTACGCACAGCAACCCAGGTCATGTGGGCAGGGAGGGGGGGTTGCAGTGATTTTTAGGAAGTCATTAGTCTGCACCAGGCGTCCTATTGGGAAGACCTAGTTTTCTGAGTGCATGTTCTGGAAGTTGGGCAATAGGGGCAGTACAGGATTCCTTTTAGTGTACCGACCTCCCCGCTGCATCAAGGATTCCCTGCCCGAGCTGCTTCGGGTTATGGTGGATATGCTCCTGGAGACACCTAGTTTGGTTGTCCTGGGGGATTTTAACATCCATGCCGACACGACCTTACAAGGGGCCGCTCAGGACTTCGTGGAAAGCATGGCCTCCATGGGGCTGTCCCTGAATAAGTTTGGCCCAACTCATAGCCGCGGACATGCCTTAGACTTGGTGTTTACCTCTACGGATGTTGATGATCTGACACTAACTAAAAGTGAAACAAAAGAAGTGCCATGGTCAGATCACTTCCTGGTGCAACTGGACTTCTCCGCGACCCTTCTCCTCTGCAGGGAGGTGGGACCGATTTGAATGGTCCACCCCCGCTACTTAATGGACCCAATAGGCTTCCAGCGAGCGGTAGGGGATGTTTTATCCCAAGTTGATGGCCTTTCAGCTGAGTCCCTGGTGGCCCACTGGAATACGGAGTTAACCAGGGCTATTGACTGTCTGGCTCTGAAGCGCCCTCTCCGATTGCATGGAGCCCAGACAGCCCCATGGTTTTCCCTGGAGCTGAGGGCGATGAAACAATCACTGAGACGGCTAGAGCGCCAGTGGCGGAAAACTCATTCTGAATCAGACTGGACACAGGCTAGAGCTCAACATCGAGCCTACCAAGTAGCAATGGCAACGGCAAAGAGGGCCTTCTTCGCCGCCTCCATTGCATCTGTAGAAAACAGCAACAGGAGACTTTTTCAGGTGGTTCGCAATCTATTGGAACCACCTGCACCACCGGGGCCTGGTAGGGACCCCAAGATCTCCTGCAATGCTTTTGCAAAGTTTTTTGCACATAAAGTCGCTCAGATTCAGAAGGAGGTAGACTCCACCGTGGGAGCAGGGCCAGGGCGGGAGAGTGTTAGAGTTCTGTCTAGTCATGTTACATGGGATCAATTCCAATCTGTTACCTCTGAGGATGTGGACAGGCTGCTTGGACACGTGAAATGAACCACTTGTCTCCTTGATCCTTGCCCATCCTGGCTAATAAAAGCAAGCCCGGAAGGGCTGGGCGATGGGCTCTGCGGGGTGATGAATGCTTCCCTCTGCGAGGGAGCCTTCCCAGACCTGCTGAAAAACAGCTTCTTAAGAAAACATCTTTAGACCTGACCAATATAGCCAACTATCGCCCAGTTTCAAATCTACCATTCTTGGGCAAGATGATTGAACGGGTGGTTGCTGAACAACTCCAAGGACGCCTGGAGGATGCGGGCCATTTGGATCCCTTCCAGTCGGGATTCAGGCCTCACCATGCGACTGAAACTGCCTTGGTTGCACTGGTCGATGATCTCCGGTGGGCTAGGGATAAAGGTGAGAGCTGTTTCCTTGTTCTGCTGGATCTCTTAGCAGCCTTTGACACCATCGACCATAACATCCTTCTGGACCGTGTTGAGGGGCTGGGAGCTGGGGGCACTGTTATACAGTGGTTCCGCTCCTTTCTCCTGGGTCGTGTCCAGAAAGTGGTGGTGGGGGATGAGTGTTCAGACCCCTGGGCTCTCACTTGTGGGGTGCCTCAGGGTTCCATCCTCTCCCCCGTGCTTTTTAATAGCTATATGAAGCTGCTGGGAGAGATCATCAGGGGGTTTGGGCTGGGTGTTCATCAGTATGCAGATGACACCCAGCTCTTCCTCTCTTAAATCAGAATCAGTGAAGGCGGTGAAGGTCCTGTGTGAGTGCCTGAAGGCGGTTGGAGGGTGGATGCCAGCTAACAGATTGAGGTTCAATCCTGACAAGACAGAAGTACTGTTTTTGGGGGACAGGGGGCGGGCGGGTGTGGGGACTCCCTGGTCCTGAATGGGGTAACTGTGCCCCTGAAGGACCAGGTGCGCAGCCTCGGAGTTATTTTGGACTCACAGCTGTCCATGGAGGCGCAGGTTAATTCTGTGTCCAGGGCGGCTGTCTACCAGCTCCACCTGGTACACAGGCTAAGACCCTACCTGCCCGCAGACTGTCTTGCCAGAGTGGTGCATGCTCTAGTTATCTCCCGCTTGGACTACTGCAATGCGCTCTACATGGGGCTACCTTTGAAGGTGACCTGGAAACTGCAATTAATCCAGAATGCGGCAGCTAGACTGGTGACTGGGAGTAGCTGCCAGGACCACATAACACTGGTCCTGAGAGATCTGCATTGGCTCCCAGTACATTTCCGAGCACAATTCAAAGTGTTGGTGCTAACCTTTAAAGCCCTAAACGGCCTCGGTCCTGTATACCTGAAGGAGCATTTCCACCCCCATCGTTCAGCCCAAACACTGAGATCCAGCGCTGAGGGTCTTCTAGCGGTTCCCTCATTGCGAGAAGTGAGGTTACAGGGAACCAGACAGAGGGCCTTCTCGGTAGTGGCGCCCACCCTGTGGAACACCCTCCCTTTAAATGTGAAGGAAATAAGCAGCTATCCTATTTTTAAAAGACATCTGAAGGCAGCCCTGTTCAGGAAAGTTTTTAATATTTAATGCTGTACTGTTTTTAACACTTGATTGGGAGCCGCCCAGAGTGGCTGGGGAAACTCAGCCAGATGGGCGGGGCATAAATAAATAAATAAATAAATAAATAAAATAATTACTGGTCTAAGGGAGCAGAACCTGCAGCCTTCAGGATGATACTGGACTACAACTCTCAAATCTTATTGGCCGTTGGCCATGCTGTCTGGGGCTGATGACAGTTGGGAGTCTGACAACATTTGAAGGCCGCCCTGTTCCCTATCCCTGCGTCATTAAGATAAATAAATATAACACCCTTGATTTAATAAGTACAATAATATATTGCTCATGTTTTACTGTAAGCCTCATGCTTATCAGGTGCCTAAAACAGAGAGCAGCAGCAGCCAAGGTGGTTTTGGAACGTTAAGTTAGTGTTTTCAGTTTTCTCCGGATTTGAAACGAAACAGATGAAGAGGAGCTCTCTTCTCAAAAGATTGGTCCTTTATCCTGTAATGCAGTAAGGCTAGCATAATAGAACTGGGGCCCACATGTTTTCCAGAATGGTATTTTATGGAATCTCGGGTCGACATGGGTTTAGTAAGCGTCTTCAGTCTAAAACTGAGAAGATGCAGAAATCAACCACTAGATGGCAGCTGTGATTTGGTTTAGGCTAGAAGCAGAGAAAGATGCAAGGCCTCAGAGTGGTGCTCAAAATAAGAATAACTGAAGTTTTTAAAACAATATAGTTATATCATTACTGAAATGCCCAATGTGTTTGTATTAAAGGTTGCAGAAAGGCCATAGTTCAATGGTAGAGTATCTGATTTGCACATAGAAGTTACAAGGTTCATTCCCTGCATCCTCAGGTAGGTCTGAAAAGATTCTACTGTATGTCTGACATCCTGGAGAGCTGCTGCCAGTCCGTGCAGACACTACTGACCTAGATGGACCAATTCTCTGACTCAGTAGAAGGCACTTTCCTCTGTTAACATTCTGCTCTCAAGTGTATTGGGCTTTTTGCTATTATATAGAATTATATTATTTGATAGCTTGATTTGTTTTAAAGCACCGTTTTACAAACTTAGCCCTTCCTCAACTTCTTTTGGTTTTGGGTGCTGCCCCACTTTCCCCACTGTGACCTAGAGCAAAAATGTAGAGCTGAAAAGAAAGTTTGAAATTGTCCAGAATTTCAAGTTTTGCTATTCCCGTTTGGAATGTGAAATACTGAACTCCCAACATTGAAATATGCATTTTGAATTTGAAATTTTACCTCAATATTCAAGTGCTTTATTCACATTGTGTCTCAGCGGATATCAAATATGGAATCTCAAAAGCTGTCAAATCCTAAATGTATGTTGTCTGTCAAATGCTATCAAGTGCCAAATATTATTTCATGTTAACAATAGTATGCAATCAGACACTAAATATTGCATGCCAACCATAAAATATTGTTGAATCATTACACAACAGGTATTAAATATTGTGAAAGGTCAACTACTGAAACAAAATGTTGTAGGCTGTCAAATACTTGGCAGATATCCTGCTTAAGAAAATGATGTGGAGACTATTTCACAAAAGTGGCAGAGGAAAAATTCTGAGTTGGTTTTTTTTTTTTTTGATAAGTTGGAAGCAACTTTCAGTTCAGCTCTACTAGCTGCAGAGTGCGTACAAGTACTATCTTGCCCAAGGTTCTTCCGGGCAAGAAAAACCATGAAACTTCCAAACAAATCAAACCACAGAAAACAAAACAGCATTGTAAGACTTTGCTTAGAAGTACTTGCAAGTTCGCAATCTGAGATGTTGGAGAATTCCATCAGCAGTAGAAATGGGAGTGGAAATTACTGCACTTCTATGTTTGCTGGAGGTCAGGAACAGAAATCATGCCAGAAAGTATTAGTAGTATTCACTATCGGGGAAGGGAGGCACCTGCAAATTATGTTTCTTTCTGCATTGTTTGTGGGGAGGTTATACAACAATGAACAGTCCTCCCCCCCCCCATTAATATTTTTCCGATGTCGTGCCCGATGGTCTCAGGGGGCCCTCCCCTTGCTGTTGCGCTAGCACTTGTGGTGGCAGAGAAAGTGTTCCTCTTGGCATCAGGAGTCCTCAGGTTTCCCTCACAGCTGGCATTCTCAGGGCCATGGGATGATACTTCCGGGGGGTGGGGAGCCTCCATTACATCATCCTTCTCCATGCCAGCGTGGGAGCCACCAGTGTTGCTACCTCCAGGACTGACCGTCCTCCAGCTGCCACCTGGGTAGGTTCAATCTTGGGTGTCTTGAGACCTGAGAGGTTCAGAATTGGCCTCATCCTAAACTCCAGCTGCCACCTGAAGAACGGATGTCGACTCATCCCCAGGTGGAAGGCCCTCACCACAAAGGCCCCTGAGAGCCTTGGCCTCACATAAGTTCTGTTGGTTACCCCCTCTGCTACGGCCAGCTGCCAGCCCTGTGGCTTCAGAGTCTCTGGCGTCTTGAGAGTGGACCCCCCCCCCCCCCGGCTTCCCTAGGTGCCTTTCAGTTGAGTAATATATCTCGACCCAGGCTCCATGCTGACCATTTAATCAGTCTGTTTCAGTTAGGAGTACAGTGGTACCTCGGGTTACATACGCTTCAGGTGACATACGCTTCATGTTACAGACTCCGCTAACCCAGAAATAGTACCTCAGGTTAAGAACTTTGCTTCAGGAGGAGAACAGAAATCGTGCAGTGGCGGCGCAGTGGCAGCGGGAGGCCCCATTAGCTAAAGTGGTGCTTCAGGTTAAGAACAGTTTCAGGTTAAGAACAGACCTCCAGAATGAATTAAGTTCTTAACCCGAGGTACCACTGTACTGCTGGCATGCAGGACAGTTGGATTCACAAGCTAAGAAGGTAGAGGCAAGCCCAAATAGAACACTCTTGTAACATAGCGTCTTCGGTAGCAATAACCTTTCTCCACCTCCCTTAGTTCATTTAAAACGCCGAGTCAAAGCCTGTGTCAGAGTCAGTTCGGAAAAAAGTTCAGAAGATTAATTAAAATTGTTTAGAGTTACGAGTCCTTGAAATAGGCTGGGCGGTAGCTGTTAAGCTGTTCGACTTTGTTAGATCTAATTTATGGTGCCAACTTCACAAGTTCTCTGATATAAGACCCCAGGTTACCAAACACATAAAACATACCCTACTTTCGATAAGAAGAGGGTTTAAAAGTTACAAAACTAAAAAGTTGAAAAAGTTAAAAGGAGTAGGAGCCCCCAACATACAATTGAGGAGAGCTCTAACAAGCGCATGTAATCTAGCGTACCATCTGGATCCAGTACTCCAAGGAGAATTAGTAGTAAATTCCCTTCCTTCTGTCTCTCGCGCTCTCTCCCCCTTGTTAGTTAATGACACTTTTGACCCTTGAAAACACACACATAAAAATGCTGAATTCCCCACTGCTCTAATTAAAACCTGAAGCTGGTATTCATGCACTAATTTGAATAGATTGATCACAGAGATTTATCTCTGAACTTCCTGGTAGCGGCAAACCTTTTAAACCTTAAAATTGTGGTGTGTTCCTATGCATGCCTCAGAAGTAACTCATCATAATCAAATATAAGGCAGGTTTTCCCAGTCAAGCCCAGATTGGTGTAATATGCTCAAATCATCTTGCCTCAGCGAGCATCCGGGTTGCTGAATTCTGCACCTGCCGAAGCTTCTGAACTGTTCTCAGAGGCAGCCCCACATATAATACATTGCAGTAATCCAACCTAGAGGTTATAGAAAATAGGAAGAGTATAAAGAAAGAGTACAGTTGTACCTTGGAAGACAAACGGAATCCGTTCCGCAAGTCTGTTCAACTTCCAAAATGTTCAGAAACCAAAGTGTGGCTTCTGATTGGCTGCAGGAAGCTCCTGCAGCCAATCGTAAGTCGTGGAAGCCCCGTCGGATGTTTGACTTCCAAAAATAGAGTTACAAACCAGAACATTCACTTCTGGGTTTGCAGCATTTGGGAGCCCAAACATTCAAGAACTAAGCTGTTCGAAAACCAAGGTACGACTGCATTAGATAAATTCACAGAACAGAAGGCTACCAATGGCTATTAGCCATGATGACTATGCTCTGCCTCCATGACCATAGGCAGTAATGGTTCCGGATTCCAATTTATGGGAATCACAGGTGGGGAGAGCACTGTTGTACTCAGGTTCTGTTTGTGGGCTTCCCATGGGCATCTTGGTGGCCACTGGGGAACAGGAGGCTGAACTACATAGGGCATGTGCCTGACCCAGCAGGTTCTTTTGATGTTCTTACATTTTTGGGGGGTTACAAAACTGTATCACAAAATTAGAAGTATTGAGTTCCAAAGGATAACTGTGTTGCATTTTGCTTATTAGTCCAGGATGTATAAACTAGGTTGGTTTGCAGAACCAAAGAAATCTGCCCTCCACCCCTAGTACCTATATTTTAGAGAGATTAGATAGACGATAGATAGATGATAGATAGATAGATAGATGGATAGATGGATAGATAGATAGATGATAGATAGATGGATAGATAGATGATAGATGATAGATAGATAGATAGATAGATAGATAGATAGATAGATAGATAGATATGCTGATCAGCATCCTTTTGCTTTCCCCAGTAGGGGAAGGGAGACTGAAAACTACTACTCAGCTCAAAGTCCCTGACTACAGTTCTTCCCACTTCCGTCATAATTCGCCAGTTCAAGCAGACCCTTCTCTGAAAGCAAGAAGTGGCTCTGCTGTGAAGGTGATTGATATAGTCTATACCAGGGGTCAGCAACCTAAGGCCCATGGGGGTTGTTTAACCGGCCCATGGACCCCTGCCGCCCACTCGGTTGGCTCCTGTGCACCGCACTAAATCAGCACAGAGCACAGCGGGGACTGCCTTCCACGACGCTGACCAGCTTCCCATTGGCTGCAGGAAGCTCCTGCTGCCAATGGAAACCTGCACATGCCTCCTCTGCGCCGGAAGGAGCGCTGGAAATAGCGTTTGCGCATGCGTGTGTGCACTCCAGCCCACCGTGGCGTCTGCAGGACTGTGAACCGGCCCAAGCCCCAAATACTTTGCCGACCCCGGTCTATACTTATCCTTCTATAGCTCAAGTTTTATTTTGCTTTTAATTGGGTCTTTATAGGCAATATTTATAGGCAGCAGTGACCATGCCATTGCTGGGTGTAGCAATAAAATTTTCATATCCTTGTTCTATTTTTAAAAAACAAGTCATTCCCGAAGAACATTCGAGAAACACAGTATTCCTACTTTACCTGCTACATTAAACTTGTCACGTTAAAAGGCTGGTCTTCACTCATTAAAAGGGCAGACAAACATTGTAAAATTAAAATAAATCATGCCTGAATTTTTTATCACTACAAGAAATCTATACCCACCCAAAGTACACAGTAAATTATTCTAACCTCAATGTTTTGGAGTGCAAATGTATTGTGGAAGGCACCTCTGAAAGCTGAGAAGTAGCAGTTGTTTTGGCAGCTAAGTCCAGTGTTCAGGTTCTACACTCTTATTGACTAAGAAATATTTAAGAGATATTAGGACACTCAGAAATACAGGACGGCAGCTATTCATGCTTCTGATGTGGGACACACAAAGAGATGTAGACAGACATCAACAATATGATGTGAAACTCACATCTGCTCCAGACTAATGACTTAACTGCACTATACATTTAAAGCACCATTGTACCGCTTTAAACAGTCATTCCTCCAAATAATTCTTAAGGGTACTGGGCAGGACTTTTTTCCCCAGCCAGAACTCACCGGAACTCAGTTCTGGCCCCTCTCAGGTGGGTGCCATTATAAGAGAACAAGGGAGGAGTTCATGGTGAGTTCCAGCACCTCTTTTTCTAGAAAAATAGCACTGGTACTGAGACTTGTTAGGGGACCCCCTCCCCCAACAGGGTTACAGATCCCACAGTTCCCTTGTAAGAGGGATTGATTGTTAAGGGATTGATTCTGTATTTTGTTGCATGCCATCCCAATCTCCAAGTGGTTCCAGACGTTTATCCAATCTAGGGGTTCACAGCATTAACATGAATTCCTAGTAAAGCCAGGCTAACTTCCTGGTCAGGTGATGGCCCTCTAAGTATAGGAATTCATAGGATCAAAGAACTGTAAAGTTGGAAGGGGCCACAAGGGTAATCTTGTCCAAGCCCCTGCAATGCAGGAATCTTTTTGCCCAGCGTGGGGCTCGAAATCATGACCCTGAAATTAAGAGTCTCATGCTCTACCAACTGAGCTAATGCCTGCTGGATCCAGGAATTAAAAGGAGGCTCAAGTGTACAGCCTATCCCTGCATCCCCTGCAACTCATAACAACATTATAGCTCTGTCACAGGGTGCCTTAAATAGCTTGACTGCAAAGCTCTGGCTCGATCTAGACACCTCAAAGAAGCGATTCAGATAAGCGCGTTGTAAACTCATACAGGGAAATCTGGTTGGTAAAGACAGGACTACACAGTACCATCTGGTGTCACAGTGTTATATCACACATACAACACATATACAGCGGTACCTCGGGTTACAGAGGCTTCAGGTTGCAGACTCCACTAACCCAGAAAAAGTACCTTGAGTAACTTTGCTTCAGGATGAGAACAGAAATCGCGTGGTGGCAGCGGGAGGCCTCATTAGCTAAAGTGGTACCTCACGTTAAGAACAGTTTCAGGTTAAGAACAGACCTCCCGAACGAATTAAGTTCTTAACCTGAGGCACCGCTGTAATACGCTTTTCTTTGCTTTGCTCTATCTGAGTTCTCTGTTTGAAATAACCTCCCCTAAAGGAGGATGCTTCAAAGGGCACTGTGTAAATCCCCAGAGAGGATACCAGATGTTGGGCAGCTGGGTACACACAACCATGTCAAATTTGGCCTGTGAAGTGGATCCTGATAATGATATGGTTTGTGGAACCAAACAGCTTCCCCACCCCTATGTTGCATTACAAACTGAATGATCCCTGCTGTTGCTATGCCAGCATCCTGCCCATGATAACAGAGGGTCATGATAACACAAGGTCCAGACTGACATTATTTTGTAGAAGGGACTCAAGGACATACTGGAACTTCAAGTTTGTGCATTTGATGTGGATTAAAGCGCTGCTGCTCTAACACAACAAATCCATTATGAACCACCTTCACCCCATAGTTTTTGCTATTAGAAAAATGATGAGCAAATGCATTAAAAGGTGTGGGAACAACAAACGATGAAAAGGAATATGTTTAAACACCCCACAACCAAGATGAGGATGAATGTTCATGGCCATAACCAAATCAGAATGAATGCTCAATAAAGGCTGCTGACTACCAAGCAAATCAGGATGAATGCGAATAAACAGTGTCACATCCACACCACACATTTAAAACACTCTTATGCCACTTTAAATGGAATTGTTAGAAGACCCATTAGCAAACTACAGTTCCCAGGATTATTTGGGAAAAACCATGACGGTTAAAGTGGCATGAGAGTACTTTAAATGTTGGCTGTGGATGTGATATCACAAGTCTGGAGGAGCCCTTTATTAGAAGGATTTATGTTTCTAAGTTGCTTTGAGAAGTTATTGCGGTTAGGCCTGAAAAGCTAGATGTGTGCCGCACCCCATAGTCACCTTTGACAGGACTTAACCATCTAGGGGGTCCTTTACATTTACCTTTGCTGTGGTTAGAAAGCACACTACAATGTTTACATGAAAGAAACACTTAGAAGTACTCAAATTATTTCATAGAAAGTGTTTATCTATAATGAATCTATAATCAACTCATCTTGATTATTCTGAGCAAGTACTTACCAGAACTGAAGTGGGTGAGAAATAATTTTTGTAGCTTTTGGAGTTAACACACACACACACACACACACACACACACACACACACACCACGCGCAACCATTTCCTTTTAAAAAGTTGAGCAGGGGAAAACCCAACAATGCTTATGGGCTTGGCTTAGGACATCACATCCCTGCCCAGTTCATAAAATCAATGAAGCAGGTGAAAAGAAGCAAACTTTCTATTTCCCAGAAGGAGACTCTACAGGCAGAAGGACTCCTGAGAACAGTTCCAAAAAAGGAAGCTCTCCTAGGGTCACAGGCGTGCCAGATAAGAGACATCGCAGACTCTCTGATGGGGCACTGGGCCGTCAACCATTGGTTTTCAGCTCTTGTGATTGTAAGTAACTCTTGTTAAGTTCTAATGGGATAGATTTGAGAAGCAAGGAAGATGCCACACTCTGGGAATTGTAACTCTGTGAGGGGAAGAGAGGTCTCCATATAATTCTTAGTACCTGTAACAAGGGACGCGGGTGGCACTGTGAGTTAAACCACAGAGCCTAGGGCTTGCCGATCAGAAGGTCGGCAGGTCAAATCCCCGTGACGGGGTGAGCTTCCGTTGCTCAGTCCCTGCTCCTGCCAACCTAGCAGTTCGAAAGCACATCAAAGTGCAAGTAGATAAATAGGTACCGCTCCGGCGGGAAGGTAAACGGCGTTTCCGTGCGCTGCTCTGGTTCGCCAGAAGCAGCTTAGTCATGCTGGCCACATGACCCGGAAGCTGTCTGCGGACAGATGCCGGCTCCTCGGCCTATAGAGCGAGATGAGCGTGCAACCCCAGAGTCGGTCACGACTGGACCTAATGGTCAGGGGTCCCTTTACCTTTACCTTACCCGTAACAAACTACAGTCCCCATGATGGTTTAAAGTGGTATGGTGCTGTTTTACATCTTATAGTGCAGATGGGTCCTAAGTTTTAGGTATGTGCTTGAATCGCTCCTACAAAATAAAAGTCTTGAGGTACCTTAATAGGACTTCTGTCTGATCTCACAGGGCTCTCCTTAGGTATTTTAAGGAAATTTTACAGTTGTGGTGCCACTACTGAGAAGGCACCTGCTCCCAGTTAAGCATGTAGGGTATCTTTTGACATTTACTAACATAATATGTATGCAGTGCTTTTTTTCTGGGGGGACTCAGGTGTATGCATACCCCTAAACATTTTGTAAATCTAAATTTGGCCTCATTGAGGGGCAGTATTTCAATATGAGTAGGAAAATGAGAGTACAGTACTCCTAAACTTTTTTTAAAAAGAAAAAAGCACTGTATGTATGTAGAAGGGATCTGTTTTTTGCTTCTGTACAATTAGGAGGATGCCCTAGAACAGTGATCTTCTATGTTCCGGGATGGATCATTTTTTCTGAAAGATAACTGGATTTATGTACTCCCTCTCCATGTATGCCTATAAATACATGCCCAAATGCAAGCTGAAGCTAACACTTCATGCCTCTGATGAAGTGGAATCTAGATTGGGGATGGAAGGATCTGTCAATTTCATTTCTCACAAATTCTATTTTTTTTTTCAATCTTATATTCAGTTTTCCATATTTCTGCAGCAATTTGTGACTTTCTTTTTTTAAAAAATCTTTATCATTTTTGAGTGAATTACTCCCAATAAATGCATTTTTAACATAGTCTTAACTGAAGTACACATTTATGCAAGTAATTTCTTCGAATATAATGCAATTTTGAATGTTATTTTCACTTACATTTTTATTTTAATCCATGTTTTCCCCTCATACCTGCATTTTCTGTAAACATTGTTAGTTGGAAAACCGTATTGCAAATTTGGATATGTGCAAATTTTGAAGATGGCTGTGTTTCAGTTCTTACAACTGTTTAATCTAATTTTTTTTGTTTATTATTCATTAATTCGTTAATTTTAATTATTACATTTGTATCTTGTCCTTCTTTCGGAAGGAGTCCAGGGGGGCAAGCATTTCTGCAACAACAAGAAAAACAAATAAAGTTAATAAAAACAAATTTAGAACATCTTAAAAACCTGTCAAAAACATTCAAAAAAATCTAAAGCAAATTGAAGGGCAGATGCAACTAAATCATGTGTCAGCAGGGGTGAGTGATGGAAGGCAGTGATGGTGCCTGCCCAGTGTCAACATTATTTATTTTATTTCATAGAACCATAGAATTGTAGAGTTGGGAGGGACCTCGAGGCTCATCTAATTCAATCCCCAGCAATGCAGGAATCTGAACTAGTTCATACATGACAGATGGCCCAGTCAACCTCTGCTTAAAAACCTCCAAGGAAGGAGAGTCCACAACCTCTCTTCGGATTCTGTTCCATTGTTAAACAACTCTTACTGTCAGAAAGTTCTTCTTGATGTTCTTGCAACCTGAAGCCATTGGTTTGGATCAGGCATCAGCAGCCTTTTTCAGCCATGGGCCGGTCCACCATCCCTCAGAGCATGTGGTGGGCTGGACTATGTTTTGAAGAAAAAAAATGAACAAATTCCTATGCCCCACAAATAACCCAGAGATGCATTTTAAACAAAAGCACACATTCTACTCATGTAAAAACATGATGATTCCCAAACCATCCGCGGGCCGGTAGTGGTGTAGCGTGGGGGGTACAGGGGGGGCCGGCCGCACCGGGCGCAACATCTGGGGGGGCACGCTCGCACTCGCAGCGCTAAAACCCACGGGTTAGGGGGCGCAAATTACTTGCCTTGCCCCGGGTGCTGACAACCCACGCTACGCCACTGCGGGCCGGATTGAGAAGGCAATTGGGCCGCATCCGGCCTACAGGCCTTAGGTTGCCTACCCCTGGTTTGGATCCTACCCTCCAGAGCAGGAGAAAAAAAGCTTGTTCCCTCTTCCATGGGACAGCCTGTTTGATACTTGAAGATGGCTGTCATATCTCCTCTCAGTCTCCTGTTTTCCAGGTTAACCCTACCCAGCTCCTTCAACCGCTCCTCATAAGACTTGGTTTCCAGATCCTTGATCATCTTGGTCACCCTCCTCTGCACACATTCCAGCTTGTCAATATCCTTCTTAAATCTTGTCTTTCCCCCAGAACCCGGAACTTGAGGCAGTTCACATAAATCAACACAAATACAGATAAAGCACATGTTGCTTAAAGCGCAAACAGTACAATGTTACTGTTGAAAATGGAATGCAACAGTGTAAATTACAGGCCTGTTAAAATGCAGATAGTTATGGCAAACAAACACAAACAGTGCAACAGTCTGCTGGAATAAAGGAGTCTACACTTGCCAGCGGAAGGACAACAAGGAAGGAGCCAGTCCATCCTCTTTGGGAAGGGAGTTCCAAAACCTGGGAGCAGCCACCGAGAAGGCCATCTCCCACATCGATTGGCATGGAGTTCCAAAATACAAGTGTTGTCACAAGCAATGAGTCCTTTACCTACAGTGATAAAATAAAATCAATATTTACCAAAACAAAGAGAGAAAGTATAAAACCTGTTCAAAACCTCCATAACATCCTAACTTCCTCATACTTTATGGTGCAGGAATGTTCAGGAGCCAGTTGCAAAGTTGACTCAGAAGAACAAATTTGCTCTTCCTCCCTGCCAAGGCTGCTGCTTCTGTGCACACTGAGTGACATTTGCTGGCTGTGGGAACGCAGCTAATGGCCTGAGCAGTAGCTCCAGAGCTTGCTGGTGCCTGCGGCTGTTTCCAGCCTTTGCTCTTAATGGAATTTGGATCAGTTCCTAAGTAGTTTGAACCGGAAAGGCAGTTCAAATATGTGATATGGTCAAACAAGCAGCTGCTAGTAGAGAAGTTGTAGGTAGTTTACATATTAAATCTGTATTTGACTGATCAGAAATTGATAAGAGACACATAGCATCATGAGCACAAACAATGACGGATGAGCAATAAAAAGGAGATCAGTCTCAGTGGTGGGGCAGTTAGCTAATTTTAGACTCTGAACATAAATGGTTTTTATGGGACTCTCTCTTTTTAGATGGCAATTGCTTCATTTGCTTTATAGCTGACCCTGCTATATTTGAGCTCCCTCCTGAGCATTCTGCTGGATGGGCTCTGCCCCAGAGTTGTGAACTGTTCCTAGATATTTCAGGAACTGAACCCAGAACCTTCTGTATGCAAGGCACATAGGAGCCAACTCCTAGGGGCTGTGGGGGATTTGCCCCCCTAAAATATTTGAGGGGGCTAAGCCCCCACAAAATTGATGGGCATTCCCATTCAAATAGTGTGTATTCATTGTGCCATGTGATTTATGTATTTATAAGAAATTATCTTAACTGATATCCTAACAAGCATGACATTGATTTGATTATTTTCTGCTTGCAATTCTGCTGTAGGCTCACTTGTGGAGATGAAGCCAATCGCTTCTTTTTCTTAGACATTTTCACAGAAATGCAGCTGCTACTATTTTCAGCTGTAAATCAGGAAACTCAGCATCCTTCCAAGATTAGGGCGTTTGAACTCCTCTCCTGCTGATAAGTAGTTGGTACATTGAGTCGAGCTGGAGCTAATTAAGGCTTTCTCCGGGACTTTCCAGGACTTTCTCTAAAACTTTTAGTTTTAGTTTATTGCTCGGTATCTTAATTATATTAAACTACCAAGCAATAAACTGAAACTAGTAAAAATTAATAAAAAGCTGATAAAACTAGTAAAAACTAGTAAAAACCTCACAACTAACGCAGAGCTCAAATCAGTCCTTCCTCTAACGATGGCATCTTGGCTCCTCCTCCTGATAGTCAGGATCATGCCACTTTTACTCTCGCGGATGAGTGGCCTCCTGTCTCCATTACCAAAGTTATAAGTTTAATCGACCAGATGAAACTAGGAAAGGCTGCTGGCCCTGATGCCATTCCATCTGAATTGATCAAAGCCAAGTCAGAGTGGTGGGCTCTGATACTAGCGGAACTTTTCACTATGATAGATAGATATTGTATTATGCCTAACTCATGGCAGCAATCTATAATTATTCCAATCTTTAAAAAGGGTGATAAAAAGCAGCCGTCCAACTATCGGCCAATAAGCCGCTAAGTACATGTGGCTCCACAAAGAACATCTCTATGTGGCCTTCCTAGATATTAAGGCTGCTTTTGACACTGTTGACAGGGGGCTATTATGGACCAAATTGGAGACAATGGGCCTAGAACCCAGATTACTCTACTTGATCAAAAAACTTTATACAAAGAACACCTGCCATATAAGAACAACACAAGGGAATGAAATGACAGATCCTGCCATCATAAACCGAGGAGTTAAGCAGGGCTGTGTACTCGCTCCCTCCCTTTTTAACCTTTTTCTTAACGACTTCGCTTCTTCACTAAAACATGTAGATGCCCACAGCCCAAAACTCAATGCATTAAGCATTCCCATCCTCCTACATGCAGATGATATGATTTTGCTTTCACGGATAAGAATTGGCTTAAAGTCACCGTTAAATTCCTGTATTGACTATCTGTCCAGACTGAAATTGTGCATGAGCTTTGACAAAAGCAAAATAATGGTCTCTGGGAATTCACGCAAGAGCTATAGCTGGGTATTTGGTGGTAAACCCATCCAGCAGGTATTCGAATTCAACTGTCTGGGAATTACATTCCATCATAGGCCTCTCTGGTCCATGCACCGTGCAATGGCAGTGAATGCCAGTAAGTTGTCTATGCAGGCCATAATGCGTTTCTTCATAACAAGAGGTAATTCGCATATCCCTCCTGCCCTTAAGGTCTTCAACGCCAAAATTATAGCTGAATTGCTCTATGGTATTCCAGCCTGGCTGCCAGGGTTTACCCAGTTGGTTGAACGAGTACAGGCAGCTTTCCTTTTCAAGATTTTCGCAGTCCCACCCTGTGTACCCTATGCAGCCTTGTGTCTAGAGGGAGGTCAACACAAGGTAGAGACTGTTGCCTGGGCAAGATTTCGTCTATGCTGGTTAAACATCTGCCTTACATTAGATAAAGATCCTCTCCTCAGCGAAGTTTTGTTAGACCCCTTTCTTTCCCCAGGCCTACAACCGTTTAACAAGAAGGTACAGCAACTCAGGCTGTCAGTGGAACTTTCGCAATCGATGTCCCTACCATCTGCCAAGGCTATAATAAAAACTAGGTTGTGGGATATTGAACGCCAAGAGCTAACAGCAGCAGCAGAGAAAACATGTTCCCCTCTTTATTTTCAACTTTCTTGGGCACATGAAATTAGCCATGATTACCTTAAATTTCTGCTTAACCCTCAAGAAAGAAGGGCATTTTCACTGACCAGGTTTAATTCAAAACCATCAAACCTCCTTTGGGGAAGGTTCTCAGGCAGGGTGGAAGGAGAAAGAACTTGCCCAGGTGAAGACCACCTGGTGGAAACCCTTACACATATGGTTCTCAGTTGTAAACTAAATGCTGATCTCCGCCAGCAATTTCAAGATCAACTCTGTATCCCGAAATGGAAACCAGAGTCAGAGGTCATACATTTTCTATTACTGGGGAATGATCAGGAACTCACCAAGTTAGTGGCTAAATATCTCTATTTGGTTTTTTTAGTCGAAATATACTGCAGATGTCTGATCTCCCTGGAGACCAAGAGATGTGACGATAGACTGCTCTGCCTCCTTTCTTTTAGCAAATGTTTGTGCCACTGGGGAAGTGGTAATTCTGTAGTGATTTGTTTTGGATGTTGTATGTGATGCCAATAAAAGGTTTTACGATACGATTATTTTCTAAACACACTTGCATCTTTGCTACTGTTTAAGAAGTTGCCCCTTGCTATAATAATCTTTCAAATAATATAACTGTTATTCTTGCCATACATTCACATGATATGATCTATTTTTATTTTGAAATAAAGGATGAAGTTGTACTGGAATTATTGGTGACAGTCATGGAGCTAAAACCTTTGCCTATTCCCCCAACCCCCCAATATTCTAAAGTGTATCGGGTTTAGTAAGCCAACTCAACTATGTTTTCTCCTCCTGTGTTCTAGGCTGCTTGGCTGGGAGTAAACATTTCCCTCTTTGTGGTTTATTTCTTGGCATTTGACAGAGGTGAAAAGTACTTCTACACCCGCCAGATCCTTGGGGTGAGCACCATCTCCTCAACTTCTGATTGCCTCTGCTTTTAGGAGATGAAAAATCTTGGCAAAGGATAGCAAGATACGCTTGTTTGAAAATCCTAATTCATTGACAGGATTAATACCCTGCATATTGTTAATTAATATAGCATATGAGTCATTGGGCTGTTGGGGCAGAAGGTAAGGAGCCTAAAAAGTAGGTGGAACCTGAGCCAATGGGAGTCAGAGTCAACTAATCCTAGTTTTGACCCCCCCTCCTTCCAGCTGAGGAGCAACACCTGAGACTGAGGGTCAGGAAGAGGGAGTTCTTGGTAGTACAACGCCTTGGAAGTTGGAAGTCAGGCATGTGGGGGCTGGTTGGGGGTTGGATAGCACTGCATTTGCCCTAATTGGACCAGCTTCTACCAATGCAAAATAAGCCTTGCAATTGGGTGTTGGGGATAATAAACTACCTAAATTACAAATGATGGCAAGCATTACCAACTACAATGGTACCTGGGGTTACAGACGCTTCAGGTTACAGACTCCGCTAACCCAGAAATAGTACCTTGGGTTAAGAACTTTGCTTCAGGATGAGAACAGAAATTGGGGGGCGGCGGCGTGGCGGCAGTGGGAGGCCTCATTAGCTAAAGTGGTACCTCAGGTTAAGAACAGTTTCAGGTTAAGAACGGACCTCCAGAACGAATTAAGTTCTTAACCAGAGCTACCACTGTAGTTAGCTCTTGTGCACAGGCTGAGAGCATGGTGTGAGGAGTAGGCAGGCAGAGGAGGAAAAGTAGCAAACGCAGATGGGAGGAAAAGACAAATGAAGGCATGCAGTGTGCTTTGCATAGAGCAGGTCATATGTTATATGCCCTTGAACAATTTTCTACTTTCCCCCATGCCCCACCCAGCATATTCCACCTATCAATTTCAGTTTCTCATTTTCCAAATCTTAAGCTCAGCTCTTCTAGGATTGCCATATTGTTGAGCTTTTTAAAAAACAACAACAACAACAACCAGGAACGCAAAATTTTGATTGACGTATGGCAGACCTCAGCTCTTCACAATTTTGCATTAGTTTGTAAATTTCAATTATTTTTAAAAAGTTCTCTTTAATTAGCATCTTCGTGCAAATTTCTCTGGATATAAACCTTTTTTCGTAAACAAATTTCCCAAATGTGATGCATTTTTCTATGTATATTTTCACTAACATGCAGTTTAAGGCACACTTTCCCCTAATAGGCACACATTTTTATTACCGGTTATTTTATTGGAGAACTGTAGTGCAAAATTCGGAAAAGTGAGAGAGTTGAAAGATGCCTGTGTTAAGGTTTGCATATTGTTTCAGGAAGTAGAAACTGGGGAGTTTCATATTAAAATGCAAACTGAACCAAATTTCCGGGGGGGCCCTCCATCCCTACACTAGAGGCTGCTGCCTCTCGTTACCTGGAGTATAAAACAGTTACAAGTTTGTAGTAAAAAAACCCAACACCCTTCTGCAGCTTCTCCTCTTTTTATTTGTAGTCTTCCCTGCCTTGGGCACGTGCTTCGGCCAAATGCCTCAACTTCAACAGCATGCTGATCCTGCTGCCTGTTTGCCGGAACCTTCTCTCCTTTCTGAGGGGCAGCTGTTGGGTGAGCAAGAAATTGATCTCAACTGCACCTCCAATTTGTTGCTTATAATTTATTTATTCAATTTCTATACTGCCTTTCATCTGAGAATCACAGGGGGGTTTACAATATAAAAATATAGAGGCCACATTCACACCTTATATTTACAACCAACAGCTCCCAGGATTATTTTTTTTGGGGGGGGGAGGTCATAACTGTTTAAAGAGGCATCACAGTGGTGTTAATGTATGGTGTGAATGTGGTCAAGGAGGTTGTCTTTCCAGCTAGGTTTCCCTCGTCCAGTTTTCATCATCCGAGGAAATCGTGGTGTTTGGGACCTCTGGGCTGTTTATATCTCTGGTCTCAATATCTGTTGTGTTAATGGACAGGTGAGTTTTAAGGCTGTGCAAAAAGAGGAACCCAACACAATAGTTGTGGCTTGCAGAAAACCATTGTGCAACAGATAGCTCAGCCCTACAACCTACTTATGGATTCTCTTGGGGGGAAACGTTCTGCTGGTGCAAAACATTTCACTGTCGAAACAAGTGCACAGCTAAGTGACGCTAACACAGCGGTACATTGGATACAAAACTCTGTGTATTTCTCATACTGTGTCATTAGAATGGAAGAAGCCCTTTAAATCTTGGGAGAGAGGCAGAATATAAATGCATGAAACAATAACTACTACTACAACAACAACAACAATCCAAACCATTTCCTCCAGCCCCCTTTGCTGATCAGCCCCATGTCGTCGTCATCATCGTCATCATCATGTTACAATAGTAACAATAATCCGAATAATTTCTTCCATTCCCTTCTGCTGATCAGCTGCATATCACAGGGAGTCCTGTTTGCAAAGGAGCAATCTCCTGTTAAGCTCCTGATTCCTGCTTTGAAATTTCTTTGTAGTCACATATCATGTCAGGTGTGGGGCAGATGAGCGTTGCTTGGGTGATCCTTTGGGTGAAGTTGGGGCCATTGCTGGGGTGCCCACCCTGTGTTATACCCACATTGAATTTTACACCCCAGTCTGCTAGCTGGCCTGTTTTTTTGTTTCCATTCAGTGTTGCAGACGCACCATGAGGAAACAACTAGATCACAACTTGACCTTCCACAAGCTGGTGGCCTACATGATTGCCCTCCTCACAGGTAAAATGACGTCTGTTCTAGAGAAATTGAAAGGGCCCAACATTCGTTTTCATGAGTACAATAAGAACTGTAAGGCACCCCACAAATGTGCAGTGATAAACAATGATGTCACCAGTAGAACTTAAATGAATTGGGGGTGGGAAGGAAATATGTTGCCAAACTAGAGCATTTCTATTGTGCTTCAAATTGATTCCCAACTAAGGGTTCTGTTGAGCTCACAGTTTATGTTTGTAATGGATTGGGTAGGTTAATACTCATAACATTTTGCTAAGAAGCCTTGACATCTTTTTATACCAAAAAAAAAAAAAAAGGTATTCAAAATAACAATTTCAAATGCATTTAACTATTGTTTTTATATTTAAAAAATGGGTGCAGAATGGTGGGGGCAGAAGTCAGGGTGGTCAACAGTAGGCGGAGCCAAGGGCAATGACTGATTCTAAGTTTGGCCAAATCCTCCTTCCTGTTGAGTTCTGCAGGGACAAGACTGAGGGTGGATCTAGACACGGGGTGGGGTGGGGTTTGGGAAACTATAAATAAGTCAGGAATTAGATCATTATAACAAAAGAAAGAAATCTTTATGGAAAACCGTGTTTTAAAATTTCCTGCTCTATGGCGCAATCTGGTGATGCATGTTTATAGCACATTCATATCACCATCTTTACTAACATAGCTGAGTCCTGAGACTGGAAAGGAGGAAGTGGAAAACCAGTGCCTAATATTGACATTTCTGCAAGGAATTTTCATTAGCATGACATAACTTTAGTACATTGTTCTCGCCAATACGTGTATTGTTATGTACACGTTTCGGTTGGAGAACTGCATCACACAATGCAGAGAAGTGCACATTTCAAAGTATAGTTGCATTCTTCTTCTTCTTCTTCAAATTAGATACCGTAGATTCTGGCATATAAGACGACTTTTTAACCCAGGAAAATCCGCTAAAAAGTCAGGGGTTGTCTTATACACCAGGTATGGGTTTGCTGGGCAGCGGCAGTGGGCGGTGGGCTCCGCGCCGGGAGGAAGCTGCCCAGCGATGCTAAGCCGGCTTCGCTGGGCGGCTTCCTCCCGGTGTGGAGCAGAGCCCGCAGCCTACTTCTTCAGCTGCCAATTTGGGGAGTCATCTTATACGCCCAGTCGCCTAATACACCGGAATCTACGGTACTGTCCTTCATCAAAAGATTCTCAGGGTGGTTCACAGAATAAAATGCAAGATAAAACACAAGTTATAAATTAAACCAAAGGAGCAAAATAATAACTCCCCCTCCCTACAGATACATTTAAAGGGCTGTAGGATATTAATCAGCCAAAGGCCTGGCTGAAGAGGAATGTTTTCACCTTGCATCTGAAGATGTATAAAGGTGCCAGGAAAGCCTTCCTGGGAGAGCATTCCATGGATGGGGAGCCACTGCAGAGAAGGCCCTGTTCTCATGTTGCCACCCTTCTGACCTCTTGTGGAGGAGGCACATAAAGAAGGGCCTCAGAGGATGAATCTCACAGAGTGCGGGACGGTTTATATGTGGAGAGGCAGTCCTTGAGGTCCATAATTTCAGTTTGCTCACTGGTTCAGGAAGTGCATATTAGGTAGATTCGTATAAAAATATGAACTGAATCACTTTCTCCCCCATACCTAAATGGGAATGCGCACACATGGACACGTACACACTGAGCCAGCAAGGACAGACAGCTACGTGCATTTAGCCCCAATTAGTATAGAAAGAGAACATCAGTATAGAAATAGCCCCTTTGCTGGTGTCAGCATATTGTATAATTTGGCTGTCTGCAAGGATGTGGTTCAGGTTTTTCTTGCCCTCTCTTCCAGCGGTTCACATCATTGCTCACCTGCTCAACTTTGAGTGGTACAACAGTGCCAGGCAAGCAACAGACGGAGACCTGGCTTCCACCCTCTCTCACTTACATGAGGACGATGGGTTGTGGCTAAACCCCATCCATTCAAACACTACGGTTGGTGCCTCACAAGCTTTGCTCAATAAGCATTGTTGAAGTTCTGAAAGGGAAAGTTGCTGGTGCTTCAGCCTTGCTGAAAGCTTCCTTTCCTTTTGACTGTAAGCAATAACTTGTCAGTGTTATGCATTTTGTTCTAATTAGAGCCTACTGGTGATTAGTTTTCATCTGGGTGTTATTAGTTCATTGTTGTTATTTTTAAGGAGAATTTCAGTGGTGCGCTTGTATGTTCTGGGTTACTAGGATGTGTGAACGCAACCTAAGAGTCTATAGCCCTTATGAAGAAGACACCCCACTCAGCCATGCTTGGACCAATCACCATCTCTCAACCTAACCTAACTCTTATTATTATTATTATTATTATTATTAAGCGGCTTCCAAAAGAGTATTAAAAAAAGATACATTAAAATGTCTTCTAAAAGTCAAATATTTGTATGTCTGCTTGACATCTGATGGGAGAGTATTCCACAGAGTAGGCACCACTACTGAGAAGGGCCTCTGCCTGGTTCCCTGTAACTTCACTTCTTGCAATGAGGGAACCCACCAGAAGGCCTCAGAGCTGGACCTCAGTCTCCATGCTGAACGATGGGGATGGAGACGCTCCTTCATGTATACAGCTATCTTTCAGTGTCAAGGACCATGTACACCACCTTGAGCTCCTGGGAGAAAAGGTGGTATATAAATGTCATAATTAAACCTTGTCTGTAAGCCAGAGCTTTTATCAAGCACAACTTTACATGTCATAATCTGGCTTTCATCTGCAGACACCCTTGTATGTGGCATTCACCACCATTCCTGGTCTAACAGGTGTGATCATCACCTTGTCCTTCATCCTTATGGTCACTTCTTCTATGGAGTTCATCCGCAGAAACTACTTCGAGGTCTTCTGGTACACCCATCATCTCTTTGTTATCTACTTTCTGGGCCTCGTCATCCATGGCATTGCGTAAGGCACTTCTGCACTTGTGGGATAGGCTAGCTAAGATAGCTAGGAGTGGGCGAATCTAACCATTTCATGTTCCTCTTTTCCCTAAGAGGAATATTAAGCTCTCCACAAATCAAAAGCAGTATTTGTGTGTGTCTCTCTGTGTGTTTTAAGTAGTCTTCCTGAAAATTCATTAGTTTTTTTAGTGCAAATTTCTCCTAACATGCACATCTTCTTGTGTTGTTTTGCCTAATATACACTTTTTTTGCGAAACAATTTATCCACATACGATGCATTTTAATGTTTTTTCCACTAATATGTGTTTCTATGTGCACACTTCCCCACTGCTGATTTAAAGCAAAGAGCAACCTTTTTGCAACCCACCTCTTACAACTGAAAACCAAACACAATATGAGCTGAAAGAGTCTATTGGAAAGGTTTGCTTAGCTCACATGGCCTGTATGAGCAAACCTCCTTTTCCACTACTGGGCTTTTGTTCCTTTCTTTCAGATTTGCAGTTTTGATGGTTCTGCTCTTTTTTCCAGAGGTCTTGTTCGTGGGCAGACAGACAAAAGCTTGGAGGAGAGCAATCCTAAGCTCTGCGCTGGGCAGTATACAGAGTGGGCTCAAGGCAACAGCACTCATTGCAAAGTGCCTGAGTTTCAGGGTCTTCCTGCTGAGGTAAGAATGACATACAACATGAGGAAAGCACTGAAGTGATGAAGGTGTAAGGTTTCACAAGTGGGAAAATGCTGGCCCCGCAATGAAAGTGTCCATTCTAACGTGGATGTTGTTTCTTTAAAGTCCTGGAAGTGGGTGTTGGCCCCGATAATTCTCTATGCCTTTGAGAGAGCCTTGAGGATTTGGCGTTCCTGCCAGAAAGTGGTTGTTGTAAAGGTAAGCATCTCTGCTTTCTTCTTCTTCTCCTTCTTCTCCTTCTTCTTCTTCTTGGATTTGAGTTGGATACATAGGACACATTTAGTGTGCCTCAAGATGGAAGCACCCCATACAACTGAAAGCACCTTGAAGGCAGACAGCTTCCCCCAAAGAATCATGGGAACTGTTGTTTGTTAAGGTTGTCGGGAATTGTAGCTCTGTGAGAGGTAAACAACAGTTCCCAGGATTCTCTGGGGGAAGTCACCTGTTTTAAACGTTCATCAAATGTGTTTTAAATATGTGGTGTAGATCTGCCCTCAGCTAGAGCTCAAGGAAATCAAGACTAGTTCTTCGTGTCAGTGGTAGATTGAGGGCACTTTCAGACTGCTGGTGTTTTCAGGTGGGATTCAATCGTATACCGGTTCAGCTTGTGAGTCAAGGCCACGCTACCCACTTGGTGATGAAATAAGATACATGGACACAAGAATTTGGGTTAATGGGCTAAAAAAGGCCACAACTTTATTGGTTACAGAATGTGAGTAGTATTGGCTTAGGCAATGGATCCGAACAGACTATACTTGACTCCTGCCCGCTCTGCAGGGATCCACGCAAGGGTTAACAACCTGTAGGGGGAGCTTGTTGATGCGAATCAACTGGAAGCTTTCCCCTAGAGTAGCCTGTGGGTCCCCAGATGTTGTTGAACTACAACTCTCATCACCCCCAGCTAGCAAGGCCAGAGCTCAGGGATGATGGGAGTTGTAGTCCAACAACATCTGGGGACCCACAGGTTGAGAACCGCTGCCCTAGAGTCACCGGAGGGTTATGCCATAGCCCTAGCCACCACCTGGGCATCGGACAGGAACCACGACTGCCAGATTCCTTTAATGGAATACCCTTCTAGGGGAGGGGTAGGTGATGGTCACAACCTCCCCTCCAACACACAACGCATTTTCCAATGCCTAACCACCAAGTTGTGACGATTTGCTATGAGGTAGGCGATAAACCAAGTGGCTAGTTCCAATCTGCCAAGTGGAAAAAATTCCTACCAGGCCCCTTGGACAACCAAGGCGACCAACCAAAGTCCATAGCAAGGCAAGGAGCTGAAGCAAAACCTAAAGGGTGGTAATCCGTGGAAGCCGGAAAAGCAAGGGAGAGCTCATGGGCCTGCGGCCGTTTAAATCCGGCTAAACCACGGCCCCCAGTGAGCCGGATTGGCTGGCTGAGGGGCATGACGCGGGCCCAGGGCTCCAGTGACGCGGGGGCCTAGCCACGCCCCCCCTGTGACTGCAGGAAGCGATTCCCGCTCACAACCCCTCCCCTCTGGGAAGAGCAGAGGCTTTCTGCAACTAAAGCTGATTTGGAACTGTTGTACAGCAAATCTGCTCCCCCCACCCCCCCAATCAGACTCTTCATGATAGATCGTGGGGAAATGCACTGGTAAGTATGGGGAAATCTTTGCTTGACACAATGCCATCCTACCACTCTGCAACCTGTTTACTGTTTACATCCTGATTTATTCGTTGGGGTACCAGACAACGTTATCTATTTAACAAGCACACATTCTGATTTGTTTGCGGGGAAATTCTATGACGTTGTGCCATAGCAAGTCTTATCCCCAAGTTTCCAGTGCATTTTCCCTATCCCTTTCCTTATCATGGAATGTCTGGTCTTTGGGGAAGTGGGCTTGTTGCGCAAGACACCTCACCACCACCGACTATTATGATGCAATATGAGTTTGCTAGAGTGTGATTGGAACTCCATCTGGAAACAGCGAGAGTCTGGAAGTGCTCCTGGCCTAATCAGATTGGGGTGAAAGTTGACTAAAGCACGGCATCAAGAAGACACTGGACTTAAGTGGTCTTATGAGGGGCTCCTTCCGCCTCTACAGTGGACACTCGGGTTGCGAACGTGATCCGTGCAGGATGCACGTTCACAACCCACAGTGTTCGCAACCCGCAGCAGCGTGTTTGTGCACGCACGGGTTGTGATTCGGCGCTTCTGTGCATGCGCATAGCGCGATGTAGCGCTTCTGCGCCTGCATGAACCCGAAACCCAGAAGTAGCCCGTTCTGGTACTTCCGGGTTTCGGCTGGTCCGTAACCCGAAAAAACGCAACCTGAAGTGTCTGTAACCCGAGGTATGACTGTACTGCCCCACGCTGTTTGGGTGGGGGAATGGGGGGGGCTTCCTGCTCATTCTGCTGGGTGGGGTCCTTGGCCTTTGTTCCGAAGTCCTGCAAGGATGGGCCACTTCTTTCTGCCCTCTGAGGAGAAAGAACAAAATTTTGAAGAGATCAAGAATGAGAAATGTAATTCTAAGTGTGTGCACATGTGCGTAGCCAACCCTCCCATGAAGCAGCTGCCTTGGGTGGTGGTAGTGGAAGAAGTGTACTCACCCACCCCACTAGCAGCCAAGGTAAGCGAGGCTTTAGTGGTGGCAGGGTGGTACAGTGTCTTGCTGCACAGTGTTGCTGCTGGTCTCCCTCGTCCCCAGGAAAACCTCCCTTTTGCTGAGTCTTGGTAAGAGATTAGTGTTCTAGGAAGCCCTTGAAGAGTTCCCTTGCAGCAGTGGTGGAGTATTTTGCATCAGGCGACAAAACATTCCTGGCTTCCTCTATAGCCAGTTTGTGAATAGATAACAGGAATCCTTGACAAAGAATACTGTAGGCTTTAGCTGTTATCTCCAGGACTTTTTATTTACTAAGAAAATCTGGTGAGGAATAAATGAATAGGGGAGAGGGCAGAAACCTTATGATCCTGTTCTGCAACCCTGGTGTCATATGACATCTGCTTAGTAGGAATAGAGGTGAATTTTTTGTTTTTTTCGGGGTGCCCCGCCTGCTTGGTGAGAGCTGGTTGGAATGCACTGCAATGCTTTTTCAATAAAGATGGCCTGTTTTGCTGACAATTTGTGTCCAGATTCAGTTGGCTGGTCCAGGCAGCCCTGTGTATCAGGCTTGAACCCTGAAATTTCCCTAACACATCAATAATAATAATAATAATAATAATAATAATAATAATAATTTATTTATACCCTGCCCATCTGGTTGGGTTTCCCCAGCCACTCTGGGCAGCTCCCAACCAAATATTCCCCATTTGTTGAATGTTCTCCGCAGGGAGGCTTGCCGGGCTCCTTCATTACACCTCTTTTGGCACCAGACAAAAACATTCCTCTTCCCCTAGGCCTTTGGCTAATTAAAGAAACTATGGCCTTTTAAACTGTGTGTGTGGTGGTTGGGTTATTGTTTTATTTGTTACAGTAGAACCTCAGTTGTTTAATGTCTCCATTGACAAATGTTTCAGCTTTCGAACGCCAAAAACCCGAAAGTAACTGCTTCGGTTTTCGAACGATTTTCAGAAGCCGAACATGCCATGCAGCTTCCGTTTTGAGCTTCCCTATTGTATTGAGGCTTCTGCTTTTTTCAGTTTTCAGTCAGTTTTCAGACATTTTGGAAGTCGAGTGGTCTTCCGGAATGGATCACGTTCGAAAACTGAGGTTCCAGTGTATTATGTTATGTGTTTTTATACTGTAAACTGCCCCGTGATCTTCGAATGATGGTTGGTATGCAAATTTAATACATTAAATAATAAATAAATGAGTTTTGTTGCTTCTCCACTCTGGGCATAATGTGGGAATGTGGAAGCCTGTGGCTGTTGCTTGCTGCGAGATCCTTGAGCCGCAGGCTATTTATTTATGACGTCCCAATACAGTTTACAGTACAACAACAAAAGACAAATGGCAGCGGCATGTTTTAAAAGCAGCTAAAATTTTTGCATATATAAAAACCAATTTTAAACAAGTCATATGAATATTTAAAAAAATGTAAAAAGAGCAACCAACAACAACAAACCGTATGTCAAACCAATTAAAATCCAATAGAGATGCAAGACAGGGTAAAAGTTTTGTTGACAATGTTCAGCAGGTGCCAAAATGACAGTTACCGCTCACATCCTCCAAGAGGTGGGCGGGGTTTGCGACACTGCGCAGGGTTTCCCGCGACCAGGGTGCCACCCACCTTGGCTACAGGGAGGACATCACTCTGCCCCCATCTCAGCGTCTTGGGGGGGGGGGGGAAGGCTCCAAGGACAGGGTTTAGCGTGTGGGCTCACAATAGCGAACTTCTGTACAGTGGTACCTCGGGTTACAGACGCTTCAGGTTACAGACTCTGCTAACCCAGAAATAGTACCTCGGGTTAAGAACTTTGCTTCAGGATGAGAACAGAAATTGCGCGGCAGCGGTGCAGTGGCAGCGGAAGGCCCCATTAGCTAAAGTGGTACCTCAGGTTAAGACATAGCTGTCAACTTTTCCCTTTTCTTGCAAGGAATCCTATTTGGAATAAGGGAATTTCCCTTTAAAAAAGGGAAACGTTGACAGCTATGGGTTCAGAACAGTTTCAGGTTAAGAACGGACCTCCAGAATGAATTAAGTTCTTAACCCGAGGTATTTCTGTAGTTGGGTGGCTTGTCTGTTATCTTTTATGTGCTTTTAGGTGCCTGGAAAAGACGATGGGCATAGAGATTTCTGGCCCCAGAAGGAGGCCAGCTGCTTTGAAGTCAAGTCCAATTAATATTTCCTTTCGGATGGTAGAGGGAGTTTTCCTCACCCTTTCGATGTCAGCATGACTTTTGTTTGCAGGCCATTATGCACCCTTCAAATGTCCTTGAGCTGCAGTTGTACAAGAAAGGATTCAGCATGGAAGTAGGGCAGTATGTTTTCCTCAACTGCCCATCTATCTACTATTTGGAGTGGCATCCATTCACCCTCACATCTGCTCCAGAGGAAAAGTTATTCTCTGTCCACATCAGGGCAGCAGGCGATTGGACAGAGGCTCTGATTGACAACTTTAAGCAGCCAAACCCAGTGATGCCCAGGTGAGTAGCTGCGTAAACCAGCAACCATTTGCCTTCGATGAGGCCATTGGGGGGGGTGTGAAGTAGCAGCAACTCCCTCTTCTGCTCAGGCTCAGGTACATGAGCTGCTCAGTTACTGTGTGGCCTGCAGATGTGAAGGGCTTTGGAGAGGACAAATATCAAGGCAGCCCAGCCAAACAGGAAAGAAACTGCTGTATGAATCCCAAAATATTTTCATCATTAGAACAAAGTTTGCATTGGGCCATTGAAGGAGGGATTTGGAGACAGGGTGAGGAGAAGGCAAAAGGACTGGGAAAAACGTTAAGTGGATAGGCACAGCAGAACTGGTCATAGGTGAGGCCTATGGGTAAAAGGAAGATCATTTGGGGTCTGGCCTGGAAGCGTTAAATGTGGAATGCACCGGGATAACATTCCTGCTAAAGGTAAACTATCTTTTGCAGGCTTTCTTGAGAAGGCTTCTCCTGAAAGGCTGCATACTTTCAGTAATAAATTGATTATTGATTCAGTTTGTGGAACTAAATTTTTTTGAGCACAAAATTCTATGCAGCACATAGATTTTCTCAACTTTCCAGGATTGAAGTAGATGGTCCCTTTGGCACTGCCAGCGAAGATGTGTTCCAGTACGAGGTGGCCATGTTGGTGGGAGCTGGGATTGGAGTGACACCATTTGCCTCTGTGCTGAAATCCATTTGGTACAAGTTCCAGCACGGTGACCCGGATCTCCAAACAAAAACGGTATGGTGGGATCGCCCCATTGCACTGAGACCAATATGAAATAAATTCGGTTTGCTAGAGAATGCTAGTCTTTGAGTTGCAGGGAGTGAAGACTCCCTCTGACATGTAGTATCTTGCAGTCTCAAACTAGGGACAGGTTATATCCCCACCCTGCCCCTGCTCAGAATATTGAAAATGACTGGAAATGTAATTGCATCACCACCCACCTCTTTTCCAAACAATTCTGCAGGTTTTGGATTGCTTCAAAAATGTACAAGCCAGAAACACACATCAAGAAACCAGAAAGATGTAAAAAAGAAAAGAAAACGATAGCGAAATGAAAAAGAAATGAAACTTGTTCTCAAAAGTGCCAACCATTTTGATTTATTAGTGCACTTAAAAGCTTTCAGACTGTTACACGCCACCCCAATCTCTGAGTGGTCTGAGATTCCAGGGGTCCAGGCAGTTACCCAGGGTTCGTGTTTGCTTTGGAAATGAGGCACAGGCACTGGTGCCTTTAGAATTTATGGTTTATTTACACAGATATACAACCTGAGCCTATGATGGAAGAGCTTCTAGCATATTGTACTCTGAGCCCCCTTTCTCCAGTTTTCTGCTACTTGCAAACTGCAACTACTTTTCCTTCTGCGATCTTCCCAAAGACCATGGCGGGGCTCCACCCATTTGCTGGCTTCGCTGATGGCTTTCTTAATGGGTTATCTCCCCTTTGTCTCTATTGATGGAGTCAACCGGGCTTATATTTCAACCTGGCTTAGATTTTAACATTTGCTAGGTGCAGGAGTTAGAATCATACAATTGTAGAGTTGGAAGGGACCACGAGGGTCATCTAGTCCAACCCCCTGCATTGCAGGAATCATTTGCCCAATGTGGGGCTCGAACCCCCAACCCTGAGACTATGAGTCTCATGTTCTACCAACTGAGCTATCCCAGCTTCGGCTTTCAAGGTCTGTTCCCCACAAACTCATATCACAAACTCTACAGAGTACATAAAGCACCTTCCAAATATACTACAGTCATACCTCGGGTTACGAATACTGCAGGTTGCGCGTTTTTGGGTTGCGGACAGCGCTGAACCCGGAAGTACCGGAACGGGTTACTTCCGGGTTTCAGCGCTTGTGCATGTGCAGAATCACAAAATGACATCACGTGCATGCGCAGAAGTGCCGAATCACGTCACATGCGTGTGCAGACGTGGTGCTGCGGGTTGCGCACATGCCTTCTGCACGGATCATGTTCGCAACCCGAGGTATGACTGTAGCTGTCTTATCTGGCACCATGAGGAAGATGATGGCGTAAGGTAGATAATTAGCATTTGTACAAGCACGTTCAACTGTCATAAAACCTAATGGCTAAGTTGTACTGAGGCATATTAGTTGGCATTTTTTTGAACATAACAAAATAGGACAGAAGCAATGAGTGGTGCTGTGGGTTAAACCACAGAGCCTAGGACTTGCTGATCGAAAGGTCGGCGGTTCGAATCCCCGCGGCGGGGTGAGCTCCCGTCCTTCGGTCCCAGCTCCTGCCTACCTAGGAGTTCGAAAGCACCACTAAGTGCAAGTAGATAAATAGGGACCGCTTTCTAGCGGGAAGGTAAACGGCATTTCCGTGTGCGGCACTGGTGCTGGCTCGCCAGCTGCAGCTTCGTCACGCTGGCCACGTGACCCGGAAGTGTCTTCGGACAGCGCCGGCTCCCGGCCTCTTGAGCGAGATGAGCACGCAACCCTAGAGTTGGTAGGGCAGGGGTACCTTTACCTTTTTAATGAGTATAACGGGACGCGGGTGGTGCTGTGGTCTAAACCACAGAGCCTAGGGCTTGCCAATCAGAAGGTTGGCGGTTCGAATCCCTGTGACGGGGTGAGCTCCCATTGCTTGGTCCCTGCTCCTGCCAACCTAGCAGTTCGAAAGCACGTCAAAGTGCAAGTAGATAAATAGGTACTGCTCCGGCGGGAAAGTAAACGGCGTTCCATGCGCTGCTATGGTTTGCCAGAAGCGGCTTAGTCATGCTGGCCACATGACCCGGAAGCTGTACGCCGGCTCCCTCAGCCAATAAAGCGAGACGAGCGCCGCAACCCCAGAGTCGTTCGCGACTGGACCTAACGGTCAGGGGTCCCTCTACCTTTAATGAGTATAACACAATAGGTAACCATGGCTCCGTTGTATCTTCTTAAAAGGTCTCTGTGATGACACAGGTTGTTGCCTGCACTATGGGAAGGAAGTGAGGAAAACTAGCCAGTCAAACCAAGCCCTCCTCCTTAACTCGACCGCTGTCACTAAATGGATGTTTTTTTTATTAAGTAGTGGGCTGACAAGCAGACGACACAGAGATTTCTCCAAATAGTTCTTTATAAGTAAGCTGGAACTGAACTGAACTGAACACAGCTCAGCTGGCCTGCTTTTATAGGCAGCCGGCTGTCACATTGTAACAGCAACAACCCAGGGTTTCCCGCCTAAATTAACTGATGTGGACCTGAGTGAAAACTATATTCACAATACCCCCGATGGCCAGGGTGAGAACTTCAATACATAACAGTTTTCTTTGGCTGCCTCCACTAAACAACTTTTAAAACTCATGGACTTTAACTGGCCCAACCTGGGTGGAACACTTAAATATTGCTAAACAACAAGCTGCAGACAGGTGTGTGTCCCTCCCAGCATTTTTCTTAAAGCAATAAGTTAGACTGGGGGCGTCGTGTGAGTAGGCCTGCTGGGTCCATTTTTATGGTGGCGTTGGCAGGGTGGTGTGAGGAGGATGCAACAGGCCTCCTCACGTTGCCCTCCATGCCCCCCACCCACCCACACACCGGGCACCATGAAGACACGCCCCACCACTGAGTTAGACAGTTTAAATGGTTTTAGGGGGAAATGCATTCTAATTTTATAAGAACAAATGAAAATAACCAGAAGTAAGTGTGCCCAGCTATGCTTATTCTGGGCTTTCCCCAACCAAGCCAATAGTTACCACCTTGTACCCCTCAGTTCATCTCTTCATAATCCTTTCCGGGTTTTGTCTTCCTGCTGCTCTTCAGCTTTGAAAGTCTTGCTCCACGACCTTCTGACCCCACAATAACGGTTTTACTCAGTTTCCTAGCTTGCTTATTCAGTGGTACCTCAGGTTACAAACGCTTCAGGTTACGGACTCTGTTAACCCAGAAATAGTACCTCGGGTTAAAAACTTTGCTTCAGGATGAGATCAGAAACTATGCTCTGGCGGCGCGGCAACAGCTGGAGGCCCCATTAGCTAAAGTGGTGCTTCAGGTTAAGAACAGTTTCAGGTGAAGAACAGACCCCTGGAACGAATTAAATACTTAACCTGAGGTACCACTGTATATGCAGTTTGTCTCTCCCAACCTTCAGCCACTCAGAAGGCGAATAAACTTCTATTTTACTTTTTATTTTCCCTTAATTGCCTGGTTAACTAGGCTGAATCTTTGACCCTCCCCTGCAAAAATTTCCTGAACAAAACTTCCTCTTCACCTTTTAGTTTTGCTTTGAAATTTTGTCTTTCCTGTGCCTTTAAAATGAAAAACAACATTAAAAAAAACCATTTTGCAATTAAAAGACAAAGATGGGATGGACAGTATGCAGTGCTTTTTTTAAAAAGAAAAGAAAAAAGTTGCTGGTACTCACCACAACAGTATGTGCCATGTTTTTAACCTTTGGTGAAAAAAAGTTGCCAATACTGCGTATCCTTGGGTACCCCCAGGAGGGGGTGGGGAAAGCACTGGGTGTATGTGTAAAATGGAACTGGGTCTAATTCTGAAATGCGCTTGCTGTTGCTAAATCTTTGTGTTTCTCAGTTAACAGTTATAAAGGTTAAAGAGAGACATTTGTTCTCATTATGGAGCTCTGGGAAGTCAAAATGTGTATAATTCGTAGCACCAAGTCTGCAGTTCCCAGGTGTGAAGGAAGGCGCGACAACTAAGCTATTACACAACCAGTATAAATTTGTAGCATACCCATAGCCTCTCTCTTGCTTCATCCCCCATAATCCATCTACTTCACATTAGAAAAATAAAAAAAGCAGCAGCAAACACTGCAAAGCCGCTAGTGCCGTCCACAGTCAGCTAACCAACCTACTCCTTGCAAACCATTGTCTTAAAAGTTGTCTCCAGTTTCAATAGCTCTTCTCTTCCTTTGTGTTCCTGTGTTCTTAAGATTTACTTCTACTGGATCTGTCGAGAGACAGGGGCCTTTGCCTGGTTCAGGGATCTGCTGGCCTCTCTGGAACAAGAGATGGATGAGTCAGGCAGGGCAGGCATGCTCAGCTACCATCTCTACCTCACAGGGTGGAACAGCAGTATGGTGAGTCACGCAGCATCCCCCTTGTGAACTTGCTTCCATTGGCAGGCTATGCACACCCTTCCCAGAAGAGCAAGCTTCTGAAAGCGCCCTGATCCTTTTGTCAAGGAAACACACACAAAACGTGCAGCAGCTTTTGTTTGAGACGTCAGCAATGTACCACATTGTCCTTTTGCAAGGGCTGAAGTTCGAAGCATACCTGTCAACTTTCAGATTTGAAAATAAGGGATCAGCAGCCTCGAAAATAAGGGATCAGCAGCCTCACCTGTCCCGGGGACAGTCTACGGGATATCCAACAATCCGGGATAGCAGCGGGAAGCAGCGGGAAACGGTGCTGGAATAAGGGAATTTCCCGCAAAAAAAGGGAAAGTTGACAGCTATGGTTCCAAGGCACTTTCAAGTACCAGTCTCTTTTAGAGCAGCTAAGACGCAGCGACACTTTCTGATTTCTGCTGTGCCACCACAACTCTGATCATCCCTGTCCGCTGCTGGAGCTGATGGGAGTTGGAATCCAACAATACGAGGACAGCCGGAGGTTAGGGTGGCCAGTTGTGCATTGCCCCCCCAAAAGAGGATTAGCTTCACACACACAAAAAGCCGATAAAAGATGGGTTCGATTTGCATAAAATGTATTGACGCAAATCTGGAAATATTTACTAGAATTCAGAGAGAAATATCAATGCAGTAAGCCCGCAACTTAAAATCACTTTTGTTATGCGATGGCATCCCTACACAGGTATCTGAAAGAAAGAAAGAAAGAAAGAAAGAAAGAAAGAAAGAAAGAAAGAAAGAAAATTCTGAGAAAATCAAAATACACAGTTGAAAAACGTTGGGAGGCGGGAGAATGGAACACAGCAGTTGGCAACAGCCATTTCACTCACCTTGGGAGTGTGTTTGAGCATTGTCAGAGAGTTGGAGCTGGAGAGTGAGGTAAAGGTAAAGGTAAAGGGACCCCTGACCATTAGGTCCAGTTGTGGCCAACTCTGGGGTTGCGGCGCTCATCTCGCTTTATTGGCCAAGGGAGCCAGCGTACAGCTTCCGGGTCATGTGGCCAGCATGACTAAGCCGCTTCTGGCGAACCAGAGCAGTGCACGGAAACGCCGTTTACTTTTCTGCCGGAGCTGTACCTATTTATCTACTTGCACTTTGACGTGCTTTTGAACTGCTAGGTTGGCAGGAGCAGGGACTGAGCAATGGGAGCTCACCCCCTCACGGGGATTCGAACCGCCGACTTCTGATCGGCAAGTCCTAGGCTCTGTGGTTTAACCCACAGTGCCACCCACGTCCCACGGAGAGTGAGATAGGGCCTTGCAAAAGCACAGAGAGCAAGCAGTCAGAGGTGATCTGAGAAAGAGGAGGTGCAGGGTTTTGTTTTTGTTTTTGTTTTTTACATTTTTGGGGTTTTTTTTACGGGTTGTTTTAAGGTGTTTTCCAGGCTTTATGTGCTTGGACGTTTGCATGTGGTTCCCAGGAGCAGAACCCTTGCATAAACTGTAGGCTTACAAGGGCAGCCACACTAAAAGCCCTGTTTCAAGTTACTGCGGAGCAGACTTCTGAGATCTTTGGAACTTGCAGGAGAAGCTGCAAGTACTCTTTGGTGAGAGAACCCCATCAGAGATTTAAAGTTTCAAAACATGCGGCAAAGTAAAGCATGGAAATATAGGTTGTAAAGCTTTAAAATGTGCTCTTTAAAGCAAGGTCCAAAACACTCCCTAAAAAGTTTCTTTCCAAAGTTTCCCTCTTCCCCAAGCAGGGAAAAGACCACACGTGTGGTAAGTTAAGAAATAGTTTACTAACAAACTCTCCAAAGGTCTATTCTGTACTTCAGAATAGTTGCACAGGCTGTAAAACTAAGCTTAGTTACAAAATGGTGAAAGTTCCTAAATTATTAGTATCAGAATGCAGGAATGGCATGCAACAGCCATGAATTTGAGAAGGAGCAACCAGTTCAAACCTCTTCACCCGCTGAGCTTCTCAGGTAGACTAGGGGACACCAAAAGCTTGATTACCTAGTTCCTCCCATGGTAAGGGGAAGTGGACACATCTAAGCCTGGCAGAACAGCTTAGTCTGTGCTATTAACCCCTTCCTGCATTAATTAGACTTAAGCATGTTGGTTATATGAAGCTGGTTTTCCCATAATCCACACAAACTTTCCTCCTTAAAAGTGATTCCACAGCCCCTTGCCTCTGGAGCAGAGCCTCAGAAAATGGCCTGGGCAGGTTCCTTTGGGAGCAGAGTGCTTGTTCAGATACCCAGGGGCCAAGCATCTATAGTTTGTGCAGCAGACAATGGCAGAGGAAGCCTCTCCGGCCCCCAGGGCAGGATTGTGCATGCGCGGCACCCATACGGACACCGTGTGCATGCCCTCAGCTGCTCTACAGCTGGGGGGGGGAGAGGCAGTGGGCCATCTTGTCACCCCCCCCAGGGTGGCACCAGGGGTGAGCTGCCCCTCCCACACCTGCCTTTGTACGCCCCTGGCAGCAGAAGGAAGGGCAGAATCCTGGAATATGTACAGCCAGACTTAATATTCCATGAAAACTACTGGGCTGAGATCCATAACTTAGCCCGTTAGCATGAACATCAGAAAGCAGCTGAAAGGTCAATTTTAAGAAATTGTATGAAATACTTATGCAGCTGCTATGAGGCCTGCCCAATTTTTTGCTGCTTTTCTAGGTTGGTCACGCAGCGGTCAACTTTGACAGGTCCACCGACATGGTGACGGGCCTGCGGCAGAAAACTTTCTTTGGGAGGCCCATGTGGAGCAATGAATTCTCAGCGGTGGCAGCTGCCCATCCCAGGTAAGGTCTGCTGCTGTGTTGTCAACCCAGGTTGTCGGAGCAGAGACCATAGCTATACAGTGGTACCTCAGGTTACATACGCTTCAGGTTACATACTCTGCTAACCCAGAAATAGTGCTTCAGGTTAAGAACTTTGCTTCAGGTTGAGAACAGAAATCATGCTCCAGCAGCGCGGCAGCAGCAGGAGGCCCCATTAGTTCAGTCTCAGTCAGTAAAAGTGGTGCTTCAGGTTAAGAACAGTTTCAGATTAAGTACGGACCTCCGGAACGAATTAAATACTTAACCCGAGGTACCACTGTACATACAGATCTCCTTTCTGTTACTCCCATTTGTAGAGAATTCGGCAGAAATGACACCCAGATTCTGTCATCTAAATGGAATGATTCAGCTTGCACAACATTGCTGCGTATTATTCTTCCCTTCTCCCTTTCCTCAAAGCAATCCATTAGTAACCTTTGTTTCCTGACATTAATTGCTTCTTCCTTGGGCTTTGCAGGTCTGTAGTGGGTGTGTTTCTGTGTGGCCCAGAGAGCCTGGCTAAGACTCTGCAAAAGTACTGCCATCAACACTCCAGCCTAGATCCCAGAAACGTCCAGTTTTACTTCAATAAAGAGAATTTTTAAGTCAAGCACAGGAATACCACTCCTCCCCAGCACGTCTTGCAGCCAGAAACTGGCCAAACTTGTGGCCCTGAATGCTGCCAAATGCTGTTGTTGTAGCTTGACCCAGACTCCCACCTCTGCATGGCATTGTTTTGGCCGGACCACCCACCCTTGCCCCAATATGCTTCTTTGGGCAAAAGCTGCAGACTACAAACATTTTCAAGTAGGAGATGGGGGTGTTATTGGGTTGTCCTTGTCTTTATTCTTACTATGTATTTTGTGTTTTTATATTACCATTTTATGTTGTCATTTTATAATGTCATTTTATGTTGAGACCTGTGGGTATAGGGCGGTATAGAAATTTAATAAATGGATAAATAAAATAAATAAATAATTTTCTGATTTAATGGTCCATCAATAAACCAGCAGTTTCTGGTTTATTTCATCTCGGCTTTAAAGGAGTTGTCAGTTGAAAAACCAAGTTGTTAACAAAGAGACTCTGAAATGCACTGCATTCTCTATGTTTGATCCTTCCTTAATCTGCACAGGACATGAATCTCTAGTTTGAAATCCTATGGCTGAAAAATGTATTCTGTGGCTAAATATTCAGAACTGTAATACTCTCTCTTAACGCAGTTAAAGAGCTGATACCTCCCATGCACTGCCCTTTAATGGGTAAGGCCAAAAATCAATTCAGACACTAAATATGCATTTGCACACTGTATTAAAGCAATCAGCCTGCCAGGGAGATCTTTGTCCCCTGAAAGGATTCCTCCAGTGAGAAAATGCCCCTTGCAAGGGCAAACTTCATAAAAAGCACAGAGAGGGAATCTGATGAGGAATTGTTTTACTGCTGAGAGATGGACTTCAAGGATCTATTAATCCGGTTGTGTGCAGTCTATGATGCTGGTGTCCCAGGAAAGGTATATGCAGCAGGGAAAGACTTGTTTGATTCTACAGGGAACTGGGACTGCCCCCCCCCCCATGAGGGAAGGTGAGGCAACTGCCTCAGGTGGCAAGATCCAAGGGGCAGCAGATTCAGCTTCCAAGAAATGCATTGCTCAGTGCTGCTGCAACCGTGGTGGCAGACACAGCTGTGGTGTACTCCCTGGAGGCCAGAACGGCTGCCTCCTTGGCAACACCCCCTACATGCTGCCGCTGCTGTGTCCTCTTGGTGAATGGGAGGGGTCTCCCACCCCTAGGGAGAAAATAGCAGGGGCTGACCTCTGTAGTCTCCTGGACTGTACACTTGCTTGTCGTGATGCAAAGTGGGCCCATTCTCAAAGACTCTATGATGGGGGGGAAGTCCATTTGATTCCCCTCCTTGTTCCCAGTGTAGATCTTCACCCAACCCTTCTTCCCTGGCAAGGGGCATTTTGTGGTTCGCCTCAGGTGCCCAAATGTCTTGGGCTTGTGCTGTGAGAAGCACAACACAACCTAGTCAAGAGTGGCTAACCTGTGGCCTTCCAGCTGTTGGACTCCAACTGGCATCAGTCCTAGGCAGCGTAGCCAATGGCAAGGAGTGATGGGACCAGTAGTCCAACAGCATCTAGAAGATGAGTTACCCACCCCTGACTTAGAGATCAGTCTTCAGCACCAGGAATCTGTGGGCTTGTATATCATAATGTATGTTGAATTTCTGTTTTAAAAAATAAATGAGAGAGGGGATGATGGAAAGCATAAATGGGAATCCTTTTTTGTTTTGCAGGCTAGATGTTGTCCAGGGACAAAATGGTCCGGTGCCACATTCTCACACAAAAAAAATCTTGTGAGCATGTAGTCACCTTAGCTCTTGGGAGAACATATTGAAATTAAATGTGGGTCTCATGTTGCAGATTTGGGTTAACCGGCCTCAGAAGCTTCAGAGCTGTGGTGAGGGAACTGCGTCCCTTCTGATGCTGTTGGACCTCAACTCCCATCAGCCCCAGCCAACATGGCCAGTGATGATGGGAGTTGCAGTCCAACACTGGAAGGGTCAAAGGTCCCCCTTCCCTGTGTTGGTGGACGCATGTGCATGAATGGAGGGAATGAGTGTCCTCTAGCCCTGACGGGGTCCTCTTGATAACATGCCATGTTAGGACACAATGGGCACACACTTTGCAGATCCTCCTCAGTGGTCATGGAACAAACTTTCCTCAGCATGGAACAAACTTTCCTCAGCAGTCCATAAAGAAGTCCTATTCTGCCCCATTTTTCAGGAGTGCTGTAGGAGTTCCTTGTCTGGATCAGCTTTTACTTTGCTGGTTAGATAAGAGTAGGAGAATTTTAATCTAGTGCCTCTGAAAAAAATAATTGGGCAGCAGAGGGGATGACACAACAGGCAGAATGTGTGGGAATGCTTTCATGGGGACGTAAGCTAAAAGCTTTGATCTACAAGGGAGGATGAGGTGACTGGGGGAGCAAGTGCAATACAGATGTACGACAAGCCACACGGTTTTAGTCAAACCCAATTTTTAATTGAAACTCAAGGAAGTAAACAAAATGATGGGAGAAGTAAGATAAACAAGGGGAAGGGAGCCCCCTTCCCCTCAGTACTGATCTGGTTCAGACATAGGATGGGTGTAGAAACCATTTTCTATGCTGTCTTCAACATGCCATTTGGTTAGACATTTTTCAAAATGATTCTATAGTGGTATCTTGGGTTACATATGCTTCAGGTTACAAATGCTTCAGGTTACAGACTCTGCTAACCCAGAAATAGTATCTCGGATTAAGAACTTTGCTTCAGGATGAGAACAGAAATCGTGCTCCGGCGGCGCGGTGGCAGCAGGAGGCCCCATTAGCTAAAGTGGTGCTTCAGTGGTGCTTAACAGTTTCAGCTTAAGAATGGACCTCCGGAACGAATTAAGTTCTTAACCCGAGTTAGCACTGTATTAACAAAATGGATTAGGCTCCCATCACACCAATTTACTGCTGAGAAACGTTGAGTTCAGCCGGACAGATCCCTGAAAGGAGAAAGAGAAACAGCTGTTCAACATATGGACCACTAATAGAACAAGCAGCAAAAGCTAAACTGCAGAGAAGTTGGCGAACATTTGTGAGGGATTTTGTGGGCAAAAGACCAATTAGGGACTATGAAGGGTACTGAGAGGGCAGTTTGCTGCTGTTTAAAGGTTGGGCATGCATCAGTTTGGAGCTGCTTGGAGTAAGGAATGGTGCCTTGCTCCATGTCCGGCTGCTGGCTACACCTGCCATCAGATCTTTTGCAACTTTGCAGTTGCCAGTGAGCATGCCTCTGAGTGCTCTTCCAAGCCTGCCATTCAACCATTGTTTTTCTTTGGCTTTTTCAGCATAGTTTTCTTCATATGGAAGGTCTTCTAGAAGTGCTAGAGAAACATGTTGAGGCATATTAAAGAACTGTGCCTCTTTGCCGACCCTTTATAGAAACCTGGGACTGTGGGCACAACCTTTTCCCCCAAAGGTGCAATGTTCCAAGACCCTGAAATGGTCAGCTGAAGATGAGGGCATGGGGGTGTTTGTACACCTGCCTTCATTTCAAGGGGGTTTGAACAGGAGAAATAAGTGCTGGATTCTGCCCTTTAGTATAACTGATTGTTCATTGGAAAAAGAAGGCAATGGGAGTACATTAACTAGCACAGCCTTTGCTAATGAGATGATCGACTGGGTGAGACTGTGAAGCAAGTGCCATCCAAGCTGGGCTTGGCACGGTCTTAGGATGTTTTGTAGTGCCCAGCTCCCCTCTTACCCCATGGCGACGTCGGAGCCATTCGGTGTATCGTCTTTCATTTCGAAAATGCTCAGCCATTCCTCTGAATGAAAATTAGCCAACTCTTCGTCCGTCATATTGAGGAATTCGTCAATGCATTCGGCCTATGGAGAGATGAAAGAAACTGATAAGGATGCTTTCAGACCAATATGTTTTTTCAGTAGAAAAGACGGTAATCTCTTTGGGATTTTTCAGAGTGGTTATTAAACCGTGGTAACTTATTCTCTCCCTCTGTCCCCCACATAACCATAGCATTAATAACCATGCTGACTATTGCATCTGAACTGGAGATTCACAGATTCACAGAATTGTAGAGCTGGGAAGGATCCCAAGGGTCATCTAGTCGAAATCTCAACACACAGCCCCTCATCCCATTTGAAACCAGACTTACCCTGCTTACCTTTGCAAACGTGCTAGCAGTTGCTACACCACTAGGAGACTCAAGCGGGCCATTTCAGTCCCATGTTAAGAAGTGGGTAAGCTAAGCAAGAAGGGTTATATTGCCTCCAGGATGAGAGGAAGCCTACCTCTGTGTACCAGTTGCCGGATTGTGAGTGGGAGAGTGCTACACCTTTCTTTTCCTTCTTGTGGAGTTTCTAAAGGCACCTGGCTGGCCACTGTGAGAACAGAACACTGGACTAAATAGACCTTTGATCTGACCCCAAATCACCTGCACTCTAATTGGAATCAGTGGTGAAATTCTTGCTGCTCATATTTCTTTTCTTATTTCAGAAATCATAGTTTATTATACACAAGTTATATAGCAACCCCCCCAATATTAGGACAGCATATTACACTCTAAAAGCTAGTTTGAAAAGATCTGCAAAGCACATTACATCAACATATTAGAGGGATGTGTTCTACCACACTCATTCCAGAGCTTTGGGGTAGCTGCTGAAAAGACCTTGATGCCACTGCCAGTGATATTGCCCCCCAGCACTGGCCAGCAGCATTTAGCTGACCTTCTGTCACTGGTGCCACTGTGGAGTACAGGAAGGGAGGGGGCCATGAGGTGGGGGACTGGTGGGACCACAGGATTGGCCCCACCAGTGCATTTTGCACTGTTCTGACCTCACCTGTGATGGGTCAGGTAAGCGCTGCCACCCCATCCTGCAGACTGTTGCTGCTTGCCTCTTTAATAGAGAGCTCAAAGAAGGCAACATTGTTTGGCTTACGTCATCTTTATCCAGGTCTTCTTCTTCATCTTGGCCAGGACTGAAGCCCTCAGGTTGGCTGTCTGCTTGCTTGCTTGCTCCTGGCATGCCTACATCTTGTTCTGCTGCTGCTGTAGGCATGCTGACCACCTGTAAACACAAAGGAAGATTTCAGAAAGTTTGCTGACCCCTCCTCAATCATGTGGTTCACATGGACAACATTCACATGGTGTCTGAAAACAGCTCCAGACACTACTAGCTGCACTACCTCTGGACACTAAGAGCTGGGGGACACGCATGGGGAAAATAAAGGGCAGTTATTTGATTAGAAAAGCACACAGGGACATGGTCCACTGTCCCATCACTGGAGGCAATTTAACTTCTGACTACCACTTCAAAAGAAATAAAGTGCCACTCCTGCTCCTTTGTCCAATCCATGGATTTTCCTGCCAACATCACGTAAAGGAGAGGTATGTTGACAGCTGGGGAAAGTTCAGCAGAGTACCGGGCAACAGAGGCAGAAGGGTGCATGACAGCTGGCCTGAAATCCCTGATACAATTTCCAAAGCTAGGAACTTAGCTCTCTCTAATGATCTCTCTCATTGCTGGGTTTCAGCCTTTGCACTGCGAGCAGTTTTCTGCTTTGAAGGTGCAGGGCCTGCCAGAGTGTTTGCCTTTTCTTTCAGGGCAGAAGTTGGGCACCTGTGACACGGACACCCCCCCCCCAGTAATCACTGGCCAAACTGGCTGGGGCTGATGAAAGCTGGAGTCCAGCAACACCTGGAGGGATGCAAGTTCCCCATCCTAGAGTCATATCTAAGTGATAGGTCAACCACTGTCGCCCCCCCCCCCCCCCCGCTGCTCAGGAACAAAAAAGGATGGGGGTAATGATGAAAATTGCACCTACCCACTCCCATCTCCATTGGGAAATAAATCAATATACCAATCGTCTGGCCATGACCCTATGAGGCTGTTCATGTTCTGGCACCAAGAATGTGTCTAGGAACCCATTGGGGAAAATGAAACAGCACATGGTTACTCCACATACCTGTTGAGGTTCCTGCAGATCAGTTGCTGCCTTGCTCAAAGGTCCAGGACCTTGAATTTCTCCAGTCGTTGGCTCCAAGCCTTTGGGTTCCATGCCCTGGGGAGGCTCTATGGCTCTGGGAGCTATTCCATGAGGCTGTGTGCCTTGATAATTCATGACTCTAGGTGGCTCCATGACTCTAGGGAGCACCATGACTAAGAATTCCATCCTTCTGGCCTCCATGCCTTGATAATTCATGGCTCTGGGTGGCACGATGACTATAGGGAGCACCTTGACCATGTATTCCTTCCATCTGGGCTCCATGCCTTGATAATTCATGGCTCTGGGATCTATTCCATGAGGCTGTGTGCCTTGATAGTTCATGCCTCTAGGGAGCACCTTGACCACGTATTCCATCCCTCTGGGCTCCATCCCTTGATATTCCATTCCTCTGGGCCTCATGCCGCTAGTGGGGACAATGTCCCTCTCTCCCATCTCTCCCCTGCCTCTAGTGGGCACCATGTCCCTCTCTCCCATCTCTCCCCTGCCTCTAGTGGGCGCCCTGTCCCTCACTCTGCACTCCATGACTTTCATGCGTTTGGGCTCCCTGCCTCTAGTGGGCGCCACGTCCCTCTCTCCCATCTCTCCCCTGCCGCTAGTGGGCGCCACGTCCCTCTTTCTGAGCTCCATGCCTTGATATTCCATGCGTCTGGGCTCCCTGCCTCTAGTGGGCGCCACGTCCCTCTCTCCCATCTCTCCCCTGCCTCTAGTGGGCGCCACGTCCCTCTCTCTGCGCTCCATGCCTTGATTTTCCATGCGTCTGGGCTCCCTGCTTCTAGTGGGCGCCACGTCCCTCTCTCCCATCTCTCCCCTGCCTCTAGTGGGCGCCACGTCCCTCTCTCTGCGCTCCATGCCTTGATTTTCCATGCGTCTGGGCTCCCTGCCTCTAGTGGGCGCCACGTCCCTCTCTCCCATCTCTCCCTTGCCTCTAGTGGGCGCCACGTCCCTCTCTCTGCGCTCCATGCCTTGATTTTCCATGCGTTTGGGCTCCCTGCCTCTAGTGGGCACCATGTCCCTCTCTCCCATCTCTCCCCTGCCGCTAGTGGGCGCCACGTCCCTCTTTCTGAGCTCCATGCCTTGATATTCCATGCGTCTGGGCTCCCTGCCTCTAGTGGGCGCCACGTCCCTCTCTCCCATCTCTCCCCTGCCTCTAGTGGGCGCCACGTCCCTCTCTCTGCGCTCCATGCCTTGATTTTCCATGCGTTTGGGCTCCCTGCCTCTAGTGGGCACCATGTCCCTCTCTCCCATCTCTGCCCTGCCGCTAGTGGGCGCCACGTCCCTCTTTCTGAGCTTCATGCCTTGATATTCCATGCGTCTGGGCTCCCTGCCTCTAGTGGGCGCCACGTCCCTCTCTCCCATCTCTCCCCTGCCTCTAGTGGGCGCCACGTCCCTCTCTCTGCGCTCCATGGCTTGATTTTCCATGCGTCTGGGCTCCCTGCCTCTAGTGGGCGCCACGTCCCTCTCTCCCATCTCTCCCCTGCCTCTAGTGGGCGCCACGTCCCTCTCTCTGCGCTCCATGCCTTGATATTCCATGCGTCTGGGCTCCCTGCCTCTAGTGGGCGCCACGTCCCTCTCTCCCATCTCTCCCCTGCCTCTAGTGGGCGCCACGTCCCTCTCTCTGCGCTCCATGCTTTGATATTCCATGCGTCTGGGCTCCCTGCCTCTAGTGGGCTCCATGTCCTTCTCTTCCATCTCTCTGCGCTCCATGCCTTGTTGTATCATGCCCCTGCCATCCATGCCTCTTCCACCTGCATTGAAGACAATTACACTTACACAAACAGCACTGGGAGTTACCTGCCCGAGACCATGCAAGGAGTCCATGCCAATACAGTGAAAATGCCCACCTACTACAGGAATAGAGGAGCTTTGAATGAACCTTCATTTATTTCAGACAGAAGTGGGCTCCCTTCAGACAGAAGAAGGCAATAGGTGTAAGAGTGCAGAGACGCATTTCCTCACACACCCTTGGAAGCAGTGGTGCTGATTATGATGGCACAGGGGGGAATTTTTGGACCTCTTTGTCCTCCCATAAGGTCTACTCTCCCCAGGGCATAATGTTTAAGGAACTTAATAATCATTGCCTAAAATCTAGCAACTCAATCAAAATTGTCACTTTAAATGCTGTCTCTTATTCATCAATATTTTATAATTTGGCACTTCCGAGCAGGCATTTATTCTGTTTAGATCCAATTATTAACAAAAATGTCTGCAGAGAATTTGCTGTTCTGCTAAGACGTTGCATTAGATAACAATAGGAATAAGAGTGTTTCTTTTTCTTGTGGATACATTTCCGTTTTATTTTATTGAATTTTTCAGATTTGAAAATAAGGGATCAGCAGCCTCACCTGTCCTGGACACAGTCTACGGGATATCTAACAATCCGGGATAGCAGTGGGAAGCAGTGGGAAACGGTGCTGGATTAAGGGAATTTCCTGCAAAAAAAGGGAAGGTTGACAGCTATGCAAAGGGATGGTGTGTGTATCACATGACTGTTATTTTGTATCCCCAAACCCACAAACACAGTACCGTGGTACCTCGGGTTACATATGCTTCAGGTTACATACAGTGGTGCCCCGCAAGACGAATGCCTCGCAAGACGAAAAACTCGCTAGACAAAAGGGTTTTCCGTTTTTTGAGCTGCTTCGCAAGATGAATTTCCCTATGGGCTTGCTTCGCAAGACGAAAAGCGAAAACGTCTTGCAAGTTTGTTTCCTTTTTCTTAACACCGTTAATACAGTTGCGACTTGACTTTGAGGAGCAACTCATAGAACGCGGTGTGGTAGCCTTTTTTGAGGTTTTTGAAGACTGGTGATTTTTGAAGCTTTTCCAAAACTTCTTTTAAACTTTTAAAACTTTTTTGGGGTTTTTGGATTTTGGGTTGGGGTGTTTGGAATTCAAGGACTTGGTGTTGGGGAGGGGTTTGCAAGAATCTGGAAGCTTGTGTGTTTTTTTTCTGCATTTTTATGATTTTCTGTGACCATTGGGCCACTCTGCTGTTTTTTAAAAAAAATTCTGGATTTGAATTTCTGTGTGGTGGGTGGCTGGGGAACAGTGGAGGAGGGGTTTGCAAGAATCTGGAAGCTTGTGTCGTTTTTTCTGAATTTTTATGATTTTCTGTGACCATTGGGCCACTCTGCTGTTTTTTAAAAAATTCTGGATTTGAATTTCTGTGTGGTGGGTGGCTGGGGGAACAGTTGAGGAGGGGTTCTTCAGCAAGAAACAAAGAGTGGAAGAGGAACCTTCTTCGAGTTGTCCCCAGAGTCTTAGAAAATGTACTGTACACTTTGTTGATTTTTAAATGTTTTTCTGTCATGTTTAGAAACTTAATTTATTGTTCCTTCAATTTTTGAAATGCTCTTTACAGTATGTGTGACTTTAAAGAGCACTTAATAAACTCTTGTTGTACCAAATTTGGCTTTGTTTGGACTTTTTTTGACCATAGGAATTGGCATTAATTGAATTTCAATGCATTCCTATGGGATTTCGTGCTTCGCAAGACGAAAAATTCGCTAGACGAAAAAACTCGCGGAACGAATTTATTTCGTCTTGCGAGGCACCACTGTACGCTTCAGGTTACAGACTCCGCTAACCCAGAAATAGTGCTTCAGGTTAAGAACTTTGCTTCAGGATGAGAACAGAAATTGTGCTCCGGTGGCGCGGCAGCAGCAGGAGGCCCCATTAGCTAAAGTGGTGCTTCAGGTTAAGAACAGTTTCAGGGTAAGTACGGACCACCGGAATGAATTAAGTACTTAACCCGAGGTACCACTGTAATCATAAAACCCCTGCATTCACGTCCCCCAACAGCAAACAACTCAATATGGCTAACCTGACCCAACAACCTACCCCCCACCCATCACCGCCACCCACACATACAAACAAGCCACACTGCAATCACCTGAATGCAACCAACCAAGCTCAACCCCTTAATCTCTTGCATTATCAATAAAAATAAATAAATAAATACATACATAAACAAAGGAACTACCCACATGATGCTGACACAAACCCCTACACAAATAAAAGGCAACAGAACAAGACCCCCATCTCTTCCCCAACTGAAAGATGTCTATGACAAAGGTCTGTCGCATCAACTGTAAACAAACAGTGAAAAAGACTATAAAATGAAAGTGGAGACAACAGATGTACCATTCACTGTTGAGCTATTTGTTTTGTAACACAAAAACTTCCGCAAAAAGTTTTTTGAGAAAAAACACACAACAACCCAATTCAGAAATTGGTAATACCAAGAGAAAGGCTTACACAGTCTAGCAATGTCTTCCCGATATGCCAGTGATCAACCTGCAGGAAACCTTTTTGAAGAGTGGAGCATGCAAACATGGGAAACCAGCCCCCAGGTGGATCACTTCCGACACCTCAATCAGCAACAAACAGGAGAACCGCTCAATGCTATTCTGCAAACACGCATCTCCCCAACAAGCCCAACAACCTCCATCCCTCTCTCATAAAGCTCCTGAAGTACTATACATGAGCTTGTGCAAATCACAATTCCCCCCCTTCATTATTTATTGTAAGAAATATTAGTTGAACATTTAACATTCAATCAATCAACCTAGGACTTCCCCTCCATGGCTTTCCCAAAGTTCCAATTTTTACTGCATATTATATTTATTCTATGCCTTAGCTTCTTCACAAAAAACTCCACCAGACTTTCCACTGCAGTTCTTACTCAAATCCTACTTGCATTTTAACATGTTTCCATTGAGTTTAAAAAATCTACATTTTCCAGTCCTCCTTAAAGTCAGTCTCTTTTTTATCTCTAATTTTCCAAGTCAAACTTGCCAGTTGTACACATTCTGTCAATTGCAGTTGCCATTCTGTTTTAGTAGGTACCATCTCCTCAAGCCATTTTTGTGCATATAATATTCAGATAATATATATTCCCAACAAAATCAACTGTTAAAGCCAGCTATGTTCTTCATTCAGAATATGCTAGTGTCCTGATTCTTCCCAACCATTAAAATCCAGGCAGTGGACGAGGAGGGCAAAAGCACTCTCCAAGACCAGAAACAGAGAGGGACCCTTGCTTTCAGATACTGTCAGTCATCAAATGGAATTTCTCCAGATGACACTGGGTGGCTCTCTCTTTTTAGAGGAGAGCATTGCTGAAGAAATAGGAAAGATCAAAACCTTAAGGTTACTCGGCTCTGTAAAAGATTCCCCTTATTGTGGGCTGAGACCACAATTTCCTACAAAGATAACTCTTACTGTTGTTGAGAAGGACTAGTTCGGAATGAGGAAGGGAAACCCCTTTGAGATTTTAATAGCATCCCATAACATTGGTTGTGGTCAGCCTAGTTCTACATTCCAAGTCCCAAATTTTGCCCAGACTCACCGGAGCTCCACTATCGTGCCTTCTGCGCTGAGAATCTGTTGGGAAATGCGAGAGGAGGTCAGGAATAATATTGTGTTGAATCAACTGCTGCATACGCAAGCTTGATTCAAAAGAAGTGGCAAAGCATGATTGGATGCTTTTTCTACCCCACGGTATCTCCAAATGTTGTTATCTGTTACAAAGCTTCTCCATTCCGTTCAAGGATGTCTGGTGTAGCCTTGTTTTTATTCCATCTAACTTTTTGTCCTCAATGCAAATGATTAAATTATTTTGGTTTCTTCCAGCTGCTCTGGGTGACAAAACTAGGGGAAAGGATACCCTGCCTTGCTTCCAAAGAGTCCAGGGTTTTTCCCCGCTCACGCAGCCCTGCACAACACCACTTGTGAGGCCGCTTACTATATGTCAAGAGATAGCAAGTGGCCCAAAGTCACCCAGGGAGCTTCATGGATTTCCTCAGTTCTAGCCACCACAGCACACTGGTTTTCAGCCTAAGTAATGTAGAAAGTAGACCCCCCTCCTCCAACACAACAGCAATCAAACCACTGACATGCAGGCAATACAGTGTCCAGATCTGCACATAATGCTAACCCTTGGATTCTTTAACAAACTACAAGCTAACCGTGAGTTGTTCCACAGATGTCACACCATAGCTTGCTCTTGCTTTGTGACTTTGTAGTTTATCTAGTGCAATCCTTCACATAGTTTCTTGAAAATGTCATGGAAATAGTCCTAGGTAAGATCTAACTTATATTAAATCAACAGATGGGACCACTGATAACCAACAAGGCGTCTAGTGGGTACCCTTTATTAATTCTGCTGCAGCAGGACAGCACCTTGAGAGCCAGTGTGGTATAGTGGTTAAGAGCGGTAGACTCAACTGGGTTCATGTCTTCACTCCTCCGCATGCAGCTGCTGGGTGACCTTCGGCTAGACTCTGAAGTCTCTCAGCCCCACTCACCTCACAGAGTGTTTGTTGTGAGGGAGGAAGGGAAAGGAGAATGTGAGCCGCTTTGAGACTCCTTTGGGTAGTGATAAAGCAGGGCATCAAATCCAAACTCTTCTTCTTCTTCTCTAGGTCAAATCCCAAAAGCACTGCCCAAGCAAGGAAATCATCACGACTTTTATACAACTTTGTAACAAGTAAATTATTAGTAAATATTAGCAAAAAAAATGCATCAAAATGAGTGCAGAAGGTTTGCCTCACCCTGCCTCACAGGTGGGCCAGCCCTATGTTACAGAGAGCCTTGGAGAGTGCAGTTGCAGGTGAGGGATACCTTGATAGAAAGTCCCTCCTCACCTCAAACTTGTCAGTAGGTCGGCCTGGAAAAGTGGGATCATAACTAGGCACTGATGGATTATCTGCTTTACCCCAAACTTGTTTCAACATCATCGTGCCACCTCCTGCCATGCCACCTGGGGAGAAAAATAGTCAGTAAAGGAGGCATTAGGTGGATTATGAGGATGGGTGGAGGGGAAATGTCAGGAAAAAATGAAAAGCAAACTCGGTGATTTAAAACCACTCTTGCAAATAAGTCAACAACAAGCCTGCAATTTATTTATTTCTACTAGTCTGCTACGAGACTAGAATTGTAGAATCATAGAGCTGGAAGGGACCTCAAGGGTCATCTAGTCCAACCCCCTGCCATGCAGAAATCACCACCTTCTGATTGATTTGAGTAGATGGATTGAGTGTTAAATGAGAATTATTGTGATTTTGGCACAAGCCAAAATCTGCTTTGCCTTTTTCAGTCCTTAGCTGAAAATATGCAAACCACAAGGGTTTTTGGTAAGGAACAAGTGGACAGTGATGAGACAAATTCATGGGGAAGGAGGGTCCACACAGTGGCTGGTGCTCAAATGGCTAAACAGAACATTCACAGTCAGAGAGTCTACGTAGAATAATCAAGTGTCAAGGGTCTTCGCTTCGGGTCTTCCCACTGGGTCACATGCACTGGCGGAGGAATGGGGGTGCAGAGGGAGTGCTCCGCCCCTGGCACCACTATTCCGCTAGGGTACCATCATGGTGCCCCCCCAACACGCGCCACACACACCTGCGCACGCTGGGTGCCACGCACCCACAGATGGCGTGTCACTCCCCCAGAACGTGCCACGCCCCTGAGGGCAGCATGACACGCCTCAGGGTGCGTGCAGTGCCCCTGCAGTGGCATACCATGCCCCATGGCGGTGTGCCATGCACCTAAAATGCACGCCACACCCCTGCGGGTGCCAGGCCACGCCCTTGTGGGTGGCGTGCCATGCCCCGGGGTGCGCACCATGCTCCCACAGTTGTGCACCACACCCCTGGGAGACCAGCTACACCCCTGCCTGCTCTGCGCCCCCCCAGTAGCGGAGCATGCAGCTTCGCCACTCGCTATATGGACTCCCTGCAGGCCAGGCAGGCGGGGGGGGGGGGAGGAGGCAGTGCCTAAGGAGGATTTCTGAGCTCCTTAGATAGGGAGGAGTGTGTGTCCATGCTAACTGTGGGAAAAGGGGGAAGCCTCATGGAAGAGAAGAGAAGAGAAGAGAAGAGAAGAGAAGAGAAGAGAAGAGAAGAGAAGCCTTCCACTGAGTTCTTCCCTCTTCCTCAAGCATTCTCCATGGAGAAAGAAGCTTTCCTTCTCCCATATCTTGCGCAGAAGCTGTAGCGAGGGGTGTGTGTGTGTGTGTGTGTGTGTGTGTGTGTGTGTGATATCCATCCCTCCTTCCCCAGCTGCCTCGTGCCCCAGCATGGAATTCTAGGTTGCCTGCATCAGATGAGTTGTTTAATAAAAGCCCTGTTTAAAACAGAAAAGCAAAAGCACAGCAAAACATTAAAAAAGATAAAGCAATAATTTTTAAAACACCCTACTTCAGCCTTCCTAAGGTTTTGTAACACTAGGTTGGGGAAGTCCTGTGGAGGACTTGTACAGACTGTGGAGGTCCTCATTAATTTAGCTCTTGATTAAGGTTTTATATTATGGGATTGGGTTGAGTGACTGATTATCTGTCAGACATTATTGAGTATAGAATTTCGTGGATTTCTAGATTTGTTTCTTAGCTGGCAGTGAATCAAATGAATAAGAATTTTTAATATGTTTCAAAATGAAAACAAACACACTGCATTATAATTCTCCACATCAGATCTCTATACCTATCAGTTCTCTAAATTTTCTACCTGGCCCCACAACTTAATCTTACACATGTTTCTTAATAAAGATGTTATTTTACATTCACTGGTGTTTACCAACAGTTAAGTGTGCCTAGGATTGCAGTCTTACCTTAGTTACCATCTCTGGCCAAATCAAGCCCATTCCTGCCTCAAGGTTTCCTCTGTCTCCTTGCATCTGACCCCACTAACCCCTTTTTAAAATTAAATTTTCTGTTTTACAATTTAAATACTCATTTTACATCCTTAAGATATCAGTGACTTCCCTTTTTCTTTTTAATCCCTGCATATTTTACAAAAACTATACCAATCAGTATTCCATTATTGCATCAATCAAATTTATTTACACTGCTGAATTAATCTCTTCAGCTGTACACAATTATTTTCCACATATTCAAAAAACATTTTCCAATCTTCTTTAAACGTACTTTCTTCTTGTTCTCTTATTCTATATGTTAAGTCTGCGAGTTGTACATATTTTGTCAACTTAAGTTGCTATTCTTCTTTGGTTGGGACCTTGCTCGTTTTCCATTTGGGGGCTAACAAAACATGGGCCGCAGTTGTTCATACATAAATAACCTTTTCTGGGAGCAGGGGGGCGGGGGCTGCTACTCCCAGTGACCCTCGGTCACTGCTAAATCAAGGACAAACATTGCGAAGACTGTTATGTACTGAGTTGAATAGGATCCAAAATGCAGCAGTCTGATTGGCCCTAGAACAATAGGATTCAGAATGCAGCAGTCTGATTGGTCCACAGGAGCTACCCAATCCAGCTGCAGGTGAAAGTGAATCCGCAACCTGATTGGCCTACAGGTGAATCCCGGAATAAGCCAATCACGTGGGGCCCATTGTGTAAATAATGTATATGAAGCAGACATTCTGGGGGAATGTGGTGGGGGAACTTCCATTCCTCCTCACCACTATGAGCAGAATAAAGAGCATGAAATCCACTCTCGACTCCGAGTATATTTCAAAGACACACACACAGAAAGACTCACCCCCTGGAGCCAAGGGGCTGGGGCCAGGTATGCAGGTTGGCATCTACCTTGGGACTGGCACTCCTGCCTAGATTGGCTGTTGCATGAGAGGAGGGGTTGCACTGACATGCATACTCCCCCAGCTTAGAGAGAGAGAAAGAAAACACATTGAGGGGAGCAATCTGCGGCTGGGCTGTCCTAAGTCAGACTGAAGAAGGGTGGTGTGAATTGCACATGACTGTTATTTCACATCCCCAACCCAACCCCACAAATAATCATAAAACACCTGCATTCAGAAAATGGGAATGTCAGGGTTAATAGCGTAGCCATCTCTTTTACAGAAAAAGTTTATGCACTATGAAGAATTCAGTCATGGGGCTCTAGCCCACAGGTGGACCATATCCAACACCTCACACAGCAACACACATGAGAACAAGTGACCATGTGGCATCCACATCATTGTCCACCCAAGCAGACACGGAAAAGGAAGTACTTTTCCACCCTGTGCATGGCTAACTATGGAATTTGTTACAAATTGTAGTGATGGCTGCCCAGATTCTGCCAACCTAGCAGTTCGAAAGCATACCAGTGCAAGTAGATAAACAGGTAACACTGTGGCGGAAAGGTAAACGGCGTTTCCGTGCGCTCTGGCACTTGTCACGGTCCTCCATGCACCAGTAATGGTTTAGTCATGCTGGCCACATGACCCAGAAAGCTGTCTGTGGACAAACACCGGCTCCCTCGGCCTGAAACAAGATGAGCGCCACAACCCCATAGTCCAGCCTTTGACTGGACTTAACCATCCAGGGGTCCTTTACCTTTTACCTTAAAAAGGGATTAGACAAATCCACAGAGGATAAGGCTACCAATGCTAGCAGCCATAACGGCTGCAAAATAAAACAGGCATCATGCCCCTGATTGCCAGTTGCAGGGGAACAACAGCAGGAGAGAACATATGGTTGGCCTCTGTGGGAAAGAGGATGCTGGGCTAATTAATTAGGCTCACATGGCAGCAGGATTGGCATCTCCAGTGGAGGAGCTTCATGCTCCGGCACCAAGGGGCAGAGAGCAGGTGGGGGTGGGGCTGGCGCGAGTCCCGGGGGCGTGGTGCGCCACCCGCAGGGGTGGGGCACGTGCCCTGGGGGCGGGGCATTCCTCCTGCAGGGGTGTGGCGTCCAGCACGGGCGGGACGGGGCTGCCGTGATGGCACCCCACTGGGATCACGCTGCCGGGGGCGGTGCACTCCCCCCGCACTCCTCTTCCTCCCCCAGTGGGAATCTGCTAGCTTTTAATGCAGGTGTGGGGAATCTTTGTCCTTCCAATGTTGCTAAACCCTTAGTCCCATTAGCCCTAGCAAGCATGGCCAGTGGGCAGGAATGGTAGGCTGCAGTTCAGCAACCTTGGGAGGGCACCAAGATAAAAGAAAGATACTGACGGGTGCATCTGCAAGCAGACTGCCTTGCAGAGCTCTTGGAAAGAAGAATGTAGCCCAAGAGCTCAGACTCCATTGCGGTGGACAATTTTCCTGGCCGACTAGTTTGAAAGTTAAAGTTTTTAACAGAGGTTCAGGACATATTCAAAGCTGTGATCTGTAGCATTCTCATAAGTGAAAGTAGACTTTTAAAAGAGAAACATAACGCAAACCTCCAATTAGATCAAGTGCTCAACTGCCTACTCTAGATGAGATTGCACTTTCCCTGAAGGAGCAGGTTTGCAGTTTGGGGGTGTTTCTGAATGCAACTGTCACTGGAGCTACAAGTGCCTTCTTCCAACTATGATTGGTTTGACAGTAACGGCCATTCATAGATTTATAGAATCCAGATCAGGAAAACCTTGGCACCGGAGTTCCTTATCTTTAAACCAGATTTGTGTGGGATGTAAGCATCGAAAAGGCCTATGTAAAGGGTTAATTACAAGAACTGCAGAACTCTGTGATGTCGTACACTCTGTGTCCGTTATAGAGTTGGTACAGTTATGGCAGTTAGCGGAACAGTCTCAGCTGACCAGCAGATATGTTCCGTTGTGCTGTTGTCTGCCTCAAAGTTAGATTCAGGTGGAAAGCCGTGTTGATCTGTCAAAGTCATAATAAATAACAAGATGGAAGATGGAAAAATCTTTTTTAATAATTCCAGTGGCACCTTTAAGATCAACTAAATATAAGCTTTCAAGGTATGAGCTTTCATGTTTAATCAAATTAGATGTTAAATGTTAGGATGTTAGATGTTCTAGCAAATTAAGTATCATCTACCTACATTGTGAGGGACGCGGGTGGCGCTGTGGGTTAAACCACAGAGCTTAGGGCTTGCCGATCAGAAGGTCAGCAGTTCGAATCCCCGCGACGGGGTGAGCTCCCATTGCTCGGTCCCTGTTCCTGCCAACCTAGCAGTTCAAAAGCACAAAGTGCAAGTAGATAAATAGGTACCACTTTGGTGGGAAGGTAAACAGCATTTCCATGCGCCGCTCTGGTTCGCCAGAAGCGGCTTAGTCATGCTGGCCACATGACCCGGAAGCTGTACGCCGGCTCCCTCGGCCAATAAAGCGAGATGAGCGCTGCAACCCCAGAGTCGGTCACGACTGGACCTAATGGTCAGGGGTCCCTTTACCTCTACCTACATTGTGTATTTTAATCTACAAGTGCAAGTAAACTAAGTAATAGTCGTATGTTATTTGAACTTTAAAAGAGAGTGACTTGCATAGTTTTTATAGGAGAGAAAAGAGAACTAATGAAAGAGTCAAAGGACCCAGGGCTGTCTTCCACATACTCTGGCAAATGGGAACTACAGTGTAATTCCCACAATTTGGACTGGACGCAGCTTTCAAATAGAGGGCTGTCCTCTGTAAAACGGGGAACATGACCACTCTGCACAGGTTCCCCACCTGAGTTTTAAAGGACAACATATCTGATAATCATCAAGCTCTGTCCACACACAATAACATGGTACAAGAATAAACACTGAAGACAGCACTACACATTACACACACATGACTTATTCAATTTGTTTTTGAATAACTGCTTTTATGCAGCCTCTCATAACAGAAGTTCTCTGGATGTTGCACAAAGCAACCCTTCCAGTCAAAGTATATAAAACAATAGAAATGACAACTAAATTAATTTTTTAAAACTGAAACAATTAAAAAGCTATGGATTAGATCAAACTAGGTTATATAGCAGACCTGCTGAAAATAGTGGGCTTACTCTGAGCACAGCTAATGTTGGATAGCAACCTACATTTCTTTTCTGCATTTCTTAAGGGTTATTTAAAAACTTATCTTTATTTTGAAATTGCCTCTTAGGAGAAAAGCTGTAACCCAGTGAGCTTCAGGGTCAGACTGGCAGAACCATGAAATGTGTACAGCAAGACTTTATGTTCCCAGAACTGCGCTCATAATAACAAGATAACATTCAACGCACAGTTGTGTCAAATGGAAGCTTTCAGTGAAGAATTAGACATAACATCCTCATTGGTGCAATAATAATATAGGAAAATTCCTGCATGCTGATATCCAAGTTTGGGGCAAGTATACTTTGGTGAGAGAACCCCAGCAGAGATTTAATGTCACAAAATAGTGTTATAGACAGTATAAACCTAGAAATTAATAAATGCTAGGATTTTGGTTATTTGTGGTATGAAGGGACAACGCAAGCTGCAAAGAAATTCCTGGGCTGGCTTATGCAAACCAACCTGGCTGGCTGGAGGAAGAGCAGACCTGTTAGCATTACAAAAATGTGTTGATAGGCCATAGAAGGATCCTTTGGCCTAGGGAGTCAGATGTCACAAAAGTTGCCAGGGTAACTGTGTGTTTGATGGCACAGGAAAAGGGAGTTTGAAGCAAATGCTTCTAGGCCCAAGGAGGAGGAGGCAATAAGGCTGGGAACCATCTTTGAGGGAAACAGCCTAAAGGTTACTTGTGCTGCTGCTGCTTCTGGAAATGTGCATGCTTTACAATCTAGACTTCCTCCATGCAAACCTCTTCACCTGCTGAGCTTCTCAGGTAGACTAGGGGACAGCAGAAGCTTGATTACCTAGTTCCTCCCAAAGTAAGGGGAAGTGGACACACCTAAGCCTGGCAGAACAGCTTAGTCTATGCTATTTCCTTCTTCCTGCATTAATTAGAAAGCAGGTTGGTTATATGAAGCTGGTTTTCCCATAATCCGCACAAACTTTCCTCCTTAAAAGCGATTCCACAGCCCCTTGCCTCTGGAGCAGAGCCTCAGAAAATGGCCTGGGCAGGTTCTTTTGGGAGCAGAGTGCTTGTTCAGATAAAGGAAAGAAACAGTAAAAGGTAAAGGACCCTCAGACGGTTAAGTCCAGTTAAAGGTGACTATGGGGTGCGGCGCTTATCTCGCTTTTCAAGCCAAGGGAGCCGGCGTCTGCCCACAGACAGCTTTCCGGGTCATGTGGCCAGCATGACTAAACCGCTTTTGATGCAAGGGGACACCATGACAGAAGCCAGAGCACATGGAAATGCCATTTGCCTTCCCGCTGCACAGTGGCGTAGCGTGGGTTGTCAGCACCCGGGGCAAGGCAAGTAATTTGCGCCCCCTAACCCGTGGATTTGTGCCCCCTAACCTGTGGATTTGTGCCCCCTAACCCTAACCCCCAGATGTTGTGCCCGGTGCGGCCGGCCCCCCCTGCACCCCCCACGCTACGCCACTGCCGCTGCAGATTTATCTGGTGTGTTTTGGAACTGCTAAGTTGGCAGAAGCTGGGACAGAGCAATGGGAGCTCACCCGTTGCACAAATTCGAACCGCCAACCTTCCAATCAGCAAGATACCCGATATATGGATACCTGGGGCTAAGGAATCTATAGTTTGTGCAGCACAAGGAAAGGCAGAATCCCAAAAGGAAGCTTCCTTATAAGAAGTTCCTCTTCGCCATCGCTATCGCCACTCAATAGGCTTGTCGAATTGAGCTCTAACCCATGTCTGGTCCGATTCAGAATCAGTTTTCTGCCACCGGCACGCTAGCTGTCTCAGCGATTGTTTCATTGCCCTCAGCTCTGGGCAAAACCATGGGGCTATCCGGACTCCATGCAATGGGAGAGGGCGCTTCAGAGCCAGTCCTGGTTAACTCCGCATTCCAGCAGGCCACCAGGGAATCATCTGAAAGGCCATCAACATGGGATAAAACACCCCCTACCACTTTTTGGAAACCATTTATATCCATGAAGTGGTGGGGGCAGACCATCCAAATCGGTCCCACCTCCCTGCAGAATGGAAGGGTTGTGGAGAAGTCCAGTTGCATCAGGAAGTGATCCGACCATGGCACTTCTTTTGTTTCATTTTACTTAGTGTTGAATCACCCACGTCCACAGAGGTGAACACCAGGCCTAAGGCATGTCCGCGACTATGAGTTGGGCCAAACTTATTCAGGGACAACCCCATGAAGGCCATGCTTTCCACGAAGTCCTGAGTTCCCCTTGTAAAGTCATGTCAGCATAGATGTTAAAATCCCCTAGGACAGGGATGTCCAACCGGTCAACCACAATCAACAGGTCGATCCCCTCTTGATAGAAGTTGACCGCAGGCTCTATTTCCTCCGCAGGGGGGAATGAGGCCTGGCCCTGCCCCCTCACTCTGTCCATTATTTGCACACAATTTCAAGAACGGAAGACGGCGGGATTAAGCGTGTTCTCCTTCATAGAGAGCACGTGTTGCGGTGGGATCTGAACAGGCCACCCCTCTGTTGCTGGGCGGGTTAGTATGGATGACCATCCGCGGTGATTGGGTGGTTGGGTTACTGGGCAAATATTGGTGTTGCCATTTAGGGGGGTGGACCAAAGGTTATAAAATCAAGTCACACAGCATTGACTGGGCCCTTTTGCTGCGTGCATCGGATCACCTGGAGCACTTGGACCGTCTGGAGGACAGTGGAGCGGTCTGGTTACATTTCTTTATTTCCTCCTCCTTTTTAATCTTCTCTAGTTCCTTAATTACCGTATTTTTTGCTCTATAAGACTCACTTTTTCCCTTCTAAAAAGTAAGGGGGAGTGTGTGTGCATCTTATGGAGTGAATGCAGGCTGCACAGCTATCCCAGAAGCCAGAACAGCAAGAGGGATTGCTGCTTTCACTGCGTAGCGATCCCTCTTGCTGTTCTGGCTTCTGATATTCAGAATATTTTTTTTCTTGTTTTCCTCCTCCAAAAACTAGGTGCGTCTTGTGGTCTGGTGCGTCTTATAGAGCGAAAAATACGGTAATTTAATTCCCCTTTTCTCCCGTTTGATTTCCCACCCCACCCCTTACCCTGCCCTTTGAGAAGATTCTCCCTGTATCTGTGAGCGCTGCCTGTGTGTAATCCTCCTTGTCTTGCCTTTCCCAATAGGAAGAGAGCCCCCATTAGGGGCTTTCTTTTGCAAAAATGTTTTCCCCATTTTGCCAGTTTGTTAATTGTGGGGCTAGTCAGGGCTGTTCCCAGCTTAGCTGGAATCACTTTCGTTTATAGTATCCCCAAAGGTTGGCTTTCTTTTGGGTGCGTGCAGTGCTGTTTGCTGAATTTTAATCTAGCCTTGGGCGGGAGCGCTATTTTGAGCTTCCTTTAATATTGCAATAAGACAAATATTCTTAGGAGCAGAAGCAGGGAGGCCTTCACGGCCTGCACATATCATTCAAGCCTAAGCCTGCTACAGTTAGCAGTACAGTAAGTTGTTAAGTCTCTGTGACACGTGACTCATTGTCTCCATAAAAATGTATCTGCTTGCAGGCTCAGTTGTTGCTAATGTATATCTGAGGCAGACAGGGGGAGCCAGAGGCTCTCTGTGCCTCCAATGATTATGAGCACTCTGTGTATGCTCTTGAACTATGCTGCTTCTGAATAAGTTTATTTTCTTCTAGTTTGTTTTGCTCTGATAGTGGCAACCGCCATTTTAGAGACAAGCCATTGTGGATTGTGGCTAGAGTGCAGGACTAAGGACCTGGGAGACAGGGTTCATATCCCCCACTTAGCCATTGTTATAACAAAACAAAACAAGCTTCTCCTTTTGGACTACGGTGGTACCTCTGGCTACGTACTTAATTCGTTCCAGAGGTCCGTTCTTAACCTGAAACTGTTCTTAACCTGAAGCACCACTTTAGCTAATGGGGCCTCCCGCTGCTGATGTGCTGCTGCCGCACGATTTCTGTTCTCATCCTGAAGCAAATTTCTGGGTTAGCAGAGTCTGCAACCTGAAGCGTATGTAACCTGAAGCGTATGTAACCTGAGGTACCACTGTATTCTGTTGCTGGGTAAAGGTAAAGGGACCCCTGACCTTTAGGTCCAGTTGTGACTGAGACTGGGGTTGCAGCGCTCATCTCGCTTTATCGGTCGAGGGAGCCGGCGTACAGCTTCCGGGTCATGTGGCCAGCATGACTAAGCCGCTTCTGGTGAACCAGAGCAGCGCATGGAAACGCCGTTTACCTTCCCGCCAGAGCGGTACCTATTGATCTACTTGCAGTTTGACGTGCTTTCGAACTGCTAGGTTGGCAGGAGCAGGGACCGAGCAACGGGAGCTCACTCCGTTGCAGGAATTCGAACCGCCGACCTTCTGATCGGCAAGTCCTAGGCTTTGTGGTTTAACCCACAGCGCCACCTGCGTTATTGGGTAGTTCGGCCCATTAGTGATATTGCTCCCAAAAAAGAACTTTGAGTTTTCCCCATTGTAGTGGCAGCACACATCTGGACTTAGGAGTTAAGGGACCATTGGGTCTGTCTTGGTCTGATAACCAGGCAGTGGTGAGCGTCCTGGCAAAACGGTTCTCATGCTCCGGCTGAGTCTCCACCCCTTTTATGTGCTTTCCAGCTGCACTGCTTAAGGTTTAATATTGTGTTTCTGCTCTCTTTATTCAGGGATCATCTAATGTTTTCGCTGACACTCTATCCCATTTTTTCAGTTGGAGAGCTTCAGATCCCGGGCGCTGGACGCCCAGCTATAGCTGGATTTTTCTGGAGCTCCTGTGGCACATTGGCAACAATTAATAATTACGGGGAGTAGTAGCTTATGTTTCCCCTTCTGCTTTTAGGTCTTATGAGAAGGCCTGGACTGATTTCTTAGCGTTTAGCTGGCAGTTCTCGGCCATTCAGAGGAACTTGCCCCCATCCTCTGAGCAGGTCCTGCAGTACTTGGCCCAGCTGCTGCAGATCGGATGCACTGATAAGGCTATCAGAATTCAGTCCGCTGCAATGTCTGTGTTATGTACTGAGTTGAATAGGATCCAAAATGCATCAGTCTGATTGGTCCTAGAACAATAGGATCCAAAATGCAGCAGTCTGATTGGTCCTAGAACAATAGGATTCAGAATGCAGTAGTCTGATTGGTCCTAGAACAATGCAGCAATATGATTGGTCTGCAAGAGCCACCCAATCCGGCTCCGGGTGGAAGTGAATCCACAACCTGATTGGCCTACAGGAGAATTCCGGAATTAGCCAATCACATGCAGCCCACTGTGTAAATAATGTATATAAAGCAGATACTTTGAGGGGGCATTCATTCCTCCTCACCACTATGAGCTGAATAAAGAGCATGAAATCCACCTTCGACTCTGAGTATATTTCAGTCTGCTATAGTAAAGCTTTAATTTTTCAGAGACCCTTGTAAAAAAGGGTCGTGCGCAGGGCCTTGGAAGGTTGGAATAGGCTCCAACCTTCACAGGACAGCAGGCAGGAAGCCAGTCAATTTTTGACCTATGCAGTATCCACAAGACTTGTCTGCTGGTTCAAGATCAAGGCGAGACTTCTTTCAGTATTCCATTGCAATTTTGGTGTACTGAGGGTTGGGGAAATTGTGTTGGAGCCAGCACAAGGCTGAGAGTAAGTGCCTGCCCCTCCAATGCTGCTGCAGAAAGGGAATTCCGTTAAAGGATTCCAGGAGCTTGCCACTCTTTTGTCCGTACCCCTGAATGGGGCTTAGGGCTGCGCAAGCCCCCGGGAGCATGCGGGGGGGTGGGAAGGAGGGTCTGGTGCCCAGGAGCATGCGGGGGGGGGGGATGAGGGTCTGGTGCCCGGCTCCATGCTCTCCCCATTATTGTTTTCCCTCACTGGCTTTCGCTGGAATCCGGAAGTCAGTTCTGTCCCTAGATGTGGGGACAGATAGTCATAACCAGTGCCTAAGCAACCACTCACATTTATGTATTTTAATAAAGTTGTGGCCAAAATTATGCCAAAAACCTTAAACAAAAATTATGTGTGAATTGTGAATTATTTAGGGCTGGCTTGGGGGACCTCGACACGCAACTTCTTGTTTAGCGATCCATGTTGCGTTCCCCCCCAAAAGTGGCAGAAGTATTTGCTCGCCCCCCTACAAAAAGCTCAAAAACTTTGGGTGTCCCCCCCTGCCCCCAAATGGGTAGATCAGTGGTAGTTTTTTTTCCCCTGGGAGTAGATTGCAGTCTCTTGGAAGTTGGATGTTCCTGTCCTAGGACAACCAAACTAGGTGTCTCCAGGAGAACATCTGCCACGACCTGAAGCAGCTTGGGCAGGGAATCCTTGGTGCAGCAAGGAAGTCAGTACCCGAAAAGGAATCCTGTACTGCCCCTATTGCCCAGCGTCCAGAACATGCACTCAGAAAACTGGGTCTTTCCAATAGGATGCCTGGTGCAAGCTACCGACTTCCTAAAAATAACTGCAACACCCCCCTCCCCTCCCATATGATCTCGGTTGCTGTGTGTAAGAGAAACCTGGCAAGAACAGGGCCATCTGCTTCATCTAGCCAAGTTGCTGTTACACATGCCAGGGCAAGTCCTATATCCATGATCAAGTTGTGGATGACAGCGGTCTTGTGAATCATTGACCTGGCATTTGCACAGCAGCATTCTAAGGTCATGTGGGTCTCCCTTGTTGGTTCCAGTATATTTCTGGTCAAGACCAGACCCAGAGGCAAGGATAGTCTTCAAACAATGACTAAACCTGCCTCCTTGGTAATGTCATGATGTGGTCTTAGCGTAACTGCTCCTCCTACCCGTGATCACTGAGATCGGTTGTCCCGGTGCATCCCCTCTGTGGAACCTGCCCCAGCCATTCATTATACCATTTCCATTCCTTTATAATAAGTTTGTTATCCTGATTTCTTATTCTTCTGGTAAGTTTCACCATTTTTGCATAGTCCATACGTTTTTGTAACCAATCTTTCTTTCATTCCTTCACCTGTCCATTTTTGGGCAAATAACATTCTTGCACCTGTGGTTTCATACATAAATAAATTTCTATACTATCTATACTGTACCTATAATTCTCAAAAGAAAAGCTTCTGTTTTTTTAAAACAAATGTTAACTTAAACATCTTTTTCCATTCATTATATATCATTTCCCAGTACGTTTTTACCTTATTGCAAGATGACCACATATGATAAAAGGTGCCTTCTTTATGTTTCCAACACTTGTTTGATTTTGATTTATACATTTTTGCCAATCTAGTAGGTGTTAGATTCCATCTATATAACATTTTCATACAGTTTCCCCTCACGCTATAATGTGCAGTAAATTTTATATCCATATTCCACAGTCGCTTCCATGCATCCATATCAGTGGTATGACCCATATCAATTGTCCAATGTATTGTTGAAGATTATACCATATTGGCCCGCATATAAGCTGCACCCGAATATAAGCCACACCTTTAAAATGAGGGGGGGGGGAGAAAAAATGCTCAAATATAAGCTGCTCCATTCCTCACTGCTCCTGGCTGCGTACTGGGCGGGGTGGGGGGAGCTGCGCTCCATTGCCAGCGGTCTTTTCCCTTCCTCGCTCTCTCCCTTCCCGGCCTTGGGGGAGAGGACGGGGGACTACGCGGGGGGGGGGGGTCGCTGCTTTGCTCCTGGAGCTGCTTGCCCCATGCTCCTGGCTGCATACCATAAGGTCGCTAATATAAGCTGCACGATTGGAAAGAGACCTGCTGGAATGTAAAGTTAAAATGTTGATCAAAACGTATAAGATATTATTGGAATGGGAAACAAAGGATGAACAAGTACTGTATTGGCCTGAATATAAGCCTCACTTTTTCTCCAAATTCCAACTGTGAAAAGTTAAAGTGAGGCTTATATTCGCGACCTTATGGCATGGAAGCCCAGGAGCTGCAAATGTATTTTTGCCATGTGTTGAAGCAATCCATATTGCTAATCGCCGTTATTGATTGAAAGAGAAATAACATTTTGGGTAATACAATTGTTATTATAGTTGACGCTCTTCCCACCAATGAAGGTTTTATCCTGCCCCATACTTGCAAATTTCTTTTAATATCTTCACAAGTTTTTAAATAATTATCTTTGAACAAGTTTGTATTATTTTCTGTTAACCATACTCCTAAATATTTAATATTTCTTTCAATCTTTAAGCCTGATACATCTTGTTATTTATTTTTACTCCCACCATTCATATTTTTGATCAAGAGTTTGGTTTGGTCTTTATTTATTTTAAGTCCTGCTACTTCACCAAATGGCTGAATATCAGTTCAAATTTTGCAGATCCACAAAGGATGCATCTGCACACTATACTAAAACAATCAGCCTGCCATGGAGATCTGAAGGCAGCCCTGGATCAGGTGGTTTTTAATGTCTGAGGTTTTACTATGTTTTTATATATACTGTAAGCCGCCCAGATTGACTGGCGAATCCCAGCCAAATGGGTGTGGTATAAATAATAAAAGTAGTAGTAGTAGTGGTGGTAGTAGTAGTATATTATCTTCATTCCTGAAAGGATTCCTCCAGTGAGAAAATTACACAGGCAAACTTGATAGAAAGCACAGAGCAGGACTCTGACAAAGGATTATTTTATTGCTGAGAGATAATAATGATAATAATGATGATGATAATAATAATAATAATAATAATAATAATTTTTATTTATACCCCGCCCTCCCCAGCCAAGGCCGAGCTCAGGGCGGCTAACAAGCAATAATAAAAACAAGTTGAATGATTACAACTTAAAAACAAAATTAAAATACAATATTAAAATATTGAAACATTAAAATATTAAAATGTAGCCTCATCGCAGGAGGAGAAAAGAAAAAAGAAAGAGAGGGAGGGAATCAAATTGGCTCCAAGCCAAAGGCCAGGCGGAACAACTCTGTGATGGACTTCAAGGACCAATTAATCCAGCTGTGTGCAGTCTTTGATACTGGTGTCCCAGAAAGGTACACATAACAGGGAAAGACTTCTTTGATTCTACAGGGAACTGGGACTGGTCTACCCATGAGGCAAAGTGAGGCAACTGCCTCAGGTGGCAAGAACCAAAGGGCAGCAGATCCAGCCTCCAAGAAATGCATTTTTCAGTGCTGCTGCAACCACGGTGGCCCTCAGCTCCCAGGCTGCCCTTGCATACTGTTATGTACTGAGCTGAATCCTAGATCAATAGGATCCAGAATGCAGCAGTCTGAGTGGTCTGCAGAAGCCACCAATCCAGCTCCAGGTGGAAGTGAATCAGCAACCTGATTGGCCTGCAGGAGCAGCCAATCAGGCTCCTGAATGAAGTGAATCAGCAACCTGATTGGCCTACAGGAGCAGCCCGGAATTAGCCAATCACGTGGGGCCCATTGTGTAAATAATGTATACAGTGGTGCCCCGCAAGACGAATGCCTCGCAAGACGAAAAACTCGCTAGACGAAAGAGTTTTCCGTTTTTTGAGTCGTTCCGCAAGACGAATTTCCCTATGGGCTTGCTTCGCAAGACGAAACGTCTTGCGAGTTCTTGCGAGTTTGTTTCCTTTTTCTTAACGCCGCTAAGCCGTTAATAGCCGCTAAGCCACTAAGCTGTTAATAGCCGCTAAGCCGCTAATAGCCGTGCTTCGCAAGACAAAAAAACCGCAAGACGAAGAGACTCGCGGAACGGATTAATTTCGTCTTGCGAGGCAACACTGTATATAGCTAGACATTTTGGGGAAAGATTCATTCATTGCTACTATGAGCTGAATAAAGAGCATTAAATTCACACTCTGAGTATATTTCACATACAGTAAGCACAAGAAAGGCCAGTGCAGAGTTTGCCTTCCCAGCCTCCCACTTGTCTGTCCATTCTGAATAAGCAAGGGCTGGCAGACTGGCTGGCTGGGCTCCCTTGCCTGCTTGCTTACTTACTCTGAGGCTGCCTCAGCTCCTGGGAAACAGCACCCCCTGGCCAGACCCAGAGGCACTATTTGCCTGCAGAGCTGGTAGCCAGGGCTGCTGCAACAAACAGCTGTGCAAGCCTTTGAGAGACAGAGATACGAGAGCGCATCAAAGGGAAGGTAAGAGGGACAGAGACCAATGTCTCCCGCAGGACCCCTGGCCATCATGTAAGGCACCCCAGGGTGCCACGGCACACTGATTGAAAACCATGGCTTTTGAACCTCAACTCCCATCAACTCCAGCCAACATGGCCAGTGATGATGGGAGTTGTAGTCCAACAGCATCAGGCGGGTCAAAGGTCCCCCTTTCCTGTGTTGGTGCATGCATGTGCATGTATGGAGGGAATGAGTGTCTTGACTAGTCCTGACAGGGTCCTCTTGATAACATGCCATGTTAGGACAGAATGGGTGCACACTTTGCTGACCCTCCTCAGTGGTCATGGAACAAACTTTCCTTAGCAGTCCATAAAGAAGTCCTATCCTGCCCCATTTTTCAGGAGTGCTGTAGGAGTTCCTTGGCTGGGTCAGCTTTTACTTTGCTGGTTAGATAAGCATAGGAGAATTTTAATCTAGTGCCTTTGAAAAAATAATTGGGCAGCAGTAGGGATGACACAACAGGCAGAATGTGTGGGAACGACTTCATGGGAACGTAAGCTAAGCTTTGATCTACAAGGGAGGATGAGGTGACTGGGGGAGCAAGTGCAATACAGATGTACAACAAGCCACACGGTTTTGCTAAACCCAACTTTTAATTGAAACTCAAGGAAGTAAACAAAATGACAGGAGAAGTAAGATAAACAAGGGGAGGAAAAAGAGGAAATGAGCCCTCTTCCCCTCAGTACTGCTCTGGTTCAGACATAGGATGGGTGTAGAAGCCACTTTCTATGCTGTCTTCAACATGACATTTGGTTAGACATTTTTCAGAACGAAAGAACAGAGCATTCTATTAACAAGATGGATTAGGCTCCCATCACACTGATCTGCTGTTGAGAAACACCTAAATCGTGAGCTCCATGCCTTAATTTTTCTTGCCTCGGGTATTCTTGCACCTGGCTTTGCTGCCTCTGGGGCGTTAGATGCCGTTAGGAGGCTCCATGCCTTCAGGCACTATTACTTGGGGGTTCTCTTTCTTGAGATCTCCTGCGTCTGCGCTTCACGCCTCTAGGGGGCTCCATATCTTCCTCTTCCCTCTCTCTGGGCTCCACACCTTGATTTTTCTTGTCTTGGGACTTCTTGCGCTTGGGTTCCCTCCTTCTCTGGGGTTCGATGCCCTGAGGAGGCGCCATGCCTCTAGGTGCTATCCCTGGAGCTTCCATGCCTTGACGTCCCATGCCTTGACGTCCCATGCCTCGACGTCCCATGCCTTGACGTCCCATGCCTTGACGTCCCATGCCTCGACGTCCCATGTCTTGACGTCCCATGCCTTGACGTCCCATGCCTCGACGTCCCATGCCTCGACATCCCATGCCTTGACGTCCCATGCCTTGACGTCCCATGCCTTGACGTTCCATGTCTTGACGTCCCATGCCTTGATGTCCCATGCCTCGACGTCCCATGCCTCTGCGCTGTGTACCTCTAGGGGGCTCCCTTCCTCCTCTACCTGCATTAAAGACCATCACACTTACAAAAGCAGCACATTTGATAGATGGAGAAGCAAAAGTGGGAGTTACTTGCCCATGACCATGCAAGGAACCCATGCCAGTGCCTAATACATGCATAGAGAAGCTTTGAATGAAGCTTTATGTGTTTCAGACAGAAGGGGGCTCAAGGCAATATGTGTCAGAGTGCAGAGACGCATTGCCTCGCACACCCCTGGAAGCACAATATGTGGTCTGATTGTGAGGGCAGCCTCAACTGCCAAAGTAAGGTGACAGGGACTGAGCCAAGGGCACAGAGGGAATGGTTTGGATCCCTTTGTCCTCCCATAGGGTCCACGCCCCCCCCCATTGCATCATGTTTAAGGAACATAATAATCATTGCCTAAGATCTCACAAGGCCTCATCTCCAAGAGGCAACTCAATCAGAATTGTCATTTTAAATTATGTCTCTTATTTGTCAAGACTTTATAATTTGGCACTTCTGAACAGGTATCTATTTCTTTTAGATCCAATTATTAACAAGAATGCTTCCATCCTGTCCCATGTTATAGCTTTTAAGGTGACTATATCATTTGACTTCCAGAGAATTTGCTGCTTTGCTAAGACATTGCAACAGATAACAATAGGAATAAGAGTTATCCTTTTTCTTGTGGATATCTTTCCATTTTAATTTATTGTGCTGTGATTTATACCACTTAAATCAGTGTCCTTTCTCATTTAAACCTGAAACCTCTCACCTTGGAAATTGATCAAGGGCGCTTGTGGCTCTCCCATCACTCCACCTTGCATTACTTGGGGCTGTCCCATCAAAGGCATCTGCTGTCTTATCATTCCGCCTCTCATTCGTGGTCTACGTATTTGACGATCAGGCACCCGGGGCATTTGGGGGCCCAAAAAACGAATCTGCTGGATCATTTCCCAAAGATTATACCTGCAGGTAAGGGGGGTGGGGGAAGAAGACATCAGAATACAGATTCAGTTCTTTCAGACAACAAACAAGGTGGCCAATCACTGCATGGCTTCTACTGCTTTCAGGAAGCAAGGACAGAAATAACTGCCATGAACTGGGAACCCACAGCTCTGTGCCCGTGGCCATGTGTTGAGTCTCCAGATCTCTCATTTGCCCGGAAGGATACTGAACTGTGACAAAGTACAACAGAGGCTCTGGAATGGCACTGCACACCCTAGCTGGCCATTGGCTCTTCCCGGACAGGATGGGCTAGAAAACGGCTCCCTCTTTGGGTTAGGGGCTTTGCCTAAGCAACAACAATTGCTCTTGGCTCTGGTGTGCTTCAATGTGTCCTTTGGCTCTGACCCTCTGGCACCACAACAGGCTCCCCTCTAACACCTGCTTAAGCCTAAGCCCTGGCATCAGGAGAGCATATGAAGCTCTCCCTGCTTTGCAAGTCTGATGGCCCATTAAACACAGAGAACCAGGCCTCATAAAGGCTAGCACATATAATTAAAACAAAGCTGTCACTTCACCCCCTGCAGCTACAACAATGAAAGGGTGGGGGAGGTGAGGAGGAAGAGCTACTGCTACTTCCTACCAGAATTTTTAGAAATTCTGCAAGCATTCTAAGCCTACTGAGAACATACAATTATTCCTTCTTAACACCAGTTCTACCAGTTCCAGCTCATTCTGCCTACCTTCCATAGGCTGGCCGTTGCATAGACGCCCCAAATGGAAGATTCGGGTAATATATGGGAAGGCCTGGAGCAGATACTGTGCTAGCTTCCACTGGGTGGAATTGGTCGGATTCCTGTGTATCTGGCATGGTCACTGTCAGGAAGGCAAAAGGCAGAGAAAGTTAAAATCTAGGGAGAGACAGTCTCAAGACTGATGGCACGGCACTATTCCAGTTAAAGTGCATCGCCTCTGGAAAAACCAGGACACCCTGAAAGTTGTTGAGATTTTTTAAGGAAGACACCCAAAATGTTGAGTCTTTCTTAAGAAAACCACCGTTTACAAAAATGCCAAAAAAACCACAAAATTTTTTGATGGACTTACTTGCCTAAGATCCAGGACAAAGTGCCGCCTTTTGGAAATTCCCCCTGGGTGTCAATTCCGCCTTTGTTATATATATTTTTGAAACTATTTTTATTTGATTTTACAAATATAAAATTATAACATTCCAAATGAATATCCATATGTAGAGATTACTCTGAATCTCGTGACTTCCCCCCACCCCCTCCATGGGTCCTATTATCAACATTTACAACTGCCTATTATTCCATAGTCTTTATTTTATGTCAATCCAAATTATCCATGGTATCTGTTACTTTACAAGTGAGATTAAAATCCTGCTAATGTTTCCATCTGCTTGCAGTGGTCTCTTAGATATGTTATAAATTTTCCTCATTCTTTTAAAAAAAGTTTTTTCCCTCTTGGTTCCTGAATTTTACAGTCAGCTTTGCCATTTCAGGATTGTCCATCTGCTTAGCTTACTATTCCTCTCTGATAGAGACTTTGTCTTCCTTCCACCTTTAAGCTAGTAACACCCAAGCGGGTGTGTTCTGTACATAAAGAGTCTTTTCTGCTCCTTTGTGATGTCAGTACTGTACCTATGATTTCTAATAAGAAAGCTTTTGGTTTTTTTATCAAACGTTCTTTTAAACATTTTTTTTTTCATTTCATCATATATCATCTCCCAGAAAACTTTTATTACCTTACACGTCCAGCACATATGATAAAAGGTACCTACTTTTTCTTTACATTTCTAGCAGGTATTTGATTTGTACTTGTTCTATACATTTTTGCTAACTTACTAGGAGTCAGATACCACCAGAACATCATTTTCATATAATTTTCTTTCAGCGTGCAACATGCCACGAATTTCAAGTCTGTTTTGCATAACCTTTCCCAATCAGCCATCTGAATATTATGTCCGAAATCCTTTGCCCATCAATTCCGCCTTTTAAATCCCAGTCATGTCCAGGAAAATCCGGGCGAATGGCAGCCCAAGCCTGAGAAGCAACACACACTGTACTAAGTCAGGCTGCAAAGGGGTGGTGTGTGTTTCACATGACTGTTATTTCGTATCCCCAAACCCACAAATACAGTAATCATAAAACCCCTACATTAGTCCCCCAACAGCAAACAACTCAATATGGCTAACCTGACCCAACAACCTACCCCCCACCCACCCCTCCACCCACACATACAAACAAGCCACACTGCAATCACCTGAATGCAACCAACCAAGCTCAACCCCTTAATCTCTTGCATTATCAATAAAAATAAATAAATAAATACATACATAAACAAAGGAACTACCCACATGATGCTGACACAAACCCCTACACAAATAAAAGGCAACAGAACAATACCCCCATCTCTTCCCCAACTGAAAGATGTCTATGACAAAGGTCTCTCGCACCAACTGTAAACAAACAGTGAAAAAGACTATGAAATGAAAGTGGAGACAACAGATGTACCATTCACTGTTGAGCTATTTGTTTTGTAACACAAAAACTTCCGCAAAAAGTTTTTTGAGAAAAAACACACAACAACCCAATTCAGAAATTGGTAATACCAAGAAAAAGGCTTACACAGTCTAGCAATGTCTTCCCGATATGCCAGTGATCAACCTGCAGGAAACCTTTTTGAAGAGTGGAGCATGCAAACATGGGAAACCAGCCCCCAGGTGGATCACTTCCGACACCTCAATCAGCAACAAACAGGAGAACCGCTCAATGCTATTCTGCAAACACGCATCTCCCCAACAAGCCCAACAACCTCCATCCCTCTCTCATAAAGCTACAGTCCCCCCCTCATTATTTATTGTAAGTAATAAATATTAGTTGAACATTTAACATTCAATCAATCAACCTAGGACTTCCCCTCCATGGTTTCCCCAAAGTTCCAATTCTTACTGCGTATTATAATCGTTCTACACTTTAGTTTCTTCACAAAATGAATGCCACTGAGTTGTTATTATTATTATTAGACTTTATATACCGCCCTGTACTCTGAGGTCTCAGGGCAGTTCACAGAACAAAATCTAAATCCCAAAGCACCATATATATATAATCAAAATAAAAACAACAACCCAATAACATCTCCCCGCCCCCCACAAAAAAAGAACCACATTTAAAAAGGGCATAAGATGTCAAACAATCAGCCAAAAGCCTGGCTAAAATGGAACGTTTAAAAAGTTTGAGGACTCCTGCCTTTGAGATTTTAACTGCATCTCTCTACCTTGGTTGCGGCCAGCCTAGTTCCCCGTTCCAAGTCTCGAATCTTGCCAACGCTCACCGGTGCTCCAGTACCCTGCCTTCTCCACAGAAAACTCTTGAGAAATGTTAGGTTCCCTTACTGGAGGTTAATAATACTGAGGTAATGAATCAACTGCAATTACGTATCCTGCAATGTGAGCAGCCTCAACGAAAAAGACGCAACGAAGCATGATTGGCTGCCTTTCCAGCTCCTGTTATCTTCAAATGTTCCATTATCTGCAACATAGCTTCTTCACTCCCTTTTCAAGGATTTCCTTGGCTTTGTTTTTATTCCACCTAACTTTTTTTCTTCAGTACATCGTTACTAAACAATTAAGCTACTCTGGTGCCTTCCAGTTGCTCTGGGTGACAAAATTGGGGGAAAGGAAGGAATGTAAAGAGCATCACCTGACATAGCTGGCTATAGATGATCCAAGATACAGGCATGTCCAGAAGAAACACTGCCCAGGAAACGGTTGCTTATTTTATTTGCATTCAGGTTGATATCGTCCTACCTCCAAAATGTTCGTGGTTTTCTCCCACCCACCCAGCCCCATTTTATTTGCACAACACCACTTGTGAGGCAACTTAGGACAAGAGACCACAAGTGGCCCAAGTTAACCCAGGGAGCTTCATGGCTGAATTTGAACCTGGATCTCCTTAGTCCCAGCCACCACAGTACACTGCCTTTCAATTAGTCCTGTCATAAATTTCAATGGGTCTACTCTGAGTAGGACTACCATGAGATACAATCTTGGCTTTCGTTCTTTCTTTTTAATTGATCTTTATTGAGGGTTTTTTTTCCAATAAACAATTACACATTTTGCTTGCATCCAATATATAGTCTGTTACATCTTTATTAACTTTACTACACCCATGGCTTCCCACCACCTCACTACAGCATCCTCTACTTACATGTCATTTTCTATTGTGTTGTAAACCATGTTTTCACTCTTACATAAAATAAATAGCTTTCCTATCTGAATTTTAGCTTTGTGAAACTTAATCAATACATATCAGAGGTTTTACTTTGGAACAATGTTTTATCATATATTCTACACTTTCCCATTCTTTTCTAAGTTTCTGGTTTGATTGTTGTCTAATAGCTGCTGTCACTTTAACCAATTCTATGAACTCACATACCACATACTTTTGCCATTCTACCTTTGATGGAACTACAGTGGTGCCCCGCAAGACGAACGCCTCGCAAGACGAAAAACTCGCAAGACGAAAGGTTTTTTCGTTTTCGAGTTGCTTCGCAAGACGAATTTCCCTATGGGCTTGCTTCGCAAGACAAAAACATCTTGCAAGTTTGTTTCCTTTTTCGTAAAACCGTTAATACCCAGGGTGCATTGCTGGAAGAGGTGCAGTTGCGACTTGACTTCGAGGAGCAACACATTGCACGCGGTGTGGTGGCCTTTTTGAGCTTTTTAAAGAGTTTGCTGAATTTTTGAAGCTTTTCCAAAACTTCCTTTGCAGCTGTTTGGTAAGTTAAACTTTTAAAACTTTTTTGGGTTTTTTGAATTTTGGGTTGGGGTGTTTAGAATTCAAGGACTTGGTGTTGGGGAGAGGTTTGCAAGAATCTGGGAGCTTGTGTGGTTTTTTCTGCATTTTTATGATTTTCTGTGACCATTGGGCCTTTTTTTTTTTTTGAAAAAAAAATCTGGGTTTGAATTTCTGTGTGCTGGGTGGATGGGGGAACAGTTGAGGAGGGGTTTGCAAGAATCTGGGAGCTTGTGTGGTTTTTTCTGCATTTTAATGATTTTCTGTGACCATTGGGCCATGTTGGTTTTTTTTGAAAAAATTTTCTGGGTTTTGAGTTTCTGTGTGCTGGGTGGATGGGGGAACAGCTGGGGAGGGGTTTGCAAGAATCTGGGAGCTTGTGTGGTTTTTTTTGGAATTTTTATGGTTTTCGGGGACCATTGGGCCATGTTGGTTTTTTTTTGGAAAAAAATTCTGGGTTTTGAATTTCTGTGTGCTGGGTGGCTGGGGGAACAGCTGGGGAGGGGTATGCAAGAATCTGGGAGCTTGTGTGGGTTTTTTTGAATTTTTATGGTTTTCTGTGACCATTGGGCCATGTTGTTTTTTTGAAAAAAAATTCTGGGTTTTGAATTTCTGTGTGCTGGGTGGCTGGGGGAACAGCTGGGGAGGGGTTTGCAAGAATCTGGGAGCTTGTGTGGTTTTTTTTTTGAATTTTTATGGTTTTCTGTGACCATTGGGCCATGTTGTTTTTTTTGGAAAAAATTTCTGGGTTTTGAATTTCTGTGTGCTGGGTGGCTGGGGGAACAGCTGGGGAGGGGTTTGCAAGAATCTGGGAGCTTGTGTGGGGTTTTTTTTGAATTTTTATGGTTTTCTGTGACCATTGGGCCATGTTGGTTTTTTTTGGAAAAAATTTCTGGGTTTTAAATTTCTGTGTGCTGGGTGGATGGGGGAACAGTTGAGGAGGGGTTTGCAACAGTTGGGGAGGGGCTGGGGGAACAGTTGAGGTTTTTGAAGACTTTGGTGATTTTTAAAGCTTTCCCAAAACTTCTTTTGCAGCCATTTGAGGATTTTGAAGACTTTGGTGATTTGCAGCCATTTCGTAAGTTAAACTTTTAAAACTTTTTTGGGGGGTTTTGGATTTTGGGTTGGGTGTTTGGAATTCAAGGACTTGGTTCTGGGTTTGAATTTTTCTTTTTCTTTTTCTGAGTTTACGAAGGTAACAGCTGTGCTGCCATGGGACCCAAGAAGACTGCTGCTGCTGCGGAGGCCGGCGAGAGGAAGAAGGAGAAGGTGACGCTGGAAATGAAGAAGGAGATCATCCGGAAGCATGACGGTGGAATGCGTGTGACGGACCTCGCCAGGGAGTACGGCAGGAACCCATCGACCATCGGGACCATCCTGAAGATGAGGAGAAGATCCTTGCGACTGATGCAGCCAAGGGAGTCACCAGGATCGTGAAGAACCGCCCAGCTGTTCTGGAGGAGGTCGAGAAGTTGCTGCTCATCTGGTTAGAAGAGAAGCAGCGTGCAGGGGACACAGTGACTGAGGCCGTCATTTGTGAGAAGGCCAAGGCCTTGCACGCAGACCTCATCCGGGAACAGCCAGGAACCTCAGGCGAGCCAGAAGTCTTCAAGGCAAGCAGAGGCTGGTTTGACCGGTTCAAGGCAAGATCTGGAATCCACAGCGTGGTCAGGCATGGAGAGGCTGCCAGTTCTGATGTTCCTGCGGCTGAAGACTTTGCCTTGGAGTTCCTGGAGGTTGTGAAGACGGAGGGCTACGTTCCACAGCAGGTCTTCAACTGCGACGAGACCGGGCTGTTTTGGAAGAGGATGCCCAAAAGGACTTTCCTCACACAGGTGGAGGCCAAGTTGCCTGGCCACAAGCCCATGAAGGACCGTCTGCCCCTGCTCTTCTGTGCCAACGCAAGCGGCGACCTGAAGATCAAGCCCCTGCTGGTGTACCACTCAGAGAACCCACGGGCCTTCAAGAAACACAAGGTCGACAAGGAGCGGCTGAGTGTCATGTGGCGATCCAACAGCAAGGCTTGGGTCACACGTGTGCTGTTTGTGGACTGGGTCAATCTTGCTTTTGGCCCTGCTGTCAAACAGTACCTGCTGGACAACGACCTGCCGCTGAAGGCTTTGCTTCTGATGGACAATGCTCCTGCTCATCCTAAAGGCCTTGAGGTGGACTTGTTGGAGGAGTTCAGCTTCATCAACATCATGTTCCTGCCGCCTAACACCACGCCACTGCTCCAGCCGATGGATCAGCAGGTCATCGCCAATTTCAAGAAACTCTACACCAAGGAGCTTTTCAGGCGATGCTTCGAGGTGACTGATTGCACCACCATCACCCTGCGGGAATTCTGGAAGGACCACTTCGACATCGTCACCTGCTTGAAGATGATCACCACGGCCTGGAACGGGATCAGCCAGAGAAATTTGAATTGTGCTTGGCGCAGCCTGTGGCCGGACTGTGTGGCACCAAGTGACTCTGATGCACCAGAGTCAACAGTGGTGCAGGACATTGTTGCCTTGGGGAGGACCATGGGCCTGGAGGTCACAGAGGAGGACGTCTGCGAGCTGGTGGAGGAGCACGACCACGAGCTGACCACCCAGGAGCTGGTTGAACTGCAGTCAGAGGTTGCGCAGGAGCAGGCCTCGCTGGAAGAGGAGGAAGCAACTGAGGAACAGCCGTCCTCCAAAGAACTGAGGGACATTTGCCAGAAGTGGAAGGAGGTGCAGGCTTTTGCAGAGCGGCACCACCCTATCAAGCACGTGGCACATGACCAAGCGAACACTTTTGATACGACGGTCATGTTGCCTCTCAGGGAGCTGCTGAAAAGGCGGATGAAGCAGCAGACCATGGACAGGTTCCTCAGCAAGAAGCAAAGAGTGGAAGAGGAACCTTCTTCGAGTGGTCCCCAGAGTCTTAGAAAATGTAATGTACCCTTTTTGATTTTTAAATGTTTTCCTGTCATGTTTAGAAACTTAATTTATTGTTCCTTCAATTTTTGATATGCTCTTTAAAGTATGTGTGACTTTAAAGAGCAGTTAATAAACTATTGTTGTACCAAATTTGGCTTTGATTGGACTTTTTTTGACCATAGGAACGCATTAATTGAATTTCAATGCATTCCTATGGGAAACCGTGCTTCGCAAGACGAAAAATTCGCTAGATGAAAAAACTCGCGGAACGAATTAATTTCGTCTTGCGAGGCACCACTGTATTTCCCCTTTCCAGTTCTTAGCAGTTAATATTCTGGCGGCAGCAGTGGCATAAAGGAACACCTTTTTCTTGTCATTGGGGATGTTAATTGATAAAATAACTAATACAAATGCTTCCGAATTTTTCTCAAAGGTTATCTTGAACATCTTTTTAAGTTCATCATACACCATATTCCAAAACCTTTTGATCTTCTCACATCCCCACCACACCGTACCTTCCCCTATCTTGCATCTCCAGCAAGTATTGGTTTTTAATTTGTAGATTTTAGCTAATTTACCTGGGGTCATGTACACCTATACATCATCTTCATGAGGTTTTCTCTTATTGTGCAACAGGCTGTGAATCTTATATCTTTTTTCCACAATTTTTCCCATTCATCTGGATGGGGTGTCCGACATCTTGGGTCCACTATACCATCACCTCTTTTACTTATCCTTTAATTCCCAATCCAACAACAAATCATATGTTTTTGATAATAATTTCCTTGTATTTTGTAATAACTCTTTTCGTAATTTAGATTCTTCTTTTTCAAAACCCACCTTTTTATCTAATTTAAATACATCATTTGATTGGTGATATTATAGCCGATCGATGCAGTGTTGTCTAATTTCTTCAAAAATTTTCCATATATATATATATATATATATATATATATATACATTTACAGAGATGGCATCCAAGGGAGACAGCCACCACGGTGTCTTGGGTTCTAACAAATCCTTGTATTTTAGGTAAAGATAAAGGGACCCCTGACCATTAGGTCCAGTCATGACTGACTCTGGGGTTGTAGAGCTCATCTCGCTTTATTGGCCGAGGGAGCCGGTGTACAACTTCCGGGTCATGTGGCCAGCATGACTAAGCCACTTCTGGCAAACAAGATCAGTGCACGGAAACGCTATTTACCTTCCCGCAGGAGCGGTACCTATTTATATACTTGTACTTGATGTGCTTTTGAACTGCTAGGTTGGCAGGAGCAGGGACCGAGCAACGGGAGCTCACCCCGTTGCGGGGATTCGAACCTCCGACCTTCTGATCGGCAAGTCCTAGGCTCTGTGGTTTAACCCACAGCACCACCCGCATCCCTTAAGTATATTAATAGTGAAATACAATTAAGAATTGTATTTTACCCAAGCTTTATACAGAGAAATCCAAATTACGTGATTTTAAAACCCTTTATTAACTTAAACTTTATTGTATCCTAGATACACATGCCAACCATTTCTTTCTTAACAGGGCAACACATTTCCTCTCTGTTTTGATTCTAAGCACCAAGATAACAGAAAGGCATTGATTGTTGTGTCTGCAAGTAGGGTGCCCTGCAGAGCTCTTGGAAAGAAGAATGTGGCCCAAGACCTCAGACTCCATTGCACTGGACAATTTTCCTGGCTGACTAGTACTGTACAAACTGGTCTGGGCAAGCTTTGAGATGCTTTTCAGAATAGTACACAAAACATATTGTTGTGAGCTTGGGGAGGTTAGTCTATGTTATGTACTGAGTTGAATAGGATTCAGAATGCAGCAGTCTGAATGGTCCTAGAACAATGCAGCAGTATGATTGGTTGGCAGGAACCACCCAATCATTCTCCAGATAGAAGCGAATCCACAACCTGATTGGCTTACAGTAGAATTCCGGAATTAGCCAATCATGTGCAGCCCATTGTGTAAATAATGTAAATAAAGCAGATACTTTGAGGGGACATTCATTAATTCCTCCTCACCACTATGAGCTGAATAAAGAGCATGAAATCACTTTGCGACTCTGAGTATATTTCAGTCTACAAGCATTAAAATCTAATGAAGAATTCCATTTGTTTTTTAAAAAACTGTTTTTAAAAATGTTTTTATTAAAGGTTTTTCCTGGGTTACAAAAATACATACATAATCTTTGTTTTCAGTAATAAAGTCCTTTCTACAGGTCAGTTATATTTTATGTGAAACATTAATATTGCAGACAGTATAAGGTTGGAGAAGAGAAATGGGGAGAGAAAACAGGGCAGAGAGAGGAGTAGCAAACTTTCATTCTTTTACATCCTGTATGTGCTAGGTTTTTGTGTCTTTATCAGATGGGTAGGTTCTCTTTCTATATATTTATCATTGGTGATGAGAGAGATTTGTTGAATTAGCCAGGCAAGGGTCCCAAGTACCACCTAAGCATGGTTGCTAGTCTGACAAAGGAAGCTGCTCCGTGCTGGAGGGTGAATGCGTGGGCACCCCTTCCTCACCTGGCTAGTATGTAACCTGAGGTACCACTGTATGCTATGACGGCCGCCTGAATACTGTTAGCCCCAAAATGGAAAGAATAAGAAGACCGGCAAACCAAGTTAATGGACTATGCTGAAATGGCAAAATTAACTGGAAAGTTTAGAAATCAAGATAACAAGAAATTTAAAAAAGAATGGGAAATGTTTATTATGTACAGTGGTACCTCAGGTTACATACGCTTCAGGTTACATACGCTTCAGGTTACAGACTCCGCTAACCCAGAAATAGTGCTTCAGGTTAAGAACTTTGCTTAAGGATGAGAACAGAAATCGGGCTCCGGTGGTGCGGCGGCAGCAGGAGGCCCCATTAATTAAAGTGGTTCTTCAGGTTAAGAACAGTTTCAGGTTAAGTACGGATCTCCGGAACGAATTAAGTACTTAACCCAAGGTACCACTGTATTTGCAAAGGTATTGTAAACAGATAAATACATTGGCAGGATTTTAAGAGCGCTTATTATTTTAGAAATAGTATAGGAAATCTGAGGTTAGTAAAATTTGGAGTAGAAATGATATGCAGCTGATAAGAAATTTAGGGAACCAGAAATGGAGGGCGGGGAGGGAAGTCATGGGATTCAGAGAATCCCACTTTATGGAAGTGATATGGTTTTATGTATAATTTTCTTCGTTTATGGATGTTATTGCATTTCTTACTGTTTGTTTTTCACTTTTTTGTTTTTGTTACTTTTGTTGAAAACATAATAAAAATACTATAAAAAGAAAAGAAAAATGAACCCCTTCACCCCCTCTCCCACCTGAAACCTCTCCAAACCTGAAACTGCTCCAAACCAATCATATCCCTCCCCCAGAACTCTGGCCAATCAGATGCCGTTGCCAGTCAACCGTTTGCAGTCAGCCTTTTCTGTCACAAGGGTACGCATGGAGAACTGAATGAGCTCAAGGAACTAATGATAATCCACACCAAATAATTAATTTTGTTAGTCCTACTGCTGTTGTTTTCCAAAAGGCACAACAGGGTAAGATGTTGGGATTTTGTGCTACAGGGAAGAATGCAGAACTTGTGGAAAAGCTGAAAACGTGTCACAGTGACTCTGAGATGAAAACAGAAAGTAGAAAAGTAGAAGCATGCAAGACTGAAAAGAGTCTCCACAACCCTGGGGCCCCTCTGACAAGCCACACTCATTTGGGCCTAGCCAAGGATATGAAAACTAAGCCCCCTGAAGAGAAAGTGATGTTGTCCAGGGTTGCTGTGTCGTTCATGACTTGTCCTATTGCTCCATCAAGAGTTCGTATGTGTCCAAGATGGTAAGGACATTGTCCCCTTTCACCTGTCCCTGCTCAAGATTCCTGTCCCTGATGGCTTCTCCGACAACTATGTCTGAGAGGATGGCTTGGGAACAGAGAGAAGTCAAAGAAATACTGTATTTTTCCATGTCAAAAAGTAGGGGGCGTCTTATACACGGATAGTGCTGATGGTGGACTGGCAATTGGTTGTTGCCGCAAAAATAGGGGCTGTCTTATACATGGGGGCGTCTTATAGATGGAAAAATACAGTATATCATGTTCCATCAAACACAAAGAAAAGGTAAGCAGGCTTCCTTGTCCCAGAGCAACTTAAAGGTTGTAGGAGAAAGATTTGGGTTCCACCCCCAATACCCTGTGAGTTCAGCCTTGACTCCAATTGTCAGTCAAACGGGATGTTTATTTAGGTGTTGCAAGGCTGGTGCGACACAACCTCAAACAGCAAGTAGTTGAAGGGTGGCACCCAAAATATGAAACATTTATATACTTTGTTTTTGTTTCATTATGTATTTTGTGTTCTCATTTTGTGTTTTTATGATGTGAACCACTCTAAGATCCTCAGATGAAGGGTAGCATACACGTTTTATAAATAATAATACACTTTGAAGCAAAGGAGCGGTTGTGCCCATTTAGGGCAGTACTTCCATAGACCAGTTTCTACTGGTTTAATCACAAGACATAGCAACTTTCTTATCTTTCCCTCCATCCTTTGTACTCAAAAGTTATAGCAACAGCTCCTGTTGCTGTCCTTCTCTTGTGGTTCTCTTGCAAACACAACATTCACTTGTTTAGCCCTTCTCACACATTCACTTGTTTAGCCCTTAGCCCTTCAATTTTAAAATTTCTGTACTTTTTCTCCGACAGCACCCCCCTTAGTTCCAAGAAAGACTTCCCTGCCCTTCCTTGGAACTCATATTCCTAAATCACATACTGCAATATCCGCCATATATTGTAATTTTAATTTTTAAACAATTTCTTTTACTTTTTTTTTGCTATCTGCTTCATTTTCCTGTAGGGTTGCCATATTTCAAACAGTGAAAATCCGGGAAAAGCTTTTTTTTTTAGTTTTGCCCAAAGTTGTTGAACTTTTTGGGAAAAATAAAAAAGCCCATTTTGGAAAAATTGCAAAAACAGCACGGCTGACATGGGCTACCATGCATCTGGATTTTCTCAGACATTTCCCGATTTTGGACTGGACACTGCTGCCGCCTGCATTATCCCACATGTCAGGAAATTCTGGATGTGTGGCAGCCCTCTTTCCTGTCAATTTATGTGTGCACAGCACTTTTGACACATTCTTAATACAGTATGTTGTTGGGTTTTTTTTAAACACCTTCTCTGCAATCCTATACTCATAAACATTACCATCTCACTTGCATCTTGCTGGTGCCTTCTGTAGCTGTAGAAATCACACACAGAACAAGCAATCCCCCATAGGGAAAAGGGTAAAAGGCGGATCCAGCTGATTTTAAGCGGATTCACATGAATTCATATGATTTTTTCATTCAAATTAAATAAAACCACCATGATACTGTAGATCATGTCTTACTCATAGAATCATAGAGTTGGAAGAGACCACAAGGGCCATCGAGTCCAACCCCCTGCCAAGCAGGAAACACCATCAGAGCACTCCTGACATATGGTTGTCAAGCCTCTGCTTAAAGACCTCCAAAGAAGGAGACTCCACCACACTCCTTGGCAGCAAATTCCACTGTCGAACAGCTCTTACTGTCAGGAAGTTCTTCCTAATGTTTAGGTGGAATCTTCTTTCTTGTAGTTTGGATCCATTGCTCCGTGTCCGCTTCTCTGGAGCAGCAGAAAACAACCTTTCTCCCTCCTCTATGTGACATCGTTTTATATATTTGAACATGGCTATCATATCACCCCTTAACCTCCTCTTCTCCAGGCTAAACATGCCCAGCTCCCTTAGCCGTTCCTCATAAGGCATCGTTTCCAGGCCTTTGACCATTTTGGTTGCCCTCCTCTGGACACGTTCCAGTTTGTCAGTGTCCTTCTTGAACTGTGGTGCCCAGAACTGGACACAGTACTCCAGGTGAGGTCTGACCAGAGCAGAATACAGTGGCACTATTACTTCCCTTGATCTAGATGCTATACTCCTATTGATGCAGCCCAGAATTGCATTGGCTTTTTTACTCTATAGGCAGCATCAAAAAAATCATGCACCCACTGTTTCGTGGGGCTGCAATGGCACAAAAATATGGTTAAAAAACACGGATCCTCATGGATCCTCATGATTTTTGAACCAAAGTCACTATCAGATCAAACATCATGGCCATGGACACAGTCTGCACCCAAAAAATCACGGATCCAAGGCTTTCTGGCGACACCGTGGCCCGAAAACGTGGTTTTGAACATGGATCCTCATGGATCCTCACGCTTTTTGCATTGTGCCACCCCAAACTCACCGTCAAATCACACATTGTGTCCAGGGGCACAGCCTGTACCACCTAAAACTCGGATCCACGGCTTCCTGGTCATACCAAGCCCAAAAACGTGGTTTTGAAGCACGGATCCTCATGGATCCTCACGCTTTTTGCATTGCGCCACCCCTAAATCACCGTCAAATCACACATCATAGCCAGGGGCACAGCCTGCACCACAAAAAACTCGGATCCACGGCTTCCTGGCAACTCCATGGCCCAAAAACGTGGTTTTGAAGCACGGATTCTCATGGATTGTCACTATTTTTGCATTGGGGAACCCCAAATTCACCCTTTATTCAAATATATTGTACATAACCACAGATCTGACCACAAGCATCATGGATCTACTGCTTCGTGGCCCTGGCCAGATGCTACCCTTAATATATTGGTCAGTTTTTAGGTGGGTGTGCTGGGATGAAGGAAACGTAGTCGGCTGAATCTCAATCCATTAAAGATGGGGGTCCAATGGCTAGGCCGGAATAGTTTCGGTTCTGTTTGCCAGCTCCCAGCCCTTCATGGGGCACAATAGTCACCTGTAGCCGCCATCAGGAGTCCCGGTGTGATCCTGGACACTTCTGTCTCTATGGAGGCATTGGTCACAAATGTAGCCAAACTGGCATTTTTTAATCCATGTCAGGTTAGGCGATTGGTACCATACCTGTCCCTTTCCAACCTAGCCATGGTGATCCATGCAGCAGTCACCTGCAGACTAGACTATTTTAACTTGTTCTACGCCTGTGATAGATGATAAATACATACATACATACATACATACATACATACGCAGGGCTACCCTTGAGACTGCTCCAAAACTCCACAGGGTCTAAAATGCAGATGCATGAGTTCTTACTTGGACTTTGTGGAGAGCCCACATTCAGCTGGTTGTTCATCAGCTGGATTGGCTGCAGGTGGAGTATTGAATCAGGTTAAAGGTTTTGGTGCTAACCTTTAAAGCCCTAAACAGTCTGTGACCTTTCTTATCTATGGGAATTATCTTCCAATACACCCCCCAAAGAGTGTGATGCTCATCTAACAGCAACCTACTGGTGGTCCCTGGCCCAAAACATATCCAGCTGTCCTCAACCAGAGCCAGAGCCTTTTTGGTGGAACGTTTTGTCTAATGGGACCAGGGCTCAGTGCAAGCTATCTCAGTTCTCTCACTTGTCGTGGTGAGTGGGCTTGCACATTCGTAAGACTCTTGTGAGCGAAGCCGTTGGGAATCTTGTACTCCCAGCAGGGTCACCCACGGCGGTAAGGTCAAAGAAAATGAAATCTACTCAGAGTTCTGTAGTGATTTCATGCTCTTTATTGCAGCTTGTAAAACATTGATTGATTTTCCCCCAAAACCTCAGGCTTTTATATACATTATTTACACAATAATATTTACGCATCTGATTGGCTGATTCTGCTTCCCTCCTGGAGCCTGATTGGTCTTTTCCTGCAAGCCAATCAGTTGTTGCATTCTAGTATCCTACTTGCCTATTGTTCTAGGATCCAAGCTTAGTACATAACAGGGAAGGAGCTAGGCAAAGAATGATCCAAGAAGTCCTCAAAGGCAGAACAGGTGGATGATAACAAGCGGTGTGTTACAATGGCTGTGAAGGCGAATGAAGGCTGTAGCAGATAGGATCCACCAGTTCGTCGTGACTACTCATGTCATCAGAACACAGCCCTACTGCGAAGACTGTGCGTTGGTCAGCGTGCACTGATCTACACACATAAAACAAATTCACACACAGGTGTCTTCCAAAACCCCAACCCAATCCCCCAAAGTGCCATGGTGATCAGCAAATGGTTACGGAGGCAGGAAAGTGAAATCTGGAAGCCCCTAGTCATGAACCAGCACATGGGTGGTGGATACAGATTCAGTCATTCTGACTCAAGGAACGAGGCAGTTGAGCAGCTCGGCAGCTGTATCCATGACTGAGAAGCCCTTATTAGGATCCATTCTGCTCGCCCCGAAAAGGGGGAGGGGCTTGAAACGGTGCCCTAAACATAGTCTGCCTCCCTTTTTTCCTGACTGGATTACCGTGCCCAGTGCGGTCACCACCCAGGGGTCATAAAATACAGTTGAACTTTGGAACATGGAATATATGGACTTTGTCAGATAACACAGACAGCGTACGTCCTAAATGCAGAACTGCCATCATTGCAAGAGAGCTGTGACGTTTTAACATTGATAGTGCAGTGCTTTAAGACTCTTGAAGAGCAGGCGAGGGACAACTGAAGGAAGAAAAAGGAGGCTACACATTATTCTGGAAAGGTCTATCAGAACAAGAACACTGAATACATGGGGTAGGCTTCGCTATGAAAAACGACCTTGTGAAGCTCCTGTCAGAAGTTCCTACTGGAATTAATGAGCGACTCTCAACCCTTCGGATAAAGCTCACAAAAAACCAACAGGCTACTATTATAAGCACTTATGCACCAACACTGGATGCTGATGAAGACATTTTTTGTTTTTTTTTTGTGGTGCAGGCTGTACCCCTGGCTATGATGTATGATTTGACGGTGAGTTGGGGGGGCAATGCAAAGCGTGAGGATCCATACAGATCTGTGCTTCAGAACCATGTTTTTGGGCCATGGAGTTGCCAGGTGATTTGATGGTGAGATAGGGGTGGCCCGATGCAAAAAGCGTGAGGATCCATGCAGATCCGTGCTTCAAAACCACGTTTTTGGGCCATGGAGTTGCCCGGAAGCCGTGGATCCGAGTTTTTTGTAGTGCAGGCTGTGCCCCTGGTCATGATGTGTGCTTTGACGGACTTTGGGTTGGCCCAATGCAAAAAGCTTGAGGATCCATGAGGATCCGTGCTTCAGAACCACATTTTTGGGCCACGGTATGGCCTGGAAGCCGTGGATCTGAGTTTTTTGTGGTGCTGGCTGTGCCTCTGGCTATGATGTGTGATGTGATGGTGCATTTGGGTTGGCCCAATGCAAAAAGCGTGAAGATCCATGAGGATCCGTGCTTCAGAACCACGTTTTGGGGCCATTGAGTTGCCAGGAAGCCGTGGATCCGAGTTTTTTGTGGCGCAGGCTGTGCCCCTGGACATGATGTGTGATTTGATGGTGAGTTTGGGGCGGCTCAGTGCAAAAAGCGTGAGGATCCATGCTTCAGAACCACGTTTTTGGGCCATGGAGTGGCCAGGAAGCCGTGGATCCGTGATTTTTGTGGTGCATGCTGTGCCGGGGATGGGGAATGGAGCCCATGAATCAGTTCAGACCCAAAGGTTTTCTGAAGGCATGCAGTCCAGAAACAAACAAACAAACAAAACAGTAGAGATACCCCGTTTCACTAACAAAAGGGCTAGGTAAGGAGAGGAGACGCGTGGGTGGGTTATTTCTCCAGTATGTATCGCTACGTACAGTGTAAAAAGAAGTTCGGGCATTTTGCCATACTGCAGCTTTAGCAACTGGCCAACGAATCCGGAGGGATAGACGGGCTCCTGTCTGCGGCTGCCATAGCAACCGGCCAACGAGTCTGGAGGGATAGACTGGCTCCTATCTGCGGTGGTCATAGCAACCGGCCAAAGAGTCTGCAGGGATAGACAGGCTCACGTCTGTGGTGGCCATAGCAACCAGCCAACGAGTACGCAGGGATAGAAGGACTCACGTCTGTGGTGGCCATAGTAACCAACCAACCAACCAACCAACCAACCAACCAACGAGTATGGAGGGATAGAAGGAAGTGCACAGTTCGCTCCTGCGCGTGTTTCCTTAGAAATCCGATTCCGGTCCGAATCTTTCCCAAGTCCGAATACATAGATAGGATCGTAGTTCCTGAGGGTTGCCGACCTTTCAAAAAGTGGCGTTTGCTGCTGGGAATCTGAAGCCTTCTATCCCCTTCTACAGAAACAAAGGAAGCAAAAAATGAATAATTAGGTATCTCCCTGGGCTGACTGCCTGTGTTGCGCTTGTTGTGGTGTTGTGTGCAGCCCGTGCAAAGAGGAGTTGCATTTAAGCCCCCCAGGAGTCTTCTGATGAGTTATGTGGGCAAACTTTATTTTGCGGCGAATGCTAGCTAGATCCATCGTGGGTGATGGCATATGCATATTCAGTGTTAGTCATTTGTTTTGTAGTGTGCAGCATTGTTCTGTTTTAATTGTTTTATTGTACATCACCATGATGTTCGCTGTTTATAAATACTCTGTTTTAGGCAGAACCCCTCCCCATTCCCGACAAGATGAACACGGAAGATTCATGTTCTTGTGGTACTGCAGCTGTTGTTATTGAGCCACAGTTTGCTCAGCTATTCAGGTATGGCGACAGGTGTTAGGAGGTGGGGTGGGGGAAATGAAATAAATGCTCAAGAAAGGTACATTCATCATGCATGTCATCAGTAAACTGGAGGTCCTATGTTGATGGAAGTGAGGCTTTTGTAGAAATGAACAGACCTATTTCTCAGTGGTTTAGGATTACCAGTGGCAAAGAGTCAGACTTATTTAGCTCACAACGCCTTGATTTCTCTGAGGGTACCACTTTGCTTTCTTAGTGAGAGTTACCTTTTACTCTTATGTCTGAAAAAGGCAATGCCAAAAGTGAAGGTATCAACCCAGTGCTGGAGATCCTAGCCATTGCTAAGGGGGATCGGCAGAGAAAGGAAGAAAGACTTGCCCACAAATAAATACAGAGAACTATGCATTTGCCTAGTTATATGTTCATTTCACCAGTGCATTTGCCCTCTTCCCAAATCCCAGTCAAGAGAGACAATTTTAGCATGAGAATGAGGAACCTCAGGCCCAGGGACTAAACACAGCCCTTCTTATTCAGCCCTTGAGATTCACCCTGGTCATACCCTTCCTAGCTTTCATTTGGCAGGGACACATGTTTGAAATTTAACAATGCCTCTTGATGAGAGATATGTGTGTGTAACATCTGAGTGTTGTGTGGCCTACAGCACAAGGCTCATTTGTTGCTTCTGGCTCCATGCACCATTGTCATATGGCTCCTGGAAGGTTGCTCATAAGGGAATGTGATCCTCAATTTGGAAAATGTCCCCCATCCCTGCAGTCTAGCATCTTTTCTCTCCATCCTCTCCAGCACATACCTGTTTCCCCAATTCACAGTTGTGAAGCACACAGGCCTTGTAGAGGCTGTTTGGATACTCAGGCCAGCCATTTCTAGTGCATCTCAGAGGCCAGAAGGTTTTTCATCTTCTGGGCCATGAAGCCTAGCTGCCCCCTCCTTGGTAATCATGGCACAATACTATTTCTGACAGAGCTGACAAAGAGCTTTCTCTGCCCTCCCTCTTGGATCTTCTTCCCTGCAGCAATAGCAAAGAGTTTCTGTAGGTTTAGTTGATAGTCTTCTCTGGGAGCTCATCAGGTTGTTGATTTTGCAGGAAACTTTTGGAAAGAGAGGGTTTCCTGGACAGCAGTTACCGTGTGCAGAAGCTTCCTAATGGTGCCATGGCCTTGCCTGTGTTGGGACAAAAGCTCACAGCAGAGCACCTGCATCAGCTGAAGGAAAGTATCCTGCCTGGGAAGACCTGTGCTTTAACATGGATTCTGGTGAGCCAAGTTCTTGTTGGCAGGTTGCTTTTGTTTCATGACCAACGGGTTTGTCACTACACTTGGCAATGACTGTTATCAAGCCTGCCTGCCTGCCTGCCTCCCTCTTTTCTTGCCTTTGTCTTGTCCTCTTCTCTGCTTCCTACCTGCTTCATTTATTTGATGCCATCAATTGATCTCTGATGCCACAGTATGGCTGTGTGGTAGTGGTGGGGCCACATGTTGTTATTATACTTCGGGAATCATTTAGGCTATAACGTGAATATTTTCCAGGTGTTGATCTGCAAAACAATTTTTTAGACTTTTTACCATAAAGGTGGTGCTTGCTGCCAATGGATTTGTATAGGGTTTGAAAGTGGTGTGTGGTATGTGTATGAAATAGGAAACTGACTAATCATTTGCACCCCATTTGCAGAATCCCATTCCTTCAAAAGCGGCCCAATTCCGGCCTCCCATCCAGAAACTGTATGATGAGTTGCAGTGCCTGATGTTGAGCCATGGCATTGCCTGGTCAAAAGAATTGGAGAGAGATCTACCACGCTCCTGGCAACGGCACGGGGATCTGGTTCTGTTCAGTGAGGAGAGCTTCAGAGAACCCCTATGGGGAGGGCTGGGTAAATTACAAACACAACATTGTGCCAAACCATTCTGAGCTGCTTCCTTTCTCAGCAAACCCATTACAACTGTTCTCTTTCAGGACAAGAGCTCTGGGAGGTGGTTGCTGGTGCACTCGGGGCCCAACGTGTGGCAAAACGCGGACGTGTGCAGTCAGATTTGTTTCGATCCCCAACAGTGACCCTGTTGCTGGGGGAGGATGGCTGGGTTGAACACGTAGAGAATGGAATTCGGTAAGGGAGAGGTGCAGTGTAATATTTTCTCCACCACACTGTCTTCTTTCTTTGAGTTCACTGAAAAATGGAGTCTAATTAAGACTTTTTCATTTCTAGAGCTTAAGCCTAGAAAATTTAAGGTGTTTAAGGAGTGTTCATCCACCCCAGTCTTTAGCCAGATCAGCTTACAAGGGTCAGCAATGAGACCCAGCCCTCAGGCTTGACATCTCAGAGATCCAACACAAAAAGAAAAGGGAGTGGGAGGGAAGAGGAAAAAGCAAACTTATTTTTAGTTACAGAATTCTTATACAGTAATGGCCAGATGGAATGGAAAGAATTCAAGGAGAGGAGCCAGAAGTTGCTGATCTTTCAGCTGAGAGGCCCAGAAGTCTCATCCCTCCCTCTGTTTTGGCCTGATCTTATGCTGAAGTAAATGTGCCCGTCAAAAATATGATAGCTATTTCTTCCAATGAATTCTAAAAAAAGCAAAGGGTAAATTTGAAGTCTGCAGTCATTTTCATGTAGTAAGATTTTTGAGTTGGCTCTGGAAAACTCAGCTGGTCTGGGTATTGGGTGAAGATTGGAGTGGGGTAAGGGTATGGTGAATGTTTCACTTCTCAGGGCAAAAGGTAGATAAGGCTGCAGTCCTATATATACTTATCTGTGAATGCGTCCCATTGCATTCAGTGCTTACCTTTGAGTAGATGTGTAGGCATTGCGCTATAAGCTTGTTTGTATATGTGCACAGTATTTAGAAAAGAATCCTTGTATGCTCTGAATTTCCTCCCACCCCAAATAGGGATTAGTTAAGAACTACAAGTACTTAACAAGTATACAAGTTTGATTCCTCGGGGCATCTTCTGATTCGGTTGCCTCCACAGGTACATGTTTGACGTGACACAGTGCATGCTGTCTCCAGGAAACATCACTGAGAAGCTGCGAATAGCATCTCTGAAGTGTACTGGGGAAGTGGTGGTAGACCTCTACGCTGGTAAATACTGTGATACGAGGGAGAAGCAAAGCGGCTGCTGTCTCTTTCTGCAGCCCCATTTGGGGCACAGCCTATTTCTAAATAGTTTAGCCTTCCAGAGATGGGTCTTGAAGCCAGGTGGGCGCCTTGAGCCATGTATAGAAGTAGCATGAACTCAGTTTGCTTGATTTCTCTTTTTTAGTTCCCTCTTCCAGGGGTCTAGCCCTCCTAAAGTTGAACTACATTTCCCATGCATCCTGTGCTGTGACTGGCAGCATGGTTCTCTAGCCCTATCAAGAAGCATTTAACCCATTTCTTTGCCACCTAAGGCTTCTAAAGAGAGCCCTGCTGGATCACATCCAGAGTTCATTAGTCCAGCATCCTGTTTTCTACATTGCAGCCATGCAGGTTCCTCTGGGAAGCCCACCAATAGGAGAAGAGTGCAGTAGCACTTACCTGTGCACCGCAGCGGCTTGTATTCAGAGGCACACTGCCTCTGGTTGGGGAGCTAGTAGCCATATAACCCTATCATTTGTCTAACCCACTTTTAAAGGTATTCTGTAAGATAACGAGTGGCTGTTCTCCCCCTTGTCTTCAGGGATTGGCTATTTCACCCTGCCGTACCTCATTCATGCTGGTGCTGCCTTTGTCCATGCCTGTGAGTGGAACCCGCATGCCGTGGAAGCACTGCGGAAGAATTTGCAACTGAACCGTGTGCAGGATCGGTGCCGCGTTCACCAGGGAGATAATCAGAAGGTGAGCAAAGAGGGGTAGAAATGACCTAAGTAGAATGAATAAATTATCATCTCTCATCATCTCTGACATTTGCCCGTGCTGATGGGAGCTAGAATCCAACAATATGGAAGGGTCACCAAAACCGAATGTTGGAAGATTAACAACAGACAAAAGAAAGTCTTTCTTCACACAGTGCATGGTTAAAACTAGAGAGCTTGCTCCCACAGGAGGCAGGAATGACTCCTAATTTGGATACCTTTAAAACAAGTTTGTGGAAGATCATGCTATCAATGACTACTTAAGATGGTTGGAAAGTGCATTGTATGCCTCCTTCCAGCAACTCCTGCAGCCAAACATATTGCTCTGCTTTCTTTTGGACTGCATCACTGAGGCTGAGAAGGGGAGTCTTATTGGAGCAGCCCAGGACCTCCCTACACACTGCCCAGGCTTGTGCCCTGGAGAGGTCATTTTGGCGCTGCTAATGCAGTGGTTTGACTTCATCTCGAGAGGCACACTCCATTGTCTCTCGAGACAAACAGATGGCAACAAATGGCAGCATTGATAAATCCTGCAAATACAGTGATAAGACACACTCTCCTCCCTCCCATCACAACCTCTCCTGAAAACTCTATTTAGGCACACTTTTTCAGAACTTTGCTTTTACTCTGGTTCCAGCCGCTGCTTTTATGGTTGAGTGCCATCTACTTTTTCTTTTTAAATGGTTCTACTTTTTAAAAAAGGTTTTACTTAATTACAAGGTTTTGCTTTTGTATTTTGTTATGTAAGCTTTTTTGTGTACATCAGTAAAGAGTAAATAAGCAGGATATAAAATAATAATTGTCAGGGCAAAGCAGGCAGAAAGGAGGTCTGGCAGCTGGGTCCAAGGAACAGGGTCTTTTGAGCTGTGTCCCTCTCCCCTTGAAATATGCTATCCTTGGTAGTTTTTAGGGAACCTTAAAAAGCCTTGTTTGTTTGTTCCGCAGTGCTCCAGATGTGGGAGTCTAATAGGCAGTAGCCTCTATTTTTAGTCTAACACTGGTGTAGCTGGCTGTGATGTATTGATTTGTAATTTGTTAAGGATGGTGCCTACTTTATTAAATGCATAAAGGATTCAGGGTCTTCTGACTTCATTGGCCCTGACATGGGGGTTGATCTCTGCCACTTGCTTGTATTCACGAAGTAGAGTTTTATTCGTCTCTGATTGTCCAGCAGTTCAGTTTCTCACCTGTTGCCCTCCGAAGCAACAGAGTGAGAATTGCTATATTATCTGTTAGAGCAGCCCAGACTTCCCTTTGCTGCCTTCTCTGCATTCCTCTCTGCGTCTCAAATACATTTTTGTTTTTTAAAAGAAACAAAGTCTCCCCTCACATTTTCCTTCTGTTATGCCTGCTCTCATTCTTCCCCTTCCATTCAGTGATATATTATGCGGTTTGTACGCCAAAGGTCCTCAGTTCAATCCCTGGCATTTCCAGTTAAAACAATCTCAGGAAAAGTGCACAAAAGGCCAGTCTCCTGCCTGAGCTGTGTGACACGCGCTGCCAGTCAGGGTAGGTGATGCGGACAAATCTCAAACTTGCAAAACACAACTGTCTATGTTCTTTCCTTGTTTGCAGCTGGAACTGTGGGATGTCGCTGACAGGGTGAATCTGGGACTGATCCCCACGTCGGAGGCAGGATGGCCAATCGCCTGCCGGGTTTTGCGGAAAGATGTGGGTGGGATCCTGCATATCCACCAGAATGTGGAATCCTTTCCAGTGAATGCCCTTAGGCTGCACCACAATCCACATCAAGATCAACCTCGCGAGCAGCTCCCAGTGCAAGCGGTGTCCAGCGTACAAGAGGACAAGGTGGCCCTTGCGGACCACAGTATTCTGCAGGATGCAGGAAGTAAGGACCTGGCTCTCTCAGCCAGGGGCGAGTGGCAAAGGTGGGCAGAGGCCACAGCAACCCAGATCAGGACTTTGCTTCAGGATTTGGACGGGAAGCAGTGGAGGACAAAAATCCTGCACATTGAGCAAGTGAAATCTTACGCCCCTCACGTGCACCACCTGGTCTTGGATCTGGACTGCCGGCCCCTTATGTGGCACACAGGTAGTTAGTTGGCTTTCCTACAGGAGCAGCACTAGGAGAAAGGTTCCCCATCTTTATGGGTCTGAGGGCACATTTGGGAATCTGAGGAATCTGTCATAGGCAGCACAAAATACCCATTTTGCAGAAGTGAAGACTGGTGAGGCTCTGAACTTCTGCCCTAGACAGGTGAAACAACTGCAACCTTCCCTCCTCAAGCCCCAAGTAAAACACAGACAAAAAAGGAGGATGAAACTGCTTCCCAAACAGCAAAAGCGAACAACAAAATGAAAAGAACTTGCCTAAAAATAAAAGATAAGGAGGAACTGGGGGCCTGGTGAGGTCCTTCAAAGGTGTTGTGGTTCCTACAGTCACTTCATTGGGGAATCCAGCTCTAGAACATGGTCTTTTCTTCATGGCACTAGCAGAGAGGTTTAGAGGAAACAGCTTTGGGTTTGGGCAGCAGAAATGCATGTTATTCTTTTGGATCTGCATGCAATTCTTCACTGCCATCCTCTTTTATCCCTAGTGATATGATTGCTGTTGTTCATCTTGGGAGCGTTCTGGCAGGAAACGGGGCCAACTTATCTCCTAAAACCTTGCTGTGAGCCCTGCGTTTTCTCCAACTAAATTATACTCTGTTTTCAATGGACCAGCCCGGTACAGTTTTTCTAGAAAAAGAGGTGCCAGAACTCACCATGAACGCCTCCATTGTTCTCTTAGAATTGCAATGGTCCCCACTTGAGAGATGCTGGAACTGAGTTCTAGCTAAATAAAAAAGCCCTGGACCTGCCTATGAATTTCAGTAGGTCTACTTAGAGTAGGACTAGCATTGGCTACAATCCAATCTTTAGGATGCTCTTGCATTTTCACTCATCTTAACATGAGGTCACTGACAATCTATACATCAGAGGCCGCCAGCTTTTTTGACCCCTGGGCATGTTTGCAAACCAGAGAAGCTGTTGTGGGCATCACATGCTCATCTCCACACCCCTTGCAATGAAGCACACACCACAGCCTGTTCAGTTTGCTATAGCAGAGTCCTTACTTCAAGCCTAATTTTAGCAAATGGCGAGGACGTCCCAAGCACCAGGGAAGTCCTTTCCAGGCATATGTGTGCCCTTGGGAGCCAGGTTGGCAACCCCTGCCATACCCTGTATTTACAGGAGTTGGCAACTGAAAGTCTGTGAGCAAGGTGAGGTCTACGGATGACCATTTGCTGGCCCATTAATCCTTGATGTCATCTCCTACCTGCTTCCTCTTTTCTTCCCATTTCGCCCCTTCTTACCTTTGGAATATCCTGGAAGAAACCTAAAGGACCCCTTTGTCCTGCAAATGGCAGAGGGAAAGTGTTTTCACAGAGGAAGCAAAGGCATGGGAAGTGCAGTGGGGGTGGAATATTTGATTCCATCTAGTGCCCACCTTGCTTGTGCTAAGAATACCAAACTTTTACTGTTTTCAATGCCTTGGCAGGGCAGCATATTTTTTTATTTGGGTGCCAGCCAGTTTCTAGTACAAGGATGTCTCTGAGTAGATGACGTATTTGCCCTAGGGGCCTATTCAGCCCTCAGTGCTTTACCCAGGCAACATCTCTTCTTTATATTATTTTAATTTTATTGGGGTTTCATTACTTTTCAACAAGCATCTTTTAACTTTTTGTAGTTTATCTGTATAGTTTCAATTTGTGTAAGTCCTGGTCTGGGAAAATGGTGTGGCAAATAAATAATAAAAATTTTTATTGGCTCTGCTCCATGCCCTCCTTGAGTGGTTTTGCCTGGCTGGAATGTGCCCTTGAATGGCAATAATGTGTCTTGCTTGCCTGGGTGGAGAGAGGTGTGTGAAGAAGCCTTGGACTGCTTGAACGTAACCTACTGCTGCCTCTAGCAAGCTTGGGCTCCCAGATGTTGTCGGACTGCAGGTCACAGCATCCTTGACCTTTGGGGCCAACAACATCTGGAGACCCAAGGCTGCATTACCGTACAGAAGGTAAGGGTTGCATCCATTGCTTTGCCCCCTTTTGCCTCTATTTCAGCCCACCCCTGGAAGGTTTCCCAAGAGGCAAAGTGGCCCTCGGGCTGTAAAACCTTCCTACCCCTGGACATGGGCGTAGCCAGGATTTTTGTTGGGGGGGGCAGTCCTTTTGTTGGGAGGAGCAGAACCTCAATTACCTATGTATTTTTATTTCTTTTTATTGATGGGGGGCAGCTGCCCCTCCCTGCCACCCCCTTGGCTACGCCCATGCCCTTGGAATAGATCAATCACATGCGAATGTCTTGGCGCAGCTTTGGAAGTGTGTTTCATTTGTATGGGTTTAAACTAGAGTAAAATTTCTGGGAAGTTACTGTGCCTGGAAATTGGGGAGCAAAAGGTGAGTGCAGGTAAGCCCTGAATGTTCAGAGTAAATATAGGCCAGGATTCCTGTTTGGGCTCCATGAGGCATCGTCTCAATCTGGGATGTACAGCCTTTGCTTTTTTGCCTCAATCTAATCTCCTGCCTGCCCGCAGGGTAGCAATGGGAGCTGTGAACTCATTGTCTGGGTGGGGTGCCTACCTGCCAACACTAAGGCCTGTCATTTTTGTTATCATAGCTCAGAACCCAGAGAGCAAACGGAGCATGAGTCATCATTGGCCAGCTTTCCCTTTGTTCTGGAAGCCACCTCCTGCGTAAGGGAGCCTCTAAATCAGTGCCAAGCAGCAGCAGCAGCAGCAGCAGCAGCAGCAAAGGTGGTTGCCAAGAGGAAGATCAGAAAACCTAGAGGCTAGGCTAAAGGGAAGCATTTAATCACTGGATACAGGAAGAGACTTGGAAATCCTTGCAGGCAAAAAGTAAAAGCCACTCTCGGATCTGGGGCCTGTACAAACCAGTCTGGTCTGACCCCACCCACGTTATCGCCTGTTAGGGTTTTTGTGTGTATTCTTGGGGAGGAGTTCAAATCCTGCAGCTGGTGATGACATGTAGCCAGATAGGTCATCTGCGTACTTTGGACTAGGACCAGCCCACCTCTCCTCTGCACTAGCTTTCTGCAGCAGTGCTAAATTTGACAATAGCACCTGTGTCACTCTTTGTGCCAAGCAGCAAGCTGGGAGAGATAGGAGTTTTGGTCTGATTCAGCAGGTCTCCTCCTGTCTTCAATAAGGTGCAGATAGGAGCCTAGGAAGCTAGCTGCCTCCTACTGTGCAGTCAGACCCATAGGTCCATCTAGCTCAGTACTGACTAATGAAAGACCGTGTCCTACCCTCCACACTCTGGTGTTAAGATCAGTAGAGGGGGCTCTCTTAGTAACTCCATCAGAAGTTCAGGTGTGTTTGTGGCTGTGTGGCCCAGGAGAGGGCATTATCTGTGGCAGCCTGTGGATTGTTTTCTTCTGTGCCATTCCCTCTCCACAGAGATGCATCCGGTACCTTCATAGTAATAGTTTATGCCATATGCTGGAGAGTCACCTCTTTACCCTGGCTTTGACACTTGAGACGTGTTTTCAGGACCTGCCCTATTCAAGTAACTCATTTATCTTAGCTGTTTTAAATATTGCATTTTAAATTATTGTAACCTGCTCTGATTGTGAAGGGCAGTGTCTGGCAGCAGCTGTCCAGGGTTTCGGGCAGGGGACATTCCTGGTCCTACCCAGAGTTTCCAGGGATTGAACCTGGGTCCTTCTGCCTGCACAGCAGATACTGTACCACTGAACTACAACCCTATTTATGTGCTAGAACATTTTAGCTTCTCTCTTTTTTTTATAAGATATTTATTAAAGTTTAGACATTACAAAGAAAAGAGAAGAGAAACAAAAGAAAAATACAAGCAATAAGCAATTACAAAACCTCAAAAACAAAAATGGGTACAGTAATACAAAACATCAACAATACAAAAAAGAAAAAAACAAAAAACAAAAAACAAAAGCATTTAAAAAACCCAAAAGAGAACAGACAAACATACAACCCCCCCCCCCATATTTTCATATCCTTATCTTTCATTTGCTTATTTCCTCGACTTCCTCACACCTCCTTTTTTGTATTCTAGTTCAATTAATTATTCCAGCAAGTCCTTTCCCTCTTTCTCAAATTTAGTTCCATAATTTATCTTAATGCAATTTAGACTTAAATTTACATCTTTACCCAATGTCAATCTGTTCATACTTAATTCTTTATAGTATTTCTACTAAAGTCATATAGCTTCTTTCCAGCATCCTTCTAACATTCATTAATTTTAGAGTATTTCTGTAAATATACTTTAAATTTTTTCCAATCTTCTTTCACCGACTCTTCTCCCTGGTCTCGGATTCTGCCAGTCATTTCCGCTAATTCCACGTAGTCCATCAGCTTCATCTGCCATTCTTCCCTGGTAGGTAGGTCTTGTGTCTTCCAGTGCTTAGCAATAAGTATTTTTGCTGCTGTTGTGGCATACATGAAAAAAACTCTGTCCTTTTTTGACACCAATTGGCCCACCATGCCCAGGAGAAAGGCCTCTGGTTTCTTTAAAAAGGTGTATTTAAATACCTTTTTCATTTCATTATAGATCATCTCCCAGAATGCCTTAATCTTTGGGCACGTCCACCAAAGGTGAAAAAATGTACCTTCAGTTTCATTACATTTCCAACATTTATTATCGGGCAAATGATAAATTTTTGCAAGCTTGACTGGTGTTATGTACCACCTGTAAATCATTTTCATTAAATTCTCTTTTAAGGCATTGCATGCCGTAAACTTCATACCAGTGGTCCATAACTGTTCCCAGTCAGCCATCATAATATTATGTCCAACATCCTGTGCCCATTTAATCATAGCAGATTTCACCATTTCATCCTGAGTATTCCATTTCAACAGCAAGTTATACATTCTTGACAAATTCTTAACTTTAGGATCTAACAATTCTGTTTCCAGCTTTGATTTTTCCACTTGAAAACCTAATTTTTTATCCTGATTATATGCCTCCATTATTTGATAATAATGGAGCCAATCTCGCACTGTTTTTTAATTTTTCAAAGCTCTGTAAATTTAATCTGTCACCCTCTTGTTCCAAAATTTCTCAATACTTGGCCATTTGGCCTCCATATTGAGTTTTTCTGGGCCTTTGCCTCCATAGGTGACAGCCATCTTGGGGTTTTATTTTCTAACAAATCCTTATATCTTATCCAGACATTAAACAGTGCTTTTCTTACAATATGGTTTTTAAACGCTTTGTGTGCTTTGACCTTATCATACCACAAATATGCATGCCAACCAAATACATTATTGAAACCTTCCAAATCCAAAACATCCGTATTTTCAAGAAGCATCCATTCTCTCAGCCAGCAAAAAGCAGCTGATTCATAGTAAAGTTTTAAGTCTGGCAGGGCAAATCCACCTCTTTCTTTTGCATCAGTTAAAATCTTAAATTTTATATGAGGCTTCTTGCCCTGCCAGACAAATCTGGAAATATCTCTCTGCCACTTCTTGAAACAGTCCATTTTGTCCAAAATTTGCAGTGATTGAAACAAAAATAACATTCTTGGCAATACATTCATTTTTATCACAGCAATTCGGCCTAGCAACGATAGCTTCAAATTTGACCATATTTCTAAGTCTTTTTTCACTTCAGTCCAGCATTTTTCATAGTTATCCTTAAATAAATTCACATTCTTAGCAGACATATTGACCCCTAAATATTTCACTTTCTTAACCAGTGTCAGACCTGTCTCCCTCTGAAACTTCTCTCTCTCAATCACATTCAGATTTTTCTCCAGAACTTTAGTTTTCATCTTATTCAGCTTAAAACCTGCTACCTGGCCAAATTCTTAATCAATTCTAATACTCTTTTCGTACTTGATTCTGGCTCCTGTTAAGTCAATACTAAGTCATCTGCAAATGCTTTCAGTTTGTACTGTTTAGCTCCCACTTGTATACCTTTAACCAACTGGTCCCTTCTAATCATATTTAGCAGAACCTCCAGGACCGAAATAAAAAGCAATGGAGAGATTGGGCAGCCCTGTCGTGTTCCTTTCTCAATCTTGAATTCTTCCGTCACTACGTTATTCACAATTAATTTAGCCTTTTGTTCTGAATAAATTGCACCTATACCATTTCCAAAACTTTTACCAACCCCCATCCCCGATAAATTCTTCTTCATAAAACTCCAAGAAATATTGTCAAAGGCTTTCTCCGCGTCCACAAAAATCAAAACTGCTTTAGTATTAATCTTCACTTGTAGCTTTTCTAAAATATTAATTATATTCCTCGTATTATCAGACAAATGCCTGCCCGGGAGAAAGCCCGCTTGGTCTTTATGAATTTCTTCCGCTAACACCTTTTTTAATCTTTTAGCCAAAATATCTGCAAAAATTTTATAATCCACATTAAGCAATGATATGGGACGGTAGTTTTTAAGTTGCGTCTTCTCAGACTCTGATTTTGGTATAAGTGTAATATATGCTTCTTTCCACGACTCAGGTGCCCTTTTCCCTTCCAATATTTCATTACAGACTTCCTTTAATGGTTGTACTAACCATTCTTTCAAGGTTCTGTAGTATCTAGAAGTCAGTCCATCCGGTCCTGGAGATTTACCTAGTTGCATATTCTGAATGGCCCCTTCTACTTCCTTAGAACATTTTAGCTTCTCACCTTGTCAGCTGCTGTTTTGTTACTCAAAGTAACATATATATTATTTTAGTGATAGTATATATGATACAGATATTCCTTTGCCTGAGAAGCCAGGAATGCCCCTTTTTCTAATAATGCAGTTGTTGCCATCAGTTTTTATAATAGGCTCAGGGCACTCTTAGTAGGACTGCATGCTCTCAAAGCATTTCTTACGTCCAGTAAAAGCAGGGCCTTTATTGTGGTGGTGCCGGTCATTTGGAATGCACTTTCAATGGACAGCAGTAAACACAAAGGTTGCGGACGTTACTCATCATCTAGATAGCCTGATAGGTAGTGCTGGAGAGGTATCAGTGGTCGTGGTGCATGTAAGCACCAATGACAAGGAAATGTAGTCTCGAGGTCCTGGAAGCCAAATTTAGGATGCTAGGTAGGATGCTGAAAGCTGAGACTGGCTTACAGCTGATCTGTTCACCCAGGCTTTGCCTGAGGGGTAATCCTGCTATGCTGATTTATCAACCTGTTATTGTGATTTGTGGTGTATTCTGTATTCGTTTTATGAAGGTTGCAGGCTTGCCATCTCTGCCTTATTAAGTACTTGTATTTATAAGTAGTATTTGACAATGTTAAAAAAAAAAGCTGCACAATTAATCAGGGGCAAATGCCTTCTCAGTAGTGGCACTACAACTGTAAAAATTGCTGAAAGGAACCTAAAGAAAAGCCCTGCTAGATCAGAACAAAGACCTCTTGGGGTACCTCAAGACTCATTATTTTGTGAGAAGGATTCAAGCACATACCCAAAATTTATGCCCTGTTTTAGGAGAACCTAATCACTCAAAGAGCTATCCTTTTCATAGTGGTTTAACAACCAACCCTTCTTCTCAGGGAAATGTAGCTCTGTGTGGAGAATAGGGGCAGTACTAGGAATTCTCGGTCCCTATGATTTTTTGGCCATGACTGTTAAAAGTGGCATAAAGGTAAAGGTAAAGGGACCCCTGACCATTAGGTCCAGTCGTGGCTGACTCTGGGGTTGCGGTGCTCATCTCGCTTTATTGGCCTAGGTAGGCGACGTACAGCTTCTGGGTCATGTGACCAGCACGACTAAGCCGCTTCTGGCGAATCAGAGCAGTGCACGGAAACGGCGTTTACCTTCCCGCCGGAGCGGTACCTATTTATCTACTTGCACTTTGATGTGCTTTCGAATTGCTAGGTTGGCAGGAGCAGGGACCGAGCAATGGGAGCTCACCCCGTTGTGGGGATTCGAACCACCGACCTTCTGATTAGCAAGCCCTAGGCTCTGTGGTTTAACCCACAACGCCACCCGCGTCCCTTAAAAGTGGCATAGTACAGCTTTATATAGTGCAGATGGGACTGAGGTTTTAGCACTTAAAGTGGATTGTAGTGGTCTATTGCCTTTTTTTTTTTTTGCTGTTAGTAAAGTGATGGAATGCTCTGAAAAGTGTGGTATGAATGAATGATTAACAGCGCGATGTGTAAGGGCACCCTGCAAATCCGAACAAATGCTCATTGTTCTGCAACTGTCCTGCAGACAAAACTGGAATGAATGCTTAAACAAAAGCCGCACATAGTCTAATCTCTGTGTCACCTTTGTGCAAGCAAATCAAGATGAGTGCTCAATAAACAGGTCGTCTGGAGGAGCCTAAAGTCCAGCATCCTGTTTCTCAAAGTAGCCAAGCAGATGCCTATGGGAAGCCTGCAAGCACGACATAAGGACAATCGCCCTTCTGTGGGAGAATTGCCAGGCTCCCGCACTTCCTGCATCTTGAGAGAAGGTTGTGGGGAGTGATTAGGAAGCCTTGTTCCTCTCGTAGGGCTGCAGTTCCCAAAGTGGTTTAACGACGAACTCTTGAGAATGCTAGATCAGGGAGGGAAATATTAGCCTCCAAACAGCTCTCAGCACCCATAACAAACTGCGGTTCCCAGGATTCTATAGGAGAAGCTATGACCGTTTAATGTGGCATGCTTTGTATGCATACATAGCTGTGAACTTTTCCCTTTCTTGTGAGGAATCCTATTCAGAATAAGGGAATTTCCCTTAAAAAAAGGGAAAAGTTGACAGCTATGTATTCATAGCGCAGATGAGACATAATGTCCAGCTTTATGTCAATGGGCTTCAGAACTTGCTGCTTTTAGGATGCTCTTGAAAATGTTTTTAGTGCAGCATTGCTGACTTATTTAAACACGCCCCCCCCCCCCGCGCGCGCAAACACCCCTTTTAGTCCAATCGAAAGTTTGCAGTAGATAAATAGCAACCGATTAAGCCATACTGTGTTGGGAATAAATCCTGATCTCGGCTTTAAAAGGTTGGCAAAAGGGCGTGGTGCCTTTAAGGAAACGGCTCCTCCCAGGTCAGGGAAAAATTCAAGCTGTTCCTGAAGCAGCTGTGGTTGGTGGTTAACCGCGACGAGAGCAGGGGAATCTGCGGGGCGCGCTGCGTACAGGTACCCCTCTTTTTCCATGCCAATTCCTCATCTGCCCCCACCCCCTCGCCCCGCCATCGTGGGGCCCCACTCAGCACTCCACCTTCCAGCCCTGGGCCCCTTTCCAAAGTAAGGCTTTTGCACCACCACCAGTTTCTGTCCTCGATTTCATCCCCGCCCTAGTTCGCAAGCCTGTTTTGCCTGCTTTTAAAAGGCTAGCGTGGCATTAGTTAACCACCTAGGGGACAGGTGCCGTTCCCCATCCCAAAGTCCTGCTTGGATGGTCTGGCCTGCAGGTCCTCCTTTGGTGTGCAAAGGCTGGCTGGGTTTAGAAAGGCACTCGGCATGTGCTTTGGGGCAAGGGTTCCAAGTCAATACTGCTTGGACTTACCTGGAAGTAAGGGACGGGAGTCCTCGGTGAGGGGTCTGCCCAAAGTTCTCTCGTGAGGTGTGTATCCATTGTTCTTTCGCCCTAATGTTTTCCTGGGCTCGCTCTGGTTTATGAACTGTGTGTTTCCTTTATCAGGTGCATTGTTTAGAAACAGCAGTCTTTGCTGTTAAATCCCGGTGTGTTTTTATGTTGGCTTCAGGGATTTAACTTCCCCTCAAACCTGTTGGAATTGTATATGTGAAGGTGTTCATATGGAGAGTCTTCCTGAGCATGTGCAAAGTGTTTTTCCCTTTTATCAATTCATTTAGTTGTTAGTTGCATTTATATCCTCCTTTTCCTCCAGGGAGCTTAAGGTGGCACACATGGTTCTCCCCCTCTCCATATTATCATCACAACAACCTTGTGGGGTAGACTAAGCTGAGGATTGGTGACCCAGCGAGCTTGGATTTGAACCCTGGTCTTGGCATAGCAGAGTAGTTGCAGCTTGCAGGAGGAAACCTTAAGTCAGATGACATAGCCTCAAGGCAGACTCATGTTCTTGGGCGTAAGGGAGAGAATTTTAGGCACATTCAAAGGTGTTGCCTCTTACATTGCAAGATCCAGAGCTGATCATCTGACATTACAAGTGAAGGGCCTCCCCAGTCTGGGTTTCATTTTGCTTTTTTGACAGGTACATTCCGTAGCATAGCAACAAGGCAATCGTATTTATTCATTTTTATTTACTTAACAAGATTTGTATAGCACTTGGCTGTAAGAAAACCTCTAAGTGGTTTTCTTTTTCTTTCTTTTTTTAAAAAAACAATAAGTAAGTTAAAGCATGCAATTTAAATATTTAAAAGAGAATTAAAATTAGCTGTAAGCAAAATGAGATTTTAAAATGTGAACACCTACACACATCTAGATGTGTGTTCTAAGCAGGTGCCGAAAAAACAACAACAAAAGGTGCGTGCCTGGTGTCAATGGGCAGGGAGTTCCAAAGTGTAGGGCTGCCACCCTAATTTTTTTTTCTTTTTCTTTTTAGAATTATGGCATACTGGACTGTCTATACACTATTCTGCTTTATTAGTTTTCCCGCAGTACTTCCCCAAGGTTGTTACATGATTACTGGCATTTGGAAGGGCTCTCTTGAGCTATTGTGCAAGAAAAGCAAGCGCTCCCCCCCCCCCCCAAAAAAAAAACTTACAGGCTCTCCGCTGGAAGTTGCACTGAGTAGAAATGAAGCAGTGTGCCATCTCTGAAAACAGAACCGCATATGACAGCCCTGATACCATCGTGAGCATAAATCATTATGAATGCACAGCAGAAGGGTGGCTCACTCATAGGCTGGTTAAGATGAGTATGTTTTTGTCAGCTATGTTGGGCAAGAACTGTCTCATTTCTCTCAAGGGAATCGTTACAGGTAGTTGTTTGAGGAATGGCTTCCTCCTTCAGAAGTGGAAGGGTGTGCGTGTGTGTGTGAGACCTAACCAGGCATATCAGCTAAGTGGAGCACTTCGCATTGTGCGCTGTTTTTCTATGGTTAGTGCTAAAGAGTCCATGACCATGTGTTGATAAAAGTTTTCGAAAATGTCATGTGTTCTTCCACAGGATCCTGTGGAATGGTGTGTTGCTGCTGTTTCATAGGAACCAAATCCTAGGAGCCAAGGTCCCTTCGACCCCCCCTAAAATATTTGAGGGGTCCTGGCGCCCCCAGAGTTGATGAGCATTGCCATTCAAATAGTGTGAATGTGCCGTATCATGAGATTGACTATGTGGTGTGGGATTTACCTGGGCCCGCCAATATTTTATTCAAGCTGGCACCCCTGGCTGTTTTGTGTTTTAATGATTCTGTGCCAATTCAAATATCCCAAACAGCTTTGGAGGCCAGCTAGGGGTCCTTCAGCCCATGGCGTAGGAAGGGGGGTGCGGTGGGTGCGGGTCACCCTGGGTGTCATCACTGAGGGGGGTGACAAAATGGCAAAAATATGTGATTTTAAAAAAAAATTGGGCTCATGACACTTTTTTAAATTTAAGAAACAACAACAACTTCCTCACCCACTGCACCCCCCTCCTATGCCACTGGTAGCTAGGTGAGGCGGGGGGCACTGGGCGTCACACTGTGGGACCTGCAGCGTGCCTGAGCAACGCATCTCTCCTGAGGCGGAGGCGGCGGGCGGACTGCCTGCAAGCTCTGCGCTGCATTTTCGAGGAGCACGGGGCTTGCGTCTGCCCGCCGCCTCAGCTGCCCTACAGCTGAGGGGAAGGTTGCAGAGAGGCTCCACGCCGCGCGCGCTGCTCCTGGCACGCTACTGCCTTCGGCTAAGGCACACTCCTGATCTTGAAACATGAAGCAATATGTTTGGTGTGGGTGCACTTGTACGCAGGACGGGGGACACCAGGTGGAGTGGAAAATAGGATATTGAGTCTCCTATCCTGGCGTCCCAAGAGGTATTTGTTTTTCAAATACCAGAGCTGAGTGTTTTTATCAAACATGCTTCCTCTTTGCTGTGGGAAAATGTGGGGCAGCTGAGCAGGAAATTAAGTGTGTTTGTGTTTAAATGCAGGGGAGGGAAGACTTCAGGCTTTGAGGTCTTCCAGCAGGAGCCAAGTGCATAATAGTAGTTAATTCAATTTCCTTAATTCTACATGTATCTTGGCCAAGGGATTTGTTTTCAGTAGCAGAAATGCGATTCCACCTCTTTCACACAGAAACGCAATGCTTCCTTCATTTTAACAGCCTGGAATATGCAGGGAAAGCCCTACCTAGAGATGCAAGGGATTGAACCCGGGGCATTCTGCATGCACGGCAGATGTTTTTATTGCAGAAAAGTGGCAAATTTCTGGGTGACGGTTCAGTTGCGTCAGCAACGTTTTCTGGCTCCCACTCAAACAACAACGACGAAAAGGCTTTCCTTCATCAACTCTTTTAAGGGTCATCCACACTTTGCTTGTCCCAGGCTTTGAGCAGTTTTCTATTTGCCTTTTCCTGGGAAAACCTGCTCTTTATCACCGAATCGGAGCAAGCATCAATTTGCGGAAACCCTGATTTACTGCAGTTCAATGGTAAAGAGTGGGTTTTCCTGTAGGGAAGCGGCTGGACAAGAAGAAGTGTGGAAGTCCTTTGTCTCAGCCTATCCTGTCTCACAGGCTTGTTGTGAGGATATGATAGGGAGTGGGAAAACTTATGTACACCACCCTGAAACCTTTGCATGAAAGATGGGATATAAATGTAATAAATGAATAAGTTTAGAAACAAGCCTGTTTCTGCTTGTAGGTGTGAATTTATTTCTTTTTGCATGGCTTATTATGGGGTGCGCTAGGTAATCCGTACTACTCACTGCCTGTCCAAACCATCATTGTGTACCTTCTTCAAGTTTGTGGATCTCAAGAGTCTTTTAGGCCATGTAAAGGTAAAGGTAAAGGGACCCCTGACCATTAGGTCCAGTCGTGACCAACTCTGAGGTTGCGGTGCTCATCTCGCTTTATTGGCCAAGGGAGCCGGCGTACAGCTTCCGGGTCATGTGGCCAGCATGACTAAGCCAGAGCAGCATGGCGAACCAGAGCAGCACCCGGAAACGCCTTTTACCTTCCCGCCGGAGTGGTACCTATTTATCTACTTGTACTTTGACGTGCTTTCGAACTGCTAGGTTGGCAGGAGCAGGGACCGAGCAACGGGAGCTCACCCCGTCGCGGGGATTCGAACCGCTGACCTTCTGATCGGCAAGTTCTAGGCTCTGTGGTTTAACCAACAGCGCCACCCGCGTCCCTTTTAGGCCATGTACACACCATGTATTTAAAAGCTTGTTGTTTTCCCCAAAGAATGCTGGGAACTGTACTCAGGTAAGGGTGCTGGGAACTGTAGCTCTGTAAAGGCCTTAAGTTACCAAGAGTGTTTGCGGGAGATACTGTTGTTGGCGTCATTCTGCCTCAAGAGACAATGGAGTGTGCTTCCGGGGGCGGAGTCAATCTGCTGCATTAGCAGCACTGAATTGGTCTCTCAGGGCATGAGCCTGGGCAGTGTGTATGGAGATCCTGGGCTGTCTCGCTGATGTGATCCAAAGGAAAGCAGAGCAATATGTTTGGCATAAGCCTGGCTGCAGGATGTGACAGAAGCTGGCATACAAGGCACCATCCAACCGTCTTGGGGATCTGAGTAGGGCTTGCTCCTTAGCTTTTTCTTCTCCTGAAGATATCCTTCAAGGCAGCAGAGGTTTAGGACTAGAGTTTTACTTCTCCTAGATGGGCTCCCTTCCCAGGTTGATGAGCTCCACCTGCACAGCATGTGCAAAAACTGCCTTCTTTTTTTTTTTTTATAATGATATTTATTAAAGTTTCACAAAAATACACAGGACAAAGAAAAAAGTATAAAGTACAGCAAAAAAGTAGAAAATAAGAATAAACATACAAAATAAAACAGTTAAAAACACAATAATGTTCCATAACCTATCTTCCTTACTCTTATTTCCCCGGACCTCCTCATACCTCCCTTCTTTGTATTCCAGTTCCATTTGTTGGTTCAGCAAATCCTTACCATTAATCTTTTACCCAATTGTTAACCTTTTTTTCTTTTTCCATATCTCTTAAAGCATTACAGCTAAAAACCTCTTAGTTTCTATCCAACATCCTTCTAAAGTTCCTTAATTTTGCAACATTTCTGTAAATAGTCCTTAATTTTTTCCCAGTCTTCTTTCACCGATTCTTCTCCCTGGTCTCGGATTCTGCCGGTCATTTCCGCCAATTCCATGTAGTCAATCACCTTCATCTGCCATTCTTCCAAAGTGGGTAGATCTTGTGTCTTCCAATACTTTGCAATAAGTATTCTTGCTGCTGTTGTAGCATACATAAAAAAAGTTCTGTCCTTCTTTAGCACCAGTTGGCCGACAATGCCCAAGAGAAAGGCCTCTGGTTTCTTCAGAAAGGTATATTTAAATACCTTTTTCAGTTCATTATATATCATTTCCCAGAAAGCCTTAATCTTTGGGCACGTCCACCAAAGGTGAAAGAATGTACCTTCAGTTTCTTTACATTTCCAACATTTATTGTCGGGCAAATGATAGATTTTTGCAAGCTTGACTGGGGTCATGTACCACCTGTATATCATTTTCATGATATTCTCTCTTAAGGCATTACATGCCGTAAACTTCATACCTGTGGTCCATAACTGTTCCCAGTCAGCAAACATAATATTATGTCCAACATCTTGTGCCCATTTAATCATAGCAGATTTCACCATTTCATCCTGAGTATTCCATTTCAACAGCAAGTTATACATTCTTGACAAATTTTTAGTTTTGGGTTCTAACAATTCTGTTTCTAATTTTGACTTTTCCACTTGGAAGCCTATTTTCTTATCCAAATTATATGCCTCCATTATCTGATAGTAGTGGAGCCAATCTCTCACTTTATTTTTAATTTTTCAAAACTCTGCAATCTCAATTTATCTCCTTCTTGCTCCAAAATTTCCCAATATGTCGGCCATTTGGCCTCCATATTGAGCCTTTTCAGAGCTTTTGCTTCCATTGGTGATAGCCACCTTGGGGTTTTATTTTCCAATAAGTCTTTGTATCTTATCCAAACATTAAACAATGCTTTCCTAACAATATGGTTTCTGAATGCTTTGTGTGCTTTGACCTTATCATACCATAAATATGCATGCCATCCAAATACATTGTTGAAACCTTCTAGATCCAAAATGTCTGTGTTTTCAAGAAGTAGCCATTCTTTCAGCCAGCAAAAAGCTGCTGATTCATAATAAAGTTTAAAGTCTAAAGTCTGGCAGGGCAAATCCACCTCTTTCCTTGGCATCAGTTAATATCTTGAATTTTATTCTGGGCTTCTTGCCCTGCCAGACAAATCTAGAAATATCTCTCTGCCACTTCTTGAAACAGTCCATCTTATCTACAATTTGTAATGTCTGAAACAAAAACAACATTCTAGGCAATACATTCATCTTTATCACAGCAATACGGCCCAGCAACGAGAGTTTCAAATTTGACCAAATTTCTAAATCTTTTTTCACTTCCGTCCAACATTTTTCGTAATTATCTTTAAATAAATTCCCGTTTTTGGCTGTCATATTAATCCCCAGGTATTTCACTTTCTTTACCACATTCAATCCTGTCTCATTCTGAAACCTCTCTCTTTCAATCGGTGTTAAGTTTTTCTCTAAAACCTTAGTTTTTAACTTGTTCAATTTAAAACCTGCCACCTGACCAAATTCCTGAATTAATTCTAAAACTCTTTTAGTACTAGATTCTGGCTCCTGTAACGTCAATACTAGGTCATCTGCAAATGCTCTCAATTTGTACTGCCTTCTTGTTCAATTTAAAACCTGCCACCTGACCAAATTCCTGAATTAATTCTAAAACTCTTTTAGTACTAGATTCTGGCTCCTGTAACGTCAATACTAGGTCATCTGCAAATGCTCTCAATTTGTACTGCCTTCTTGACCATTGGACCCACTATTGGCCTCATCTGCCCACTCCACTAGAGCCTGTCTTCACATGCAGAAGATGCTCCTAACTCGCTGAGGGTTTGAGACCCAATGGCTACCCTCACCTGGTTTAGCCAGTCGAAGCCATTTTCTGGGAGTGTGGCCACTGTTGCAGGCTGGCACCTATAGGAGCCACAGGTGAGAGCTAGTGCACGGTGGGGACCAAAGGTGGACAAATCACTCCAGAAGGAACACAATGTGTCCCCCACCAGAGGTACTGCCCCTCCCCTAAGACACCATGTGGAAGATAATGTGCTTCAAATGTATGGTGTGTATGCAGCCATCATGGGGGAAAAACCCAATAGATCCACAAGCCTGAAGTCTCTGCCCCCACCCCATGCCATGTCTCCAATATGAAAGGGCTCAGTGGCAAAGCATCTGTTTTGCATGCAGAAGGTCCCAGGGTTAATCCCCAGTGTCTCAGAGTAGGGTTGAGAACATCTCCTGCCTGAAACCCTGAAGAGCGTCTGCCAGTCAGTGTAGACAATACTGAGCTAGGGTGATCAATGCTCTGACTCAGTGTAAGGCAGCTTGCTATGTTTTGTTTTCACATGGTTTTTCACCATTTTCACATTCACCATTATCACATGGCTTTTCACCATTTTCACTATTTTCCACTATTAATATTTATTCTGTCAGGGTAGGCTTCTCTGAGTCAGGTGGGCCAACTGTCTGACTCTGGTATAGGACAGTTTCTTGTGTTCCTACAGCGCTTCACCAGCTTCCCCTTCACCAAAGGCCGAATTCATGGTGGAGGCTTAAAAACTGTAGGGAACGTAACTGACCCTGCCAGCCCCCTCAGCTGGTTCAGCCTCATTCTTCAGCTTCTTGGTGACATAGGACTGTGGAGGATGGGGCCCTGATCCATTCTTTTCATATCTCTCCCAGACTGCTCAGACTGCTCTGCTGCCTTGTCTCTTTTCACTCTCTCACAACAGTGTACAGTGGTGCCTTGCAAGACGAAATTAATTTGTTCCGCGAGTTTTGTCGTCTTGCGATTGTTTTCGTCTTGCAAAGCACGGTGTCGGGAAAGTTTTGGAAAAGCTTCAAAAATCACCAAAGTCTTTAAAAACCTCAAAAAAGGCTACCACACCGCATTCTATGAGTTGCTCCTCGAAGTCAAGTCGCAACTGTACTAACGGTGTTAAGAAAAAGGAAACAAACTTGCAAGACGTTTCCGTCTTGCGAACGTAGGGAAAATCGTCTTGCGAAGCAGCTCAAAAAACAAAAAACCCTTTCGTCTAGCGAGTTTTTTGTCTTGCGAGGCATTCGTCTTGCGGGGCACCACTGTAGTTCCGTGGCCACAATCCTCTCCTCAGACCTTTGGGTCTCTCTTCTGAGGCCCTCTCTGTTAATGATGGGTGACTTGCATGGGCGTAGCCAGGATTTTTGTTGGGTGTGGGCAGGCCTTTTGTTGGGAGGGCAGGGTCAGAGCCTGCTAGCTTAGTCTTTTTATTGATTTGGGGCGGCGGCAGCTGCCCCTCCCTACCCCCCCCCCCGCTAAACCCATGGTGACTTGGCGTTGATCAAGTTGGCACCAGGATACCTTAAAACTCAGTACTGTAGATGGGTTTTTGTTTTTGCATGAATGTTAGTGCATTAACTCCTAGATATTTTTTAAAAAATAAAAAGTAGCATGTTTTTGAGACTTTTGTGAGGATTTCTTTGTTTTGGAGGGCAAAAATAATCAAAATCATAACGGAATCCCCATCCCTCTGAAGCCCAGATATTTTTGTGGCATCTATTGATTTCACTGTCTTTTTTCAGAGTGATTCCCCCTGGCCCCTATCTTGACTTTTCATTCAAAGCCCAGGTATCAAAATGGTAGAGATCTTAGGCTCTTCTCTTCTCTCTTTCTCCTCCTCCCTCCGCTGTGCCAACATTCAGATATTGTCTGCCTGGAATAAGTTCCTATGTGTTTCGCCGTAACCTTTATGCCAATTGGATCCCCACTCTAATCTTTTTAGCAAATATTGCAGCTGGACCCACTATACTTGAATCGTCTTTGAGAAGCATTGTTCTGTCTTGTCTCTTTCTGTCAGTCTTTCATTATAAGTACTACTAATAGAGAACTGAGTTATGGCAGATATATAGCTAAAGCAGAGCTACTGAGAGACAGAGAAGAAAGTCAAACATCTGCAGAAATAGAAAAAAGTGTATTGGAGGGAACTTAAGGGAGCAGCTTCTCTAGAAACAGCCAAATGAAGACTGAGCATGCTCATAATATGGAATGTCTATTCGCTTGGGGATAGGATAGAGTACCCTAGGAAAAGGCACAATTGGCTAGAACACCAGTGCTTCAGACTTTGGGTGCATGTTCCACTTGTTTCTGCCAGTTTTCAGCTTTTTCAGTAGTTCCATTGATGAAGTATACATGCATATGCTTATGCACTTCCATCAGCTCCAGCCAACATGGCCAATGATCAAGAACAATGGGAGTTGTAGTCCTACAACCTCTAGCCCATATGATGTAGTTCACAATTGTTATTTACAGAGCCTCTGCAGTATAGCGGATACAAGTCAGAGCTGTAAGTCGGGGACTTCCCAATTTTAAATCTTATCTCTCAGGAAGACTTAGGCAAGCCTCTCTTGACCCTGGTTTCCTCACTGCCCCAACCTGCAGTAGAATGCTTGGACCTTTTGTAGGCAACTAAATTTGCAGCAAAACAATGCAAAAAAGCATCTTTTGAAACCAGGCTTACTTTAGCTAATATAGTAGGTCAGTTGCTTTCAGAGTTTTTGGTTTGCATTCGCTCGTGTCAACAGGTTACATCAGAAATTCAGAGCCTGTGGCTGTCCAAATGTTGGGACTCTGAATCCCACCATCCATTAACTTTGGCTGTGCTGGCTGGGGCTGAAGGTAGTTGGAGTCCTGCAACATTTTCTGGAGGACCACAGCTTCCTTATCCCTGAGTTAAATGAACGTGTAGTATTCTTGCTCAGCTATGCTAAACTCTTAATCTTCCTTCTAGCTCTGAGAACTCTGCAGCCAGAGACTGGGAGCTGCCTTCCAACCTGGGGATAACGATGGAGGCTGTTGACTTGTCCTTCCTTTCGGAGGCTGAGAGGGATCTGATCCTCCAGGTCCTGCAACGAGATGAAGCACTGCGGAAAGCAGAAGAGAGGAGAATCAGGTGAGAGCCCAAATGGCTCAGGGGTCAAGAGGGAGGCAAGAACACCGCTGCCCTTGCTTTGGAGAACTGAGCTGGTGTAGGAATATAGCCGAAACCTTTGCTGCTTGCTTAAGATGACAAAAACAAGGGTGTTTGCAGGTTCCTATTGGTCTGCTTCAGCTTCATGGGTTGTGCATTGTACAGGCCTGCCCTGAAGAAGTCTGGGTGATTCAGAGTCGTTTTCCCATCATAGGGATCTGCCTCATACTGCGTCAGACCATTTGTCTGTCTAGACGATTTGTTGTCTTGGAAGCTTTCTTCTGTTTGCAACCTTTGGGATCCAAAGCACTGTTTGGGGTTTTTGTCAGGAGGACAGTGAGGTACTGTCCATGTGCCTAAGATTGCCCATCTCATCATCTCCCTGCTCATTGCTAAACTCTGTAAAATTGCCCAGTTTTTATCTTTTCTTCCTCAGTGGTTGCTCTTATATTCTGTTTTGAGGCTCTGCCGCCTCTGTCTCTGCACTTACGTGGGCTAAGCTAGAGCACCAGTGAAAAATATTTTGCTTTATTCATCTCTGTGTAAGATTTGTTACCTGCCCTTCACCAGAAGGGCCTACAATGAAAAGTATGATTATAAAAAACAAATTGCAATTATGAAAGATATAAAACAATTCCAAATGGAACGGAACAGTTTATTAGCATAACTCTTTCTCTCTCTGATATACCAGTTAATTACATTAGACTTGGTGTTTATTACACAAGGGACGTTATCCCTTATTTTATGTCTTTTATTCATTGCTTATTACAAGAGTCTCAAAGCAGCTTAAAACAAATTAAAAATGCAGCAAGTAACCTAAGGAAAATAACTAAATTATTTATTACTGCATTTATATATTTTTCTCTAAGGAGCACAGTGCTTCCCCCCTACCTCATTATATTATCACAGCAGCCTGTGAGGTTGGTAGATCTGGGTTTGAGCAGAGGTTTTCCCAGGCCTCCTGCTACTTAACTGAAAGGGCCAGGCTAAGTCCTTCTGCATGCAGGTCAGCTTCTGTGCTGCTGAGCCGTGGCCCTTTCCAGTCAGCAGAGGTACAGGCCACGTTCCTTAGCTTCTCACTCTCATCTCCATGTAGTACTCCTGATATATATACCTAGTCTTTTTCCCCAAGAGGCATTCAAGGTGGTTTACAGATAAAAATAAGAACAGCTTAAAACATTTGGTGGGGGGAAACGGTAATTAAAAAATAATGAAACATTAATAGAATTAAAACTCTGCAAATAATTACAGGTGCCCCCCCTTACATGGGGGTTACGTTCCAGGCCCCCATGCGCATAAGGGAAAATTGTGTAGGTGGGGCGCAACCTCTAAAAAGCCTCTAAACGCCCAGGTTTTCCTGCTCTCCAGATCTCTCTCCCCACACAACTCTCCCTTCAACTAGAGTTGAAGCTCTGGGACCGGTTGGAGGCTGTGCAGAAAGCAGCTCCTCCTCCTCCTGAACCAATGCACACATCAGCTGTTAGGCAGGGAGGCTGAGCAGAGTAAACAAAGCCCTACCGCGCCTCCAGTCTCTTTGGGGCTTCCTCCGCCCTCACTGACGTCCTCTTTGGGGAGAGTCTCCTCGCGAGCCACGAGGACTCTCCAGCTCTCTCCTGCCATTGCCTGGTATGATTCTATTTCTGCATTTACCTCCCAGCGCTGCGCATGTGTGCGGTTGCGCACTAGTTAATCATGTGTATATGGGATGATGCCTATACAATAAAAACAGCAGGGCATCATTAGAAGCAACCAATTCATCAAAGCCTGTTGGGATAAGGAGGTCTTCACCTCCTGGCAGAAGGACAGCAAGGAGGGAGCCAGTCCGACTTCTCCAGGGAGGGAGTTGCGCAGTCTGGGAGCAGCCACTGAGAAGGCCCTCTGCCGTGTCCACGCCAAGTGAGGGTGGTGGGACCGAGAGAAGGGCCTCTCGGAACCTGATCAGGTTCAACTGAGGGCATACTCTCTTTCAGATAGCTTAGACCTAAGAGTACCATCTTCACAGATGCAAGCCTTAGCTGGACCAACCAGCGCCTGGATTTCTGGAGCGGATGCTGTGAGATGTATGGGAACTTAGGCTCCCTTCCTTTGTATGTGGTAGTCTTTAGTCATTCCCGCTTTGTGCTCCTTGCAACAGGCGCCTGAAGAATGAGCTGCTGGAGATCCGCAGAAAGGGAGCCAAGAGGGGAAGCCAGCGCTACAGCGAGAGGACGTGCGCCCGCTGTCAGCAGAGCCTGGGGCGGATCAGCCCCAAAGCCAATACTTGCCGTGGCTGCAACCATCTGGTGTGCAGGGACTGCCGCTCCTATAGCGCCAACAGTTCCTGGCGCTGCAAAGTCTGCACCAAGGAGGCGTAAGTTCGGCAGCTTGAGTTTGCCAGTGCTGCTTCCTGTCCTTGTGCTTCCTGTTCCTTGTCTCTTCCAGCTGCGGCTGTTTATTGCAAGATTCTAGCCCTCAATATTTACGCACAACTTGTTTTGTCTAAAGGCTTTAGGATTCAGGAGTTTTAACTGTCCTGCTCAATAATTTAAACCTCTGTGCATTCTTTTTATTTTCCTTTGTAGAAAAGCACGGTGAATACAGTTAGCAAGGCTGGGTTCTTGCCGCCAAGGCCATGAGACTGGTACAAGATTTATTGAGCCAATAATGTTGCTGTGGAATTGTTTGGGCAGTGGGAGGGCCCCATGCTAACACACCCTTGATAACTACCTACAGGGGAGCTTTGCTGTTCTTGCTGCAAAGCTGTGTCTGCAAAATCCCAAAGTCAGCAACAAAACATCTATAGGTTTCCATAAATTGTCCCCCCCATACATTAATGAGGGCTAGAAACTTGGGGTGTTTAGTTTAATAAAACAACAACTCAGGAAGCCAAATTCTATTATACATAGTTGTGTAATCATCCATGCTTCAGGAAAACTAAGTGATGGTAAAAACTGAGCTGAACATAAGTGATTAAATTGTTACAGATGGTCTTTTGCAGCACTCTTTTCTCTCTCTCTCTCTCTCTCTGTGCAGGGAGCTGAAGAAATCTACTGGTGACTGGTTCTATGACCAAAGAGTAAATCGATTTGCTAGCAGGCTGGGCAGCGACATCATTCGAATGTCTCTTCGGCGCAAACCACAGGGTAGGATTTCTTGACAGTTCTTGGTCTGAAGAGGAGCAAAGAGTCTGTAGCTGCTGGTTCTTATGCAGGATTTTTGTTTGTATTTTCCAATTAAACATAATCAAAAGTTGCCCCAAATAACTTATTAGCTGACAATTCATGTCCTGGTCAGCAAACTCTTTACATTCTCCACACTCTCCCCACCCTTTTAGAAATCTAGCTTGACTTGCTTACTTGAGCTATCTGTATCTTCTCAATATCCTGTGTATTTTCATTCTTCAGCCATGGTGATGGCATGGGCTGCTGAGAAGGAAGGGAGGCAAGCAAGCAAGCAAGCAAGCAAAGCAGCCTTACCAACCCCTCTTTCTTCCTCCTTGCTGCCACCAAATGGATGTCTATTTTTTTCCTGACTTCCTCCATTGAATATTTTGGACATGAATTGGCCCAACCTACTCCTGATACAGTGGTACCCCTGGTTACAAACTTAATTCATTTTGGAGGTCCGTTCTTAACCCGAAACCATTCTTAACCTGAGGCGCGCTTTTGCTAATGGGGCCTCCCACGTCCGCTGTGCCGCCGGCACGTGATTTCCATTCTCATCCTGGGGCAAAGTTCGTAACCCGAGGTACTACTTTGGGTTAGCAGAGTTTGTAACCCGAAGCGTTTGTAACCTGAGGTACCACTGTACTGGGTAAAGTGGCACAGCCCTTGGGTGTGGGGTAAATGACAAGGCCTTGGACCAAGTTTTTCTGAAACAAATTATTCTTTGCTTACAGTTTTAGGAAGACACCAAGTTAAACATCATTTGAGGATATCATTTGAGAAAATGATTTTAGACGGAAAAAAAGTTTGAAAAGCAAGCAAATAAGCAGAGAGAAACTCTGTCAGCTACTGTCTTGTATTCTTTTGTTCAGCTACTTTGTTTTATTCTGTATTTATCCATTTACATTGCTCAGTCCAGCTTCTGGGTCCCTCAGAATTCCCCCCCTCCTCCTTCTGGCTCCTTTCTGCTCTAATGGTCTCACTATTCAACTTTCTATAACACTGGTTCCACAATAACTGCATTAACCAGTTTTCTAGCTTATAGACAGTAGCCTTATTTGCACATAAAACTATGGCAAATGATGCTTTAGCCTGAACAAGCAAGTGTGCTGGTGAGCAGTCAGAAATCTGTGGTAGTTTTGCTCCTTCCTTGTTTGTATTGCTGCTGCATCACTGGAAGCTAAGCCATGATTTGGCACACCTGAACCTGTGCTTATGGTTTGTCTCCCCCAAACAAATTGTGACCACAAGCTCACAAAATAATAATAATAATAATAAAAAATACTGGGCACAGTTTGTACTCTATCTGGAACGAGACAACCCATAAGCCTGAGTACAGATGTAATGCTAAGCCAAACCAAACCATGGCTTAATTCCTGCTAGTGTGGCAGCAGCAGGAACAGGGAGGATCAAAGCAGCTGCAATTCCCCCCCACCCCCATGCATCAACTTGTTTGCTTGTTCATTCACTCCTAAGTCATGGTTTGCTTTGGTGTTAACAGTTAATGAGGCCAAAAAAAATATTTGAAAAAATCACTCCCCCACTCAAAGATTCTAACTTTTCAGAAGTTTCCATTTGCTCCTAATTGCCAAGTTCCTAGGATGATAGGAGTGGTGTTTTTGACAATATATGGAGGGCTAAAGATTGGCTAGCTCTGCACTATATATAGCCACTGAGTGAACTGGGTTTGACACGGGTGGCACTGTGGTCTAAACCACTGAGCCTAGGGCTTGCCGATCGGAAGATCTGCGGTTCGAATCCCCGCGACGGGGTGAGCTCCCATTGCTTGGTCCCAGCTCCTGCCAACCTAGCAGTTTGAAAGCATGCCAAAAAGTGCAAGTAGATAAATAGGTACTACTCCGGCGGGAAGGTAAACGGCGTTTCTGTGCGCTGCTCTGGTTCGCCAGAAGCGGCTTAGTCATGCTGGCCACATGACCCGGAAAAACTGTCTGCGGAAAAACGCCAGCTCCCTTGGCCTGTAAAGCGAGATGAGCACCGCAACCCCAGAGTCATTATTGACTGGACTTAACTGTCAGGGGTCCTTTACCTTTACCGTTACCTTATATAAATGTTAACTATTGAATGAACCTACCTCTCAAGGTTGTTAGCTGGGTGGAAGATGCATCCTGTGTACAACCTTGAGTTCCTTGTGGGGGAAAGGTGAGGTGGAAATGTCATGAATAAATGGGGACTGCTCCCAGTATGTGTGCATTGACCCTAAAAGGTTTGTTATTTTTATCCCTTCTCTTTTAGCTAACAAAAGGGAGACAGCAGGGCAAGCTCTTCTGCAGAAGGCCCAGCTCACCGATACCAAAGGTTCCTCCAAGGCGGCACCAAGGAGTCCCCAGCAGCAACGCAAGGATCCCAGGTGACTCTCTCTCTCTCCCACCCACCCCTTCTTGCTCCACCATGCTGGGGCTGTTGCAGCAACAGGAGTCTGTTTCATTCCTCTCACTAGCAGCAGTGAATATCAAAGCACATGAAGGGAAAATATCAGCATACTTACATTCCTTCAAGTATGCAGGAAGTGTATATGCCAGAGGTTTTCAACCTTTTTGGTTCACAGCTCCCTTGGCCAACTACATTCTTTCTGCAGCACCCCTGCGGGGCTCAGGAGCCCAGTTATATTACCCCTTGCCGAAAGAACCAGCAGCCCCTCACCACTTTTCGAACACCCTCCCTTGTTGAGTGTTCACTCAGCCTCCTCTCTTCTCCCCTCTCCTTGGGAGTCCTCCGAGCAGCCACTGGTGCCACCCATGGTCTCTCAGCTGCCCAGCCTGCCCCCAAAGAGAGGTGCTTCCTCACACTGCCCCACAGGGACCTGGGAAGCAGTCCCTGGCCAGCCCCGGAGGCACCATTCACCTGGGGAGTTTGTAGCCAGGGCTGCTGCAACAAACAGCCAATCAAGCCTTTGGAAGGCAGAGATGCGGGAGGGCATCAAAGGAAGGAAAGGAAGGAAAGAGGGACAGAGGCCAGTGTTGCTACAGCACATTGGTTGAAAAGCACTGGCCTATGCATTTTGGGACGCGGTTGGCACTGTGGGTTAAACCACAGAGCCTAGGGCTTGCCGATTAGAAGGTCGGTGGTTCGAATCTCCGTGACGGGGTGAGCTCCCGTTGCTTGGTCCCTGCTCCTGCCAACCTAGCAGTTCGAAAGCATGTCAAAGTGCAAGTAGATAAATAGGCACCACTCCAGCGGGAAGGTAAACGGCATTTCCGTGCGCTGCTCTGGTTCGCCAGAAGCGGCTTAGTCATGCTGGCCACATGACCCGGAAGCTGTACGCCGGCTCCCTCGGCCAATAAAGCAAGATGAGCACCGCAACCCCAGAGTCGGCCACGACTGGACCTAATGGTCAGGGGTCCCTTTACCTTTACCTATGCATTTTGCATTTGCATGCAGGCAGTTTTCAGGATGCAATTGCATTTTAAGAACGGAGGTTTAGAATAGCTGTAAGAAGGAAAGGTCTGCCGTTCAGCTGTGCATTGATGAAATATGCCGCACATTTCATGGAAAATAGCCTTGTGTATGATGAGTGTGTTGTATGTCTCCTCCTCCCCCACCTATTACTGGAACAGAGACCCCCAACAGCTTTTCTACTGAGATAATAGAGTTCTTCTTGCGCAATGTTCTCCACATCTGGTGTAGACAGTGATGAGCTGGGTAGATCAATGATTTGACTTTGTGTGAGACAGCTTCCTATGTCTTTGTGTTCTCTGCTGCCTGGTCCTTTGAACTAGAGATGCCAGGGATTGAACATGGGCCCTTCCACCAAGCCCCTTATTGCCGTTCACCTGTCTAGACTGTTTCTTCCAGCTTGACCCCTGATCACTTGGAGCTCCGAGATGCAAGGAGTGACACAGAATCCACTGAGAACATGAGTCTGGATGGCTTCCGCGCTGTCTCTTCTCCTACAGCTCCTGGCCCCAGGTTTGAAAAGACCATTTCCGATTCCTATAATGTGTATATCCCAATCTGTAAGGGAATCTGTGGCTCTCCAGAAGTTGCTGAACCACAACCCTAATAATTTCTGACCATTGACTATGCTGGTTGGAACTGATGGGAGCTGGAAGTCCAACAACAATGCTCTCTAAAACTAGTTATTTTCTCCAGCCAGTTGATTCTTACTAATATCCAAAACCACCACTTTTCAGAATGAGCAATTATTTTTATGCCAGCGGTTTGTGACATGATGCAATTCACTTGTTTTCTGTAGTGTCTTTTGAATGTTTGAAAAGAATCATACGGTGATGGAATCCAGAGGTACCATAGGACAATTCCTGCGCTGTTTGAGCAGTGCTTTCCACCACAGTTAATTTCTTTGCTGAGACAGAGGGTGTACACAGCCTGCCTTTTATGTGCCCTTCAGCTTTTTCTCACCTGGTTTGCTTGTAGCAAGCTAAACGTAGAGAGATCCATATCAACTTCATGTAAATCTCCTGCGATATGACTTGCTATGATAACCTATGAATGTCACTTCTATTTAGTGAACTACTGGATGGCCTAGATAATGGAGGTTGCATTGTGCTTTTTCCCTATCTGGTTGGATAGCCACCTGCCATGTTCTAGTTGAGATTCCTGCATTGCAGGGGGTTGGACTAGATGGCCCTCGGGGTCCCTTCCAACTCTAAGATGCTATGAACTTCTGGTGGGAGAGAGCCACAACTTGCCCATCCTTGTTTTAGAATGTGCTGCTTTAGAATCACAGGAGCATTCTAGGCTGTTAAATCTGTTGAGCTCAACTGGGGGAAGAGGAATGGATGAGGTTTGATTAGAGGGAGAGAAAAGGGAGGTAAGTTGGGGGACATAAAAGCCCTTTTTAGACTTTCCTCCCTAACTCTTTCATATATCGAATGCCTGGGGTGGGGGTGGCTTGCTGGGGGTCAGGATATTGCCTGCAGAACCTGTGCCTCTGCTTTTGGGGTGGTCCTCAGTGAGCTCATGCTGGGAAATAACTTCATGCATGGTGCAGAGAAAGAAAGCAGAGTTTTATTTTCTGCCTCCGGTCATACTACAAATCAAGCATTGACCAGCCTCCTTTCCCATCCTGACCAGCCTTCTAGATATTGTTGATCTTCCTGATCTTCCTGATCTTAGGTGGGGCTGATGAGAGCAGGAGTCCAGAAACATCTGGGGGGGGGGGGTACAGGTGGGGGAAGGCTGAAACAGACAAAAGGAAAGATCTATTGACCCAATGCAATTTATGGAATTCGTTGCTGCACAACATGTGGCAGTTAGCTAAGGCTTTAAAAGGGGATCGCCTAAATTCATGCAGGTTTACAGCTGTTGCTAAATGGAAGGGTTAGTGGTTTTTCTTCTTCTGTGCCTCAGCTGATCCCATTCTCAGTGTGACTGCAGAAATTTCCAGGCAGGCATACAGTTCCATTTCCAATCCTCGCATATAAGCTTCCTGCTTTTCCTCCCACAAATGTTCCAGGAATTTTATTGGTTCTGCTTTGGCTGGGCTATAGAGCAAGAGCACCCTTCAGATAGCAGTCGTGTGATAACATTGAGGAAGCAGAGCAGAGCTACTAATAAAGCAGAACAATGTGCAGATCACTAATTCACTATTATTGCGTTGATGATGCATTGCAGAAAACAACTGCAGAAAACAAGTCTGGCGGGTACCCTGTTCAGAGAGATGAATGTCCTTGGTCTGCTCTAGGAAAAATGTTCTTATGATCTCCCTGCTTTTTGTTTCTTTGCAGCCCTCAACAAGAGAGGACAAAAGCTATCAGCCCTTCAGGGTCCAATGCATCCAGCCTGACGCTCCCCAGCCGCTTCAGAGAGACTCTCCCCTCCGATTCAGATGGTGTAGGTTTGCACTGCTGCTTTGCATGTGGCTTGCTGAAACAACAGGTTTCTTTGCACGTATTTGGGCACTTTCGTATGGCGGCAGGTTTCTTGCAGGACTTTCCCTTCCCAGGGCACCCCAACGTTTTTCATGGGCGTATGCACATTGGTCCTTGTTGGTTGTATTGATTGGCAGAGTGTAGTATTGGGTGGGCTATCGTAACTCATCTGCACATCTAAAGCTGCTGGACTCAAAAGTACCAAAAACAGACTTTGGCGCTCGTCCTAAAGCTTGGGCTGGCCAAATGCTTTTGGGAATCAGATTTCCTTACTCTTTCTACCTGCAGCCCAGTGTGTGGGATGGTGGTTGTGTGAGGGTCTTGTTTATGTTTTTGTGATGTTGCCGTATTCGTTCCTAGGACACTCGTTTGGGGATCCAAGGTGCAGCTTCAGCTGATGAGAATGAAACCTTGTTCAAGAAGAATCCCAGGAGAGTTCAGAGGCCTTCAGGTAAAAGACCCTTAGATGCAATGTTATGCTGGCCAGGGTGGTGCAGTGGTTAAGATGCTGTATTTAAACTGGAGGTATTCACGTTCAGATCCTAACTCGGCCATGAACTTTATTCAAAGGAAGTTTGGACAAGCACCTGTTTGGGACAATCCTCTTGGATTGGGGTGGTGGATAAAGGGTTAGGTTTGGGTAGTGGTTCTGTGACATCTTGGCTCTGGGATGCTGAAAAGGGTAGCTCTCTCTTCTCCTGACCTATTTCTGTCACAGAATACACAAAGTCAGTGATTGACCTGCGACCAGAGGAGCCTGTTATTGAAAGTGGGCCTCTAGGAGACAGAAGCAAATCAGTCCCAGGCCTCAACGTTGAAATGGTGAGTCTCCTAAGGGAGCCTTTTTTAGCCTGAGGCCCACATTCCCTTCAGGGGAGCCAGGTGTCAGTGGTAGGTAGGCCCAGAAGCAAAAGTGGGCAGAGCAAAAAAATATTAATTTTACCTTTATACAGTAGGCTAATTCACCAGAGACCCCCAGAGGACATTGAACGTTTTTAAGATGGCACACCTATGGCAGAGCCATGCAGATTTGCCTCCTCCTGTAGGAGAAGCCCCCCACTGCCCCCCAGACTGGCTGTACCTGTAGTGCTCACAGGTGATGCTGGTTTAGTGCTCTTAAAGCCAGAACCTGAGATTTTGGTCCCCCCCCCCCTTGGGCATCAGCTCCCATTCCTTCCCTCACGCTTCTGACACTGTTTAGGTAGGAAGGGGGAGGTTTTCCTCCACCTTAAAGGGTGGGGTTTCTTTTCTTCCCCTTACTGGTGATTCACCTTGTATCCTGCCTTTTTTTAGGCATTTCAGAGATTCAGCATTTCAGAGATTCAGCATTTCAGAGATTCAGGTTACAGTTGTACCTCATGTTATGTCCGCTTCATGTTACATTCTTTCAGGTTACGTCCCATGGCGACCCGGAAGTACTGGAAAGGGTTACTTCCAGGTTTTGCTGCTCGTGCATGCACAGACGCAAAATGACGTCATGGGCATGCGCAGAAGTGGCGAATTGCAACCCGTGCATGCGCAGGTGCACTGCTGCGGGTTGCGCTCTTTTCATGTTGTGAACGGGCCTCCGGAACGGATCCCGTTTGCAACCAGAGGTACCACTGTACTGAGGATTCTGCTGAAGTGCAGGAAGACCTCCAAATAATGTACTCCACTGAAGTGGTGTGGCTTGGGGAGAGGGAGTGTGGCTTGAGATTTCCCACACCAATGTTACGGAAGGTTGTTCCAGAGTCAAATACTGAGAAGCGCTCTCTGCGTCCTGGGGATATTTGATGTAGGGGTAGTATTAGTGGACTTCCTTGAATCTAAAAAATATATATATCATTATGGGGCATAAAGGGGGAGGCGGTTCCTTAAGCAGGACCAGCCCAGTCATAGAGGCAACCCTCACAACCACCTGGGGTGCTGAACTTCCAAGAGCTCCTGCTGTGGCTATGTCAGTATTTTGGTGAAAGAACCTCTGTCTTTGCTTTTGGAGGTGGTGCATAGATGCAGCTTAGCAGCTCATTTGGCTGGGTGGTGTGTCATTTCATATGATACAGTCAAGAGAGCCTTTTGATCTCCAATGGCCACCTGGAGGCATAGGCACAGCTGTAAAAAGAAGTGATGGTATGCAAAATAAAGATGCACTCAATAGCTCATAATAAAACAAGACACTGGAGGAGGGCAGTGATGAGCTGGGAGACTTTTGAACTTGCCTGGGGCTGCAGACTGAGCCATCAGTCTTCCCTTTGGGAAGTTGTGCTGATGCTGTTTAGGATGAAGCTCAGCTGTGTGTGTTTTCTTCTCTAGGAAGAGGAAGAGGAGGACATAGACAGCCTGGTAGAGATTCACCGGAGAAGGACAGCCAGATGCAGCATGCGTAGCGGTACATCCTCGGTGGGTCCCGGTACCAATGCCTGTTGCCTAGGACTCTTTTGAAGAAGGGTGGGGAACCTGTGAGACTCCAGCTCCCATCAGCCCCCAGGCAGCATGACCAATGGTCAAGGCTGATGGGAATTGTGGTCCCAAGAGGGTGGCATGGGTTCTCCATACTTGGCTTGCAGAGCATAATGTTCCTTCTTCTGCATTCCTATCAAGCCCAAGATATTTATTTATTACATTCTATTTACAAAAAGAAAATGTCTGTAACATCAGCATTAAAAGGGGGGTGGAATAGATCGTGGTGGTGAACAGCACAAAAGCGACAGTAGAATTTCATTCATAAAGCAAATGCATTGTAAGTGGGTCAGCTTGATATGTCACAGGAAAACTGCCTGATGCTGAGTCTGACCACTGGTCTATCTTGCTCAGTGTTGTCTACTACGCTGACTGGCAGAAGCTCTCCAGGGTTTCAGACAGATATTCCCAATCCTACCTGAAGATGCATGCAAAGCAGATGCCCTACCACTGAGCTACGGCTCTTCCCCCGTTAGCGCAGCTGGATTAAGACAGGTGATCTCCAGGGTAGGGGGGCTTCTTTGCCTCCGTTGCTGTCAGATAGGACAGTCACTCTTCCTATCCATGCAGGAAGTGGTGGAATTCAGTGATGGGATTGAAACTAAAAACAAAAGCTGTGGTGGGACCTTAAGGATGAGCAGATTTTTAAAACAGCTTAAACTTTCAAGGATCAGAGGCCTTTTCACCTCCTGAAAAAATTATGCTGTGCCAAATTATTATTGTTGTTCTTATTATTTATATACCACCCTTCATCACAAGATCTAAGGATGGATCATGGGATAAAAACGCAAGGTAAAAACATAAGCAAATAATTAAAACAATACCCCCCCAATCTTTTAACTGCCCTGTTGTTTTGCTACAACAGACTGAACGCTGCCCCCACTTTTTGGATGGAAATGTAGGTTGAACGTTTTGGTTAAAAACCTTTCGGAGTTGGTTACAGTAGCTGGTCTGCACGTGCAGCAGAATCTCATGGTGACATTGGTTGAATCTGGGCCAGGAAGGCAGAATTCAGTGGATGGTAAACGATGCTGCTTCTTTTCTTTTCTCAGAGCACTTTGGGAAGCATGGTCAGTATCTACAGCGAGGCGGGCGACTTTGGCAATGTCTGTGTTACGGGAGAAATTGCCTTCTCCCTGAGCTATGAGCAGAAGGTGCAGACTCTCTTCATCCATGTGAAGGAGTGTCGCCAGCTGGCCTATGCTGACGAGGCCAAGAAGCGCTCCAACCCGTGAGTGTGCATCATCTTGTACTGGATGTGTGGGGAGGAGGGACATTGGACTCTCCTGCTTATGTGGGTGAGCTTACACCTAGCAGTAGGACAGGAATAAGTGGTTTGGTTTCCAGCCTGTAGCAACAAATTAAGTGGGTCGCTTTGGACATGGTACAGATTAGTAGCTGAGGAAGCTTGACTATAGTTTAGAAGTGTAATTGCAGCATCAGCTGCTCTCCCTCCTAGAGACAGGAGTTAGAAAGCAAAAGCAGACAACCAGTTGTAAACCGTGTGTTTCCTAGATTTATTTGAAAGCTCAGCTTTGGGCCAGGTTTGGTTCTAAAGTACGGTGAATGCAAACCATGTGTGTGGTTGTTTTTTTTAATGTGATGCCTGAAATTGAGTTCCGTTGTGTTCACATGTACTTTTTCATTTGTTGTATAATTTTAAATTTAAGAAGGATCAAAAGCAGGTGTAAAAGCGCTTTGAACGAACGAACACACATTTTAATCAAACACTCTTCTAGCATGGTTAAATGTGGGCTGCTTAAATGTGGGACAAAATTGCAGTGCTGTGCTTGCAAGACAGAATAGTTATGCGAGAGGAAGTGTGTACAGCACCCTCAAATGCATTTTTTTGATAAAGGCACTGTATTATATTTTAAAATATGCCAATTTGCATTTATGGATTTATCACATTTTTTTTATCCTGCCATTCCTCCAAGGACAGCTAACAGTGTTCTCTCCTCCTTCTCCAGCCCTTGCCCCATTTTTAGCAAAATAGTTTACGCTGAGATGGTGAGTGATTCAAGGCTACCTGGTGGTTTTCATGACTGAGGCTGCAGAGGTTTTATCTCTGGTTTCCCCAGTTTTAGCCCAGTGCACTACATTAAGAGCAATCACGAGGAGGGCTGCAATCTGTAGTTGAAGTGTTTCACACACCAGTGTGAACTATCTAAAAATATGGGGTATTTTGGGGTGGGGGTGGCCCTCAGCAAATAGTTGTTTTTTGTAAGGACTCACTGTGTGGATACATCCCGCCTCTCAGCACGCCAATGCAATTGCACGGCCACTTTATCCAAAGCTGCCTGCTTCGCCAGTCTCATCACCATTAAACAGAGGTGTGTGGGACCATGGAAGGAAAGGGAGATAACTGGGCAAGGTGTAAACCTACATGTTTTGTCTCTCGCAGGTATGTGAAGACATACCTCCTCCCGGACAAATCCCGCTCAGGGAAGCGGAAAACCACCATCAAACGGAACACCGTCAACCCACTGTACAACGAGCTGCTCAAGGTGTCTGAGAGTTGTGGGCAGGGGGCTAGCCAGGCTTGTGTAGGTTGTGGTCCTCTGTGGAAGCTATCCTTGCTAAATACGCACCCTCTCTTTTTCGTTTTCTTGCAGTATGAGATCAGCAAGGCCCTCCTGCTGACGAGGACCTTGCAGTTCTCTGTCTGGCACCACGACCGTTTTGGCCGGAACACTTTCTTGGGAGAGGTGGAGGTCCCGATGGACACCTGGAACTTTGAGAGCCCGTTGGAGGAGTGCCTCCCCCTGCATGGCAAGGTTTGCCCCACCCCACTGCTTGCTTCCCTGGTCCCCCTGTCATGTAGCTTCAGCTGAAACAGGTTTCTTGGGAGCTCCAGGAAGTCTTGCTAAACTCGGTTCTCAAGCTTCTAATTGCCTCTGTGTTCAGTTGCTGTTTTGGTTTAAATAACAAACAGGGAATCTTCCTTGCCACCAGTTTTGTTGTAATTCCAGTTGCAGGTGAAGATCTCTCCCATTTTCGCACATTTTCAATCATTTTAATTGCTTCTTTTCTCAATATTTCAATTCTTTGAAGCTGCAGCAGAATTTTTTTGGCCCAGGGATTGCTCTATAATGTTCTTGGTTCGATTACTTTTTAAAATATGTTTTGTTTGTTCTCTTTGCAAGCTGTCCTGGGAATGTCAATTTTGACACTGAAAGGGTGGAGGCATTATGTACAGTGGTGCCCCGCAAGACGAATGCCTCGCAAGACGGAAAACTCGCTAGACGAAAGAGTTTTCCGTTTTGGAGGTGCCTCGCAAAACGAATCTGCTATGGGCGTGCTTCGCAAGTTGAAATTGTGGTGCGAGTTCCTGGGGTTTTTTTTCCCTTTTCCCCCTCTTTTTCTAAGTCGCTAAGCCGCTTATCTGCTTATCCGATAAGCTGATAAGCTGCTAAAAGCCGCTAAAAGCCGCTAAAAGCCGCTAAAAGCCGCTAATAGCGCTAATCCGCTAATCCCGTCAATGGGCTTGCTTCGCAAGACGAAAAAACCGCTAGACGAAGAGACTCCCAGAACGGATTCTTTTCGTCTTGCGAGGCACCACTGTATTCTTTGAGCCGCTCCTCCCTGCCTATATATATATGTATATGTATCCTCTAATTCATTTTCCTTCACAGCCACTTTAGAAAACCCTCCACCCCATCTGTAGAACCTGCCGCACAATAGCCCCCTCCTCCATATCTTACACAGAGCCATCTCAGTGTCATCTCCTTGCATCAGTAAATCCTGCAGGAATCTGATTGGTTGTACAACCCTTTTATTAATGATGTGCTAATATTTATCATTGCCCATTCCTGTCCTAGAATGCTGCAGACTCATCTGCTTCTCCTCAATACAAAGGCGAATTGGTGGTTTCTTTGAAGTTCATTCCACCTGCTAAGCATGCCAATGCAGGAAACGGAAGAAAAGGTGAAGATTCAGTGTAACGCAACCAGTTTCCCCTCTGAATGCAACAGAAACCATACATGTGGCAGCTGTCTGGTTTTCCTCTTTATTCGTATCCAAACCTTTCCCCAACTCCATAAGGTCTAGAAACTTGACTTAAATTCTGCTAACAATCGGCTTTTCCAGTTCTGTGTGGTTGGTAGGGTGGCTTTCATACCATCCTGGTTAGAGGAAGCTTTGGGACTGGGGAACTCCTGCCGTTCATGCTCATCACAGGGGTCTCTTTGTTAGGCAAAAAGGAAGACGGCGGTGAACTTCAGGTCTGGATCAAAGAGGCCAAGAACCTGACAGCAGCCAAATCTGGAGGGACATCTGACAGCTTTGTCAAGGGGTGAGCAAATGGGAGCTTGCTAAAACTGTATGATGGGTGGAAAGGAGGCTGGAGACTGAAGGTTTACAGTTAATTGTTGCCCTGCCCAGGTGTACCACAGGGGTTGTGTGTGCATCTGATTATAGAAATAATTATTTTGCATTTCATGTAGTATCTTGCACAGCAATATGAAATAAGTGTGCTTGGCTCTGGGTAGCAATTGATTTGGGGCTGTGCAAATCCTTCTGAGTTTTAAAAGGGGATGGATCTGATTCTTATAGAAGAGAAGCACTTTGACTTTGAACTATGCATACGGCGCATAGTTCTGCTTTTACAGGTCACAGGAAAAGCGCTCGCAGGGTGCCCTCTTGTGGCTGCTGAGAATTCTCTCCGCAGCTTCTTAAGCACAAGAAATTTGCAGAGAGATCTTCAAAAGATGCTAAGTTTTCTACCCTCCCCCCCCCTTCCAAGCTACCAATTTCTGCAAGTCCTGGTTGCAGGAGCCTCTTTAATAAGAGAGAGGCATTTTTCCCTCCCTGGTCCACAGGTATTTGCTCCCGCTGAGGAACAAGGCCACTAAAAGGAAGACACCAGTTGTGAAGAAGAGCCTGAACCCCCACTACAACCACACCTTGGTCTACAACAACATCAGTCCTGAAGAGCTGCCGCACATCTGCCTGGAGCTTACTGTGTGGGACCGGGAGCCCCTTTCCAGCAACGATTTCTTGGGAGGAGTCCGACTTGGAGTTGGGAATGGTGAGGAATCTTCTTAGGACATGCATATGTGTTTGTGTGGGTGCTCATGAGTGCACCTGTCCCATCAATGGAGATTATCTTTTTTAGATGGATTATTCCTCCCACTTGCTCAAAAAATGGGGCCGTGCCAATCACTGCAGACAGTTAAGCTTCCACTTAAGCTAGAGACACTCCTGAACCCTAGCTCCCAGCTCCAGTCTAGCCTCCTTCACAGCAGTAGGGTTCTTCTAGGGCAGAGTTCCCCAAATTTGGGACTCCAGCTGTAGTTGTTTTAAACCACAACTCCCATCATCCCTAGCTAGCAGGGTCAGTGGTCAGGGATGCCTGAATGCCTGGAGAGCGTTCTTTATTTCAAATGGTATTGCCTTCTGTTCTGTGTACAGGGGAAAGGGTCACAGAAATAAAGTTGTGGAGCTGGAGGCTGTGGAATTTAAATATCCACCACTGTGCAGTTTTGATTCCTGGATGAAATACCACCACCTGCCTTGCATATAGAAGATCCCAGTTGCAGTCCCTGGACTCTTCTGATAGGGCTAGGAATGTCCCCTGCCTGAAACCCTGGAGAAATGCTGGCAGGCAATGTAGACATGACTGAGCTAGATGGACCCGATGGGTTGACTCTGCATAAGGCAGCTTCCTACATTCCTAAGTTCTTGCTCCTTCATTCTTTATAAGGCCCAGTCTTTTCAGCCATTGCTTTCCATCCATGGCTCCAGTCAGTTTTACGTTAGCTGATGGGCTGCTTTTCCACAGTGAACTCAACACCTGAATCTGATCCCAATAAAACATTTAACTTAATTATCAAAAATGCATAACGTATGCTTGTTACAGAACACTTCAACCCAAGTCAGACAAAATAAACACTTCAGTAAATGTAGCATCCACTAAACATTACAATAAAATAACCTAAATCTCGATACATAACAAGCAGAGAGCTAAATTTGAAGTTGATGGGCCAAAAAGTAGATATGAGAAAATAAATACGCGCAACTAGTACTTGTCTTGCTGCCCTCCCAAGGGGCCACAGCAGGGTACGGGCGGGTCTTCATAGCGGGCTCCCTCGTTTTTGGCCATTTCTCTTTCTCTCTACAGACATCCACAGCGTCCATTTAAAGCACTCTTATGCTATTTTAAACAGTCATAGCTCCCCCCCCCCCCAATGAATCCTGGCAACTGTAGTTTGTTAATGGTGCTGGCTTTGCAAGGCTACAGTTCCCAGCACCCTTAACAAGGTACAGATCCCAGGACCCTCCATGACTGTTAGAAATGTTTTAAGATGGCTTTAAGTGGTGTGGATATGACACAATCTCTCTTGTTTTACTGTGAAAATTTATATTGAAACAGAGTTGAAAAACACGCAACGAAAGGGAAGAATGCCACATGGAATTAAAACAAGAGGGCCCACAGTTTATCTGAGGACAGCTCTATTAAGCAAAATCCAGTTCTTTGTGAGGGAGTGTTACTTGAGTAGACGACATTTGGGGATGGAGGTGCGACACATGGTGATTTTAGCCTTTTCAGTGCTGAAGACAGAACACGGCTGGGCACTCAAATAAAACATCAGGTTTAGCAACGCCTTCACAGATTTTGTAGCTCATGCTGGCCTAGTGAACTCCTGGTGCACAGCTTATACCCATGTTGGGTATTACACATGTTCATTCTAGTGGGTTAAAAAAAAAAGTATGTAAACATTACACAGATATGATTTACCTGTCCTGTGACTTTTTTTTGGAGGGGAGGGGGGAATAACTAATGGGAATAGCACCTGCTTTGCATTCAGTCCCTGGCATCTCCAGCTAAAATTAATTTGGTAGCAGGTGAAAGGTGAGGAAAGACCATTGCCTGACTGCCTGGAGAGCTGCTGCCTGCCAGAGTAGACAATACAAGTCCAGATGGGCAGGGCCTGATCTGCAACGAGAAACATGCTCTTGGGACTCCCATTATTCCCAGCCAGCATAGCCAGCGGGGGCAGGGTTGATGGGAGCTGTAGCCCGGACAGCACCAGGAGGGCCACAGGTTCCCCCCACTCCTGCTCTGTGACTTTGCTAGGGATACTTGGATAACCAAATCAGTTCCATCAGTTGGTGAGGATGGTGAAAATGGACCTTGGCTATTTTGTGCACTCGGCTGACCTCGCCTTTTTTTCTTTCAACTACTTGTCTCTTCAGGGATGAGCAATGGCCAACTGGTGGACTGGATGGATTCTACCGGAGAGGAGATTAGTCTGTGGCAGAAGATGCGCAAGTACCCCGGATCGTGGGCAGAGGGAACCCTTCCCCTTCGCCCCACCATGGCCAGAGCAAGGCCATAACTTTGTTCCAGCTGGCTTTTGAGGCAAATGATGGCCAGGTTCACTGCACTAGAGAGTTTATGGGATGCAGCAACAAGACTTCCTGGCTTCGTACCACGTGTAGCAATAGAACTAACTTTTGAAATGGCCCATGAAGCTGGCTTGTTCTGGAGAGAAGTTCTTGGTAGTCTGTTCCAAGGATATTTTATTGGGATTGTTTTCTGTGCAGACCCTGGTGGGGGGGGGAGGGTGTCCTGCCAAAGTGCCTTTTAAAAATCCCTTATTTTTCCTTATTTTCTTTATCCCTCAAACTCCCTTTCCTATTTTTCTTTTTTTCCTGAAATCTTCTGCAACATACTGCATCTGCATCCTGTTCTTGATTTTAAATGTTAACACCTTCTGTTCTGTTCTGTGCACAGCAGAAAGGGTCACTGAAATAAAGTTTGGGTGTATGAAGCTGGAAGCTGTATAATTTAAATATCTACTTTTTATTCCTGTATTAGCAGGAGATGAAGACATGGTGCTCAATAATATGGACAGAAAGGATGGGGAGGAGGAGATGCAGTTCAAGTAATGACCAGCCTGCTGTTCCATTGACTCTGGCTTTCCCCCATTCAGTGATGAGGGTATGGCAGCAAGGTGAAATGCATATTTGGGGAAGAGGCATAACTTGATGGCAGTGCATCTGCCTTGCAAACAGAAGGTCCCATGTTCAGTCCCAGCATCTCCAGGTAAAGTTGTGAGATACATACTCCATATCTAAAAACCTAGAGAGCTGCTGCCAGACAGTGTAGACCAGGCATGGCTGAACTTGGCCCTCCAGCTGTTTAGGGACTACAACTCCCATCATCCCTAGCTAACAGGACCAGTGGTCAGGGATGATGGGAATTGTAGTCCCAAAACAGCTGGAGGGCCAAGTTTGGCTATGCCTGGTGTAGACAAATGCTGGGCTAGATGGACCGTGACTAAGTATAAGGCAGCTTCCTACATTCCTGTAACGCTTAGCCAAAGTCTGTTTTCCTTGTAGTGTCTACCGATTAGCTCTAGGCCTTCATTCCGGAGCAAAAGAGAATAAATTTGTTCCATCTTCTGTGTAACAGCCCTTCAGATTACTGAAGACGGAATATTAAGAAGAAATTAGATAAGAACCCTTTCGCTTGTTATAGAGAGGGTGTCTTTTGTTTGGGGGCAAGTTTTATGTGTGTGTGTGTATGGAAGAACATTCAGCTATGTGAGCCTTTTACCCCTAGCTTGGAAAGGTTAGAATCCAGAGCGCATATTTATCACCACAGTGGGAACTAGGACTAGAAGATCTACACTGCTTCGTGAGAAGTCCTGAGAACAGGAGAATAGATAATGCTGTTTGAATTTTGTGCAGGGGATTTGGGTATTTCTTTAATGCTCCCCATAATAACCACCCTCTCTCCTGGGAAACCAGCATAGCAAGGAGATAGCCTAGCACCTTTGCCTTAATGTTCTCTGAGCAGACCAAGTCAATGGGACTCCAATACTAAGCTGATCACTGGTTGAATGTGCCTAGCAATTATTGGTATATAAATGTGGTAGAGCCCTATGGAGGTACAGGGGGAGTGGAGACCCACTGGTGATACAGGACCATGCCCTCCCCCCATTGATTTGAGCATCACACAGCCCATTATTTTAAGGCTGATGGGGCTCAGGTATTCCAGGGCAGCCTTTGCCAACCTGGTCCTCCCCAGAGATGTTTTTTGGACTGCTTCTCCCACCAGCACCAGCCCAGCTGTGGGAGTCCATAAGTAGCAAAATACCTCTTTAGAAAGTACTGTCTTACTTTGAAGCCGCCCTCTGCAGTTTCAAAGTTTTGGCACATGTTCTGTTCCTCAGCTGTAAAACACGGGGGGGGGGGGGGGAGGTTCTGCTAAATAAAAAAAGGTTTACAGTGGTACCTCGGGTTACATACGCTTCAGGTTACATACGACGCAGGTTACAGACTCCGCTAACCCAGAAATAGTGCTTCAGGTTAAGAACTTTGCTTAAGGATGAGAACAGAAATCGTGTGGCAGCAGCGGGAGGCCCCGTTAGCTAAATTGGTGCTTCAGGTTAAGAACAGTTTCAGGTTAAGTACGGACCTCCGGAACGAATTAAGTACTTAACCCGAGGTACCACTGTATATTCATTCCGCCTGCTGTAGAGGTGCCAAATTCCTAGGTGTTCCAACCAGGATGCTTTTAATTCTCAGTATATTAACTACTGCACTGACTAAAAGGAGATAAGGAGTGAGCAGAAACATGTACAGTGTTAAGTACTTAATTTGTTCTGGAGGTCCGCTCTTAACCTGAAACTGTTCTTAACCTGAAGCACCACTTTAACTAATGGGGCCTCCCGCTGCTGTCGCACGATTTCTGTTCTCATCCTGAAGCAAAGTTCTTAACCTGAAGCACTATTTCTGGGTTAGTGGAGTCTGTAACCTGAAGCGTATGTAACCTGAAGCGTATATAACCTGAGGTACCACTGTATACTCTTTAAAGAAGAGAAGGTGCCTTCCACTTAATGTATCTGTAACCAGAACGGGACCTTCTCCACATAGATTGCTGGTTTGCTCTTGAAAAAGAGAGAAGAGCTGTGATTCTGGGCTATCCTCTGGTTGTGATACCTTTACACACACACACACACACACACTGTGGAATGTACTTCTTGTCTAGAAAAGGGTAGGCACAAAATAAAAGACATCCTCCTGGATAATCCCTACAGGAATAGTTATGATTATTTCCCCTTTCTTAATGTGGATGTGGCTGTGGCCCCGGGGCACTGCAGGTTCTGTGGTCCTTGTTGGTTCAACTTCAGCAATTTCCTCCCTTCTGTTTCACCTCCAGTTCAATGCTGAAAGGGAAGACCTGGCTCTCCCTTAGCAGGCAGGGCATGTGAGAGGTCAAAAGGTGTCCACTGTGACTCCTGTGGATGGAGCAGCCCATTATCACTCGCATGTGTCCCTGTTCTGTTCCCTCTGGAGCACTTCGTGGTTGCTCAGCAGGTAGGTATCCACAAAGGAAAAGAGCTCGTCCGGTGTCAGAGGCTGGATGTAGCGCTCACGGTCCACGCCTTCTTTGTCGACCAACACAACGTTGAAGCGGGAGCGGGTGATATGCAGGAACTGCCTATAGAAACAGAAGGTTGGCTGATTGCCAGTTTGCTGGAGACCCTAAGAGCTCATGGAGGGTAGTGGTTTTAGAGCAGGGATGGGAACTGCTTTTGCCCAGAGGGCCAGATCCACAATTAGCTAACCCTCCGTCGGCCACATTGACAAGCAGTTGCAGCTGCTCACCTGTCAGGTCACCTGACCCTTTATTCCGCCAAGCATTTCCCATGAGAAGTAGGAAACACCAAGCCTCAGTTCTTCTAAGTGTGCTCCAAACCTTCCTTTGCAGTAGCTTGAATTTTCCTGCTCCTGACACCATGTGATGACAAATAAGGGCAAGGCCATACCCAGCTTCCCCATATCTGGAGGCCCTAGGGAGCCAGCATGTAACTTGAGTGCTTGCCCTGACTGACTGCTTATGTGTTACCAGGCCAGGTTCAATGTTTTTGCATTATTTTATAAAGCCATTGGGAGCGGGATAACTCTAGGACTGCCTGAGCCCTTCTATCCCTGCCTGATCACTGCAATCTTTTGGGGGAGTCTCTGTTGCTGGCTTCCCCATGGCTCACGACTACTAGAAGCCGCCAGTTGCCAGTTTGCTATTGGCTTGCTGTTCCACTGCAACTAAAGCCAAGGTATCTATCTGCATCATGGAGTGAGAGTGTCAAGTGGATACAACAGGGTCAGAACTGGAGCAATATAGGCAAATGGAAATACGTCTCGAGGTCCACCACATTTTATTCCAGACGCCAGTTCACTGAGATGAATGAAGGATCTGGTGCCATCTTCACAGCATCAGATCAAAGCTCCACTTAGTCCACCATCTTGTTTCCAGTAGCAGACACCCAAATGCTTCTTGCAATTTCACAAGCAGGACATGATGACAATAACAGCCCTTTAATTGTTCCACAGCTACTGTTCCTGAACCTGGAAGATGCATGTAGCCATATTGGCTTGTACGATACGATACAATACGATACCTTTATTGTCATTGTCCCGTACAGAACAACGAAATTGAAAATCTACATAAAACATTCAAAACCCAACAAGCCTGCTATCCCAGCTATCCCAACCTGGTTAGCCCCCTAAAAACTCTGATACCCCATTTTTAAATACAATATACTCCCATACAGACTCCTTACAATGCGTTTAAAATCAAAATCGCATTTGGGTAGAAACTGTTTCTCAAACGGCTAGTCCTAGTCTTTATAACCCTGTACCTTCTTCCAGAAGGCAGAAGCTGAAAGAATCATTTCCAGGGTGCGCACTATGCTGCGCTATCTCTGCAGCTTTCTTATGGCACCTGGAAGCATAGATTTGATCCAAGGTGGAAAGAGTGCACCCAATTATTCTCTCCGTAGTCTTTACAACCCTGGACAGCATTGTTTTTCCCCTGATTGTGCAGCTCCCAAACCACACACACAGACCATAAGTTAATACGCTCACTGTTGGCTTTAAAGATTTTTAAATTCTAAGTGGTCTCCACCACATTTTGTGGCAGCTGAATCGCACAAATTAAAAATTACAAATGTGGAAAAAATAGACCCCCTCTTCATTTTGTTTTTGCCTTATCATGCGCACTCTTCTCTTTGTAAAATCCCAGCAAGTGGTTGCCCAAGGCCAGTAACATTCGTCACTGAGCAGGGATTTGAACCTGAACGTCTGCCAGCCACTCTGCACCACTAACCTGAGCCCTTCAATGATGTTCTCTGAGAGTCGGTGCTCACGGATCCGCCCCACCTCGTGAGGCGGCAGCCCCACCAGCTCAATGACGGTGATGTGGCGCAAGTCCAGCCCACATGTGGCTTGCTGCAGTGAAGAGAGAAGCAAATGGTTGGAGGAACCCTGTAGCTGGAGAAGGGAAGGAAGGGTGTGAGTTCTAGGATGGAAACTCAAGAGGAAGGGCTTACCTGCAGCATGCTGTTCTGCATCTTATAGTAGCGGTCAGAAGGATCAGGAGCAGAGATGATGAGCAGCCGGCGCTTTTCATAGAATTGGTCCAGAAGGCCGGCAGCAGAGTTCACATCCACATTGATCTGCATGGCTGTCAGCAGAGCATGAGAAGACACAGGGTTTTAGCATGCTAGATGGGTACATGCTAGACGGGTAGCAATATGAAGAATGGAGAGCAGTAATAGTGGCAACAGGGCCACCTGCCACACTGTAGGAATGGATACTGACGAACATCTCTGAGTGTCCCCCCCAAATGCCTCCTTTCTGCCATCACTGCTATTACTTTTCTGGGGAGTGGAGCCAGATTACGAACCTTGCTCACACAATAGGTCACGTGAACCTGTTGGACTCCAACTCACCTGGGTCCCAATCAGTATAGCTAGTAAGGGCTGATGGGAGTTGTAGTTCAATAGCATTTGGAGGGCCATAGGTTCCTTGCCCCCACTCCTTTGCTAGGGATATCATCTCAGATACCCAAATTGGTTCACATGGTTGGTCACAATGGTGCAAATGGATCTTGTCTACACTTTGTGCTCTCAGCTGAACACACACACTTTCACTTCCAGTCCCCTCTCTTCAGGAACACTAAGGGGCGTTGCCCTACAGCTAGTGAAAAGATTTGGTTCCTTGTAATCAGCGGGTGACGCTGTGGGTTAAACCACAGAGCCTAGGACTTGCCGATCAGAAGATTGGTGGTTCGAATCCCCGCGATGGGGTGAGCTCCCATTGCTCGGTCCCTGCTCCTGCCAACCTAGCAGTCTGAAAGCACGTCAAAGTGCAAGTAGATAAACAGGTACCACTCCGGCGGGAAGGTAAACGGTGTTTCCATGCACTGCTTTGGTTCGCCAGAAGCGGCTTAGTCATGCTGGCCACATGACCCGGAAGCTGTACGCTGGCTCCCTTGGCCAATAAAGCGAGATGAGTGCCGCAACCCCAGAGTCAGTCACGATTGGACCTAATGGTCAGGGGTCCCTTTACCTTTACCTTAATCACTGCTCTTAAGCTGGCAATGCAACAATATGCTCAGAAGGACCATGGTAGGGGAAGATGTTATTCATCACTGCCCCAACAGCCATTTCTTCCAGGTTCTAAGTTGAGGATGAGGAAACACTGGTCCTCCAGCTATTGGACTCCAGTTCACATCAGCCCTAGCTGTAATAGTCAATGGTCAGGGATGATTGGAGTTGGAGTCCAGGAACATTTGAAGGAACACAGGTTCCTCTCCCATGTTCTAACAATGCTGAAATGGGGTTTCCAGTTCCCAGAATTAGAGACTCGGGGCATTGGAAGGACCCCAAGGATCATCTAGTCCAACCCCCTGCAATGCAGGAATTTGCAGCCATCCTATATGGGGATCAAACCTGCAACCTTGGCGTTATCAGCACCACGCTCTAACCAAGTGAGCTATCTGAACCAAAGTTCAGAACAAGCCCAATGAAATTTGAGAGCCCAGTGTCCACCACTGCTGTTTCCTTCAACATCTATAATAATTTTCTGCCATCAGAACAGTAAAATTTTCATAACACTTGTAAAGAACTCCAGATCATATATCTATAGGGCCAGGAAAAAAGCATTCAATAGATTCTCGCCCCTTTTTACTTTTTTGGTCTCAAATACAATGTCCCAGTGCCAATAACAGCAAAAATATGTAGAAAAGAATAAGAAACTGGAATTATAGTATCAAAATGACCACTTTTGAGGTTTTCTGCAACCAAGCAGTAAATTTTCCATATATGATTTGGATAATCACCAATCACACACCAACATATCCAGCAGTGTGAGATGACATTGAATTGCATCTGGCTCTAAGGTTTCCTTGGGTGCAAGGCCCTGTCTAGACATGTCATGACTCCTGACTGCGCAGAGGTTTCAAGTGTATTCAGTTGCATGTGCTTAGAAGCCCCATTCAGATGTTTAGCAGTGGAACCACGAAGGAGCATTGAGATCTGGAATAGCCTGTGTGCCCTGAATCGTCTCCTTGTTTCCATTTCTCAATTCAAAGCAAGAACCGAATGGATACCGCACTGTAAAGCAATGATTTCAGGTCTGATTTATGTCATAAAAGTGCAGTGGAGGAGAAGCTTCACTCTGTGTAACCTTAGGCAGGATTTTTGAGAATGTTTGGACCTCAAAGAACCTGATACTTAAGCATCTTCAATCCCCATGTAGGGCTAACACTAGGAAGTGGGATATACATTTAAAACTAAGAGATGCCTCTGAGATCAGAGCTCCCTGTATTTTATTTCCCATTTTCTCATTTAACAGCATTCAACAGTCGATATAAATCTACACAAATTGAATAATATTTTCTGTGACTTCTTCCCCTTCTGCGGTTTCTTATTTTTCTGTCATTTTCTTACAGTGGTGCCCCGCAAGACGAACGCCTCGCAAGACGAAAACCCGCTAGACGAAAGGGTTTTCCGTTTTGGAGGCGCTCGCAAAGCGAATTTCCTATGGGCTTGCGCCGCAAGACGAAAGCCCATAGGGAAATCTCCGGTCCGCGCGAAGCCTGGGCGCGCTGATCTCAGCGCGCGCAGGCTTTGGCATGCCGGCAACTCTCCGCGAGCAGCGGCAGCGCTGCCGCTGCTCGCGGAGAGGTCCGCGAAGCCTGGGCGCGCTGATCTCAGCGCGCGCAGGCTTCGGCATGCCGGCAACTCTCCGCGAGCAGCGGCAGCGCTGCCGCTGCTCGCGGAGAGGTCCGCGAAGCCTGGGCGCGCTGATCTCAGCGTGCCCAGGCTTCGGCATGCCGGCAACTCTCCGCGAGCAGCGGCAGCGCTGCCGCTGCTCGCGGAGAGGTCCGCGAGCCTGGGCGCGCTGATCTCAGCGCGCCCAGGCCTCGGCATGCCGGCAGCTCTCCGCGAGCAGCGGCAGCGCTGCCGCTGCTCGCGGAGAGGTCCGCGAAGCCTGGGCGCGCTGATCTCAGCGCGCGCAGGCTTCGGCATGCCGGCAACTCTCCGCAAGCAGCGGCAGTGCTGCCGCTGCTTGCGGAGAGGTCCGCGAGCCTTGGCTGGACAGCTTTTGAAGGCAGGTGGGGGGGGGACAAAGACTTCGCCCCCCGCCAACCTTCAGAAGAGGTCCAGGACCTCTTCTGAAGGCTGGCGGGGGCGAAAGTCTTTGTCCCCCTGCCTGCCTTCCCAGGGGCTTTAAATTGCCCCGGACAGCGGAGAAGTCCTCCGCTGTCCCGGGGCAATTTTAAAATGCCGCCCGCCAGCATTTTAAGATCGCCCGGACAGCGGAGAAGCTCTCCGCTGTCCCGGGGTTTTAAAATGCTGGGGGTGGGAAGAAAAGCCCTTGTCCCCCAGCCTTCAGAAGAGGTCGGGGGACAGACTGTCCCCGGACCTGGTCTGAAGTCGGTTTCCCTAGGAACGCATTAATTGATTTTCAATGCATTCCTATGGGAAACCGTGCATCGCAAGACGAAAAACTCGCAAGAAGAAAAAACTTGCGGAACGAATTAATTTCGTCTTGCGAGGCACCACTGTACTGCATATCTTAATTTTTCCTTTTTAAAAAACAAATTTATCCTTTATAATTCCTTTAAATTTCTTCCTGCTCATGTTTAGATTAATCCTGCTAATGTTTTTAACTGTTTACAATTTGTTTTCACATATTTAACAAATCCCCCCCCCCATTCTATCACAAAAAGTCTATCATCTTGATCTGTTAATCTGCTGGTTAGTTTTGCCATCTCTGCATATTCCATCAGTTTTAATTGCCAATCGTCTCTTTGCGGGGGGGGGGGGGGCTGTTCCTCTTTCCAATTTTGGGCATATATCATTCGGGTAGTCATGGTTGCATACATAAATATGTGAGATCACAGTGATGCTTCTAGTATGACATCACTGCTCTGAGCTCCAACTGACATAATCTCAGTTGCTGTTTCTAATTTCTATCAGCAGTTGGATCAGCTGGGAAATAACTGAATTGCAGAGAGCATTCTTAGGTTCATTGTTAGTTTAGCCAGGCATTGTATTTACCAACAGGGTTAATTGTTGTTTCATCTATCTATCTATCTACCTATCATCTCTCTCTCTCTCTCTCTCTCTCTCTCTCTCTCTCTCTCTCCAGCATTTTTTATTGTCTATTAGCAACTTAAAAAGGTAAAAGGTAAAGGACCCCTGACAGTTAAGTCCAATCGCAAATGACTCTGGGGTTGCAGTGCTCATCTCGCTTTACAGGCTGAGGGAGCCAGCGTCTGTCCGCAGACAGTTTTTCCGGGTCATGTGGCCAACATGACTAAGCCGCTTCTGGTGAAACCAGAGCAGCGCACAGAAACGCCATTTACCTTCCCGCCGGAGCGGCACCTATTTATCTACTTGCACTTTGACGTGCTTTCAAACTGCTAGGTTGGCAGGAGCACAGACCAAGCAACGGGAGCTCACCCCATCGCGGGGATTCAAACTGCTGACCTTCTGATCGGCAAGCCCAAGAGGCTTAGTGGTTTAGACCACAGCGCCACCCACGTCCCCTATTAGTACTTTAGGGAGTTATTTATTATAGGTTTTCTGCATAGATGGTAAGTAAATGCATTTAGGGAAATTTGGATTCTCAGCCCATCTTACACACACAAAACCTGCCCGCTAAGGCTTTTGTATCTTCCTTGACATTTCTCCCTTTCTGGGGATGCCCCTGGGATGCTTGCTGATGTTTGTGTCCTGTTTGCTGGTCAGAAAACACCCCCAAGACACACAAATAATGTCCAGCCTTCAACAACTCTTGCTTGGACATCTACGGCCAGCAAGCCAGGCAATAGTCCTGCCTACTAGTTGCAGAGTGTTTGTGTGTGTGTGTGTGTGTGTGCATGTCTTCCACGCACTTGTAGCAGGAATGAGGCAAATACATTTAAAACAAATACTTGCGTTAACTGCGTAAGATCACAGTGATGCTTGATTGCAAAACAATACTCTGAGCTGAAGCTGATGTCACCAAGCAGTGGCTGCTCTGATGTGTTTGTTTCTAACTGAGCTGTAGGTGGAGTTGGAGAGAGTTTTTGGAGCTGGCTAATTTTGAAACAATTGCCTGCTTTGTCTGTAAATACAATGCCTAGCTAATCTAACAATGGACCCAAAAATGCTCTCTGCAATCTGGCTTCTCCCCCAACTGACACAGCTACTGTTAGAAATGGAAAACAATAACCGAGATGATGTCAGTTGGAGCTCAGGGCAGTGATGTCATGGTGGAAGCATCACTGTGATCTCAGAGGCATTAGTTTTAAAGGTATATCCTGCTTTCCCCTCAGCAGCAACCTGTGAGGCTGCTTATAAGCTTGCATCCAGTTAAGTTCTACTCGAGAGCAGACCCCTTTTAAATCAACAGACCTACATTAAATCATGCCTATTCATTTCAAAGGGTGTACTCTGAGTAGAACTGATTTTGGGTACAACTGTTGCCCTTTACCCTAGTTCTTCTGCCCTCAACCCCAACACACACTTACGAATGCACGTGGGCTGAGAGCCAGACCACTGGCGGCTGGACTGACAGACCCTCAAGGGGGCACCCTGGCGTTCATAGCCTCCATCACAGTGGTACTCGCAGGTAGCTCCGTAGTTGTTCCCTGCTGAGGTGCAGCTGACATAACCGTGCTCTGGTGGTTTTAGAACAGGACAGCGACTCACTGTGGAAGGGAAGGTTAGGAATCAGAACCCAAAGTCTTCCTCGCCTCCAACACAACACAGGCCACATGCACACTTGTGCATTTAAACTACTGTGGTGCCACTTTGACAGGCATGACACCCCCCTAGGGTACCCTAGGGACTAATCTGTTAAAAGTGCTGAGCGGTGTTATGAAACTCCTAATCCTCTCAGAACTACAATTATCAGAGTGGTTTAACCACCTGTTCCCAAGGAACTGGGAACAATCTAAAGTTATCCCACAAGGGAGTGGATTCTAGCAGAGGTAGTCTGGCGACAGAAGCTTAGAACTCCTCAGGCTGCTCCCAAGCTTGCTTATTCAGAACTATCCAAGGTCCTGCAACTCTGCCTTGCCCCATTCCCCATCAGACCTGGCTTCGGATCAGAACATGGCATTTGTAGCAAGTAACAAAATGTCCTGGTCTGGCCTTGGTGCCAAACCACATGCTATTTTAAATGAATGGTTTGAACTTGTATCTTCCAACCTCCTGGCAGGAGTCATGGAGGGATGGGGAGTTGATGCGGATTGGAACTGCTCTTGCCAAAAATACTCCACCTCCACCTGCCAAGCTGCTATTCTCTCCAACTGGAATGTTGTTATTGGCAAACAAAGCTCTCAGAGGAGAGAATTTCCAATGGGACCATGGCCTGGAGACAGGGGTAAAACCTACCCACGGTTGAAATCTAAACCATGCCTCTCTCACTGCTCCTATTTAAGAGAAGAGGCAAAGGTGTAAGCAGCAACCTCACATTTAGTGTAATGCTTTGGAGAGATGAGGGAAGGTCCTATCCTTTACCTTGGATGCGCACAAAAAACTTGCAGCTTGCTCGGTTGTATGCCTGGTCATAGACGGTGTAGCGGATAATGTGTTCTCCTTCAGAAAACTCGGATCCTGGTTCTGGGCCCCGGAGTGTCATCCTGGACTCGAAAGACAGAGAGATATGTCAGGATGTAAATATTAGGGCTGGGTTTGAACTTATTCTTCCAAAAAGAATCCTTAAAACGGTGCTGAGACCCCAGTGCAGCCTCCCCCAAGCTTACTGTTTGATGACACCATCAGCGGAGTCCTTTGCCCGAGGTGGATCCCAGTACACAGTGGCTGTCAGCTTGTTGGGTTCTGCCATTCGCTCTCGAGACTCAGGACATTGGATTTTCGGAGGTTCTATGTCTGCTTGAGTAGAATCAGAAAGGAACTCCATGGAAACAGGCAGCAACTAGGAGGAAAGTTTCCGCCTTGGGCCTGAATGACAAATGACTGGCCACATCCAAATTATCAGTATTTTGCAGGAGGGATTCAAGAGCATTCCGGAAATGTTGGTTTGTGCCATTAAACTGGATTAAAGTGCTCTTTTCCAACAAATCCACTTTTTTAAAAATGGACTTTTTGCAGATGGGAAGGTGACATGGAAATGCACTAAAATCTCTGGGATAAAACTGTTGAGGTTGGACCACTAAGGCAAATGGGAGCCCCTCAGGGCTATAAAGCATGATATAAGTATTCTTAAATAAATACTTTAGGTTGTGGTTTGAATGACTGTGGAGTAGCTAGCTGTCCAAAATACATATCCCCAGCTGGTTTAATGGCCATTCCCCTTAGCAGTCTTTGGAAACTGTAGTTCCATTGTTTTGGTCAGAGAGATTTCTGCACAGAAGATTCTTAGGGAGTTTTCAGGGAGCCGTGATAGTCCAACAGATGGAAAGCCAGTTTAAATATGTCAAGTACATATACATTGGCCATTTCCCCTCCCGTTTCTGTTTCCATCAGAATTCTCTGACATTCCTGGTAGGGGCAATGGCAACTTATTCCATGCAATATGTGTGGTTGGCTCCGGGAAGAATTTACCTACACAAATTGGCTCGCTGCCACTCCAATGTCCGTCTTCTAAGCACACACGACTGCGATCACCTTCCCGGTGGTATCCAGGCCGGCAGGTGTAGTCACAGTGAGAATCGACCTTGACTCCATCTGAACACTGGTACGATCCATGGTAGATTGCTGGCAGCGTAGGGCACCGAATCTCTGTGCACAGAAAGAGAATTTGAAAGTTCCCCAGCCTCTTCATGGAGTTACAACCCCCTGGATACCAGCTTCAAAGTGTTTCAAGCTTTGTAGCAAAAATACTAAGGTCATGCCTGCAACCTGCATTTTAAGCAGATTTTTTTTAAAAAAACAACATCCTGGGAACTGTAGCTTGTTAAAGGTGCTGGGAATTGTAGCACTGTGAGGGTGCTTTGGGGAAGCTGATCCATGCAACTGTGTGCAGCAGGTTAACATGAGAGATAATGGCATGTCACAGAGTCACGCTTTTGCTTTCGCAAGATTGAATGTATTGCCCTCGGCTGTACTCGAGGGACAATTCCAACAAATTCCACACGGAAACACTTATGTCCCTGTGGAGATGGCAGTACTGAATCGGTGGTGCATGCCCTTCTGGCTTGCACTCTTTATAAAGACTTGAGGAATGAGATTATCACCCATCTTTTATTGTCCATTCCCGGTTGCCCAAACACTGCCACAGTGTCCTTTCTCTTGGCAGATCAAGATGAACAGGTGACAGCAAAGGTTGCAAGGTTTTTAGCTGGGGCAATCAGAATAAGATCCACTATTTGACTATTGATTCAAAACCCTAAAATGTATTTTATATAACTGACTTCTTATTTCTATTCTTTGTATATCATATTGTTGTTTTATTGCTATGGCCAATGGCTGATACAGATAAAGATTCATTCATTCATTCATTCATTCATTCATGTCACAGAGTAGCTAATTGAGCAGGAATCTGAATACAGCTCCCCGCTTCCCCTGTGCAAGTCCAATTCTTCAACAATCTGTGCCAGGAATCAGCATGATCCAAAGAGGGAGAGCTTTGCTACATTGACAGGTTACTCAGACTAAGGAAGCAAGCCTGGAACAACAGCTCCTATTGGCTCCTTAGGTTGCCTGGTCTGCCTGGGCTAACAGAACTAATTCTGGTGTTGCAGCATAGGAGGGATCAGGCCGGACGCTTCCTCTGCCTGAGAGCTGTTCTAATGGTGCAGGATTAATATGCCTGGACCCTTCTATGAATTCCTTGGTCCTTCACGCTCAGTCCTTTCACAAACCTCCTTTTGCCCTTGATATAAAGCACTCTTGAAATCAGTGGTGAAAATCAATACAGTTCTGAAATGTTCAGCCTGCCTTCTTGATTAAAAATGATGCCCAGCTGTATCGAAACATAGATTAAAAATTGGTCTCTGGAACAACGAGCAAGCAAAGTTTTATGACAATATCTTAAGAGGTGTCGAAATCTACAAGTGAACAGATAATTTCCCAAAATACGTAGTAGATGTGTATGTCTGTTCTCCGCCAGCAATTACTTCTGACACATAGAATCGTAAGGGCCACAAGCAAGGGAGTAGCCGGGGGGGGGGGCACGGAGGGCCAGCTGTCCCCCCATCAACAAAAAACATTAAAAATACTGTACATAGCTAACGGAGGTTCTGGCCCCCCTAACAAAAATCCTGGCTGTGCCCATGACCACAAGGGTCATCTTGTCCAACTCTCTGCAATGCAGGAATCTTTTCTCCCAACATGGGGCTTGAACTCAGAACCCTGAGATTAAGGGTATCTTGCTCTACCAACTGAGCTATCCTGCAGGCTCATCTTGGGTTATGTTGATGGCACCCTATATTGAGTACTTTAATGGAGCTTCCTGAGGATGGCTGTAATGTGGAGCGGCCTATGGACACTGGCGTGACACTTACGTCTGCAGTAGGCATGCCCTGACCAGCGACGGTTTAGCAGGCACTGTACGGACCTCTGGCCAATCAAGCGGTATCCACGGTCGCACGAAAGCTCACAGCACGTCCCCAGGCTGCTGCGGTAATTACCTCCACGGGGAGAATAGCATGTAGCCTCCCCATGATAAATGCTCAACAGGTGACACCATTGGGGAACTGAGAGACAGAGAGAGAGAGAGAGAGAGAGAGAGAGAGAGAGAACCTCATTTAGGTATTCTAGCTATCAAGAGCAAAAGCTTTCGTAACTCAAGGAACCACCAGCTCCCATATATACCTGCTCATGCGTTCAGATCTACCATGGGGAATTTGATCCGGGCGCCACCCCACCCCCCATTGTTTGCAATAAGATGAGTGGTTGTGAATTATGGTGCTGGAGGAGACTCTTGAGAGTCCCATGGACTGCAAGAAGATCAAACCTATCCATTCTGAAGGAAATCAGCCCTGAGTGCTCACTGGAAGGACAGATCCTGAACTGAGGCTCCAGTACTCTGGCCATCTCATGGGAAGAGAAGACCCCCTGGAAAAGACCGTGATGTTGGGAAAGATTGAGGGCACTAGGAGAAGGGGACGACAGAGGACGAGATGGCTGGACAGTGTTCTCAAAACTACTAACATGAGTTTGGCCAAACTGTGGGAGGCAGTGGAAGACAGGAGTGCTTGGCATACTCTGGTCCCTGGGGTCATGAAGAGTCGGACATTACTAAACGACTAAACAACAACAACAACAGAATGGTTGTGAAAGGATGAGACTTTTTCATGTGAAACACAGAAAATATAATACCAGCATGGTGTTTATCATGGCATATTTATCAGGTGTTTATTTACCCCAAATAACTTTGTCCCAAAGTTCAACTGAAATTTAATGCTCCTGTGGCATAATCCCATTACCTCTACTTCTGCCCACTCTGGGGCAGCAGATAGTAAGTTTTTGTCCTTTTCTACCCAACATCTCTTCAGCAATAAGAAGATTTCTGTCATGTCCACCTCCGACTTCTCTTTCCAAAGCTAAACACCCCCAGTTTCTTTAAACTTTCCTAATAGGATTTGCTTTCTGTACCATAGACAATCTTCATCCCCCACCGCCACTAAATTCCTTTCAATTTGCATCCTCCTTAAAAGTGTGGCCCACAGAACTAGGCTGAGATCTCTGGATAAGGTCTTACTAGTATGGTTAGTTATTTGGCCATGGAAGAAAGCACTCTGTGTGTGCTCTGTGGAATTTTCTTTGTTATTGTTCCTTAACAAGCTCCAGGCTTTGAAAACCAGACCCAGGGGCCCATCTCTGGTGAACAATAGCACAGCCTTGGAGCTTGCCCAACTAGCTGCCCCTAATTTTACATTTCAGGCAAACTTCTGTATTCAGGAAATGTGGTAAATTAATTTTGTGCCAGCTGTTTCCCTGCCTTTACATCAATTATTTTAGTCAGGGCCGACCCAGCCACAGAGCAAAACAGCAGCTGTTGGCTGTCCCCATAGGACCCCATGGCTAGCATTATCCAGGCAGGTCAAGGGCCGGTTGTGTGAAAGGGAAAAGAGAATATCTGCCCACAATGGTTGCCTAGCACTGTTTACAAACTACAGTTCGCAGGATTCATTGGGGGAAGCCATGGCTTGTTAAAGTGTTATGATAGTGCTTTATAGTGCAGATAGGGACCCAACATTGTGGTGGGCTCTTCTGTTTCTAGGTTTTCCAATTTGAGCAGGTAAATTACCTAGATGGCCTACAAGGCTCCCCTCAGTCTCTCTGACCACAGCTATATATTTAGCACTCTTATACCACCTGGGAACTGTGGTTTGCTAAGGGTGCTTAGAGTTGTTAAAGGTAAAGGGACCCCTGACCATTAGGTCCAGTCGTGACCGACTCTGGGGTTGTAGCGCTAATCTCGCTTTATTGGCCGAGGGAGCCGGCGTACAGCTTCCAGGTCATGTGGCCAGCATGACTAAGCCGCTTCTAGTGAACCAGAGCAGCGCACGGAAAGGCCGTTTACCTTCCCGCCGGAGCGGTACCTATTGATCTACTTGCACTTTGACGTGCTTTCGAACTGCTAGGTTAGCAGGAGCAGGGAATGAGCAACGGGAGCTCACCCTGTTGTGGGGATTCGAACCGCGACCTTCTGATCAGCAAATCCTAGGCTCAGTGGTTTAACCCACAGCGCCACCCGCATCCCACGCTTAGAGTTGTTAAGAGACCCCTATTCCCCTATTCACAGAGTGGAAAATTCCCAGAGTGGTTTAACAAACAATTCATTTTCCCAGGGAACTCTGGGAATCGTAGCTCTGTGAGGGGAATAGGGGGTCTCCTGAGGGCGTCTCCTAACACCTATCAGCACTCTTAACAAATGACACTTCCCAATATTCTTTGGGGAAAGCCACGACTGTTACAGCAATATTATAGTGCTTGAAATGCAAGTGGGGCCTAGGAGTGCGCAGACGCCATACACCAAACATGTGAAGCATGCCATTAATGAGAATATGCTCACCCAATGTTTGAGCATGTGAAGCATGCCATTAATGAGAATATGCTCACCCAATGTTTGAGCATGTGAAGCATGCCATTAATGAGAATATGCTCACCCAATATTTGAGCATGTGAAGCATGCCATTAATGAGAATATGCTCACCCAATGTTTGAGCATGTGAAGCATGCCATTAATGAGAATATGCTCACCCAATGTTTGAGCATACAGGGCTCTTCCTCACAACTGGGAAACTAGATGGAGTTCCATGTAAAACCCCTATATGCCTACAGTCCTTGCTCACTAATGCTCTATGTTCAGCCCCTGAGAAGTATGGCTAGTGGGTGTATGGTGATTGCACTAGGGCTAGTAATTGAGGTCCCATTCCCTCCTCACACCTCCAATCAATGTGTCTATGTGGGTTCCTGACACCCTTACTGCTTGCCTCTTGCATCCCTCAGGCTGCAGGAGGGATGAAGAGCCAAAAAGATGGCACCTTTCCAAGGATGCCCCAAACTGTCCCCTCCCCCAGAGAACGATGTATGTGCGACCTGGGCACAGCTGGGCCTTCCAAAAGATCACATGAAAATTACTGAGAATGGCTGGCCTCCATATGTCATTGGACCCCAACTCCCATCAGCCCTACTCAGCCTGGCCAATGGACAGTGCTGATGGAAGTTGTAGTCCAATATCGTTTGGATGGCAGTGCACTTTTTAAGATTATTTAGCTCTACCAATCTGAAAATGCTTACCTCGATATTCTGGAGCAAGAACATGGGAGGTTTCTTCAGCATACACCTCGTTGGTTTGCCTTTCTGCAGCGGAGTAGCCAGATCCTGGCACAAAGGAGGGAGAAACAGAAAGTGACAATGCTCATCTCCAGACTGTCTACATCAGGGGTCAGCAAACTTTTTCAGCAGGGGGCCGGTCCACTGTCCCTCAGACCTTGTGGGGGGCCGGACTATATTTTGGAGGGGAAAAAAGAACAAATTCCTATGCCCCACAAATAACCCAGAGATGCGTTTAAAATAAAAGGACACATTCTACTTATGTAAAAGCACACTGATTCCTGGACCTTCTGCTGGCTGGATTTAGAAGGCGATTGGGCCGGATCCGGCCCCCAGGCCTTAGTTTCCTACCCATGGTCTACATACCTGACATTTAGAAGACATCTGAAGGCAGTCCTGTTCAGGAAAGTTTTTAATGTGTGACATTTTAATGTATTTTTAATCTTTGTTGGAAGCCGCCCAGAGTGGCTTGGGAAACCCAGCCAGATGGGCAGGATACAAATAATAAATTATAATATTATTATTATCCTTGTTCCCAGTGCTCTTTTTCTAGAAAAACAGATGCTGGAATTTACCATGAACGCCTCCCTTGTTCTCTTATAATGGCAATGGCACCACTGGTGAGTTCCAATGAGTTCTGGATGGGGGGAAAAAGCCCTGCTTGTTTCTGTCCCAAATCAGAATAACATCACCCCTACAATGATGCAGACTCTGCCAAATTGGTTCCAAATCTGAGCCAACGATGCCATTGCCCAGGGGAAGTCTTGAGTTTGGTTCCTCATCCCTAGAAATCATCTTGGTCCCTGATCTGTCCGTTGGGGATTTCTTTTGAAATTTTGCTACTGATTACACAAATGCACAAGACGCAAACTGCAGCGGGTAGCCGTGTTTGTCCTGGGTGGGTGGGAGGGGAGGCAGGTCAGGGGCAAAAATCCAGAAATGCAGGAAAATGTACTTAATAGGACTGACTGAAATGTCACAAGCGTTTGACCTCCAAAGGTCTTCTTCAAGCCGGATGGTAAGAAAAAGAAACAAAGGGTGTCTGTGGTGGATCTTGGGGTCTCAAATTTCAGTGGTGCCCTGTGTGAGACATCAAAATTCAGCAAAACACCCCCCCACCTCTCATGCTCCATTCAAATCCTAGTTGCGCCACCCCCAAGTCTCCACGCTCAATGTGACTGAACTGGATGCACTGCTCAAAATCCACCTCTGGTGGGGTTGGTGGAGGGAGAGAAAGAATAATTTTTTTTTAAGCCCCAGTCACAAAAATAAGCTTTGGGACTTTTCTTATGCCTACTTGAGTTCTGCCTGTTCTACCTGTACATTTGCAAATCAAAATCATACTAAGACAGCACATGTTTCCAGCACTTTTTCCTCACAAGCAAAGTGATCTTATAAATGTCTCCAAAGTTATATAGTACTTGAAGAGAGGCATTAAGAAGTTGCTTTATGTTGGGATCCATCATGCAGGTCTTGCAAATCTTGGTTGCAACTTGTCATCTTCTGAAACATCCTCGAAAGGGCATCAAAGTTGGTGAATAAGACACCTACAAAGGTGAGGCTCTACCTGCTAAAATCCCTTTATGAATAGCATCTGGTGTTGAATTCAGTAGGTCAAGGGAGGGGAGAGGATGTACATTCGTGAATTGGGTTCCCAACCTCAAAACCAATCATTAGAGCATATACTCTCCGAAAAAAGTTCTTGCACAAATATTTCTTCCCAGGAGCAGCCTGGTTAGGGCTGCTGGCATGAACCACCAGACTAAACAGTTTTTTATGCCAGGTCTGTTAAATGCAGGAAGCAACATGGAGATGGCATGGAAGCAGAGATTGCCAGAGTGCAACTTAAATCTATTAAGCCTTTTTACCAGCTTCAGTTGGTAAGGCAGCTGCAACTATTTCTGGGTTGGGCTCGCCTGACCACTGTCAGCCATGCACTGGTAAACCTCCAGGTTGGATTACTACAACATGCTCTGTGTGGTACTGCCCTTGAAGCTGACCCAGAAGCTGCAGCTAGTGCAAAATGTGGCAGCTCAGTGGCTCATTACTACCTCACTGCTGAAATAATTGCACCTAGCTACAAGGTGAGGTTCAAGGTGCTGGTATCAGTGCACAAAGCAATATACAGCTTGGAACCAGGATAGGCTTGGGATCTGCTAGGACCATGTCAGCCGCTACATACGGTACCCAACTAATCACTGAATTCTGTAGGAGAGAAAGCGTGTTCTCCTTGGTTTGGTTGGCCCAAAGTGTGATTGGACTCCTTGGGTTGCTGGGGAGAGTTTGATGTTGCCAATTTTGAGTGACAGCCTGAGTTTAATATATTCCCTGCGCGCAGCGTTGAGCTTCCTCTTTTTGCTGCGTGCATCGGATCAGTCGCCCACCCTCCCTAATTTTAGGGTGTTTGTTGCGTTTGACTTTGCTATGCCTGTCATGGTGTCGTCTGCTTTTGGGGCAGGGGCCTGGTAGGAATTTTGTCCATTTGGCTGATTGGCTGGTGCCATTTGGTTTTTGCCTACTGCGTAGAAAATCGTCACAACTTGTAAGGTTGCGGTTAGGCATTGGTTTTAGAAAATTGGTTGATGGAGGGGTATGGATTGGCTGTGCCTGCCCCTCCAATGCTGCTGCAGCAAGGGTATTCCGTTAAAGGAATCCAGCGGCTCACCATGCTTTTGTCTGCACCCCTGTAAAGGGGGATAGGGCCACACAAGAGCCCCTGGGAGCATTTGGGGAGAGGTGAGGATCTCGTACCCAGCTCCATCTACTCCCCATAAAATGTTTTCCTTTACTAACTTCGCTGGCTTGCCAGTTCTGTCCCTGGGCGGGGACATATAGTCGCAACCAATGCCTAAGCAACCACTCACATTGTTTGTATTTTAATAAAGTTGTGGCCAAAATTATGCCAAAACAAAAATTATGGTGTGAAGTGTGAATTTATTTAGGGGTGGCTTGGGGACCTTGACACACAAAACCCTGCACTTACCATCCTGTTAGGAGGTCTATTCTGCACAATAATGGAATCGGACCTTTTGCATGGCAGAACTCCCTCCCAATGCATACCAATGTATTGCCTGCGAAAAATGTTCACCTTCCAACAAGCCTTCTGAAACCTTTATTCCACTTGGTATCTGTCTTGAATCTGAACTGATTTTATGTATATGCTGCTGTCTTAAACTGGTTTTTTTATAGTTACAATCATTTTTAATAATCGTTTTTATGTTTGCAATTGTCTTAACTGCTTTTATATGTGTACCTGTTCTATATAGCTTATCATTTTGTGAATCGCTTTGGGGTGCCTCATGGGAAGTGATTCACAAATGCAAGGAAATGAAATGATAGCAAGGGTGATGATGAAATATTCGCTGGCTACTGCAGGAGAAGACTGCCCCTAAACCATTCCCTCTATGAGCTCATCCACACTTAGGCTTGTCCCACAATTTCTAGGTACGGGTTTGAGAGGTTCTTAATTTGTCCTGCCACTTTCCGCAGGAAAAACCCACTGTTTGCAGAGAACATCAGTTGGGTTTTCTGCATACAGTGGTACCTCGGGTTACATACGCTTCAGGTTACATACGCTTCAGGTTACAGACTCCGCTAACCCAGAAATAGTACCTCGGGTTAAGAACTTTGCTTCAGGATGAGAACAGCAATCGTGCTCCAGTGGCACGGCAGCAGCAGGAGGCCCCATTAGCTAAAGTCGTGCTTCAGGTTAAGAACAGTTTCAGGTTAAGTACGGACCTCCGGAACAAATTAAGTACTTAACCAGAGGTACCACTGTATTGACCTTTGTTCTGATTCAGTGGTAAAAAAAATGGGTTTTTCCAGGGAAAGTTGTGGGGCAAAAGGAAAACCTCTCAGACCCATGCCTAGAAATTATGGGACTACCAGAAGTGTGGGTGAGCCTTATTTCTGATGTTTAGGATGTAAAGCTCTCACACAGTGAAAACCATATCATCCACTCCCTTGGTACCAGCAGGCTTGGGGATGCCCAAGGTTTGCAGGTGCACATTTTTTAAAATAATAATAAATAAATCACCCTAAGAGAAAAACCCTCTTCCTGAAACAGCTCATAAAGATTGAGTATGCTGTGTCCCTGGAATCCTGCCAGCCTGTTGCTTTTAGTTGGGAGGAACAGAATGAAGTGACTGGAATCAGCAGCACTTGACGCTGCAACATTTTGTTACACGTCTCATTTGTTTCGTTAAAAATGGATTCAAATTGCTTTCTTTGTTGGGGGAGTTCAGCTGCGATAATCAGCTGTTCTAAGAAATGGCATCGTGCAACCTGTCTATGAAGGCTCAGACCAAGAGAGTAGCGCATGGGGCTTTGTGCTACCACTGGGTTTTGTGCTGTCGCTGTCTTGACACCTGTGCCAACTGAGTTCAAGGACGTCATATGAGTTTGTAGTGGGAGAGATGGCTGCCTCCCATTGCCCACCCCATACAATTCCCCAGGATTAAAATTGGCTAAATTAAACTAAATTAAAATTGGCTAAATTAACAGCATCCATACGACAGCTGTCAAATCAAAAACTAAAAAACGAATGGCAATGTTTTGATGACAAAATATTGCTCTAAAAAAGACATGCTAATATGCTTAGATTAAAAATGTAAATGCATCAAAACAATAAATTATCAATGACGTATGTATGTATATAGAAAAAATAAAAACAATCAGAATGCAATGATAAGAGTAAAACTGATTCTAGAGAAGACAAGTAGCGGTGGAGGGAAGTTAAACAGGGTGGTAGGTTTATTATATTTTCTTTTTTGGATATTGTGTAATGATTTACTTCTCAACCTACAGTTCCAATCCACACATGAGTCTGAGGGGGCCAACATGCAGTGGCGTAGCATGGGTTGTCAGCACCCGGGGCAAGGCAAGTAATTTGCGCCCCCTAACCCGTGGAGTTTAGCACTCGAGTCTCTTCCACTAGATTGCGAGTGCGAGCGCGCCCCCCCCCCAGATGTTGCGCCTGGTGCGGCCGGCCCCCCTGCACCCCCCACGCTACGCCACTGCCAACATGCCTTCGCCCAAAACGTGTAGGGCATCTGAACCCTCCCCAACCTATTCCTAACACAGATTCCTGCCCCCCCCTTTACATCTCTCCATTATTCCTACTTTCTGCTCGCTGCTCTATAACCAGTTACTGATCCGTAAGAGGACCCCCTGTCCCCTTATCCCATAACTGCTAAGCTTCTCAGGAGCCTTTGCCGATCTCCAAGCGTCTAATATGTACTGGATCACCCTATTCATATGCCTGACTGAGGATAAGGAAGTTTCAAGTGTTCACTATGATGTAATGCTGGGCAGGCTCAGGATGCCTTTTCCAAACGGTCCTTTGGGTATCCAACATGTGGAAAGCTTGCCTTGCAATGAGGTGTCTGCGTACGTTTTCAGCAGCAGCCTCTAAGAAAAATCTGGGATCCTACTTGTAGGATTATTGTCCTTGGAAGAACGGTGATGCTAACATGGGCGTGGCCAGAATTCTGGGGGGGGCAGAACCAATGTGATTGGTCAGTTAAGTATTTCTATTGTTTTTCTTGATAGTGTGTAGGGGGGAGCAGCTGCCCCCCTGGCTACACCTATGCATGCTAACCAAACCCTTCCTAACAGTTGGATAATTTTGAAGGCTGTCTTTTCCTGTGTATGTATGCCAGAAGGATAAATTGCAAGCATCTCTTTACTTTCTTTGCTTTAGACAAAACAAACACAGGGTTGTGTGTGTGTCTGTGTGTCTTCTTTTTCTTTTTCTTTCCAGCGTTTCCACAAAGATCAGTGAAAGACATATGTGGAGACAAAAATATCTTTTATAGTGAATTGGAGCAGAATAAATTTGGATCCCAGATGAATGAATAAGAGCTGTCGGCTGGCATTCCAACCCAATTAGGTCACATTTCCGCTGGGTTCCCTCTAATTCCAGAGGCCACAGTTCATTCCCCCCCATCACCCAGGCACTCTCATGAATCATTCCCATTCCTGTTTGTGAATGGACCCACCTCTTAATTTTAGCACCCATGCTTGAAATGAGGCACAACATCATCTGCATCAGCTCTGAAACCACATCTCTGCTAAGCAAAAGACCAGATGTTTCCGTTGCCCTGCTTGAGAGCATCGCTTCATGTCTATAAGAAGCCTGAGGCTGGCTAAGTGCAAAATACCTAGGATGGAAAAGCTGCTCCTCACCCACCCACCCACTCCCGCTGGCAATGATGACTGGGATGCATGCTGCACATGCCCAGAGACACTGCTGCCTTGTATGTTTCAAGAGAGATGACCCAGCACTAAAGGCCAGTGTCAGGAGTCAGTGCCATTGAGCTTCTACCAAGGTCCGCAGCCTAGCCCAGCAGGGTCCTTGAAGCCAGTTCCTGGAACTCCCAGTCTTTTCATTTGTGCTCCCTCCTGTTGCTGCCTGTGCAGGCTGACCTCTCCCAGTTTGTGAGCACTGATGGAAGTGAGGAGGAAGGAGGAGGAGCAGCTTTTGCTCACCTTCTCCAGGTTCGGATGAGGCTCAGAGGCAAGGGCCAGTTGCAGCACCTGGTATCCTGGGGCAGCTGCCAGGACTCCACTTACTGATGCTTTCTCTGGTCCCTGTTACATTTATTTCCTTGGTCCAGTATTTTGATTCAAGTTGGGAATCTTAATGCTGTGTAGACCAAGCTGCTTGGAGCGCTGCCTCTTTCTGGCTAGCAAGCTTCCCATTGTTTTGCAATGGTAAGTAGTCAGGAGAGAGGAGCAGGGAGAGGATGAATACTAGTCTAGACAGCATCTCCATGGAGAACGTGTACACACCACACACAATGACGTCCTGTGGGGTACTACCTTCCCACTCATAAATTGTCCTTCTCCAGTGTCATGTTCCTGCACCACCAGCCTCTAGGGAAAGTCTGATGTATGTCTAACCATCTCCTTGCAAGGAAAGGGCTGAGTCAGCCTTCATAGCCCATAGTGGTTGTAGCTCAAGCAATCACAAATGTGGCCACACTTTTCCAAGATGGAAATGAAGAAATCTAAACCAACTCTTTCACCACAGCTCATAGCTGGGGGTTGAGAGATAGACCAGCCTTGTGTGAACCAAACTTAGCATTGGTGCTGCAATGTGGGCAGAGTTATCTTAGATTCACATGGCACAAGAACTGGAGATATGCTGCCACTGAAACAAATTTGCCTACCATACCCAGTGGCTACTGGCAATCAAGTGCTATCTCTGCTGTTAGAGGCAGGTTGTTTCAGCTGCTGGGAATCATAGAATCATAGAATGGTAGAGTTGGGAGCTGGAGGAGACTCTTGAGAGTCCCATGGACTGCAGGAAGATCAAACCTATCCATTCTTAAGGAAATCAGGCCTGAGTGCTCACTGGAAGCACAGATCCTGAAGCTGGGACTCCAATATTTTGGCCACCTCATGAGAAGAGAAAACTCCCTGGAAAAGACCCTGATGTTGGGAAAGATGGAGGGCACAAGGAGAAGGGGATGACAGAGGGTGAGAGGGTTGGACAGTGTTCTCGAAGCTACAAACATGAGTCTGACCAAACTGCGGGAGGCAGTGGAAGACAGGAGTGCCTGGCGTGCTCTGGTCCATGGGGTCACGAAGAGTCAGACATGACTAAACGACTAAACAACAAAAGAGTTGGGAGGGACCCTGAGGGTCATCTCGTTCAACCCACCCCCCCTGCAAGACAGGAATATGCAGCTGTCCCATACAGGGATCGAACCTGCAACCTTGGTATTACCAGCACCAAGCTCTAACCAACTGAGCTAATTGACTGCTGTTGCACAGGTCCTGTTTGGGCATCTGGTTGGCCATTATGAAAACAGGATGCTGGATATACCCAGCAGGACTCTTCCTATGTTCATAATTGTTTCGGGGTTGTTGCTTTTTAGAGAGGGTGGAGAAAACATTGCCTGCTGAAATCCTTTTCTGTCTTGTTGCCATTAAAGCCACAGCAGCCTGGCCCAGGAAAAGGGCCCAAGCTTGTACAGGCAGGGCCTTTTAAGCCTCATGCACATGTGGCAAAGCACATCTGTTGCAAGGTTTCCCAAAAACATTTAGACAATTGCAATAAGAACTGTGTCTCCTGAAGGTATTTGCTTGCCTAACAGTGACCAGGCAATGGATGGACTTTTAGCGGAACACATGAGAGCCAAGAGGCATAAGAAACTCAGAAGCTTAGCAGAGGAAGGAAAGAGGCTTACTCAGTGCCAGCCCCCCAGTCCCTGTCGACACCCCAACCCCACTGCTTACTGTCTGAAACTGCTCCAGACAAACCATCGCTTGCCAAGTGGTCTCCTCATCAGCCAGAGACAGGACATGTGGAAAAATTTAGCTCCTGCTATTGCAGGGGGAGGGGGCGGAATTATATTTACTTCAATCTAGGTATGGTCCTAACCCCAGATGCGTATCCGTCTGCCCTTCCTTGCCCCCAGCAAAGCAGGAACCACAGTTAGTTCCACAATGGGTTATTATTTGCAAAGCTTTTGCGGCGAAGGAGTTGCAGGATGTCTGGGTGCTCCTCCCCCCTTCCTATTGCCTATGCCTTGGGGGCTTCTTTGACAAAGATACCCTACTATGTACAGACTGACTGTGGTCTTGCTCGGATGGCAGCTGTGGCCAAAAGGAGACCACAGCTAATTACAATGTGTATAAAAATAGATGTGCCTGTCTCAGGCCAAGTCTGGTTATAGGTCCATTTACCGCTCTACTGTCCTCTCCAAGTGGCAACCAGATCTCTGAGGCCAGGGGTCTTTCCTAGGCCTGTTACCAGTAGTGCTGCATGGCTGCGAGGGCAGCAGTGGTGGTGCCTTCACTGCTGGTGCTGGTGCTGCACTCTTTAGATTGGAGCTGAATGTGCACGCACACCTGTAGGTAGCCTGCTATTACCTAAGGGCCTGCTACCCAAGGAAGGCTGCCTTTGAGAAAATGCAAAAAGTCTTACCACCTTTGTTCTTAAGCTTATCCCCCCTCCCCCTGCCTGACTTTGGTACTGACTTGTCAGTGCTTACCTTCATACCATGTGGAGGAGACCATTTTGGCCCAGAGAAGCAGCAAGAGGGGGGATGCTCCTCGCGGCATCTTAGCATGCGAATGGAGATTCCAGATGGCACAGTAAAGATGAAGGCAGAGCTGCCTGAGAATTCAAGCTGAAAGCCAGAATAAGAGGCAGGACGTCAACAATCGAAAGCAGCAAGGCCAACCCCAACCCTTGCAAATGCTTAGGCATACACACGTAGACTCTATATATTTGTTTTTCTTTTTAAAAAGTAAGCTAGCACCCTAAATGTTTGCGGGGCAGAGATGCAAAAGAAAGAAAACTATTTTTCTTCTTGAAACTGAAGCACATTTTATTTTATTTCATATTTGTATTTCACTTTGCCAATGGCCAGGCTGAGCTTAAAGCAACTCATTCATTACAGTAACTGACGAACAAAAATATTTTCCAATAAGAAAGAAACATACAACAAAGCTGCAGTAAATACAACAGAAGAATCAAATCAATAAGGAGCAGGAAAACCACAAGATACAAATAAATCACATTGGATATATGTTAAGAATGCCAGCTCTTCCTGCTGAAACCACCAATTGAGGCACCTAACATGCAGGTCTCTCGCTCGTAATTTTTTGTAAATTTTGACATTTTTGAGTTTTGATTTTAAAAGTAGTGAATGTGTCTCGATACAGAATTCCTAGGACACCTGAAGCAGGTTGCATGTGAAAATCTACTTGGCAAATAGCTGGTAGACACAGGCAAATACCAGTTCCCCCGCCACCACCTGCACAGAAACAACTGGTGCTGCATAGGCTGCAGATGTGGAGTGGGTCCCTGTGCAGGGACCATCTTGGTTTGACACCCCTCCAGGCTCGTGTATTCGGCAGCATGCCCTTTACACCATAACAGTGCATTTGTGGTGGATTCATTCTGCCTTATATTAGGCTCCATTCAGACGGCGCTTTATTTGCCGCTACCTGGCTGTGTACACACTCCAGTTTGCTCTGCATCCAGTGTGCTCCCCTTGTTAGTTTGGGAAGCCAGTGTACACACAGTGTACACAATCTGTATCTATATAAGGTATCTATCCTGTTTTTTTCTTATGCAATACTGTATTTTGGTGTGTTTTCTCCCGTACCAGCTTCAATCCGAATTGAGGAAAAGAGCAGCCGAGCCGCGTTTTAAGCCAGTAATTCGTACATAGACCCTTCCAACTGGTTGTTTGCATATATTACGCACGAGCCAAAAGTGTCCGTCTGTTAACAGGGAAGGAACAGGCTGGAGGCTCAAGAGGGGGGGAAGTCCTTGGCAGAGAGGCCCACAACAGGCACTACCAATTAATAACAGGCAGACCAAAAGAAGTCAATCTTAAGGTGAAGAAGCTTCCCACTGCAGAAGGACAGAGAGATGTATTTGTGTTGCTTGCATTGCTTCTTCAGGCTCTGTATCATCAACTTATGAGATTCATTCAGTTTGCTTCCTCCTTCCTAATAAACAGCACTGGTGATATTAAGTTACAGACAATGGGCACTTTCAGATGACCTGTGCATTGACCAGTCATCCTGCTCTGTTTCCAGGGATATTTGATGATATTGGTTATTTAATGAGCATTTGTCTCAATTTGTTTGCAGGGAGGTTAGATGGTGTTGCATCAAAGCAAGAGTTATTCCATACTTTCCCCATCACTTTCCTTACTGCAAAAAGTCCAATCTTTTGAGGAAGCAGGTTTGTCACACAAGACCTCACAATCTACTATTACAAGACCTGAATTTGCCGTTATGTGATTGAATTCCCCTGAAAATAGTGACAGGTCTGGAAGTGTCTTGTATCTCATAACAAAACAGATGCTAACCTTAAGGTTTACTATAGATTGGGATAAGTGACCTCCAGGTGCCAAGAGAATATAATTTGTACATCAGAGGGGTGTGTGTGTGTGTGTGTGTGGACTGCTGATAACAGTGGGGGACATGTAAACAAGGGACAGAGAAAGAAAGAAAGAAAGAAAGAAAGAAAGAAAGAAAGAAAGAAAGAAAGGGTGTGTGCATGGTTGGCCGGGAAGCAGGAATTATTAGCAAATAAACATTGAGTAAGAAATGCCTTGACAAATACACAGAAGGAGGCTCACTGACGAATATCCTGATAAAATCAAAACAAATTAGAGAGTCCAGTGGGTAAAATAAAACTATCCAGTGAGTTCAGCTGGCACATCCTTCTTGATGCCTGTTTTGCATTAAAGGATAAAAAAACAATAAATTCATATTTACTAACTATTCTTGCAGAGGGCTTTTTTTTTTTTAAAGGGCCATCCCTTCCCTCAATATCACAGAGCACAGGGCAGCCTGTTGAGCTGGAGGTAACTTTTCTGTACTTGGCGCTCTGACTGTGGTCAGACGGGTCTGGCAGAATTGGGATAAGGAATTTGTGGCCCTCCAGATGATGGTAGGCTCTCAGTCCCATCAACTTCCAACACTTTGCTAAACCACTATATGAAGTACCTCTCACCCCCAGTTAAACAGCTCCCCTGAAGCAGTCTGCTATTCCTCATGTTGTAGTTAGCAAGGCCACATGAACTTCAGATGTTATGATGTTTTACATATTTATGTATATAGGAACACATAAGCTAAGCAAGCCATCAGAGTTTGATGCTACCATTACAACTATGTGCTGGGTACTTCCTTTTTCCTGACGTGAATTTCCTATTCCTCAGTTTTATTGGATGATATGGGATTCCAGTATTATGATAGAGGGTTTTTTTTCTCCCTAGCCACTTGCTTGCTCTCCCATTTTAAAGCTAGGGAGTTGAGGCTGAGAGGTAGTAACTTGCCAGAGATTAATCCCATTAAAATGTAAGCTTTGAACTCAGCACTTTACCAGAAGGAGCAGCATGCTAAAAAGTTTTGCAGCATATATTCTTTCCCCCATTCTATCTCAAGGTGGTAGGACTATTCTACTATCCAATGCATTAAATAAGGAGGGAGGTCAACTTGTAGAAAGAGTTTAGCAGGGAATTTTGTGTCTTGTGTCTACCAAAATCCCGCCCCCTGCCTTCTACTAGAATGATGTACAGTGGACGCTCAGGTTGCGAACGTGATCCATGAGGGAAGCACGTTCACAACCTGCAGCATCTGCAACCCGCAGCACAGCATCTGCGCACATGTGGGTTGTGATTCGGCGCTTCTGCGCATGCGCAAAGTGCGATTTATCGTTTCTGCGCATGCGCAAGCACCGAAACCTGGAAGGAACCCATTCCGGTACTTCTGGGTTCGGCACAGTACACAACCCGAAATCGCACAACCCGAAGCATCTGTAACCCAAGGTATGACTGTACTGAGCAAGAGACAGTGGTAGCCAACATGGTCTGTGGACTGCAATTCCCATCAGCCCAGTCAATCTGGCCATTGGTCAGGGATGATGGGAGTTGTACTCCCACGACACCTTGAGGACACCATGCTGGCTACCCCTGCTATAAGACTGGCAGTTACACCTGTCTTCAGCTCTGGCTGTTTCTTCAACTCTGTGTAGTTTTATCACCTTCTCCCCCTCACTCTTGCCTGATGGGATTACAGTGGTGCCTCGCAAGACGAAATTAATTCGTTCCGCAAGTTTTTTCTTCTTGCGAGTTTTTCGTCTTGCGATGCACGGTTTCCCATAGGAATGCATTGAAAATCAATTACTGCGTTCCTAGGGAAACCGACTTCAGACCAGGTCCGGGGACAGTCTGTCCCCCGACCTCTTCTGAAGGCTGGGGGGACAAGGGCTTTTCTTCCCACCCCCAGCATTTTAAAATCCCGGGACAGCGGAGAGCTTCTCCGCTGTCCGGGGCGATCTTAAAATGCTGGCGGGCGGCATTTTAAAATTGCCCCGGGACAGCGGAGGACTTCTCCGCTGTCCGGGGCAATTTAAAGCCCCTGGGAAGGCAGGCAGGGGGACAAAGACTTTTGCCCCCGCCAGCCTTCAGAAGAGGTCCTGGACCTCTTCTGAAGGCTGGCGGGGCGAAAGTCTTTGTCCCCCCCACCTGCCTTCAAAAGCTGTCCAGCCAAGGCTTCGCGGACCTCTCCGCAAGCAGCGGCAGCACTGCCGCTGCTTGCGGAGAGTTGCCGGCATGCCGAAGCCTGCGCGCGCTGAGATCAGCGCGCCCAGGCTTCGCGGACCTCTCCGCGAGCAGCGGCAGCGCGGCCGCTGCTGGCGGAGCGTGGCCGGCATGCCGAAGCCTGGGCGCGCTGAGATCAGCGCGCCCAGGCTTCGCGGACCTCTCCGCGAGCAGCGGCAGCGCTGCCGCTGCTCGCGGAGAGTTGCCGGCATGCCGAGCCTGGGCGCGCTGAGATCAGCGCGCCCAGGCTCGCGGACCTCTCCGCGAGCAGCGGCAGCGCTGCCGCTGCTCGCGGAGAGCTGCCGGCATGCCGAGCCTGGGCGCGCTGAGATCAGCGCGCCCAGGCTTCGCGGACCTCTCCGCGAGCAGCGGCAGCGCTGCCGCTGCTCGCGGAGAGCTGCCGGCATGCCGAAGCCTGGGCGCGCTGAGATCAGCGCGCCCAGGCTTCGCGGACCTCTCCGCGAGCAGCGGCAGCGCTGCCGCTGCTCGCGGAGAGTTGCCGGCATGCCGAAGCCTGCGCGCGCTGAGATCAGCGCGCCCAGGCTTCGCGGACCTCTCCGCGAGCAGCGGCAGCGCGCGCCGCTGCTCGCGGAGAGCTGCCGGCATGCCGAAGCCTGCGCGCGCTGAGATCAGCGCGCCCAGGCTTCGCGGACCGGAGATTTCCCTATGGGCTTCGTCTTGCGAAGCAAGCCCATAGGGAAATTCGTTTTGCGAAGCGCCTCCAAAACGGAAAACCCTTTCGTCTAGCGGGTTTTTCGTCTTGCGAGGCGTTCGTCTTGCGGGGCACCACTGTACTGTGTCTTGATCATAGTAACTTCTACCAAACGGAAACGCAACATGTGCAGCTTTCCCTGCTGAGTTTCTGCCCGTCACATAGGTCTTAAAAGACACAGGACCTTGGCCAGGAGGGACAAGGGAAGATACAGTATCTAAAGGAAGACTCCAGGTTTTTGTCTTTGGGGTAGAAGTCCAGGGTGACACTCAGAATAAACAAGAGGAACCCCCAAACACATCAGGGCTGGCTTGCTACATTTTGAAGTACAGTGGTACCTCTGGTTAAGTACTTAATTCGTTCTGGAGGTCCGTTCTTAACCTGAAACTGTTCTTAACCTGAAGCACCACTTTAGTTAATGGGGCCTCCCGCTGCTGCCGCGCCGCCGTCACACGATTTCTGTTCTCATCCTGAAGCAAAGTTCTTAACCCGAGGTACTATTTCTGGGTTAGCGGAGTCTGTAACCTGAAGCGTATGTAACCTGAAGCATATGTAACCCGAGGTACCACTGTAAGCATAAAGCCCTGATTTATGAGATCCCAATTAAGTAAGAGGAGATATCAGGGCTTGCACCTGACATCTTTATACAGGCAAAGCAATGCTTTAGAGATGATACCAATTTGATAATGTTAGAATACCAGTAAAAATAGACAACTCTGGGATAAAAATATCTGGTTTCAGACAGAAATTGAAAATTTCATTCCCCCCCCCCCCACCAGAATGTATTTCCTGATGTTTTTCGACTGTTCCTAGCATTTAAAAATAAAATAAAAGCCACTATGTGTTATTATTCTCATATGCTGGTGCTTACTGTTCTTTACTGTTGTCATATTACGTTTTAATCGTAAGCTACTTTGGAAAGCTGGTCCGGGGGAAAACAGGGTACAAATTCTTAAATAAATTAAGTACTGTAAATAGATGGGCCAATCATCTGATGCAAGTTCTTAAAGCAGAAAGGCAACACTATATACTCAGCATCTCTCTCACACACCCCAATGACACACAACTCACCAGTTTCCATTTGTGCGAAACGGATGTAGATTTATAAATATTTATGCCACAGTCCTAGGTATGGCTACTCAGAAGCAAGTTCCAACTCCCCAGAAAAGTGTGTACGTATAGGATTGCAGCCTTAGGGTTGTAATCAAGTTCAGCATATCCACTGAAATTAATGGGCTTATGTTAGTCCTGCTCATTAATTTCAAGGGGTCTACTCTGAGCATGGCTATTGTATCATACAGCCCATATCCCCCCCCCCCCCCCATTATGTAAGTTGCTTAGAGAATCTCAGTGCAAGAGCGGCTAATAAATTCATTGAATAAAGTAAAATAAATAAGCTGTTCATCTCCCTCGTATCTTTTCTGTCTGTTGCAAACAGAGAAGCAAAGGACTGACAGAAGCAGGCTCTTTCTTACCTGCCTTGCCCGTGAATTGGTGTGCAATTGTGCCTTCTGGTTCTCTGTCTCTCTCAGTCCATACAGGAGTCCTCTTCTTTAACTTTCTCAAAACAAGTGGCTTGTTCTTACCGGCTTCCAGACTCAGCTAACACTGCCCAGATGTGGGGTAGCCTGCAGTTGCCAGATGTTTATTTAAAGCTGTACTCTCTCTAGAGAGAGAGAGAGTCAATGAGGAAAGGAAGAAGGGGGGGGGGTGAAGAGAGAGAGCCAGGCTGCTTAGAAAGAAATCTTACTCAATGACTCACTGAGTGCAGAACATGCAAACCACCACCCCCCAGCAGGGTTAAAGCAACATAAGCAGCCCCCTGTACGATACTTCAGATTTCATAAATCATAAATTCATGGTTTAAAAGGAAGGCAGTCAGTAAACCAAGACACTAGCATGTTTTCTCACCAGACACTTGTAGGGCAAGGACAATGTGCTAGGATTTTAGGATTTCGGTTCTTGTGTGGCTGTGCACACACCATGCATTTGAAGCACCCTCCCCACAAAGAGTTCTGGGAGTGATAGTTTGTGAAGAGTGCTGGGAGTTGTAGTTCTGTGAGGGGTGAACTACAGTTCCCAGGATTCTTCAGCAATAAAGTGCTTTAAATACCAATGTGCCACTCTTAAAATAAACTGTTCCTATGGCTTTACCCACACCTACCTTTCCTCCAGTCTTTCCAGACACAGTCCGTACTTTAAAGCTCTGTGTCTGAACGTCTCCCCCCTCCCCTGGCCCCCGCAGGAGCTTTGTCTGAGAAAACCCGCTCTTTAGCACTCAATTGAAAATCAACCCGCAGAAAACCCGACCACATAATGGGAACAACTTTGGGGGAAAAGAGAGCTCTGCAATTATGAGGCAGTCATGCAAAAGCCAGTATGGTTAGTTACAGTGTTGGACAAATACTGTACAGTGGTACCTCGAGTTAAGTACTTAATTTATTCCGGAGGTCTGTTCTTAACCTGAAACTGTTCTTAACCTGAAGCACTACTTTAGCTAATGGGGCCTCCTGCTACTGCTGTGCCGCCGCTGCACGATTTCTGTTCTCATCCTGAAGCAAAGTTCTTAACCTGAGGTAATATTTCTGGGTTAGCGGAGTCTGTAACCTGAAGCATATGTAACCTGAAGCGTATGTAACCCGAGGTACCACTGTACAGTAAGACTGAGATGAGCCAGATTCATATCATAATTCAGTTGTGAAACCATTGTGTGGACTCCCTCACAGCCTAGCCTTCCTCACAGGGTTGTTGAAAGGATAAAGGAAGGTGGGATCTTGTAAGCCACTTTGAGCTCTTTGGAGAAAGGGTAACATAAACACACACACACACAGAGGAATTTGATTTTTGGTTTGTAGAAACAGGCAGGTCTGAGACAAATAACAATAATAAAATTTTATTTATATCCCGCCCTCCCCAGCCAAAGCCGGGCTCAAGGCACCTAACAAGAATAAAGCATGTTGCTGCTTGAGACTGAACATCAAATGGTTTGAGTGCTGGGCTAGAAGCTGTTTGAACACCCCCACCCCCACCCCCACCCTGCTCAGACATGAAGCTCACTGGGTGACTTTGGGTCAGGCACCGTCTCTCAGTGGGGCAAGGGAAAAAAATCCTGAGATGGTGGGATATCAATGTAAAAATTAAATTAAATACTTTTAAAAATTCAGTCGCGGGCTTAGTGCTCAGGGATGGCAAGCGCTTTTCCAAAGGCCAACCCTCCTACACTGTACTGACTCACACCAGTTGAAAAAGCTACGAATAGGATTCTTGCCTAACAAGCAGAAATTCAAGAGGTGAATTTGTGTTGTGTGAAAGCTGGCACTCTCCTTGATAAAGGATGGAAGAGGTCCGACCTAATGGCCTATAAACACAGATACAATTAAGGCATTGCCTCTTACTTCATGGCATCAAATCAAGGGTTGTTTTTTTATTTTTTTACATGTATAGTACTGAAATGTGGGGTTTTTTTGTATGCTATTGTATTTCTGTTTTTCTATGTTGTAACAAAATTATTACCATGCTATTGTTTTTCTATGTTATTATGAGACTTTTATTTGAAATGCATCCCTGTTGTTGTTTTGGTATAAGTCGCTTGGAGCACCTTTTTGGTGGAAAAGAGGCATACAACCAAAATGAATGAATGAAGCCCCACCATCACTGTCTCTGGCTGCGTACCCACTGTTCATGTAAAGCACCTCCACGAAACGAGGACTTCTGGAAGCTGTAGTTTACACCTCTCAGCTCTACAATTCCCAACACCCTTAAACTACAGTTCTCAGGATTCTTGCTGGGGGGTTTGGAATGTGCTTTAAGTGCATGGTGTGTATGCAGCGCGGCATCGTGCGAGGTAGGGAGAAGCTGCACCTGTTTAATTCCTGCCTGACAGTGCAGCTGCCACGCCACGAAATACTGAAATCATTCGCTGCTAGCTAGCTGGCGCCACCTGCCGGCACGAATTAGGCACTCCCGGTCCTCCTCCGAAAAAGACTACTGTAAAGCGAACGAAGCTTCTTCTCCCAGGTTTCGGCAATCTTCGGCTTTTCTCGGACATGCTTCTGAGAACTCAGAAAAGGAGGCGGGGCTGAAGACTCTCGTGTTTTCTTAATAACCCCACCCACAATCCACGACGAGGATTCGGGAGCTTCCGGAAATGCTCGCCTATTTCCATCTGCGCAAGCGTCAGAGAGAGTCGGAGTCCAGCTGCTCCGCTGTGCGTGGCGGGTTTGAGCGAGCGAAAAAGCGGCGCCATCGCAGGTCTGCGGGTCTATCTAGGTCGGTCATGGCGTCCCCGTCGCGGAGGCTGCAGACCAAGCCGGTCATCACTTGCCTCAAGAGCATCTTGCTCATCTACAGCTTCGTGTTCTGGGTGAGCCCCTCTCGGGAGGAAAACCCCACCCCGAAGCCCACCCCGCTACTGGCCGCCCCACTGAACAATGGGTCCCTGCAGCTCACCCTTCTCTAACCCCATAGACAGCAATGGGGCACGCTGCTCGTCCTGTCTTGGGGGGCAGCACTGCATCTTACACGCCCCCCTTCCTATTCCCATAGGTAACAGGTGGGTAAATGCTCTCCCTTCTGAGACACCCCCACGCTACAACCTCAAACGCACCCGCCCACCCCCTCGCTGCTGACCCCACAGATGTCGCGCTTGCTGTTCCTGTGTATAGCATGATGTATCGTCTCCTGCTGGCCCTACAGAGAACAATGACCCCCCCCCCGGCACTCCAATCTCTCCCGTCCCATTCAATGTTATAGAACAGATGGCAGCCCCCCCCCCCGTCTCTCCCCCTTCTGGCAACCTTATAGACAACCACAGGGCAGGCTGGTTCCATATGCATTTGTGTAAGGGCGGAATGGGCCGGGGGGGGGGCGGCGGCGGCGTAATTGCAAGTTTTGAAAACTTTGTAACGTTGTGTTTAAAGTTGTTCTAACCTGCTCTGGGATCTTAGGGTGAAGGGAGGGCAAAAAATTAAAAGAATAGCGATACTAATAAGGATGATGTAATCCTGTCCTATGCATTGAGTATAATGGGAGCATAGAGTTTTCTCTTCCGCTCTGCAAAGTCCATAGATAGCAGTCTATCCATACATAGCTGCCTCCAGCCACATTTTCCCCACATTTTTCTCTTCCTAGAACACTGTAGGACAGAAAATGCTTGCCTTGCACCTCTTTATCCCAAAGAGGACAGAGCCCTTATAGACGTATAAAGCATTTTTCTATAATTCTTTTTTAATATATCACCTCACTCTCTCTTACACCTCCCCCAGTTTCTCTTTGGAAATAACTACTGCTCTCTCCTCCTTCCCCTATGGTTCCCCTAACCTTATATGAGCAGCAACGTACAACACTCCTTGATTTCTCCTAGAGCCCCCCAAATGAAGGGTGGTTCTCCAGATATTGCTGTTCTCCAACTTCCACCTTCTCTGACCATTGGCTTTGCTGGCTGGTGCTGATGGGATTTGGAGTCCAAGCACCACCTGGAGGACCACTGGTTAGTCACCTCTGTTGTAGAGAAGAATGGGGCACAGTTCCAGCCCTATAAAGGTTTTAAGGTATATTTGTGTAATTTTATCCTCCCCTCTGAACAATGACCTTCCCTATAGTTGATAACTGTACACCTGGCCCCTCCCTTTCCTTTACAGTGCCTCTGAATCTGTAGGAAGAGAAGTGAGACACCCCCCCCCCAACTCTGCATCTCATAACTCCATAGAGAATAATGGGGCAGGGCCACTGTCCCCTATAGCTCCAATCTCAGCTCATCCCACAGACTCTTTTCACCTGTAGGAAGAGACATACTCTTCGCAGCCTTCACTCTTGTTTCTAGTGATCCAATAAAGAACAATATGGAAAACCCATCTTAGAAAGGTTTGTCGCCCCAGGAATGTTCTCTCCCTCCGGGCCCACCGAGAAGAACTATGCAGAAGTCAACTCTGCATGGACTTAGTTGGGGTGGGGGTGGGTGGGGAAAATGGCACCCCCCAGCTTCTTTCAGGAGTCTGACCATCACGTTGTAGGAAAGAGCCTCTATCTCTCATAATCCTTCAGTGATATAATAATAAATCCCAATTTTCCAGCTCTGCTCCTGGCGGCGGTGGCAGCTTAGCAGTGTGAGCATTGCACCCGTGTCTGTGGCACAGATGGCATAATGTGTGCTGGTGTGCTGATGTGCCTTTCTGTGCCAGAAAACCCTGTGGCAATTGGTTCTCTTTCCCTTTGCTCATTTTTTTTTTAATTTGCCCTTTTTGCTTTGTTGGCCTTTTTTGGTTAGTAGCAAATAACATGTGGAATGCACTCTGTAATCCTGTCCTTTCCTTTCATCACTGCTGCTTCAGGCTTCTGAATCAGGTGAGTGTGGTTTTCTCAAGGAGCAGAGCCACTTTTCTCCTTGAGGCATGCAGGTTCTGTACCCTCTCTCTCTCCTCTCTCAAAAATAATTACAGGTTTTTATTTTTGTGCAAAGGAATAAAAAGACACTTTTAAGTAAATAATGCAGAAAAGATAAAACAAGACCAATTCTCTATGGTTCTGATACAATACTAGATAAGCTTCTGTTTTAACGAAAGTGACTTTTGCAAGCTCACATAGTCATAGAATTGTAGAGTTGGAAAGGGACCCCAAGGGTCATCTAGTCCAACCCCCTGCAATGCAGGAATTGCATGGAAGGGGGAAAAAACACCCACCCACTGTCTATAATGCAGTGGTCTGAGGACTCATAGCCCAGGCTATATTTGAACATCCTGCTTATAAAAGTCCATTTTGTGTATCTGGACATTTGGATATCTTACATCAATTTATATGCTTGAATTAAGATGTATTCTGAATGTGATCTGATGAGGGTTTTGGCTTTCACTTTCCCCCTCTATGTTTCTTTTTTTCCTTTGTAAAACTTCATATAAAAATAAGTTTCTAATTTTAACAGTTTGGGCTGCAAAGTTAATTACTATTTTCCTTTTACTCCCGCACATCCTGTGGAGAAAACGATATAGAGGACAAGGTTCATGTTGACGTAACAGGGATGGATCAAAATAAAAACCATGTTCAAACATCATTTCTGAGTGCAAATGAAATGGTCTTGCTGCGGTGCCCTGAGAAACAGTCCTCGGTTTGCCTCGCTGCTTCAAAAAACTGCTTCAAATGGCAGGGAAAACAAATTCCCTCAGGTTACATACCTTTGGAATCCAGTCTGTGTTTATACATTGCTATGGGAGCTTGAAAGACTTGAGAGGAACCAGCTTACACAGGTGTTTCTAGACTTGTAGCTTTGTTTTCTTCTGAGACCACAGAGAACTCAGTGGTAACTCACCATATCCTTTTCACACAGAAAGTCTCAGGTTCAGTTGCCACCATCTCCAGTTTATTCAAATTATGTTTAAAATGTTTATTAGCTGCTCTTTATCTAAAGATTCCAAGGCTACGTACAAAGATGTGAATAAAACTATCTGTAACAGCATATAAATAATACTATATAAGAGCCAGCAAATAGACTTACAAAATAAAGAGAAGGCAAAATCCCAACTAAAACATCACCTCAAATAAAGCGACAATCAATAAGCTCTTAAAACTGGTGCTAGGACAAAGGATTTGGTTCCAGATGACTTGAAAGGAAAACCTATGCCAGTCATAGTATAGTTTTCCAAATAGGTGAAAAAACGCCGGCTCCCTTTGCCTGAAAGCGAGATGAGCGCTGCAACCCCATAGTCACCTTTGACGGGACTTAACCGTCCAGGGATCCTTTACACTTTTTTACCTAGTTGAGGGACGCAGGTGGCGCTGTGGTCTAAACCACTGAGCCTCTTGGGCTTGCCAATCAGAAGGTCGGCAGTTCGAATCCCTGCGATGGAGTGAGCTCCCGTTACTCTTTCCCAGCTTCTGCCAGCCTAGCAGTTCGAAAGCACACAGGTGCAAGTAGATAAAAAGGTACTGCTGCAATGGGAAGGTAAATGGTGTTTCCATGTGCTCTGGCACATCACGGTGTTTCCATTGCGCCAGAAGCAGTTTAGTCCTGCTGGTCACATGACCCAGAAAGCTGTGTGTGGACAAACGCCGGCTCCCTTGGCCTGAAAGCGAGATGAGCACCACATCCCATAGTTGCCTTTGACTGGACTTAACCGTCCAGGGGTCCTTTACCTTTTTTTTGACCTAGTTTTCCAGATAGTCTGGCTTGGTAAAAGGTAAGAATGAGAAACCTGTGACCCTTCAGATGATGTTGGACTCAGCCATCTGCCCAAGCCAACATAACCAATGGTCAGGGGTTATGGGAGTTGTAGTCGAGAACATTCTGGACACATAAGGTTTTCTTTCTGGGTCTCTTCCTAGTGATGTTGCTTATTGCATGCCATCATCATCAAGTGTGTGTGTCGGGGGGGGGTCACACACCTGCCAGTCTTGTTCTGTGGAAAATGGGATGGACGTGGACATGGACATTGACAAGGGCTGGGACTTGCCTAGTTAAGCTAATGTGAATTTAGTTGCTCATTTTCATGCTTAGATCACAGGAAGGGGCTGAGGGTGGGGAAAAGGTAGATTTCTTCCTAGCTCTTCTGTGTCTGCTTATAGGGCAGAATGGGGGTTTATTGAGGCCCCACCTGCACTCTGCATTTAAAGCGGTTTCATACCGCCGTAAACAAGTCATGGCTTCCCCCAAAGAATTCTTGGAAGTGTCATTCGTTAAGGATACAGAGGGAAGACCCTTATTCCCCTCAAAGAGCTACAGTTCCCAAAGTTTGCTGGGAACTGCTCAACCACTCTGGAAATTGTAGTTCTTTGAGGGGAGATGCCCTAAATCTCAACACCCTTAACAAACAACAATTTGGGACGAAGCCAGACCGTTTAAAGTGGTACAGTACTGCTTTAAATGGATAGCGCAGATGGGATCTTAGCATGAATCCTGGTATCGCTGAGGATCGTTAGGATGAATTAGCACATTGCAAAGGTGTGGACCTTTGTTTCATGCAGTGCCAGTTCTTTGTTAACTGGCTGTTAAAAAGTAAAATGCTTCTACAGAAACTTTTAACAAGTGGCTCATTGTGGCTAATGGAGTTGTCCTTCCCTCCCCCCACCCTCTCCTCCTAGTTCTCTGGCATCGTCCTTCTGGCAGTCGGCATCTGGGGGAAGGTAGGCCTGGAGGTGTATTTCTCCCTGTTAAATGAGAAGGCTACGAACGTCCCCTATGTCCTCATTGGCACCGGCACAGTTGTCGTCCTCCTAGGCACCTTTGGTTGTTTCGCAACATGTCGGGGAAGCACATGGATGCTGAAATTGGTAAGTATTAGGGGGCACAAGGTTGCAGCACCTGCCTTGAAACTCACAGGATTCCTCCAACTGTGGCATGTGGTGATAACTGCTATATCTCCCCATTCACCCATTTGAATATATATTTTTAATGGTGTTTGCATGCTACCCACTGTGGCTGTTTTCTGTTTCCACTATTGGAGGCCCTATGCCTCTGAATACCAGTTGCTGGTAGGGAAGAGCGCTGTTATGCTCAGGTCCCAGCAGATATATCTGTTGACATTCTACTTATAGTAGTCAGCAGAATGAAAACAATCCTCTTATTTTATTTTGGTCACATATACAAACGTAGATTTCTCAGTCCTCCAGTGCGGATGCTATTTGAAAACTTAATATGCAATTACATTGCTTTCAGAAGGGCATGTGAAATCTTGGCTGGGAATGGTCCCTCTTATTGAGATGCTGTTGCTGTCAAGAACAGGTGTTCCAAAAGATTTCCATGTCTTACTGGGAATTTTTGTCCAAACGCCTTTCTGTATTCTACCCAAGTCACCATCTCTGGACCTGAATGGGCCTTTCCTAGTGGTAGTTCCCCATTTGTGAAATGCTCTCTTCAGGGAAGCATGCCTGGTATCATCACTGTCTGTTTTTAACATTCCTATTTACCAGGGCATATTTTTTAAACTGGGAAGGTATTTATGTTAACAGCCTCATTGTGCTGATCCTTTAAGTGGGGTGGGTAGGACTTGTTCTTTTAAAACATACTCTCCGATGAGTGTTTTCATTGACTGCTGTTTTTAATCTGATTTTAATGTCTTTGCCATTTTATTTTTTACTGAGTAAGTCGCTCTGAGGCACTTGAGTGCAGAAATGCAATGAATAAATTAAATAAATCTCAATGGCAGAGCACATTTTGCAAACATCATCTAGTGTTGCTTTGCCCAGCCACTAGAGACTGGCTGTTCCAAATGGCCTTTCTTGGGTTTATCAGTATTCCAGTAGCTTCAGCTACCATAACGTATACCACCTCATGCAATTTTTGTTTTTACTCAGGATAATCCAGTTGCTGTCTTTATCTAGATAACTAAACAGAGGAGAAGTTTAATACAAACTCTTGACTTCTGCTGCAGCCTTCCACCCAAATATGGAGTTACGGAACACTCCTCGCACAATTTTGCCATGTGCCAGTGGTGCATTCGGTGTAGATTCTCTGTGTAAATCATATGGCAGTAGCAGGGTTGTAACTTTGCTGGTCTTGATCCTTCCTTTCTGTCCACAGTATGCCATGTTCTTAACTCTCATCTTCCTTGTTGTGCTTGTGGCTGCCATTGTGGGCTTCGTCTTCCGACATGAGGTGAGTTGGTGTTGCTTTGTTTTGTTTTTTTCCTTATCAGTGGGATTGGTCAATACAGAATTACTTTTTCCCCCTTCTTGCTTCATGCCGGTGACCATAACTTGCTTTAACTGAAAACAGGGGCTGTGCCATTGAGGTGAGTGTAACCCCCTAGACCAGCCTTCCTCAGCCTTGTTCCCTCTAGACAGTGGAGGCTGGTTCATTGGGTTAACCGGGGCACTGCCCTACTGATGCTCAGTCTGGCCTCAGCTTCCCCCACCTTCCTGCCTTCTTACTTACCGCCAGTCCAGGGGATGGGGGATGACACAGCCTGGGGCAGCTTCCTTGTCTTTAGTCTTAGTGTGGTCCTTGTAGAACTCGGGAGAGGAATGGGGTCAAGAATAGAATTGGTTGACTCTGCTGTCGTAGGCTCTGGCTCCATCTCCTGTTGGGCTTCCTGCCTTCTGCCCAAGAGAAGAAGGCTCAGGGCCTGGGAATGAGTGGTCAGAGGTGTGAAGAGGGCAGAGAAAATACAGGCAAGATGAAGGAGCCTCAGATTGCCTGGGAAGGAACCTGGGGAAGAGGAGACTTAGGGAGCTGTGGGAAGGCAGGGACCTTCAGTCCTTTCAGCTGTGTCCTTGGGGCAAGATGTACTAGGAAGAGTTGCTGCGCTCACTAGGCCTGGCCTCTTGAGGTGTTCTGTTTCTTTGAATAAAGATAGTTAACTTTCTGACACCGTGTGAGTTATTGCTGGCTTGCTCCTGCAAAATGCCTTTCATCCCTATCCACTGGCCATATTGGCTGGAGCCAGTGAGAATTGCCATCCAAAACACCTGGAGGGCACTAGGTTGGGGAAAGATGCTCTGCGTACCTAAGGAATGATATTTGTAGAAATGCTCCGAGTACGAACCACATTCAGCCATGGAGCAAGGAGTCTATTTTAACTGAATTACATAGCAGAAGGTGCTTTTTTAAAAAAACAAAAACAAAACCTGACTAACAAGGACCACTTTGGAGTTCCTTGAATAAGGCTTTTCGTTTGTCCCCGAAATGCCATAACACAGGTGAACCTCTGGCCCTTCAGCAAGAGGTTGCTGAACCATTGGCCATGGCTGTTGGGGCTGAGGGGTGTTGTAGCTCAGCAACATCTGGAGGGTCAAAGATTTGCCACATAGTGCAAGTATTGGAGGAGTGCCATCTCGGAACAGGCACCTCTCCTCTCTAGTGCAGTGTGGAATGGTGGGTAGAGTGTTGGACTGCAACCTGGGAGAGACCAGGGTTAAAATTGCCACTCAGCCAGGGTTGTCATGAGGGGAAAATGGGGAAAGGGTGAAACTATACGTGCCGCCTTGAGCTCCTTGGAGGAAAAGTGGGATATAGATATATAAGTGTAAGAGGAGCTGCCTCTTCTTCGGGGTCTCCAACCACTGCACATGAATGGATGTCTAAAGACAAGTGTGCTTTTCCACTTAAAACTTGATTGATTTAGTCCTGTGCAAAATGAACACCAGATTGACTAATATTTCCTTAGTTAGGTAATGACCTCTCTCTCTGCAAGCAATGATCATTTATCATTTTCTCCTCAGATTAAAGACAGCTTTAAGAATAACTTTGAAGCTGCCATGAAGTCCTACGATGGGACCAAAGATGAACGCAGCAAAGCGGTTGATACCATTCAGAGCACAGTGAGCATTCACCTCTCTTTTTTCAACTGGCCTAAATCTGGCATATTCGGTATACTGGCCTAAACTTGGTATATTACGCATGCTCCTCTCTTTGTGGAGGTGCTAGCAGTTAAAAAGGAGCCTGTACTACAAAGTGGGGTGCAGAGGAAGAAAGAGAACAAAAATGCCTGTCGCAGAGACCCCCTGTGGTATCTTCCTTTGCCTGATGTCCCCCCTCATGCTTGCAAGAGGTATCCCATGTGCTAAACACAGTTGGAGGTGGAGCTGTTGCTGTTTCTGCCTCAGCAGGTGTTCTGTGCGAAAGGCAAATCTTCAGCTTACAAAGCCCAAACCCTAGGCAGCAGTAGTGACATCATGGCTCGGGTAGAGTCCGCCCCCCCCCCAACGTGCCCAATGAGGGTTTGGTTCTCCTCTTTGCTGCCCTGCTTGAAGAAGTCATCCCTACTCTACGCCAGGGCTGAGGAACCTTTTTTTTTTTTTACATTGAGGACCACACTCCCTAGGACAAAGAATGGGAACTTGCATCCCTCCAGATGTTGTAGGGCTCTTGATTCCCATCAACCCCAGGGCTAGCAGCATGGCTAGGAGTCAGGGATGATGGGAGCTGGAGTCCAGCGACATCTGGAAGGGTCACAGTTTCTGCTTCCCTGCCCTGGCAGGTACAATTTCTTGAGGGATGGAGTCAGAAGTGAACGGGACCAGAGCCAAAGAGAATGGAGCTACATTTTCTTTCTTTCTTGGCTTCCATGCTGCATAGGAAGGGAAATATATCTTCCTCCCTTTCATGCACAGGATTGCAGTAGGCTGTGGGTTTGGAGCTGCACAGTGGGATCAGGACCAAAGACAGATAGTTTATCCATTTATACCAGGGATGGAAACCTCCAGATATTGCTTGTTTCCAGCTCTCATCATCCCTGATGGTTGGTTGTGGTGGCAGGGGCTGATGGGAGATGGAGTCCACAACATCTGGAGAGTTACAGGTCCCTCTGTCCTGAAGCTATACATTTTATTTCTTCCCGCGAAGAAATTCATGTCAGCATGGGGTGTTAGTGAAAGACAGCAGAGCAGAAAAGAGTTAGACTGCTGAAAGATGCAGAATTCCAACCAGACTGGATTTTTGTAAAAAATGGTTATTATTTTATTTGTAGAAGTTCAATACAGTTTAGCATAATGCAAATCTAAGCCATTTATGCTAAAACAATAAAAATGCAACTATATTCAGTAATCTTTTCTAAAAACAAGGTTTAAAAAAGCCCACAATTGTCAGACTATATAAAAATGAATAAATTGAAGAGTCCAAAAGGGCTCAAGGACAAAACAAATTTTTAAGAGGCGTTAAAGGACTTATTTGAGGGAATGCATTCCAAAGTGGAACAACCAGCTGGGAAGGTCTCCTGGGAAGATTTTAAAGATCAGCTTGGCCTGTCTAGGGGAGGTGGTCTGCTAAAGTTGCCCCCGGGCAAATCATTTGTTTGGTGGGTGAACATGTGGAGATCATCAGAAGCAGTCACGTGTGTGTGTAGCTGTGCAGATTGGGGTGAAAGGGTATTTTGGTTTTATTTCAGAGGAATGCGGGACTGGAGTATGCTAGCCGAATGGTGTCATTCATTATATGTGGCCTCCTGTGGGTGGGATGTCTTGGACATGCCTTTTTAAAAAATAATAAATATGGGTGTTTTTTAGCTTTTAAATTTATGTTGGCTTTAATGTATGCTTGTAATAGGCTTTGAGTTACTTTTTGTTATAACCCCCCCCCCCAATAAATAATAATAATTCTCTGCCATCCCTCTTGTCCTATACAGTTGCACTGCTGCGGTGTCTCGGACTACACCGACTGGAATCGAACTGCCTATTATAAACAGAAAGGGATTCCTATGAGCTGCTGCAAGTCTCTGGGGAATTGCACGATAGACGATTTGAAGAATCCAGCAATAGCAAAGGGGAAGGTGTATGAGCATGTAAGCCAACACAAAGCTGTCCCCTTCCGTGTGGCTTGGAAGAAGGGGCTTACATGGAGGCGCAGGTTACAGCAACAGCCAAAGCGACATTTTTCCACCTTCGCAGTTGGTCCCTTACCTTTCCCGCCCCGACCTGGCCACAGTGATCCATGCGACGGTCACGTCCAGGCTTGACTACTGTAATTCGCTCTACGCAGGGCTGCCCTTGAAGCTGTCCCAGAAACTCCAGCGGGTGCAGAATGCTGCAGCGAGGCTCCTCACGGGGTCTCTGCCATGGGAGCATATTCACCCAGTGCTTTTCCAGCTGCACTGGCTCCCGATGGAGTACAGGGTCAGATTTAAGGTGCTGGTTTTGACCTTTAAAGCCCTTCACGGCCTAGGACCCTCATACCTACGGGACCGCCTCTCCTGGTATGCCCCGTGGAGAGCCTCAAGGTCCATAAATAGCAACACCCTAGAGGTCCCGGGCCCTAAGGAAGTTAGATTAGCCTCAACCAGAGCCAGGGCCTTCTCAACACCGGCTCTGGCTTGGTGGAACGCTCTGTCTCATGAGACCAGGGCCCTGCGGGATCTGATTTCTTTCTGCAGGGCCTGTAAGACAGAGTTGTTCCACCTGGCCTTTGGCTTAGAATCAGTTTGATTCACTCCGCCCCTTTCTTTTTCCTTTCTCCTCCTGTGAAGAGGCTGCATCCTAATGTTTTAATGTAGTATTTTAATTTTTTTTAAATTGTATTTTAATCAACTTGTTTTTATTATTGGTTGTTAGCCGCCCTGAGCCCGGTCTTGGCTGTGGAGGGCGGGGTATAAATAAATTATCATTATCATTATTATTATTATTATTATTATTAAACAGGCCAGGAGGAGCTGCTGTAATAACGAAGCTTTAGCCTCTGGCAAGAAAGAAGAACCCAGACTTCTCTAGAGATAGTGTAGGACTGCAGAGGAGAAATAGGGAAATAATTGCCTGCGGACACGCATTTCTCTTTGTGGAGAAGAAATGAAACACACATGCTAATTATTGTGTTTAATTCCACATCCCTTAAGTAGAAACTGCGGACTTAACGTCTGTGACCTATGGGATGTGACAGCGAGAAGCAGGCCAGTGTGGTGCAGCAGCTGAGGTTATTTCAAGGCCATCAGAGCTGTTTTGAATCCCTTCCCCTACGAAGTTCCACTGTTTGGTATGGCTGATAAGGGGATATAGTCTTCCTGCCGTAAACAGGGAGCAATAGTTTGTTTTAAATTACACCGCAATAAAGGACCTGTATTGAGGTCAAAAACATTAATATTGACACAGCCTCTGTCAGTTCAGTGGACATCCTGCTGTGAAGTCCTTTGCTAACTTAAGATGCCTGGGTCCTTTGAGGGCTGTAAGTGCTTCCTGTTTTTCATGAGTAGGAGTTGCCTGGTAGCTTGGATAACCATGTTACCCCCCCTCTCTCCCCCCCCTTCCCGTTTGTAGGGTTGCTTCAGGCTGGTGATACAGACAATGGACTCCAAAATGGGCATTGTAGCAGGGATCTCCTTTGGCGTTGCTTGCTTCCAGGTAAAGTTTTTGATAGTGGTTCAGCTGACCCTCTTCTGCCCTAATAGACTTGAATTCGTTCTCGCCCCACCCTGCTGGGCCTTTTGATCCTTCTTATCATTATATAAAGCACACATACAGCACCCTTCAGAAGTGTGGAGTCAGATGGCAAATCTGGAGGCAGCCAGCTGATAATACCTTCCATCCCCCCCCCCCCTTCACATAATTCAGACTGTTCGCTCCATGCCAGGAAACATACTGCATGTGGCCAGGTTGCCACTCACAGCATGGACATGTGGGTGGCATGCCCCAGCCTGATCTTCCCAGCGTGCTGGCAACATGAAAATAGCAGTGTTAAGTGGTGCTGTTTGCTGCCAAATCCTGCTGGGAGCCTGAATACTTAGGACTCAAAAACACCTGTCTAGAGCAGCTATGAGCAAGAGCTTAAGCAACCCAGGCATAGCATAGTCCAGCTTAAAACACTTTGCATGGCAGGAAATGAGCCACAGCTCTTCACTTATGTGAAGCAGTGGATCACAGAGATAAAAGGCCTCTCGGAATTGTAGCCCAGTGAGGGGAATGGGCATCTCCTAACAAGTCTCAGCACCCTTAACAAACTACAGTCCCCAATAAGCCTCTGAGCAGCTGATGTCAAACTCTGAGTGGTCTGCCATTTGTGTAGTGATGTGGTCCAGCCCTGCTTAGCATCAGTGGAGCTGGATACTCTTCCTGTCTTCCTTTGCTAGGTATTAAGCTGGCACTTCAGCAAAGAGTATTAGAAGACAAGAGCCCACGAAAAACTATGGGCACCATCTCTTACTGTGCTATCATGTTAGCCCAGCTACGTGACTCATTGCAACTTTTGTTTTCTCTGCTTTAGATGGGCTGAAAGTAATTTATGGGGAGCTTTTGCTCTTTGGGTGCAAAATGACTGCAAAATTATATCTGCAGGGCTGCCAGTCATGCCTACCCAGATGTCCACATGTTTTAGTGGATTTGGGTTTTGCCCATCAGGTTTCTTCTGCTGAAAGATTAAACTTCAGCAAACCTTGGTTTGATGCATCTCTTCTGCATAGCCAGAATGGCTCTGCTCCACTTCCCCTGTCAGAGGCATTATGTCCCTGAATATCAGTTGCTTGGAATCCCAGGTGGGCAGAGTGTTGTGCTCAGGTCCTGGTTGAAGGCTTTCCACACCCATCTGGTCAGCCTTTGTGAGAACAGGAAGCTGGACTAGATGATGCAGCAGGTCCTTTGTGCCTACATTCTTCTCTGTCAGTGGTTCCATGTTGGCTACAACATTGTTAGCATCCACTTAGCAGTGTTTGCTCTTAGTCAGTGGTGTCCAAACTTTTTTCAAAGAGGGCCAGATTTGATGAAGTGAAGGGCCATGAGGGCCGACCAAAGATGTTAACCTTTTTTAAAAAGGTTAAACCAACCAGCGGGCCAGATTAGGCCCCCAAAATGGACTTTGGACATGCCTGCTCTTAGTGTTCAAATACTATAGTTTTTCCAAGGATCTTTCTCAATCCAAGACTCAATTGGACACTTCCTGTTTCCTGTTCCTTTTCCATTGCCTTTGGCAACATTGCTAACAAGCCACAATACCATAAATGTGTGGCTTTTCCCCCTCTATAATGTTTCAGAAAAGGTTCTGCCTCGGGCACAGATATAGAAAATACAGTGTCTGTCTCTTCTGGTCTGACCGCTTTTGCACTGTCGGGAAATGAAGTGGTCACCTTGAGAGAAAGCTTCTCTGGTGCTCTGTTTCCATGCAAGTGGGTATACTTGGATCATCAGCGAAATACAATTTTAAGGTTTTTTTTTAAATATTTGAGGAACTCTCCAATGAAATTAGCTCTTGTGCATCCTGCAGTGTTAAGGGTATTTCGATTCAGATTGCAGCAGGCAGAGCCAGTCTGTATGAGGCGGTAGAATTTTCTACTTCAGCTGGGATGTTATTTTTCAAAATGCTCCCCTAAGTTAAAAAAAAAAGTATTTGTCCCCAATGTGACAGAGTACAACCTTCATCAGAGACACTTCTCCATGTGCCTCACCCAAGGGAGATATGGAGGAGGCCTGCGTGAGAAGTGTTTTTTTCAGTGGTAGCTCCTGTCTGTTGATGATGATGCCAGGCATGTTTTCCTGGGGCAGCATTCATCAGTTTTTACATGCTAGGCTAAGACATCTTTATTTATCTAGCGTTTTGGTGCTTGTTTAGCCTCAAGTGCCTTTAATAGTTTGGGTGAAGTGGAGGTAGGACTTGCTTTTCTTAGTGCATCATTGGACAAGCATTTTAGGAATTTTGTATTGTTCATTTTTAATTTATTTTATCTGCCTGTACTTTCTGTTATTGTTAAGCCACTTCAGGCTGGAGTCATCTAAATGGTTGCACTAGTGGGAGCCAGCACAGGTCCTGCTAGCATGCTGGGGCTTTCCCCCTTCTCCTCTCCCTTCAACCTCCCAAAACCAGCTCTGGGAGGTCGGGAGAACCCCAGAACATATGCGGGGTGGGGGTGGAGAGGGGAGACCATTCCACCAAGCAAGCAGACAGGCTTGTCCTGATGGAGCAATCTCCTTAGCTTTGAATCCAACCTTTGGTATAAAGCAACTAACAGATGCAATAAATAATAGCAGTAATAACGATTGTGTGCTGGCTTTTTAGAGCTAGGCGATATTTTTTTACACGGGAGAGTTTTCAAGAACATGACATGGCCCCTCTCAATCTTTTTTATGTGCTACTGTCATCAACTTCCAGGGGACTGGCTGATAGATGAAAATGGCATTTTTATCATTGGTAAACATCGCCTGTTCCCTCTTGTTTCATTTAATACCTTGTACTGTATCACTATGCTGTACACTAGTAGTTTTAAACTGCTTAAGGTTAGCAGTGTTGGCTGAAAAGCTGGATGTGAATCGGGGTGCAGGAAACTGCAGCCCTCTAGGTGTTGCAGGACTTCAGCTTTCATCGTCCCTGACATGCTGTCTGGTGCTGATAAGAGATGCAGTCCAATAAAATAGACAGACTGCAGGTTCCCCACCTCCTATAAAGGAATAAATACCAGGATTTTGCCCCCTTACCATGGCGCCAGGTGCAGAAGGGCTCTTAGCATCTGGCTTCCACGCTCCTTGCAGCCATGAAAGTTCAATTACATAAACAGGCAAAGATAACCATATAATCTCCATGAAATGCATGAAATGGTAGATTATGCATGGTGTGTAGGCTGACAAGTGAGGACACCAAGAATTCCTATTCATATTAAGATATTTCCCCTTATCTACACCAAAGGTTGAACGAAATAGGTTGTTGGGGACTTCTTTCATTTTTGAAACCTCACCCCACTTTTAGCTTATATAAGCAACTGCTGGTTCCATTCGATTTTGGTCTTTCACCACAGCAGCTGGCAGAGGGCTGGAGCTCTCGGCTGTGGAATGTCAAGCATTTAACTTGTCACTGTCCGGCTAACTCTGCCTCTTCCTTCTCTTTTCAGCTGGGGGGGATTGTCCTTGCCTGTTGCCTGTCCCGGTCCATCACAAATAATCAGTACGAGATGGTTTAACCAGCAAGCCTGCAGGCTTGCAACTCACTACAAGGTATGAGCCTCTTTGCTGTGATGCTGTCCTCGCTACATCTTGCCTTATTTGCTGCCCGGCACTTTACTTGCAGTGCTGTGTGCATCTTGCGAGTTCATGCAGCTGTAGATTTTGACACAGTATTGCGTGCTCCCAAAAACCTTAGCTTCCATTTAATTTTTTTAAAGCAAGTTTCTAGTCCTTATGGGGGTGAAGCTAGGCTAGAAACTGCTTTTGTGATGCTTGGTGAAAACTAGGACCAAGAGCTGGGAAGGTTTCAAAAGGTTTAAGGGCTCCAGGTTTCATAGGGTCTTTAGTGCTCTCCTAAATCAGCAGAAGAGAATATGTAGGTTAAGCAGTTCAGTAGGTGAAGTTCCCACTGGACAGCCTAGGTAGTCCTTCTGCATATGAGCAGCCTTATACAAAGTGAAACTACTGGTCCTGTGATCCCGGTGCAATGGGCTTCCTGTGCCACAGAGGGCCTTCTTTAGTGAAACGCATTTTTCAGACTCAGTACTGCGCAGCTTCACTTCGCAACATAAATGCATCTTGCGCTTGTGATTTCTGCATTTGCCAAAGCCCCACAAATGCAATGCCCATGTGTAAACCTGTGGTGCAGCATCTCAAAAAGCATATTGTAGAGCTGGCAGAAGTGTTAAAAAAAGAGCAACCAAAATAATCAGGGGCTGGAGCAACATTCCTATGAGGAAAGGTTACAAATTTTGGAACTTTTTAAACTTCAGCAAAAAGGGAGATGATACAGGTGCATAGAATTATGCATTGTGTATAGAGAAAGTGTGGGACGCGGGTAGCGCTGTGGGTTAAACCACAGAGCCTAGGACTTGCCGATCAGAAGTCGGCGGTTCAAATCCCTGCGACAGGGTGAGCTCCCGTTGCTCGGTCCCAGCTCCTGCCAACCTAGCAGTTTGAAAGCATGTCAAGGGCAAGTAGATAAATAGGTACCACTCCGGTGGGAAGGTAAATGGCGTTTCCATGCACTGCTCTGGTTCACCAGAAGCGGCTTAGTCATGCTGGCCACATGACCCGGAAGCTGTACGCCGGCTCCCTCGGCCAATAAAGCGAGATGAGCGCCGCAACCCCAGAGTCATCCGCGACTGGACCTAATGGTCAGGGGTCCCTTTACCTTTACTTTATAGAGAAAGTGGCTAGAGGACCTTTTCTCTCTCGCTCTCTTACAATACTAGAACTTGGAGGGTATCCATTGATATCCACTGAATGATTCAGTGGAAGTGCTTGTTTACACATTGCATGGTTAAAACTATGGGATTCACCCCCATGAGAAGTGGTGCATTTTCAGGCAAATGCATGGAAGATAGGTCAGCTACTAGCCGCAGCAAGTCCCTGCGTGCCAGCCATTAGGGAACAACATCCAGAGAGGACCATTACTTCCCTGCCCTGATCCTGTGACTCTTGGAAAGCATCTGGCTGACTCCTGTGGGAAACTGGAAGGTCTAAACAAACCTCTGGCCTGATGGGCTCTTCCATATGCTCATGACTATGATGGATGCAGCTTAGAAACATAGGGTTGTATCCAATGTTGTACTCTGAGTAGACCCATTAAGATGCATGAACATGGCACATTTAGGTCCATTAATTTCAGTTGGCTCTACTCTGAGTAGAACGTAGCTGGATGCAACCCATGACAATATAGCAAGGTGCCTTATCACACAGTTGGCCTATCTAGCTCAGTAGTCTGCACTGGTTGGCAGCTGCTCTTCAGGATTTAGGACAGGAGTCTCTCCCAGCCCTACCTAGAGATGTTGGGGATTTGAACCTGAGACCTTCTGCATGAAGATACTCTACTAATGAGCTATGACCCACCCCCAGTTTGAACAAGACTGTACCATGTTGTTGTTGTTTTTACTGCAAAAGACTAACTCTGGAATCTCAACCCTGCAAGTTCTAATCTGTCCCCCCCCCCCCTTTTCCATTCTTTGCTTTCAGAATTTTGGGACACTTTATAGTAAGTTATACATAGTTTTGGGAACCCACTCCTTGGCAGGCTCAAGCTACTGAAATCCTGTTTGATCAGACTGCTCTCGACCTGTTCACTGGAGAGGACCGGATGTCACAAGAGGTGTTACTCTGCTTTATGATGATGTTGTTTGTGCTATTCTGAAGGAGTGCTGTAAGGGACAATTTGTGTAGGGTAGATGGTTAACACAGCTCCTCTAGGCAGGGGTGCTGGCTGGCTGGCAGGCTGACTGCATGGCCCCAGCTGGGCTGTGCATTGTGGAATTTGTCTTCCTCTGTAGCTTGCAAATTCTTGAGCACACTAGCTTTAAGAAAGGGTGGGTTGGGGGAGAGGGTTTCTGGTAGAGCTGTCCATGGAGTTAAGAAAGCTTAGTTGCCTAGTCATCCACATTTAAAATTCTGTTCCTTCAAATATGCATTATTTTAAAACTCCTAGTGATGTAAGCGCGATAACTTAGAATTTCAGAAAGAAGCCCTTTCCTTCAGCTTGTTTCATTTCCCTACGGCAGAAACAACCAGAACCAAAGTAGCCTGAGAAAAAGCAACACTAACTTCCATTACTTCACAGCCCCTCCAGTTATGTCTTCCTAAATTTAAGGCTGGACTGCTGTCATGTGTTTAGGTAGGCTGCTCTTGCTGACAACTTAGAGGCTTCAGCCAGTGCAAAATGCTGAGACCCTGCTTTCTGAAGGAGGTTTTTCATGTGGAGCACACGATAACCAGTGCTTCAGTGCCTTTGCCAGCTCCTTGTTGGCTTCTGAGACCAGTAGAAGACGCTGGTTAAGAACACTAATTCCCTAATAGCCTGAGCCCCGCTTACATCAGAGACTACCTCCCCTCCTCTCTTTAAGACCACCCCCACCTTACCTTTTAAGACCAACCAGCAATGTTCTCTTAAGTACACTGCATACTGTATCAGGTTGGCCGTGCCGGGCACAGAGCTGCTCTTAGTGTTTGAATTCTATTCCTTTGATATTTGCCAAAGCCTCAGTCTGTGTGTCTTCTGGAAAGGCTGTGAAACAGTTGGTTGACCCTAATAAATATTTTATTGGAAGCGGTCTGAGTGCCCTCTCCAAGATCCTAGCTTTTGATGGTCAAGGTAGGGTATAAGAAGTGCATGGTTAGATACTCTTAAGATGGAAATAGGATGGGCTAGAAGTCCACTGGGTGCTTTGCCTCGCAGTCAGCCCATGGCTCTGCCATTTGGTTTTGGATGTCGTAGTGAAGCAAAGCAGCTGATGTAACACTAAGACCACATTTGCACAGCTCAGATGAATTGACTCTTAAGGCTGCACTCCTAAACTCCTTTACCAAGGAGCAGTTCCCAGCGGGGCTAAACCTCTGAGGAGCCATAGCATAGGATTGCAGTGTAAAGATGCTTGAAGTCCTGCATTTTTCCTGGGAATCAAAAGTGAGGAGGTAGCCAAAGCATCTGTTGGAAAAAGGAGCACCTGGTCTTTCTTCAGTGGTTTTTCTTGGTTGCCAGGGAAGGAGCTACTCTTCCCCTCTTCCAAGACTGCTTCTTGCCAACCATTCCTCCCCGAATATCTCCAAATGGTGTACCTCGTTTGCTCATGTGAACACGGCCAAAATAACTTATTCTGCTGAGTGCTAGTTCTCAGTAGGGTTTTTCACAACTGCTTTCTTTCTTTGGAAAGCAACCTCCTAGCTTTATAGGCACATAAAATGCCTTGGTGAAGGTAGCAGCCCTTGCTCGTTCACTGCAGCTTCTTCTCTGCCTCATTCTCCCTTTCCCTGAAATTGGAGCCAGGAGCAGCAAAAAAGGGAATTGCGTGTGGGTGTGTGCCTGTTGAAATAAGCACAGCCTTTTCAGCCTACCTCCTCATCCTACCCTGAATTATTCTTTCCCTGACTTGAGATTTTGATACAGCGTTTTTTTTTTTATGTATTTTGTTAAAGCTTTGTAAAATTGGGCTAGAGTGATCTTTTTTTTGGCGTGTGTGTGCGTGGGTGGACTGCGAGGCTCTGCAGGAGGATATCTTTAGCCTTCGCAGTCCCTGCCCTGCTGGGTTTGGTATGATTTCCATCATCAGTATTACACGACACTTTGGACACATGTTGTTGTTTTTGTATTACATGGGAAATCCTTCTTGTCTTGAAAACAGAATAAACAATTGCATACTTCCATTCTGGTCTTCGTAGTTTGGTCTGGTGATTCTTGAGAAACAGTTTCCGCTTGGTAAATGCTTTGCTTCTCTTGTACTGACCAGCTGTGTGTGTGTGTGTTTTGGCTGGGAAGTGGCATTTCTGAGCAGCTGGTTGTGTGTGGTGGGAGTGGGTTGATCAGAACCGAATTAGATGGCTTCTAAACCACAACAATTGGGCTCGCTTTGCAGTCATTTCATCAAAGGACATTGCTGGTGGGAAATGTGGAAAAGCCAAATGGTGCTGTGTGTGTGTGTGTGTGTGTGTGAGAGAGAGAGAGAGAGAGAGAATGCTTGGGGCATTTTGGGGTATTTTACCACCATTGGGGTATGTAGGTGAATGTAGACACCCGAAAATCTATAAGAGAGCTTCCTTCCATTGACCTTGGAAGACATTATCCAATAATGAAAGTAGAAACAAAGCCAGAGCAGATATTTTAATATTTGCCTCCTCTCACTGGTCATGTTCTTTACATGTTAACTAAAAGTAAACAATAGATGAAGCTAAACACAGAATAACATATCAAAATAAGGCTTAACTTGGTAGCAATTAAGCTAATGGAAAATTAGCAATAATACAGTGGTGCCTCGCAAGACGAAATTAATTCGTTCCGCAAGTTTTTTCTTCTTGCGAGTTTTTCGTCTTGCGATGCACGGTTTCCCATAGGAATGCATTGAAAATCAATTAATGCGTTCCTAGGGAAACCGACTTCAGACCAGGTCCGGGGACAGTCTGTCCCCGACCTCTTCTGAAGGCTGGGGGGGACAAGGGCTTTTCTTCCCACCCCCAGCATTTTAAAAACCCGGGACAGCGGAGAGCTTCTCCGCTGTCCGGGCGATCTTAAAATGCTGGCGGGCGGCATTTTAAAATTGCCCGGGACAGCGGAGGACTTCTCCGCTGTCCGGGGCAATTTAAAGCCCCTGGGAAGGCAGGCAGGGGGACAAAGACTTTTGCCCCCGCCAGCCTTCAGAAGAGGTCCTGGACCTCTTCTGAAGGTTGGCGGGGGCGAAAGTCTTTGTCCCCCCACCTGCCTTCAAAAGCTGTCCAGCCAAGGCTTCGCGGACCTCTCCGCAAGCAGCGGCAGCACTGCCGCTGCTTGCGGAGAGTTGCCGGCATGCCGAAGCCTGCGCGCGCTGAGATCAGCGCGCCCAGGCTTCGCGGACCTCTCCGCGAGCAGCGGCAGCGCTGCCGCTGCTCGCGGAGAGTTGCCGGCATGCCGAAGCCTGGGCGCGCTGAGATCAGCGCGCCCAGGCTCGCGGACCTCTCCGCGAGCAGCGGCAGGCGCTGCCGCTGCTCGCGGAGAGTTGCCGGCATGCCGAAGCCTGCGCGCGCTGAGATCAGCGCGCCCAGGCTTCGCGGACCGGAGATTTCCCTATGGGCTTTCGTCTTGCGAAGCAAGCCCATAGGGAAATTCGTTTTGCGAAGCGCCTCCAAAACGGAAAACCCTTTCGTCTAGCGGGTTTTTCGTCTTGCGAGGCGTTCGTCTTGCGGGGCACCACTGTAATAAAAAATGGCTAAACCTGAGCAGCTAGGTAGCGCCAGTAATCTGAGGTCTGTGAAGAACCAAGAGTAAAACAGCACCTTAAAACAACTTTTGTTGTGCAATAAGCTTCCTTGCTTAGCCTTCAAGGGGAGTCACAGGAAATAAAATAATAATACAGTCATGTATTATTGCACCTCTTGCACCTCTACAACGAGCCATGGGGGCAAATAAAATAATAATAGTCATACCTCAGGATGAATACACTTCAAGTTAAGCATTTTTGGGTTGCGCTCCACGGCGACCTGGAAGTAACGGAGCGCGTTACTTCCAGGTTTCGCCACTCACGCATGCGCAGATGCTCAAAATGACGTCACGCGGTGAAACACGACCCGCGCAGTCGCGTGTTACGTTCGCATCCAGAGGTACCACTGTAATAATAAACCTCTCTTTTCTTATATCTCTGCTGGAAATTCAGATAAACTTTGTGTAGCACCCACACACACCTTGATAGTGACTGGATTCAACTAAAATGCATCTCCTAAGGTTGCAAGCAGACAAGTTTCCAAAAAGATAAAAAGAAGCTTCTCAGTTGCACTATTACCCACCCACCCCTTTAAAAAAGCAATAGTAAAATGGGCAGCCCTGTAGGTTAAGAAATAAGAGATGCAGAGACACCTTCCCCATGATGGAGGGCTGCATATCTGATGCCCCATCTCTAAAGGGATGCATGGCCTTGATGCTATCGTGCAGAAAGACATCCCTTTTCATTTATGTTCCAATGACTGAAAACATTATGAAAGAGCTAGTTTGGCATGTCCCCACAGGAGCTAATTCCAGTTCACGTGTGTCCAGTTCAGTTCAAACTCATCCAAATGATCCTCAGCAACATTTCTTCAACATTCGGAATATTAGAAGCTGCTATGCTGAAGTGTAAGATATACTCAAGAAGACTGAGAAAACATCAAAGCACACACATGGTGGAATGTGAATGGCTTAATTGCCCCCCCCCCGCCAACGACAATTATAGTCTTTAAGCTCAAAGGCCCAAAGATTCTAAAGTGTAAGAGGAGATGAACTGGAAACTGAAGTTTCATTGGGAAACAAATTTGGTTTACCTGGCAGTTATGAGAACTACATTCAGGTACAGTCGAGAAATCTTGGACTAATTTGGTGAACTTTGTTAAACTGGATTAGTTCATTCCAAGTTCTGGACTGTACTGCAACAAGGAACTTGTGGGAGGATTGCGCCAAAGCTATAATGTGGTTGGGCTTGCTTTGCTTCTGAAATTATATCTGAAGAGCTGTCACGTGACACAAGCTTGTTTACTGCTGTCCCCAAAGGGCAGGACTCGAACCAGTGAATTCAAATGACAAGAAAGCGGAAGAACTTTTTGGCAACAAGAGTTGTTTGACAGTGAGACTGTGGTGGACTCTCCTTCCCTGGAGCTTTTAAAGCAGTTTGGATGGCCATCTGTCAGGGACTATTTAGCTGTCATACCTGCATTCCAGGAATTGGACTAGATGACTCCTTGGGTGCTTCTCAACTCTCTAATTGTATGATTCTATAATTTAGATATAGACAAGAAATTTCTTTCAAAGGACTGCCCTCGTGTGGCTGTTTAGCAGGCTGCTAGAGTGGGAAATGATTGTGTTTTCTACTTCATGAAGCCACAGCATGGGACTCTAGCTAAGTGAGAGGCTGGGAAAACTGGAGTGGGTCTAAGTAATTGTGGTTGGTTTTTTACTTATTTATTTTAAAAAATACGTTTATCTTTTCGTGTAAAATTTTGCAACCACTCAGAAAAGAGTTCTGCTCTAGGGTTTGGGGCATCTAGTTGTGGCACCTTAGGGTAGCTTTGGCTGTGCTGTCCTAGCACAGTTACACCAGTCACTTTGGCAATCAGCTGGGAGAAAAGAGTTGGAACATGAATGTGTGCAGGGAAGTTAGTGTGTAGATGCACATAGGCTGTGCATCTACAAAGCTGCCTTCAGACGAGACAACTTTGCAGCCTAAGGAAAAGAAGTAGTCACTGGATTGGTTCAACCTGTTGCCAATAAACACTGTACAGGATGCTGATTGGTATGTGCGCAAGAGGTTTCTGGTGGGCGGGGTTTCTGGTGTGGGAAGAGAAGAATGTTGACCTCCGCACAGCAAAATAAAATAAGGGAAACAGCAATTCCAAAACTAAACCACTCCAAAGGCTCTGAAAAAACCTTCTTTGCTGAAGCACTCAGGGAAATGTGTAAATATCATCACTCTTCAAGCAAAGCAACAGTCATTTACTATCTCCTACAGGAAATAGGAAATGATCATTTTCTCTGAACACAGAAATCTGTCTTACAGCTGGTAAGAGTATCTGCCCACTCCAGGGATGGAGTGTGGGGACTCCATCTCCCATTATGCTTACCCATGGAGGCCAGGCCGCCTGGGACTGATGGGACCTGGAGTGCAGTAACATCTGGAAGGCAACAGGTTCCCTAACCTGGTCTACTCTCACTGGATCCCCAGAATGTTGGGCAGAATCAGTGGCTTGTCTCCAACTCAATCCTACTCAGAGTAAACCCACTGAAATTAATGGCCCTAAGTTAGCCTATGTTAGCGTGAGTAGAACTGACATCAGATACAACCCAGAATCCTGCTATGTAATTATATATTTTTTAAAAAGCTGGATGTGGCAAGAACAGTTACACAGCTCCAATGATGGTGATTATACGGTAGACCCACAATTTACGCACATTTAATTTGTGCGCATTTAGCTTTATGCAATTAAAAAAAATAAAATACAATGCAAAGGGGACGGGCATCCGGGGGTGGGGGGTGTGTGGAAACCTTGGCAATCCCACCCACCGTTGCACCCAATGGGTCTTGACCAGGGGTCGGCAAACTTTTTCAGCAGTGGGCCGGTCCACTGTCCCTCAGACCTTGGGGGGGGGGGGGCTTGACTATATTTTGAAAAATATAGTCCATTTAATTTAATAAATGAATGAATGAATTCCTATGCCCCACAAATAACCCGGATTTTAAATAAAAGCACACATTCTACTCATGTAAAAACACCAGGCAGGCCCCACAAATAACCCAGAGGTGCATTTTAAATAAAAGGGCACATTCTACTCATGTAAAAACACGCCTTAGTTTGCCTACCCATGGTCTTGACTATTTTAAATTTTGGCTTTATGCACTAACCCCCAGGTAAGTTGCAGGTCTGCTTCACTGGAAACAAACTGGCAACAATACATTTTCAGAAGTACTTCAATAAATGGGTTTCTTAACACATTTTGAAGCCCCCCCCCTTCCACACACACACCACACACAAGCTACCCAAGCTGCTCCTTAATGTCTGACCAGCAAAGTTGGGACATTTTGTGGTGGTCTTTTGATAATGGGCTTTACCAATCCCCACTGGTCTCAGGGTGGCAGAGGTGCCTACTCAACTGCAGTAATAGCACTTAGAGCAGTGTTTCCCAAACTCCCCCCACCCCCATAAACAACTTTGAAAATGATTGTGGACACCCTAATCATTCTTCTGCCTGTTGCAGCAATTGTGTTGCATGATGCAAATGCTGTATGATTTTTAATTCTATTTTTACAGTCATGCCATGGACTACCTGGATGAAGCTCTTGGACAATAGTTTGGGGACCCCTGAACTGGATAGAGTGTTGGTAGTACACAAGTGCACCCTGTAGGGAATTCCCTGGGCGGCGCTTGGACACTGCAGGATATCAGGAGTTATCTTTTGCGGGGCTGGGTATGTTTACACTCGCCCCAACATCCGCGCTACCCACCAGTTGCACGGCATGATTACACGGCAGATGACCCTCCCTCCTTGGTAACAGTAAGGGTAGGGGTAATAGCCTAGGAGAGGCTCACACACCCTCTGGCAGTATCGATGGGCACGGCGGCACTGGGCACAGCAGTATCCTCTCTCGTCCCACAGGGGATGGAACTCCAGTCCATTCTGTGACTGAAAGGGGAAAACAAGGAGGGCAAAAAGGCAGGAAATAAATCTCATTTGTACAGAAGGAAGAAAGGGCAGACATATCTGGGAAGGGGCCATCGTTAGTGATGGGCAAGTCTCTTAAATTCCATGCCTCATTTCTCCAATCTTAAATTCAGTTTTTTCACATTTCCACATCTGTTTGCAATTTTTTTTAAAGGCCAAATGAAAACCCATCCCCAATACATACCACATTTTTACTGTTATTTTTGCTAACATATGCATTTTCATGCACACTTTACCCTAGTATATACATTTTTGTACACATTATGTGGCAGGAGATTTGAATTGCAACATTTGGAGGGATGCAAATTTCAGAGGAGGGCTGTGTTTTGGTTCAGAAAGTGCCACTATGCAGGTCTGCCTTTAAATGCAAATTGAGTTTAATTTCTCCTCCATCCCTAACCCATAGCATTTAATGCCTTGTTTCTGGTAAAGCAGAGTGCACAGAGACCTATGCTGTGTGGCTGTATATAAATTTAATAAGTGAATAGAATAGCAACACCTGGAATAACAAAGGTTCCCCATCCTTGAGTTGCTTCCTCAATGTTTCCTCCTCAAGAAGTTCAGTCCCAGAGCTCAGTGATGAAAATGGCTTGATCCCAAAGACTTATGTCAGGGATCACCAACATGACACCAACAAGCCCCATTGTGCTCACTAGTACTTCTTATGGCACCCTCGAATGGTCTCAGTAAACACCCCCTCAAAAATCCACAATGCACAAGGGACGGTTGGCCCTTCCTGCTCAGTTCCTGTTTGCACTGGCTCAGCCTCTCCTGTATTGAACGTGTCCTCATCATTGGATACAGGGATTAGACACCCACCCTTCTTTCCATTCTGGATGGAAGAGAGGTGCAAAGAGCTTCCTTCTGTGACCAAGCTTTTGTGGTGGCTAATATTGGTGCCTTTTTAAAAAAAAATAATTGATGGTGATGAGATCATTGTGGTCCTGTCCCTTCCCTCTCATTTAGATGTGGCAGCCATTTAGTGCTACTTCATGCCACGTGTTCCCCAAGCAGCCATTTTGTGACTGCTGCCCACAGCACTATCTTAAAAGTCTAAATATGCTCATGGGCCTCAAAAGGTTGGCTACTCCTGACTTACGTAATCATTCACAGGGAAATCCTCTTCTGTGAGCTGCCGGGCCTGACGTTTGGTACTTGGTCTTGCATCCTTAGCCAAGTGCTGCTCTTCCTTTTCCTCCTGATGTCTAGCCCAGTCTTGCTTCTCTCTCAGAATCGGATCGTCTTCCTCCTCCTCCTGACCTTCATTTTCAAAGTCAAGAAGTTCTGGCTCTGAGAGGCAGAGACAAACAAGTCACCATGAATTACTTTTCTGGTGGAAATTAAAGTGGTTTATGGCTTACCGCTGGAACCAGTTGTGTGCTAATTCATGCATAAGAGCACCTTGACAAACTGTCATTGACAGATCATACAGAACTGTGCTTAAATGGCAACTTATGTGTCTGGATTTTTACTTTTAAAAATATATACATGTCAAACCTATTTTAATGCCTGTTCCAGAGAAAACCAGTGTCTGAACACCACCATTACAGGACTCTAGTATGCTAGCAACCATAAGATAGCTCTGTATTTCGGTGATGCCTCCTTTTCAAGTTGCAAAAGATTCTTCTTTCCTCCCTGGAACACACGGAAGCTGATAAGGAAACACAGGTGAGCTTTGCACAGGGCAAAAACATGACCAACCATACTGCAGTTGATGTCAGTATGTCTGAATTCAGTTTTACTGTGGACCAAAGAAGAGTGTCTTTATCTGCACTGGTAGGCTGCAGGTTCGTCAACATGCTACAAAGAGGAGAATAAATGGCCTTACCTCTTAATAAGGTCGGGTGGATCCAGTACACAGTCACGTTTTTGCAGAGCTCAAAGATCTTGGAACCTTTCAGGAAATCTTTATTTTCAATAGGCTTCTCCCCTGGAATCCAGACTACAGACTGCTCAAAATAGGTATCTGTAATTTCCTCATCCTGCAAGAAATTTTTTAAAAATGTATTTTTCTTCATTTGTTAACCTAGAGAAACAATTTCATAGAGCTGTATTTCCCATACATTTCATATCCGGGGCACTATTATTTTGGACTAAAACTGGAGGCACACCTCACTCTTTACTAAAAAAAACACACATCATATTGGTGTTTTCTTGATTTGTGTCCAAGATACTTCATTGGTATCCTCCTTGCAGCTTTGCAGGTTGCTCGGATAAAGTTGCCACTCAGTGTTCTGCCTTCCACTTTGCCCAGACATAATGGACAGGAGAGGAAGCTGCCTGACTGAAATGCGTATCTATATCCCACAGTGGGCGACTAGATCCCTCCAGGAAACCTTATAAATCCAATGTTTCCTACTTGGAGGCCCCATTGTTCCCACCACGGCTAAAAATGTAGCCTCTCTCCTAGAAGGAGGGCTTCTTTAATACACCATTCAGAATCAAACTGGTCCCATGAAGAAGGTCCCAGATTCAGTCTTTGGAATCTCCTGCGAAGGCTAAGAAAGAACACTGCCTGAAACCCTGGAGAGATGCTGCCAATCAGGGACAACAAAAATAAGCTAGAATCAGGGGTCAGCAAGGTTTACCTTACCTGGGCTGGTTCACTCCAACGGAGAGCCCTCCATGGGTCGGATTGCACGTGCGCGTGAGCGCGTGAATCAGCGATTTCCAGTGTCTGTGCAGACACGATTTCCAGCGCCGTGGAAGCAAGTCCCCACGCGCTATGCTGGTTTAGTGCAGCGTGTGGGGACTCACCAAGCGGGGGGCTCGGTTCGGGGGTGGCTCGGGGGCCAGTTAAACAACCTCCGTGGGCCACTTGTGGCCCATGGGCCTTAGGTTGCCGGCCCCTGAGCGAGATGGACCAATGCTCTGACTCAGTATAAGGCAGATTCCTCTGTTTCTATGCATCTTAACTATTTTGACAAGCTGTGGAATTTGGGTTAAAATATTTCATTTAGCCCTTCAGTTCTGCCACTGGTTTAGCTGGACCAGTTTCATCTCTGGAACTAATTCCATCTGGACTGCTTTAGTTAGGCCCCAGTTTGGCATTTAACATATGCTGTGAGTATATCTGCCTGGTCTGTGAGAAATTTAAAAGCTAATGGGATTACTCTCGGTCTGTACTTTCCATGCTGTTATAATCTCTGGCTGCCCTGGGTCTTATTTAATTCAGGGAGTTATTCATTTTTGCATACTTCCAGCTCCTCCATGTCCACGTTGGATGTTTCAGGAATCCCTTTAATCTGGTTTCGGATGAAGCACTTCGGGTCTCCCACAAAAAAGATGCCTGTTATTCCCTAGTGGAGCAGGGGAAAAAAGTCTGGTGAAGAGAACTAAATACATAAAGTCCTGCAGTCATTGTATGGGTATAGTTTAATGCAGGGTAAGATACACCATTTCATATTTCAATAAGGTGGGCACTGGATTTTATTGATGGGGCCAAAAGTCTAGGCAGCATATAAATACTGACCATAGTATGTGGTTCTTTCCCTGCAACGAATATATAAAAAATAAAAGCAATATGAAACAAACAATATTTTTATTGTGTGGTTTCTATGCTATGTTTTCATAGGGCAATAGCACATCCTGATGAGCACCTCCTTCCCCTGCTCCTGTCCCCCCCTTTGCAAACTTTCATTGCATAATGGCTAATATTCCTGAGCTAGAAGTCAGGAAGCCTTGGGTTCAAATCCCACTTATGCAGTAATCTCACTGGTTGGTTTGTCTGACAATCAATCAGATCTAGTCTGCCTCCCTCTTGCAATACTCAACTACTTTACAGGCTTATAGTTCACGTGCAAAAGTTCAGTCTTGCAATGGTAAAGATGTGTCTCTAGAAAATATGTGAAGTGCTTTGGAAACTCCCAACGAGTACTCTATATAAATGCTTCGTTATTACTGCAAGTGGGACGTACAACAATGTGGTATTTTAGTCTCAGCCTGGGGAGGCTGCATCCTTGTATACTGGAGGAAGGGGAATTTAACAAAAACTTCATGGCACACATCTCTACAAGCTCTTCTTGGCTTCATCAGGTCAATTCTCTCCCCCCCTCGCCACCCAATTCCTCAAGTTTCTCCCTCCCCCAACACCTCAACATTCTCTAAGTCCTAAAAGCTTATATGTGGTTGTCAGGCTTTTATTTTTAAAAATCACATACTCTTGTACAGTGGTGCCTCGCAAGACGAAATTAATCCGTTCCGCGAGTATCTTCGTCTAGCGGTTTTTTCGTCTTGCGAAGCAACCCTATTAGCAGCTTAGCGGATTAGCGCTATTAGCGGTTTAGCGGCTATTAAAGGCTTAGCGGCTTAGCTGCTAAAAGGCTATTAAAGGCTTAGCAGCTTAGAAAAAGGGGGGGGGCAAAAAAAAATCTCAAGACTCACAAGACATTTTCGTCTTGCGAAGCAAGCCCATAGGGAAATTTGTCCTGCGAAGCGCATTGAAAACGGAAAACCCTTTCGTCTAGCGGGTTTTCCGTCTTGCGAGGCATTCGTCTTGCGGGGCACCACTGTATATGTACTTAATACACAGTGATTCTCCACTACCTTATTTTGGTTGGCACTCAATTCATGTGAGTTCACTATCAGTATACCATAGTCGTTAAATCATGGGATGTTCATTGAACTGTTTATAACAATTGGCTTTCAGTGTGCAGACCCAGTGAGTTTTTTTAGAGGTGCATGTACACTTCAGGAATAACTCCACAATCTGTCCCTGAAAGGTTCCCCAGAAAGTGAAAATGCCTCACTCGGTACTCTGTTATGTTTGGTCTACCATAATTGGGGGCAGAAATGACAGTACATACATTTTTGAAGTCATGTATTTCCAGAACCTCCTTGTTGCCCTTTCCAGTTTGAAAGATCTCTGTCCTGGTTAGAGGGTCTATCTTCATCAGTATCTTCTGCTTCTCTCCTTCGCTGAAAAATGTGTGCTCCATGTCATAGATCTGTAATGACAAAGTGGGAAGAGGGAGGAGAAATGCAGAGGGAGTAATGGCTGTGTTTCCCAAAGACCTAGGATGTCCTTTGCAAACAAGCGAACATTTCCTGCTAGCCAGCTTACTAGTCTGGTTCTTGAAATATCTCTGCCAATGTAACCTGTTACAAGCCCTCACTTAGTCCTCAGTGTTCAGATATTCCAGGGCAGGCAGAGATACCCAGTTTATTTTTCCTTTGGATGAGAGAAAACTGGAGCCTTAAAGTAAAGGTAAAGGTACCCCTGACCATTAGGTCCAGTCGCGGACGACTCTGAGGTTGTGGCGCTCATCTCGCTTTACAGGCCGAGGGAGCCGGCGTTTGTCCGCAGACAGCTTCCGGGTCATGTGGCCAACATGACCAAGCCGCTTCTGGTGAACCAGTGCCGCACACGGAAACGCCGTTTACCTTCCCGCCGGAGTGGTACCTAATTATCTACTTGCACTTTGACGTGCTTTCATACTGCTAGGTGGGCAGGAGCTGGGACCGAACAATGGGATCTCACCCCGTCGTGGGGATTCGAACTGCTGACCTTCCGATCGGCAAGGATACCCCATTGCAAAAGAGTTTCTGCACCTTTAATAGTTGTGTAGAAAAGGGAGTTTCAGCAGACGTGACTTCCTATGCAAGCTGTACCTGCTGGGATTTTCTGCACAACTATTAAAGATGCTGGAACATAAGAAGGAACATAGGCCTTATACAAAGTCATTGCTCTATCTGCCTTGATGTTGTGTACAATGATTGGCAGTGGCTCTACAAGATTTTAGGCATGGGACATCCCAGCATTGCCAGGTATGGCAAGGAGATTGAATTTGGTATTGATGCTTTGCCTTGCCTTCTTTTGCACTTGGGCATCTAGCTATATCTTTGCAACAACAGCAAAAGCAGCAACAATTCTGTTTACAAATATATGAGCAGGACACCAATGGGAGAATAGTGGATGCTTCTCCAAGGTCATAGTTCTATAGCACTGCACCTTGGGGAAAAGACATTGAGCCAATTGGGAGCAGGAGAAGATAGCAGCTTTGGGAGATGGAAGGTTTAAATGAGGGGAAACTGCTTGTGGTGAAAGAGCCAAGACCACTTCTAAAGCCACGCTCAAAGAGGTAACTACGAATGGGCAGAATGGTCAATTTCAGTATCAGTTTCTCATTTTCCAGTCTTAAATTCTGTTATCCACATTTCTGCATCAGTTTTCTGAAGCCAAAATGACATGGACAAGAATTGACCAAAAATGGGTAACTAGAGGAATGGCACCAAAGACAAGAAAAGTGGAAATCTGCCCAAAAACCTGCTCCGACCATAATGCTGTCAAGATGAAAATGAAACTAACACCAACTGGCTCCTTTAGATGGAGGATGAATGACACCTTATTTAGAGATGAAGAAGTGCTAAGAAGGCCCAAAAACCTTGAGAGACTATTTTGAGATAAATATGAGCACCAATGTGGAAAAAGAGTAATCTGGGACGCAAGTAAAGCGGTTATGAGAGGGTTCTTGATACAACAGAATGCATTAAAGAAGAGAATCCAAAATGAGAAGAAGGATAAAATATTGGAGAAAATAAAGGAAAGTGAAAAAGATTGAGAACAAAACCAAAGTCTCAAGAGATTTTGAGAGAAATAAAGTTATATCAAGTGCAATATATGAAAATGATGAATCAGGAGATAGAATGGAAAATTAAACAAATGAGACAAAAGACATTCGAGTCGGCTAATAAATGTGGGAAATTGTTGGCTTGGCAAATGAAAAAAAGACAAAAATTAAATACAGTTACAAATTTAGAAGTGGAAGGAAGGAATATACAGAACCCAGCTGAGATTAGAGCCAAGACCACTTCTAAAGCCACACTCAAAGAGGTAACTACGAATGGGCAGAATTGTCAATTTCAGTATCAGTTTCTCATTTTTCCAGTTTTAATTCTGTTATCCACATTTCTGCATCAGTTTGTGGATTGGGAAAAAAATCCTCAAGAAAAATTACCAGTGTTTTCTTACTTGTTTCTTCCAATATGGCACATTTTTTGGTATGAAGATTTGACCAATGTACACATCTTTGCAAGCCATTTTCCTCAATATAATGCACAGTTGTATTTTGATTTTTAAAAGTATGCATTTTTGTACATATTGTTTGGTTGGAGAACTACAACACCAAATTCAGCATGTTGCTGATGTTGAAGGATAATTGTGATTCGGTTTGCCTGTTGATTTGAAAAGTGCATTCAGGTGTGAACAAAGTTGAGTTTCTACCCCATCCGTACTGGCAACTACTGTTTCTCTCACAGAAAGTGCCAAGCACTCATCTCAGACACCAACCATGCAGGTGATTTGCCCGTTCATGTGGCATGACCATTACCACTGTAAGCGTGAAGGTTCTCTCATGGGAAACCAGAAGTTATTTTGGACAAAACCATAGCAATAGTAACCTGAGCACATTAGGAAAATGGATTTTGCAGTATGGAAAGTTTAAGGTGAGGTCTTGGAAAGGAAGAACGTGCTAGGGATCCTCCAGGAACAAGCTGTGCTTCAGATTACTTGCAGTGGCATCTGAAGAAAATTTGGGAAAGGATCTTGAAATTCCAGTCTTTACACATGGAATCTGTGTTTTTTATTTTAATGACTTTGGCAGTGTCCACATCTGAAGCTATTTCTTAAAGAGAGAGAGAGAGACCTCATGCAAAGTTCTAAATCAGAGGGTAGGATTAATGATGAGAAATGTCAAAGAGATTACAAGTCTCCTAAAATTGCCATTCCTCTGTAGTTAGCAAAAATCTCATTTATTATTTGTTTGTTCATTTGTTAAATTTGCTTTCTACCTTTTCAATAAATGTCCTCTTATAATAAGGTTCAGATATTCTGGGGAAAAAAACCCTTGTGGTACTGTTTCATCTTTTTCCTACTCTATGCCACAAGAAATTCATTTATGGTGTCAGTTTTCTCTAGAGGAGAGGGAGAGAGAGGGAGGGGCAGGCTCTTGTGGTGTGTTTCTGTTTACAGATGTTCAGGTTGAGCAGGTTTTACTGGAGTTGGGGGGGGGAATCACCACATCCATAATGGCACTTGACCTGCCTTTACCCATCTCCCAAATTTTCTTGGGTCCCACATTTCCTCAAACTGTTGCCTTCTGGCTCCCCTTCTGCTGAGCCTCCATGAAAAATCTGGTTTATTTTATCTATTTCAAAAAATTATACATCGCTTGATTGCAAAAAACAAACAAAACCTCAAGGCAGTTTACAAAAAGAATAAAAAAGTAAAATGCCCAGTAACAAAAGTTCATAACGAATATTTAAGACATTCAAAAATAATTAAAATCAATGATAAGCTAAAAAAAACAACACAGAGTAAAACCCGCGTCAATATTCTACATGTCTAGGTAGGCTTGCCTCAACAAAAATGTTTTTAGCAGGTGCTGAGAAGAGTATGGTGAAGTCTCTAATTCTCATTCTGGCAGATGGGTGTTGTGACTCTTATTCCAGATACTTGGAAAAGCTCATTGTTCGTTCTCATCAATTGATCAGGCGCCACCAAGTCTGCAAGCGAGAGCCACTTTGCGTTTCAGAATGCTCTGATTCATAGCAGCTCTTTCCGTTTGCGAACTGTTGTTGTTCACCTTCCGCACAAATATTGGAGGGAGAACGAAGCTACAGGGTATTAGGTAGGACTCTGGGCTCAGTTGTCCTACTATACCTGTAGCCCTTTCAAGACAGTACTGTCAAGTCACTTATTCCAGAATTTGCCCAGCACGCCCCTGCTGTTATTTGGGAGCCCTCCTGCTCGTTTTGCTGAGACATCTGTCCTCAAGCCCTACCTTTATGGTGCCACTGGCACCCTAAGTAAACTTGGAGTTAAAGATCAAAGGTCTGTGCTCTGTCAGCAGGCTAAGACGATGCTATGACAAACAGGGCAATGACAAACATGGGAGCGCATGGCCCCCCAAAGAGAGTCCAGGGCCTTTTCATGTACGCGTGCTTGTTGAAACAAGGATGGAAGTTGTTTTCTTTTCAAGATGTTTTGCTTCTTGTCTTTATTTGGGTTTGCAAAAATTGGCATTGCATTAGAAATCCAGCCCTGGTGCAAGTTTGTTTATCCTGGAAGTTGCTTCGGATGGCTGGACGAATAGTTGTTTCCTGATATCACAGGGACAGAGGGGAGTGAGAGGAGAGAGGTGCGTCGTAGTTATTTAAAACACCCTCATCCCTCTGTATCTGTATGCATTTTTAAAATGCTGTAGGATGTATAATTATTGGTGACATTATGCACATGTGGGATTGCCGATTAGTGCTGCTTAATGAGAGCTGCGGGGCTAGAATGCTATTGTGCCCGCCCACAACAATTAATTACAGTGCTTGAGGAGGGGGAGGGTGGCGAAGTCTTAAAATGCTGCTTTTTTGTTAAGTTCTGCCTCTGTGGAAAGAATTCGGTTGAGGTAGGTGGCATTTGTTCAGCTTGTGTTTGTTTAATATCCTTTCCCAATAAATCCCAGTCCCGTCCTTTTAAAAAAAAAGGTTTGCTTGTCTGTGTCTTAGTATTCTCTCCCATTCCCCACATTTTGGCTCTAAGGTTTATTTAGCACTGTGTCTGCTACGCCTTGTGTGTGTCTTGTGAATACATTGTACAGTCTGCTACATTATTACGATTACAGTGGTACCTTGGGTTACATACGCTTCAGGTTACAGACTCCGCTAACCCAGAAATAGTACCTCGGGTTAAGAACTTTGCTTCAGGGTGAGAACAGAAATCGTGCTCCAGCGGCGTGGCGGCAGCAGGAGGCCCCATTAGCTAAAGTGGTGCTTCAGGTTAAGAACAGTTTCAGGTTAAGAACGGACCTCTGGAACGAATTAAGTTCTTAACCTGAGGTACCACTGTATAGCGCTTTTCTCACTGTTACTATTTCCGCTTGCTAAGCAGCCACCAACCAGCAAGCATGACTACAGCCTAGTTTCATAGCACATACTTTCATCATCTCATCATTTCTAATGATTGTTGTTCGTGGCATCATAGAACTGTAGAGTTGGAAGGTACATGAGGGTCATCTAGTCCAACCCCCTGCAATGCAGGAATCTTTTGCCCAATGTGGGACTCAAACTCAGGACCCTGTGGAAACCAATACAGGCGTTTGCCACTGACTTCAAGTGGGACATGTGCGTTGTGTGAAATCCTTGCGCGCCGAAAGACGGCAGCGAGGCAGCCTGCGGCCGGGAAAAGGCGACAAAGGGACAGAGGGGGAGACAGAATGATGGGGTTAGGGAATGAGCTTGAGGCAGAGCCTGAGGCTGAGGTAAACCGGGCATGGCATTTCAGCCTCAGATTTGAGGACCTCGCCACCTGTTCAGTCAGTCCCTGCGTGCTGAGGTAAACCCAACGTGGCGTTTCAGCCTCGGACTTCGTCTTGGGTTCTGAAATGGCCGTGCAGGCCAGATTTAAGGCCCTGGTGGGCTGGATCTGCCCGCAGACTGTAGTTTGAGGACCCCTGCCTTAAAGTATTACCTTTCTTTCTTTTGAAAAAATACAACACATGGGGCTACCCATCTAAAATTTGTCAGGGTTAGCGCCCCCTACGGGGTATACCCTCCAACATTTCTCCAATGAAAATAGGGACATCCTAAGGAAACGCAGGACCATCTGGGTTCAAATCAGAAACTGGAATGACTTCTCTAAATCAGGGACATCCCAGGAAAATAGAGACATTTGGAGGGTCTGGTGGGGGAGCCATGTCCCAGATTTCATCCCCTGATGTCAAAAGGCAAGGAAGTTATGGCAGTTCTGGTTTTGTGATGGAAACCAATGGGATTTCTGGAGATCTGTATTTTCTGGATTACCATTTGGATTCAGGGCACATTGAATTGGGTCCAGATCAGTCTGGAATGAATCAAGACCAATCTTGAATTTAAAATTGGGGCCATGATTTGAATTGTGGTGGGGCATGCACAGCCCTGCTTTTTGCTATGTAAGAGGTTAATTTGATGGGGCCCTGCTGTCCTTGCCTCCTCTCTCCGCGTGGCAATAAAGGCTTGTTTGTGTGTGAGGTTTCATGTGAATGAGGGGGGGGGGGGGGCGAATAATATAGCCTGGAATGTGTGATTGCAGGAGATACTTTATTCAGGTCTAGAGTTCCAAATGCCCCTAGCCTGGGCTGCAAGCCCATTACCTTGATGGAATAAAAAGATTGTAGGCAAAATTTGAGAATGTTTATGCAGGCTTGTTTATGCAAGCTTATTTCCCTGTTTCTGGATCCTGAAAGATCTTCCAGGATTAATCAGAAGCAGAAGACGACCCCCCCCCCCCAAAAACACCAGCCTCTCTCTGTCAATTTGCAGTAGACCCTAATAACTGGGCTCTCAACTGAGCTCTAATATGTATCTGCTGCGTGGCAAAAGACTTTGGGGCTTTGATGTGTCTGGAATGAAAATGTCTTCTGCAGACCTAGCTTCTGAATAGCAGCTATTTATTGGAAGCAGATGTCGGACAATGAAGAAAGCAGCGGGCGGGCTGGCAGAAGCCTCCATTAAGAGCATTGTCAGAGTTGGGCTGCTTGCGAGATTGTGGCTAGCAAAGAAACTTCACTTGCCATCTCCTTAAGTATTTAAAAGTGAAGGCAGGGTGTGATTGCAGACAACTCCCAATTAACACAAAGGTTATGTTCCAAGGCACCATTGAAAAAGCTGTGGTGGAACAGGGGCTTGCTCCATCCACTCCATGCTTCAACCTGGTACAGTGGACGCTTGGGTTGCGAACGTGATCCATGCGGGAGGCATGTCCGTGACCCGCAGCATCTGCAACCCGCAGCGCCGTGTCTGCGCATGCGCGGGTTGTGATTTGGCACTTCTGTGCATGCACAAAGTGCAATCTAGCACTTCTGTGCATGTGCAAAGCACGATCTAGTGCTTCTATGCATGCGCGACCGCCAAAACCCAGAAGTAACCCATTCCGGTACTTGTGGGTTTCGGTGCTTCTGTGACCTGAAAAAACGCAACCTGAAGCATTTGTAACCCGAGGTATGTCTGTATTGCAGTACTTCCAGAAAAAGCCTGCAAACATCTTGTGACATTTTTGTGACATTTGCGGGTCATTTCTGGGTTTGGCGCAATGCACATGTGTGAGGTCGTGCACGTATTGGACATGCCTAAAACGGTTGCTGCCGGTATACTAAAACAAAGGAACGCTACTTAAAGACCATTATGGGATGCATCTGAGTGCGGGACTTGAGGATGACACTGTAAGTAACCAAACAGTTACACTTGGCTTATTGCAGTCAACTCTCTATTTGCAAGCCCAGTGAAGATAGGAAGTTGCCTTATGTCGAATTAGACAGCTGTCCAGCTCAGTACTGTCAACACTGGTCATATCTGCACCCTACATTTAAAGCACACAGCTTCTCACTAAGAATCCTGGGGACTGTCATTTGCTAAGGCTGCTGGGACTTGTAGTTCTGCAAGGTATAAACCACAGTTCCCAGGATTATTTTGGGGAAAGCCACGTGCTTTCAATATATATGGTGTGGATGTGACTACTGAATGGCAGTTGGACTCCAGGGTTTCAGGAAGAGGTTTCTCTAAGCCCGGCCTGGAGATGGCAGTGTAGTAGTGTTCCAGTTCATCTTGAACTCTGTACATGCCCTGTGACTGTGTGTGATTTGGCCTTGCGCTGAGTAATGAAATCTCTATGTTTTTAGGATGACATGCCCATCTCAGATTGGAGAAAGCATCGTCCCTCCAGCTGAAAGGAGAGTGGGCAGTCTGTGGGTGTGTGAAAAATAGCAGCCAGCAGTGTGAAGAAAGAGGGGCTGTATTTTGTAATGTTTGTTTTTATTTGCCAAACTAAAACACAAAATCGTAAGTTTCCAGTGTGCTCTCTTGTCCAAAGTAAACCACAGCCAGGTAGTGCTGTTCTCGTTCTTGTTGCTTAAGGAAGCAGGATAGCGGTGGCTGGGAAGGTATACTTGAAGCCACAAGGGCCAGAAACTTTTTCAAAAGACAAGACAGTGCAGACTTTTAGTACCATGCTGAATTAAGTGCCTATCAGAGAAGAGAAATCCATAAAATTCTAGGTGACAGTTGTCTGACCCCTTTGTCAACATACTTAAGGGACGCACTGAGGCTTGTGTGACTGTGGATTCTGCATCTTAATGTAATTTGGATTGCCAGGGTAAATTGAAACTATCACTGGAGCTGTTAGGTGAATATTCCAGCGTTTGCAAAGCCTCTTTAGCACCACACTTTGACACTGTGAGCCCCACTATGTTCCTCAGAGGTCCAAAGAAATGGCACAGAATCACCATGGTTGGCAAAGATGCAGTTCCTGAGGAATAATAATGTGATGGTGGTAGGTGGTGGCCTTTTGACATGCCTAGGAGCTTGAGTGTATGTTGTCCAATTCAAAGTACTGGTATTGACCTATAAATCCTTAAACGGCTCAGGACCACAATACCTCAAGGACCGCCTCTTTCCATATGAACCTACCGGGACCCTGTAGCCCTTCTTCATGTGCCCCCTCCATGAGAGTTCTGGAGGGTGGCAACATGAGAACGGGCCTTTTCTGTGATGGCTCCCCGTTTTTGGAATGCTTTCCCCAGGGAGGCTCGCCAAGCACCTTCATTAGATATCTTTAGGCACTTTCTCTTCTCCCAGGCCTTTGGCTGGTTAGCATTCTATGTCGTTTTAAATGTGTTTTGTGGGAGTGGAGGGGGGCTTATTGCTTTGTTTTTGTTTGTATTATGTCTTTTGTGTTCTTATCTTGTATTTATATGTTGTGAACTGCCCTGTGATCTTTGGATGAAGGGCGGTCTACAAATTTTAAAAATAAATAACAGACAAAGAAAGAAATCACTCATAGCAAAATTAAATGTACTAATGGCACCACCCACGTGGAAGAAGCTTGGGGAAACCTCAGCATAGATTGCAGAAGGGTAATCCCACAAATGGACAGAGTGCTAGGGCTCTGCTTGCAGCTTTCCCACAGGCATTCTGGCTGGCCACTGTGAGAACAGGAGGCTGGACTAGAGGGGCCATTAGCCTAATCCAACAAGTTATTTTTAGGTTTATGCTCTTATGCCTGTTGCTTAAAGGACCCCTGACCATTAGGTCCGGTCGTGGCCGACTCTGGGGTTGCGGCGCTCATCTCGCTTTATTGGCCGAGGGAGCCGGCGTACAGCTTCCGGGTCATGTGGCCAGCATGACTAAGCCGCTTTTGGCGAACCAGAGCAGCACACAGAAACGCCATTTACCTTCCCACCGGAGTGGTACCTATTTATCTACTTGCACTTTGACATGCTTTCGAATTGCTAGGTGGGCAGGAGCAGGGATCGAGCAATGGGAGCTCACCCCGTCGCGAGGATTCGAACCGCCAACCTTCTGATCGGCAAGCTCTAGGCTCTGTGGTTTAACCCACAGTGCCACCCGCGTCCCCTATGCCTGTTGCTTACGGTTGTCATAATACCAAAAGTGAAAATCCAGTCAAAGCATTTCTAAAGCATTATTATTTTTTGATTGCGCTGCTTGCCATATGTCCAGGTTTTCCTGGACATTTTTCTGAGTCTGCAAAAACTCACCCAGACGCCTTTTTCAGAGCCCGATTCCCATACGTATGGCAGCCCTACCATTGCATTTGATGTCCAGGGAGACATGAGATATAGAGATACCGTCCAGCTAACACAACTAATAGTTATTGATAATAAATTTATCCTCCATGCATTTGGCTAAACCTTTCACTTTGCACCTCCACCCACACATTACGATGCAATCCCCTGATTTTCTCTGTCTTCAGGGTATGAATACACAACCCCCTAGTCAGAATGCCAGATCTAAACCACAGCATCTAGGGCAAAAGGGGAAAGGAAGATTGTGTTTGCATCCACAACCCTATGCACGAGGGGGAAAGTCCTATGATAGTATGGCATCAGCTTATGGATGCTGTGTTTTTACATGCATGCATTTTTTTTTTTATAAAAGGGCTGCAACTCATAGGCAAAGCACCCAGGTAAGGATGGAAAAGACCACTGTCCGAAACCTCAGAAAGTTGCTGTCAGCCAACAGTACTGGACCAGATGGAGCAGTGGTCTGATTTGATATAGGGGAGCTTCCCATATAAGTATATGAATAAGCTCCAGCCCCGCCCCCCCAATGCCCTGCAAAATAGGTTAATAAAAGAAAATGCAATACAGCAGGTTTCCCCCTTCAATAGTCTTTTTTGGCTGCTTAATGCTGCAGGCACGGAACAGCACAGAGTAACCAACCACCCTCAAGATTTGGCTCCCTCTCCCTTAAAGTGGTGGCATAGTGGGTTTTCCACCAGTTTCTGGCAAGCTTATGGAAACAACATGAAAGCATTTATTCACAAATTTATTATGTGACCGCTACTATGAAGGAGATGGAATGCCTCTGTGGAAAGGATCCCATTATTAAAAAGCAAAGCAGGGTAAGCACCTATAACTTTGCGTAAAATCTACTTGAATAGTCTGTGTCCTTAAAATAATAAGAGAGGATATTTAGAAATACCAGGTAGATTTTAAATAAGTAATAAAATAAAATAAAATAAAAATTAAATTCAATGCACAGAATGCAACTTACTTTTTTAGGTGGTGGATTCCAAAAATAATAGACCCCAAGAAATGTCAGGATGACAGACAGCACTAGGCTGCAAAGCAACACCCCACAGATCTTGTACCTTTTGCAGAGTTCTTTCGTAGCTTTAGGTGTTTGTGCCTAATAGATAGAAAAGGGGAAAGTTAGAGAAAAGTCAGTTGTCGAGACAAGCTGTAATGTGCTGGGCATGCATGCTTTGAAAGACAGAATGACAGATCTTAGCAAGTAATTGAAGGCATTCACTAACCCACCCTGTAAAAAGGATAACAAAGCAATCAACCTACATCTTGGACGTAGAATTCCTCAGAGATCTCCTGGGGATCTTTCGCCATGGTGTTTCCTCCCTCTGCGTGAAATTTCCTTCTGCATGCAGAGAGAGATGGAGAGACCTCTGGGGCTGAGGTGGAGCCACACGATGCTTTGCCTCACATGGGTGTGTCGGGGAGGAATAACTCCCTCTTTCCTGGCTCAGGGTGATCGTAGTAAATGGTGCTTTTTCCAGTGTGTGGAATCTCATAGGGTGGGAGCGGTGGGAGTACACGAAGGCTGCGAGTTCCCATGCTGAGGCCGGCATAGGGTTAAGAGTGTATGTTGGGTGTGCGTGAGTGTGTGTGGCTTGCGCATTGAAACTGAGACCACAGAGGCCATGCGTTGGCTTTCTCTCTGAACTGGAAATGCTTGCAAATGTACCCTTTATGCACCTGCTGAAAATAGGTAACATTTTGCTCCTCCCTTGGTGACCGCTAGTTTCTTTCCTGTGCTGACTGAAGTCACATCTACATACACCATGCTCATTTACAGGACATGGTTTCCCCCAAAAGAATCCTGGGAGCTGTAGTTTGTCCGAAAGAAGATGGCGCCTGATGCAAGTCTCCTGTGAGCCTCAGCAAACTGAGTAGGAGCTTTTAAAAAATAATATGGGGAAAAGACACACTCCCGGAAAACAAGCTTATATCCCAGCCAGATAAGGACTCCGGAAGTCGCCGGACAGCATTTTAAACATCCTCCCTTCCTTTGAAGCTCTTCTGAAGCCCCTTTGAAATCCCACTGAAGCCATCCAAAACTCCTTGAAGTTATCTAAAACTATTTGAGGCTAATTACAACGCTCCGAGTTTCCTTCAAACAAAGCCCTCAAATATATGGATGAGACAAAGTCACCCAAATCACAGAGCTACAATCCCTCTCAGAGGTACAATTTGTAGCGCCCTTAACAAACTCCCAGGATTCTTTGGAGGAATGTCAGAACACAAGTAAGAAAGAAGATAACCTAAGCTGAGAATGAGTGAGACAGGGCCTTCCCTGATGCTGTTGGACTCCAACTCCCATCAGACTCAGCCAGCCAGGCCAATGGTCAAGGATGATGGGAGTTGCAGTCCAACAACATCTGAAGGGCCACACAGGTTCCTTGGTTATTTTCCTCTTTATTATTTGTGTTCCGCAATTGTCTGAATATTTTTCTTTTTCTGCAAGCCTTTAACTATGTTGATGTTTGAATTAGGAGTTGTTGCTTTGCCATTCCGAGTTCTTCTATCCTGTATGATCTAGCTGAGGTTCCTGCATCGCAGGGGGTTGGATTAGATGACCCTTGGGGTTCCCTTCCAAATCTACAGTTCTATAATTCCATGATTCTATTTTTAATTTGGTATGAACTGCTTTTTATATGGGGATTGTTGCTTTCCTTTTTTTCTGTTAGCAGCTTTGAGTCCCTTGGTTTGGAAAGAAAAGCGAGGCAGAATTGTTAGTATATGCAGTAAATTAAAAGGGTGGTTTTTTCCAATGATTTTTAAAAAATAAAATAATAAGTTCAATTGTTTATTCAATTTATGCATCACTTTACACTGCCAGAAGCAGTTCTGATGTGATTTATAGTGGCAACAGCATGCAAAATATAATATGCTTATTTATTTATTTATTTAATGAAAACTGATGCAGAAATGTGGAGAACTGGAATAAAGGCTGGAAATATTAGAAACTGAGAGGAGCCAAAATTGACAGATTGGCCTATCCCATCCAGCTTTGTGTTTTTGGAAACAGGGATCACTCCTTTGTCCCAGAATACTGAGGTGTAACTTGATACCTGCAGAATTTAGCAGAGACTAATCCAATACGCCTTCGTTCTCTATCTTGGAACTGAGTCTAAATGCAGCTTACATGGCTACAAAATGCAGTCTATTTCTGCTATTATGTCACCTTTAGGCCAATAACTCAAAACCTTGCTTGCTTTTTTGTGACTTTTTGATTGACCTTAATAAATGTATTGCTCCACTGTGATCCACTGTGGGCTTTGAATTTGTGTTTATTAAGGGATATCAATATCCATTATCTCAAGAAAGCAATAGCATGTTAATGATATCCCTTATAAACAGCGGCTTGGGGGTTACCTAAAGGATGGGACATTTTAAAATTGATTACAGTATTGTTTTTCTGCATCCTGGAATAATAGCGGAACAAGACAGGAGAACTCTTGACAGGAACAATGATGCTGCCATCTAGTGTTCTCTAGTGGAAGAGAAAGCAAGTGTTTTCTCTTCAGGTGAATGGTAAGACTGCATTGTTGTTTAGTCGTGTCCGACTCTTCGTGACCCCATGGACCAGAGCACGCCAGGCACTCCTGTTTTCCACTGAAACGACACCTGACCACTTGCAGCACTTCCTTGGTTGGTGTTCAATGTTGCCATTTGTTGAATCAATACACATTGCAATAACAGAGGGGGACGGAGGGGGGGGGAGGACGCTCTTTTGGCTCCAAGGTGGAATTATATGGGGCAGTATTTGCAAGAGCTCTTGGGAACGGTCTGTGGCTCAGTGGCAGAGCATCTCCTTTGCATGCAGAAGGTCACAGGTTTAATCCCTGGCATCTCCCGGTAAGCCTGGGAAAGACTGCAGTTTTGCCCCAAGACTATTTGCTCATCTAGGTAAAAGGTAAAGGGATCCCTGACCATTACGTCCAGTCGTGACCGACTCTGGGGTTGCGGAGCTCATCTCGCTTTATTGGCCAAGGGAGCCCGCGTACAGCTTCCAGGTCATGTGGCCAGCATGACTAAGCTGCTTCTGGCAAACCAGAGCAGCACACAGAAACGCCGTTTACCTTCCCGCTGGAGTGGTACCTATTTATCTACTTGCACTTTGACGTGCTTTCGAACTGCTAGGTTGGCAGGATCAGGGACTGAGCAACAGGAGCTCACCCTGTTGCGGGGATTTGAACCACCAACCATCTGATCAACAAGTCCTAGGCTCAGTGGTTTAACCCACAGCGCAACCCGCATCCCTTATTTGCTCATCTATCCCAGGATTATTGACAATGACTAGTAGGGGATCTTCCTGGGACTTGGACAGGTTCCCTGCCATTGAACCAGGACCCCTGTTTCCCCAGAAGCATAAGCTCAGCGGAGAAATAAGTCCAGGACAAAGAAACAGCAACAGATCACTTTACTCCTAACAAGTGTTACCAGTACTAATGACACATGTGACTGGAGTGAGTTATTTATAAGGAAGAGCTGCAGGAGGCAATGGGCCGTATCCAGCCTTCTCTATCCATTGGAACATGGGCTCTTTCTTGCGCTACCAGAAAGTGAATTTTAATGTTGAACAACAGAGGCATCCCATCCAACAGCTGCACTAGCAGAAACCCATTGTGCAACAGATGACACAATCTATTTCACAGCAATGGTACCAACAGCCTGCTCATGCCTTCTGTTGCTCAGCAGTGTTCCACTGGTGCAAAACATTTCACCAATAGAACAGGTTTATCACTAAGTATGTCTCTATGTCTGGGGGGTGGGGGAAATCTCAAGTGGGGGAGGCCAAAGAAGGCAGGAATACATATCAAAAGCAACTGTCATGAGAATAATGTAATAATAACATAATAAAGCAACAACTTAATAGCAAATATAACAACATATATATTGAAAAATCAGTATGATAAATATAATGAGATTGCATTACAAGTATTACACCTCCTGGCAATTGCAAAAATAACAAGGAAGTATGACAGTTTTGCTTTGGTCACAGAAACACCCCTCACAGGTCTCTTGTTGTTTTACTATCCCTCTTGCTTAGGCATCCATGAGAGAGAAATTAAGATGTGAAAAACAGAATTAGTACTTCCTGTTATCTGGGATGCCTGGTCTCCCTTTAGAGTGGCTGACAGCAGCTGAATGAAAGGCCACAGGAGGAGAGATCCTTTAATTTAACCATAAAATAACATGACTGCTCTCAGCCTGGTGTGTGTGGCTTCTGTGAAGTGCTGAGCCATAAAGAGAACTCATGTTTCTTCCTTACTGGGGACTCTTGTCATTTTTATAAATCAGTGTTTATGGGTCTAATTATTGTAAATGCAGCAGACAATAAAGGTGACTGTGAATGCAACATCCGATAATGAATTTTGCAGCAAGCCTGCTGAGCTGAAGAAGGCAGCTGGAAGGATGTTATTTTTCTGTATGATAATTATAGATTTGTTTACATCCTTCTCTCTCTCTCCCCCCTCCTTGTGGCACCAAGACTGGAGTTTCCTCCCAGGTAAGATCTGCTAAGCTCCCTCTTTAGGATTAGCAAAGTTTCTTTTTTTAAAAAACCAGGTTAGTTTTTAATATATAATCTCTATATTTGTATTTTTAATATATAATCTGCCATTTTAAAAACTTTTAACAACTGTGTCATACGAAATGCAAATTAATGAAATTAATACTATTGTTGTTATATGTTTTTAACACCACCACCACCACCACATTATTAGGGGTATTTTTTCCCTTTTAATGCTATCTGTATGAGCATTTAGTTCTATAATGCTATCCATTAATATTTTATGTGCTGCTAATATATTGTTGTTAATGACTCATTTCTATTCTGATGGATTTTCTTATTTTATTGCAAGTCACTTTGATTGTTTTAACAGAACATCAAATACTAAAAACATAAAACATGTCCACATATATAATATGAAAGGCTCCAACCCAAGCGGAGTAGGTCCCCTTGAACACCTGAAGGAGTGTCTCCACCCCCAACGTTCTGCCCAGATACTGAGGTTCAGCTCTGAGGGCCTTCTGGTGGTTCCCTTGCTGTGAGAAGCCAAGTTACAGGGAACCAGGCAGAGGGCCTTCTTGATAGTGGCACCTGCCCTGTGGAACGCCCTCCCACCAAATGTCAAAGAGAAAAACAACTACCAGACTTTTAAAAGACATCGGAAGGCAGCCCTGTTTAGGGAAGCTTTTAATGTTTAATAGACTATTGTATTTTAATATTTTAATATTCTGTTGGAAGCTGCCCAGAGTGGCTGGGGAAACCCAGCCAGATGGGTGGGGTAGATATAATAAATTATTGTTGTTGTTGTTGTTGTTGTTTGATGATGATGATGCCTTCTGAATAAGCATGCATAGAATTTCACTGTCAACTAATCCATTTGTCCTCCATTATCAACACTATTTTAGAGAGAAACAAGAAGGCAGTTCCCTGTCCTGATGGGTTTACAATTAATAGTTGAGTAGGGTTTTTGAGTAGCGAATTTGACTCAAAATGTATAATTCTGCAAAGCTTTTTAAGGAAACCACAAACCTAATCCCAAAATAGTGATTTAAAGCTTTTTGAGTTGTTTCCCCTGCTTTTACTATTGTGTTGCCATACATCCAGGTTTTCCCTGACAAAATTCCCCCCTGACACCATTTGTATACCCCAAAACCAGGATATGTTGGGAATTTTCCTGACGTATGGCAAGCCTGTACTTGAGCAAAACACGAATACATGTTCATTTTCCTTCCTGTGTAGGAAAAGCAGAAAGTGGGCAGCAATACTTTGACGAGCCTGTTCTCCACCTATGTTGTTGTCTGTTGTGCCGTGTGTGTGTTCAGATTTGGACCCAGAATTTTCAGGAGGACATTTTGTGGGTTAAAGTCCAGAATCAAAGGCAGGGGTTAACTCTTCCACTTAAGTAACCGTGAGAAACTTTTCAGCACTGAGATCATTAGCGCAGCTCATAATGTTGTCAAAAAGCTGTTTTCCGCCACATCAGCATTTGCAGCTAAATGGTCTGCCTTGTCTTCAGCTGCATCAGAAGATTTAAAGGGACACGGCTGTTCTCCATCTCTGGCCATCTTGCTGCTGAATGCCTGCCATTGCACCATTTGAGAGGGGGCAATTAATACAGAAAAGCAGAAGAGAGTGTTTTGCTTAGCCCATCCCTTGCCTACTCCTCTTGCCCTCTCTTGCCCTTGCCCTTGCTCCTCTTGCCCTCTCCCTCAGTCCCTGAGAGAAAAGTGGTGGGTAGGGGCTGTCATTAACCATTTCTACCAGCAGCAGCCTTGACTCTGACAGAGAGGCAGCAGAGCTAGCTGGATCATGAAGACTTGTGGGGCAAGCTATGGAGGCACTGAGCTGAGATCCATCCACAGTGCCCATCAGCAGGGACCCCTTTGACCCCAGAGACTCCCAAAACAACAATGCTTGCACCAGACTCTGCTGAAGAGTAGAGTGGCTTGGTGTTTCATGCTTCTTGGTGCCTGCTTGCCAGCACAGGCAAAGACGAAGGAGGGGGCTGGGAGAGGTTAGGCCCAAGACTGGAGAAAAGGCCTTGTTTGAGTTGTTAGAACAGGTAGTCTGCTTGGCACTATCCAAGATGCTGGAGCCCTCACCAGCTGTCACTCACAGGCATTTATCATGCCCTATGACACAATCATGGCAGGGCAAAAGGTTCTCACATGAATACAAACAAAACTCACTACAATCAACTAAATGCAACCAACCATGCTATGGGCTCTCCAACTTCTAGTACCACCAACAAAATCAGACAGACAGACAGACAAATGAAGAGCCTACCCTCACAACGCCGACACAAAACGTCTGCACATGTACTAAGCAAAAGAATGAAAGATCATTACCCGCCTTCTTTCTCCGTCTTCTCCCCCCAATCCTCTCCACCCCCCAATCTCACAATGTCTATGACAGCAGGGTCTCATACCAAATGCAGCTGACCTGTAGAAAGTGGTATGTAACTTTGTTGACTATGAAAATTCTTTAATAAAAGCTATTTTTTAAAAGAAGTCGCAGGATAGTGAGGACAGGAACATTGCAGTAACCTTCTCCAACCTACAGTGTGTGGGATTCCCTCCCCACTTTGATTATTATTGCACTTCCTGACCCTTGTTTGAAGACATGGATCTGCTGCCTTCAAATGTAGTTCTCCCCAAGCTAAGGAGCACATCAGGCAACTGGAGACAGACGGATTTGCAAACCCCAAACAGTATTTGTGGCATTCACATGGGGTGCAGAAAATCCCAAACGGCCCTCCTCTTTGTGGTGGCAAAAATACAAGCAAATGAAGGCTGCAAATCCTAAATAAACTTAGGGATCACCCACACTTCCATTTGTCTTGTGCCTAGAAAACACAAGTCTGAGCAGTTTTCTGTTTGTCCCGTGCTTCTCAGGCATGGGTCCAAGCAGTTTTGTCTTTGCACAGCTTCCGCCCAGAAAACCCGCTATTTAGTGCTATATTGGAACAAAGTGCAATCCGGGGGGAAAAAATCCCTATTGCTGTTTGTTCCAATTCAGGGCTGAACCACAGGTTTTCCTGGGAGAAAGCAGTGGGGGAAACAGAAGTCTGGATGAGCCTATTCTGGAGAGGAAGCCCCATTTGGGGCTTACTTCTGAGTAGACTTGCTTAGGATTGAGTTCTATATCACTGGCTATTTTTTTGTCTTTCCTTTAATGTACTGGTCTCCAAGAAACTGCTGTGTAAAGGAGCGAAATCACCCTGTCTAATGGTAAGGTCAGCCAGAGCTGTTAAAAAGCGCCACCATCGTTGTATGCAATGTTTTATAGAGCATCGTAAACCAAAAGGCCCCTATCACCAAAGTGAAAGACTGGCAGAATCTAGGCTGGCATCTCTGGAGTTAATATTGCCAATTTCCAAACTCATCTTAAGTTGTTGAGTGTAATAAAAATAAAAACGGTGATCCGAAGGACATACAGCTGATCTAAGCCAGTGTAACTGAATTCAGAGATAACAGACAGGCTTGTTAATATGGGCAGCGATGATCAAACGAGAAGTGATCCAGAGAAATCCTGTGAAGGTTGCTGTGGCCAGAAACTTGTTTGAGCCCCATCATTAAAAACTGAAAACCAGGTCAAACTGAGCAGGAAGCAGAGCAAATGGAAAAAAGTCCATCTTCTTGAAACATAAGCAGAGGAACGTTCTCAAATTCGGCAATAAATATCAGTTTCTCTCTCTCTCTCTCTCTTAAGCGTTTGAAATGAAGCAGATAGATGTTGCGAGTGCCAAAGAAAATGTCTTCCTTTTAAAACATTTATTTAATGGGGAAGTTTAGAGAGATATATACTAAAGGGAAAGAGGAGGATAAATTGGCTTAAAGGGTGCCGCTGCGGAAAAGAATATGTGAAGAAAGAAGGGCATCTTTTGATAAGTTGTCAGAAAGAATTGGAGTAAAAGTTGTGAAAGAATTATTATAGTATGAAATAATTTGTTAGGACAGGCAGGGAGTGGGGGGGGGGAAATGCTGGACAACCAAATTAATACCCAGGGTGATGGTTGCCAAATTCCTCACTGCCCCGGACCACTTGGAAATTGTTGAGGACCTTGGAGGAGAACTTAATGCCTGTTGTTTAGCAGCTGTCATGTGCAGTGCTAGATGCCAACTTATTTTTTTTATTTAAAAAAATCACATGCAGTTCAAATTTTAATACGATTAAAATACAATTAGAAATAGATAGATAGATAGAGAATTTATTACAGTCAAAGACCAGTTCACATAACACAATAAAAACAGTGTTCATTAAGATAAAATATACAATTAGAGCAGATTGCAGCAATAGCTCATGAGTTAAAATTGAGATACAGTATATACATACACCTGTACAACTGAGATCTGGGCTACCATAAAAATTGACCCTGAGGCACCCCAAAGGGCGACTTCAGCTTTTCCCTAGTAAGCTATTTTATTCTAGAGGATGATCTGTGCCTACAAATCTGGGCGCAGAATCTGGCTACCAGCCAGGTCGTCTTATGATCTTTGCCTAAGAGGAGAGAATCAAGTTTAGACTTGTCTGAAAGATCAGCGAGCCTCTTCAGCAAAGGATCAATGGTGTCTCTATGAATCTCAGCATAAGAAGGACATCTAAAAAATATATGTTCGGGGCTTCCTATTTCCCCTAATGGGCAGGCTCAAAGTCTCTGTGGGTAAAGGACTCTTCTATAGGAGCCTTCCAGAACCGGTGAGGGCAAGGCCGAGCTTCTAGCAAGAGTGAAAGCCCTTCTTGCGTTTCTGGATGTGAGGAAATAGAGGTACCGTATTTTTCACTCTATAGGATGCACCCGACCATAGGACGCACCATGTTTTAGAGGGGGGAGAACAAGAAAAAAAATTCTCCCCCTCTTTGCCCAGCGCCTCTTCAGCGAAGCGGCAGGAGGCGCTGCGCAGAGAGGGGGAGAATCCCCCCCGTTTCCCCCCTCTAAAACAAGGTGCTGTTCAAGGTGCGTTCAGCCGCCGTCAGGCACTGACCCCTCTTGCTCTCCAGGCTTCAGGTTCCTTTCGACCTGCTCTTTGGGGCTGGCGGGGGGAAGCCCACCACCAGCCCCAAAGAGCAGGTCGGGGAGCAGCGGAAAGGCACGCAGCCTTCCCATTGCTCCGCGAGCTTCTTGGGGCTGTTGGGGAAGCCCAGGGCTATGGCTTCTTTAGCCCCGCGCACGCTCTCCCGGCTGGTGAGGTGGCGCACGGCTAAAGAGGCTGCTGCCATAGCCGCGCGCCACCTCTCCAGCCGGGAGAGGCAATACCCCCACCTATGGGAGAGGCAATACTCCAGCTATGGCAATACCCCCACCTCCCGCAAAAGCCCACAGGAGCCACGCACCCTTTTCTGCACCTTTTCTGCGCCCTGCCTTCCCGCTGCTCCCCGAGCTTGTGGGGCTGGCGGTGGGGGGAAGCGCTGCTTTCCCCCACCGCCAGCCTCAAAGACCAGGTCGGGGAGCAATGCAAAGGCTGCACGCCACCTTCCCACTGCCCCCCGAGCTTGTGGGGCTGGCAGTGGGCAGAAGCGCTGCATTCCCTCACCGCCAGCCTTAAAGATCCCTGAAGCCTTCGGAGCGCAGCGCGAGTTCCCGCTGTGCTCCGCAGGCTTCAGGTTCCTTTTGCTGAACCCAAAGCCTTTGGAGCACAGCGGGAACTCGAGCAGTGCTCCAAAGGCTTCAGGCAGCCATCCCTGCAGCCTTTGGAGCGCAGCATGAGTTCCTGTTGCGCTCCGCAGCCTTCGAGTTCCTTTTGCTGAAGCCGGGAGAGCAAGACTCTTCTGGCTTCAGCGAAAGGAACCTGAAGCCTCTGGAACGTGTTGGGAACTCGCGCTGCGCTCCGAAGGCTTCAGGCGGCTATCCCTGAAGCCTGGAGAGTGAGAAGGGTCGGTGTGCAGCGACACCTCTCGCTCTCCAGGCTTCAGCGAAAGCAACGCGAAGCCTCCAGAGCGCGGAACCAGGGCTCGGCTACTAAAATCTGGTTGTGTTTAGAATAATCTTGTGAGTAATATAAAAAATACGAAGCGAGACATTAAGGAGACCCAAAGGAAAAATATGAAGAACAGAGCTTTTGACAAATGGACTACCAAAAACGCATGAGGCAAATGGTGGAAGTCTTTTAAAAATATTTTAATTAAGATAGATAAGGATATGATGAAAATACATAATCGAACATAAATATAAATTGGAAATGGCTGTGTATAGTGAATACTTATCTACTTTTAAAATTCTCATTCTTGATCTTATTTCTTCCTTTTCTTTATCTTCTTGTTCTTTTCTTTTCTATTTTACCTTTCATTTCTTTTCTTTATTGTGAATATTGTTTTGTAGAGGTGCATATAATTGTAAATATCAGAAGAGGTAAAATGTTTTCTAATTTTCTATTGGTTACATGTATTTTACTTTTTTTGTATATTTGTATTTTTTTCTAATTTGTACTCAATAAAATTAATAATAAATAAATAAAGCTCATCACGTGTCCATCTCCTCATCCCACTTGGCAGCGTCAGGCAACTTCATGTTTTGTCACATGAAATCAAGGAACATGGAGGCCTGCAGTATCCGGCCCAGCCTCTGGAAGTGCCGTGTATGGTAGGAGAGACTCCACAGCTGCTTTGATCCCTTTGTATTGCAAGAGGCTCTCTGGCGTCTCATGCTTGAGGAGGGTTTCCACCACTGCCTGAGCCTCGACGTAGTTCCGCGAGTTTGTGTTCCACGTGATGGAAAACTTCAACACAGCCTCTGGAAGAAGGGGTTTGGGGAAGACACGTCAGGAAGGAGTGCAAGTTGCAGGCAGCGTGGCCACCTTGAACCAACACACCTCTCTTGCGAAGCATGGCCAGGTCTGGGCACACATTTGACCTGTGCCTTTCTTCAAGACCGGGAAGCAGATCCAACACCCCTCCCCACCTAGTAGAAACAATTAATGATGGCAGGGGTGACTGAGTTTATTCCAGACTACATGGCTTGCAGGAATGGGTTTTATAATATTTATAAAAGTACAACAACAACAATATGCATTATAATCTTTGCTCTAGTATTACAGAGCTGGTGGATCTAATTTGAGGCTGTGTACACACCATACATTAAAAGCATTATCGCTTCTCCCCTGTAAGAATCCTGGGAACTGTAGATTACCCTTCTACCGCATAGCTACAATTTGTAGCACCCTTTACAAACTGCAATTCCCAGGATTCTTTGGGAGAAATGTGCTTTTAATGCCTGTTTTTCCTGCAGCAGGCATGCTCAGCTACCCCTCTGGAAGCTCAATCCCACAGAAAGCTGTGACGGCCACCAACTTGGATGGTTTTATGCAGGAAAGGCTATCAATGGCCACTAGGCACGATGGCTATGCTCTACCTCCACAGTCAGTGGCAGTAACGTTTGTGAATAGTAGTTGCTGGAAGTTGCAGGAAGGGAATACAGAATGCTCTTGTTTCCACAGGCCTCTGGTTGGCCACTGTGAGAACAGGATGCTGGACTAGACAGGCCAATTTGGCCTGATCCAGCAGGCACTTCTTATGTCCTTACGTGGTTCAAGGGTAGAGATTGTCAGAAGGCATCTTCCAAAGCAATCCCACCCCGCAAATAGCTTTGGAGCCTTCTTGCCTCTAGCCTAGCCCTCACCCTTTTTCCTGTTCCCGCTGGAGTCTTCTTTTGCTTGCCACGCCTGCGGGCTCTCTTCCGGCCAACGCTGCCAATGACAGATCTTTATAACTTGCGGTCGGTGAGATTCGGTAATCGCAGCACCTTGCGCCTGCTGGACCTCCTGAGCAGAGCGGGTTGTGTCTTGCTCCTCGTGAAGTAGGGTGAAATGTGAGGAGTGTTGCAAGCCGGTGCAGAGGCAGAAGGTCTGGCCGAGATGGTAGAGCACGGCTTCTCTGTCAGGGGCTTCTTCCTAATCCAGTTGAACACCAGTATCATACGCCTCTTAGATGGGTTGGACATGCTGAAGAAGGTGCTGGAGGCCCAAAGACCAGGGTGACTTCAAAGCGGAGGACGCAGCAGGCAGTTCCCTATCAATGGTGCCAAATCCAAGCAAATGTTAGCTCCAGTCCTGTTAAATCGATCCAGCAATTATGAACGTTAAATAAGGGATTAATTCCTCAGGCAGTATGAAAAGACTTTCTGTGGCTTTTTAATAGATGGGAGCCCCCAACTACTACCACTGTTGACAGCCTGTTGCCCCTTCACTCTGCTTGAATGGGTTATGTCACAATGGTTCCTTCATAAGGTGTTTGTGAGCATGAAAATGCTTTTGGGAGTTTCAGCAATGAAGGCTCAGGCATAACATACTGTTTGAAAGTCTGAACATTTCCTCTTTTTTTATTTAACAAAATTTATATACCGCTTTTACAATTTATATACAAATTATTAAGAGAGTAAGTTAAAAATATACTGTAGTTTATTCACTTATAGGCTAGTTTACATACTTTATTCCTTCTTATACTTCTATCCCACCTTTCCTCCGCAGAGCATACACACTTCAGCCTCCACCTTCTCCATTTTATCCTGACAGCAATATTGTGAAGAAGGCACCTGGGGCATCAGTAAGTCATCCTCTGCAGGAGAGGCAAGCTCTGGAGGCATCTGCAAAGGCCGTGTCATAGTCTGCAAAAAACTAAACAATGTAAGGAACCAGTGAAACCAATGTTTCGTGCACCACAGGGGGACACTATTCAGGCCGGAAACGCTGCCAGAGGCCATCGAATTCTAGGGCAAAGCCCTAGGATCACCTGCTAGGCCAGACATAAATGTTTCCAGTGAAATAACAGAGTTGAGGTAGCCCACAGCTTGTCCAGGTATCCCTGCTTGCCCTTTTAGAGGGAAGCACCCCCTCAAGAAACACAAAGTTCTTTTATCACAAATGGGCCAAACTACCCAACAACAGAATAGTCCAAAAGTAGCAGTTTGTTTTGTTTTGTTATAACAATGGCTAAGAGGGGGATATGAACCCTGTCTTCCAGGTCCTAGTCCTGCGCTCTAGCCACTAAGCCACAATGGCTCATCTCTAAAATGGCAGTCGCCACTATCAGGGCAAAACAAACTTAAAGAAAATAAACTTGTTCAGAAACAGCATAGTTCAAGAGCATACACAGAGTGCTCATAGTCATTGGAGGCACGGAGAGCCTCTGGCGCCCTCTGTCTGCCTCAGATATACATTAGCAGCAACTGAGCCTGCAAGCAGATACATTCTTAGAGAGAATGAGTCATGTGTCACAGAGACTTAACAATTAACTGCTACCTGTAGCAGACTTAGGCTTGGAAGTTATGTGCAGGCCGAATAGGCCTCCCTGCTTCTGCTCTTGAGAATCTTTGTCTCATAACAATATTAAAGGAACTCAAAATAGTGCTCCCGCCCAAGGCTAGATTAAAATTTGGCCAACAGCGCTGCACACCCCCAAAATAAAGCCAACCTTTGGGGATACTATAAACGAAAGTGATTCTAGCTAAGCTGGGAACAGCCCTGATTAACCCCACAATTAACAACAGGAGAAATGGGGGAAACTTTTGCGGAAGAAAGCCCTAACGGGGGCTCTCTCCCTATTGGGAAAGGCAAGCCACAGATACAGGGAGAATCTGCCCAAAGGGCAGGGCTAATGGGTGGGGTGGGAAATCAAACAGGAAAAAGGGGGAATTAAATTATTTAAGGGACTAGAGAGGATTAAAAAGAAGGGGGAAATAAAGAAATGTAACCAGACAGTTCCACTGTCCTCCAGACAGTCCAAGTGCTCCATGTGATCCGGTGCAAGCAGCCAAGAGGACGCAATATTTAAAACCTCTGACCCCTCCTTCAAAATTTGCAACAAGCAATTCACCCCAGCGACCCAATTAACCAATTCACTGCCTGGGTCACTCAGCAAATCTGCCCAGCAACACTGGGGTGGCTTGTATGCCCCACCGCAACACGTGCTCTCTGCTAGGGAGAACACGTTTTGTCATGTATAAGAATGTGTTAGTTTTATCCTTTGGGATATCTTTATCAAGAATTCCTGGAATTCCTAGTAGATATGCCTCTGCCTTTTTATTGTGTGATGCCCTTATCAATTTTTTTATCTCATCGTGGATCATGTCCCAAAAGGTTTTAATCTTTGAGCAAGTCCACCACATGTGGTATAACGTGCCTTTTGTCCTATTACATTTCCAGCATTTATTGTTGTTCATTTTATTCATTTTTGACAATCTGTCCGGAGTTAAGTACCATCTATGATGAATTTTTCTGTAGTTCTCCCTTAATAGGTCACACGCTGTAAAATTTATGTTTTTCTCACCCTTACATGGGTTTTGGATATACTGTATTTTTCGCTCTATAGGACGCACTTTTCCCCCTCCAAAATTAAGGGGAAATGTGTGTGCGTCCTATGGAGCGAATGCAGGCTCCTTGGCTTCAGTGATAGCAACGCGAAGCCTCCGAAGCGCAGAGGGAGTGCTCCCAGTCCCACCAGGAGACGCTGGGGACTGAACCTGATGCCTTCTGCATGCTAAGCTGTTGTTCTACCACTGAGCTATGGCCCTAGCTCACAATATTGCTGTCAGGATAAAATGGAGAAGGTGGAGGCTGAAGTGTATATGCTCTGTGGAGGAATATGCTCTGTGGAGGAATATAATATAATATAATATAAGTTGAAAGCTTATGCGGATGACCTAGTGTTATCGTTAGAAGA